GGAGGTAAATCACCAAATATTGTCTTCAATGATGCTGATATCGAGAACGCCATCTCATGGGTCAACTTCGGTATTTTCTACAACCACGGACAATGTTGCTGTGCTGGTTCAAGAATTTACGTTCAAGATGGTATTTATGACAAGTTCGTTGAGAGATTCAAGGCTCGTGCCCTTGCCAACAAGGTTGGAGATCCATTCCACCACGAAACTTTCCAAGGCCCACAAGTCTCCCAACTTCAATACGACCGTATCATGGGTTACATTGATGAGGGTAAGAAGGCTGGTGCTACCGTTGTTACCGGTGGTGAGAGACACGGTGACAAAGGTTACTTCATTCAGCCTACTATTTTCTCCGATGTTACCGAAGACATGAAGATTATGCAAGAGGAAATTTTTGGACCAGTTTGTTCCATCGCTAAATTCTCCACCGAGGAGGAAATTATTAAAATCGGTAATGGCTCCAACTATGGTCTCGCCTCGGCCGTTCACACACAAAACCTCAACACCGCTCTGCGTGTATCAAACGCTCTGAAGGCGGGTACAGTTTGGGTTAACTGCTACAATATGCTTCACCACCAAGTACCATTTGGTGGATACAAGGAATCGGGAATTGGACGTGAATTGGGCGAGGCAGCTTTGAGCAACTACACACAAACCAAGTCTGTGAGAATCAGATTGGGTGATGCTCTTTTCGGTTAAGAGGTTTTTAAATGAGCAAAAGGGTTCTCAGCTTGTACAATTTTGGGGGATTTATGGCGATAATCGCCTGGGTTTCGGTTCTTTGATAGTTCTAGCTAGCGTGTACGAATGAAATTAAAATACCTATATGAAATCCATGAAAAATTGTGAAAAACTGTGATTGTTTCTGCTCCTCGATGTATCGATGTTTCGATGTTTAGTATTCAAATCATGTTCGACTTGAGGGTACCATTTATCTGTTGGCAGATCTATGCAGGAATTTACGGATTACAACACCAGTCAGTGCAGAATTAACTCATTTATAAATGGCATCAACTAGTAGGGATTCGATACATAACCAATGACTCTCACTTGTTAATATAACAAATATTCTTTTAAACTCAGCATAAGCTTCAGATCATTCCACAAAGACTTTCCATTTCCATCCAGGTAGACAGCCACAAATTAAAACGGCAAAAAGACAGCAAAATCAAGGTACAAAATAAAGACAAACATTCACCCACTATCTTCACGCCAGTCTTTCTGCGAGGTGTCCCACCTCTCTGTCTTCATTTCACTGAGTAAAATTATAGCCAACTTAGAAACCACGTCTTATGATAAGGATGGCACTCGAGTAGCTTGAGTGAGCGAAGAGAAGACCAGGACAAGTGGTATTGAGTTGACATTTAAGATTGGGGTTTCTATTGCTGAACAGCTACAGCTTCTCATCATCTCGCCCGCAGCTTCAGAATACATACTCCTAAGTAAGGACGAGTGTTTTCTTCAGCTTAGTGACCATCTTTCTACTCATTTTTACGTTACCCTGTAATTGATTTAATTGCATCGTAGGATTCGTCGCAAACGAAACCTCAAAAAGTTTACCCCGCATTCCGTACCGCACCCAGCTTTGAGGCTTATCGCGAACTCGATTTTGAGAAGATTTAGACCAGCGAAAAGCCCTCGCACAAAGAGAAAACTTAAGGTGCATAAAGGGTTTTTAACATGATGATAAATGACGACATAGCTGTTTCAATTTACGTCTTTATTTAGGGAGTTAGCAGTAAAGTCGAGGTATTCTAGAAGAGATCTCCTTAAGGCTTCAATTGTTACATAGCAAAATCTAGGTAACAGGACTACTTTTAATCAAATTTAGATTTACAAAATCAATTGGCGCATCATAGTTTTCTTATATATCTTGCACTCAGAATCACCATCGAAATGGCATTGTTTACTACTCTTTTTCTGCTTCCCTCAATCTCCCTCGTCAACGCGCAATCAAACATGGTACCGATAACTTGGTCTTCGGTTGTTTACACATACTATGGGGAGATTACACCTACAATCGTCAATGCTACTACCCCTACTCTCACGCCTCCCGGAGCTACTCAGCTTTATAATTCTGGATCCATCATCCGCGACCGTTACCTAAATTCTACCGCAACTCAGCTTACTCTTGGACAACCAATCAATGGCCTAAGTGATCGATATATCATCAACAATCAACTACAAGTATAGAGTACAAGTGATGAGTACGTGGTTGGAAGTGCACAAGCTTTTATGCAGGGGCTTTACCCTCCTGCGCCAGGAGTACAGGGAATGGATAGTGTATGTCCTACATCTCGATCTCAATCTGTCCCTGTTTTTGTTCCCGTCTCCCGACTCTCTTAGTATTTCTGTATCATTTTGGCCAATTACTAAATTTAAAATTAGCCCGGGAGCAGGTACTAGCCAATGGCTCAATTGTCAAATATTCTCTTGGTGGTTATCAGTATCCCAATATCAACTCGTTGAGTGAAAAGGATTACAATTATATCTGGTAGGCCCCCCTCTGTTTTGCGTCGGTCTTTTTCGCTCTTTGTAGAATATCCGCTGATTACTTCAAGGATTGCAGGAATTAATCAATGTAGAACTTATGATATTGCAACGAAATTTACAAAGACATCCCCAAATTCAACATCTTTGATAGCTAGCACGGAGTATTTTTACCTCTCCCTTGCCAATACCATTTTCGCTGGCGTTGGTACCTCTATGATTAATTATCGGAACGCAATCGATCTCTACTACCACGCCCTCTATCAGTATAATCATAACAGTTCTATTTTTGAAATGCCCAACTCTTTCGGTCTTCTGCAAATATTGAATGGTTTTGTCTCAGAACAGGCTATCTCTTTCAATACACCAAGCACTGGCTCCAGTATTCAATATATCGCTGGTCAGACTTTCGCATCGAAAATTATTCAACAGTTCCAGCAGACCATCTCGAGTTCCGGGATCAGCGACAAGCTATCTCTTTATTTCGGATCTTACAAGCCAATGTTAGCGTTCTTTTATCTCTCATCGCTCTCAACTTCGGATGTCACAGGAAGACGCTTCTCTACGTTGCCGGACTACGGAAGTACAATAGCATTCGAGTTGTTTAGTTATGCTGAGGAAGGACAATACGACTCCTCAACTCCTTTCCCAAATGCGAATGAGCTATGGGTAAGATTCATCTTCCGAAATGGAACTTTAAATACCGACCCTCTAATATCTTAACCCCTTTTTAACCTCGGTAATCCGGAGGTGGACATGAAGTACAGTGGTTTTGTCACAGAGATCGGAAATTTCGCCATGAATGATTTAAGCGAGTGGTGCAGTGCTTGCGCCTCCATTTCTTTGTTCTGCGAGGCAATTCTCAGTAACAAGTCCGATCCAAACAATAGTAAAGTTTTACGATCAAAGGGGATAAATGGTGTGGTTGGTGGAATCATTGGTGCGATTGTCACTCTGGTAGTTTTGATTCTGGTTGCGTTGATACTTGCGCTCCTTGGCTTCAGGATGCAATACCGTGAGAAGAAAGTTGCGCACTCCGTTGGAGGCATCGGCATCCTGAAAAAGGGCTCACCCACTGATATTGGAGGACTCAAAGGCCCAGAAAAGCTTGCTTCAGATACAGATCTCAATATTATTCATGAACCTCGAGTTGGTGCTACCGTAAAGCACGAGAGAGTCGGCAGTTGGGAAATGGGTAATGCGCCTGGAAGCAATAGTGCAAGCTTGGATAAAGAACCTAATCGCGGCCAGGAAACAGTAGTAAGTACTGCGGATTACAATAGAACAAGCGAAGATGGAATATGAAGCCACGATCATTAGGGAAAGGGTGTGCAGAGTAAGGACTATGTTTGACCTGTGGTAATGTTTGATTCGACAGCTTGAGAGTTCTTAGGCTGTCAGATGGGCTTGAGTAACATGTTATATTTCTTTCAAATCTGTCTATGGTAGCTGGGGAGTCATGATCATAGAGCATGGAATTTAACAATGGCAGAAACACAGTAGTTTTGCTGTTCTCAAGTGTCGAGGAAATGGGCAAATCAGACAGATAATCTGGACCATGCGAAGTTGACATTGATATAACCAATACCTTTTTTTTCCCTACCCTCTTCCAAGTTTATGGCACCTGTTTTCCCGGTTTTACAGTTCAAGTCGGAGATGGCGAATGACATCTAGGTCAAAATATAATGTTTCTAGTAAAACAACCTTACTTTTCACTTCCTGTTTGATGGCTTTCGTGACGATATATGGACACAGTTTGAGTGATTTCTGAAAATTCCTTCTAGGGAATTTACTGTCAGACTTTGCGACAGTTGTACCGTCTGATATGATAAGCATTGGTAGAGTATGAAATCTTCTAACCATATCATTGAAAGCTATCATTTGACATTAGATGTCAGGAACTAATTATTCATGGCTTATGGAACTACAAACTTACAGCTAGAATTATACGATTTAAGATCAAGTATTTTTAATACTGTATTTACTCCTTTCGAGGAAGTTCGGCGTTTGGTTAGCTCGTGGAAACTAACTACTCTAGCTTTTTTAGTAGGGCAACACACCACACACAAAATGCAAATTTATTTATTTCTCTGAAATCTGTATCTCATGCAATACAATATTTCGCTCAGTCACAAAAATATCGAGCATTATTAATCATACACCAAAATCAATCCACCTCAGACAAAATATAAATTTCCATCGGCAGGACTCGGTTTAAACCTTATTCACACTCCTATGTTTCGAAAAATGTATCACAGAGAATCTTCTCAGGATGAGCCCTTGTGGATGTTCATAATCATGTACATCACAGTCTCAATGGTTTTCGGTATTGTTGTTTGGTGGACACGTCGCTCTCGCCGCCGCGGACTCAATTCGAATGGTGATGAAGAACAACCCATTATTTTGTGATGTTGTTATCAACAGCACTTAATCAAGAGTTGGATGATACTTAGGGGTAGTATATGGTTGCAGCAAGCAATAGGAGGAAGTCTAATTTTCTTTTTGAGGCCGTGGTTCTCCCAATCATCCATTTTTCACAACAACGTCAATCAGCCATCGAGGCGTCCCAGTTCTTCCAAACTCAGTCGGGACATTGGAAATTGTGTTCAAATGTTATGCAAATAGGAGGATAGGAACTTAGTTTCGTTGGGTTTCCTAAATCTAGGCACGAATAAATCATCGAGGTCTAGTCATGGGAAAGTCGTAGTTTCCGGGTGATGGCGGGGAAGTTCACCGTGGTTCTAATTAGGGTGTGAAATGTTTAAGGTGCATAACCGACGCCAAGAGGTTCTATAACTGAACATAAAAGCAAATTTATCTTGGAATCCAATAGTCTGGGCCATTATTAATAATCAGAAAACGTATTCACATCTCAGGGAGCTCCGTGCTTGTACTTGTAATTGAAATATTTGCTTGAACCTGATTTCTCGAGAAGATACGTAAGTCTACTATATACCTGGGTGTCTTATAATCTAATGTATACAAGTTCATAAACATGATTCACTCTATCGGTACCCCTATGCAAGGTACGTATCTAATTCCTGGCTTTCGCTTGCAGATATCTTATACAGCAATGACAGTATCGACATGGAAAAACTTTGTTTAAATAAATCAATCTAGACTGTTCATCAGCTTCAAGCCCCGTATCCTGCTTAGAACATGTATTCATTTTGCCTTGTCAAGTTTCAAAGACTGCCACTTTACCGTATAAATAAATAAATATCTTGTATTCGTGATATCTAATTTCATTTAGAAAGTTTACGGCTAAGCTGCCGTATTGAAGTTTTTTATATAATACCAACCTAGGCCTCTCGATTTTTCTATTCATAACACAACACATCTAAGTTGGAAGAGAATAAGAATAATCCTCTTACTACTAACTCCAACTACTTCCACAATAGTCAACACCCAATATCCGTCATTCTATTGTGCACTACTTCATAACATTATGGCTCCCTCACAGCGTCAATCAGACCTTTCCGAGGTTAAGAAGTGGGACTCGTCCCACCTCGATCATATTCTCCTCAATCGCATCATCAAGCTTGGTAAACAAGACCTAAAGCAAGAAAAGGCAATCTCAGAAGCACTTCGCCGGCTTTATGATACAGGCAGTGGTGAAAATGACATGCTCAAAGATTATGTTACGGAGAACTGGCTCAAGGATATTATCTTCCTCAAGGATGGACAAAAATGTATTATTGCAAAAGGTACGTAACAAAAAACTTCTTGAGAACCTAACTAATATCGTGCAGATATTGGTCTGCGTAAAGATTTTTGGTATCCATGGTACAAAGAATACATTGACGATGAAGACCGAAAATACTGCATCGCCCCACATCGCCACACGCTCAAGGATATCGACCACACAAGCAAAAATCGGAGAGCTTTCATTAGGGGCACCCGACACAGAAGTGAAGGAGAGTGGCGCTTGCCAGAAACCCATGGCCGCCATATTTCGAAATTCCCGAAAGGTGAATCGTACTATGATTGCTTTTCCAACTTTTTAGTCTAGTTCTCTTGGCTTGCTTTCGCGAAAATTCAACTATGTATCATGCATCAAGATTGAATTATGCTTCCTTTGCACCCAGTTGTGTTTACTCAATTTGAGCATCCATATCATAAGATTCCATGAAAAAAATGCTTGAATATATAGCTGACCTTTCATCTAGAAATCATTGACAACATATTAAGTAATCTCTTGCAAGTTTCTGATGGAGAACTCGCTCCCATTGTAGCAACAAGCAATTGGAAAAAGTGCTTCACCGGCTCACCGCACTATAAAATCCAAAAAGACGTGGATGATACTGATGCATACACAACGACGGAGATTGGTATGCTCACTCAAACTCAAGAGGGTAGTTTGATGGTATTGCGAAAGGTCCACACAAGCAAATTAGACGCGACATGTCTTAGAGTATGCAAAACCTGGAAAGACGCCAGAGGAAGCTTGTTGTATCGATTTAACCGCTTCACCTTCGGCACCAATAACCCAACTTTCGAGGGGAGTCCTCCGACTTGGATGGGCAAGAAGACTTGGAGACCACCTGCGGGTAAACCTTATCTCGTAGCTGAGGATAATTCGCCTGATTCGCCTAGAATTTTCAAGTCCCGCATCGAGAAAGGTCTCAGAAACATCAAGAAGCGAGTGTCCATCAAGAATCTAGCAGGCTGGGTTTATCATGATCCTTTCCTACGATTTTTGTACACGATTGGGGCGAGAAATGCAGCCCTCCTTCAGAGTCTGCAGTTTTCAGGCGAGGTTCGCTGCCATCAATGCGAGACAGGACAATTTTGTAATGATTGCCTTGTGGAGAACTTGCGAGTTTACGTTCCCATCATTAACGCAATCTGCCCCAATGTACAAAAATTGGTCCTGCGCCCTCGAAAGGATGGAAGAGAAGTCCCGGAACTGGAGATATTCAAGCAAAAGCTCTTGCGATTCTTTGAAGGAGATCTTCGACTTTTGAAATATATTAAGGAACTGGTAGTAGTCGATGATCTGTTGTACGATGGTGAGAGAACGATTTCAGCAGCTCCGCTTGCCAAGCCCACCGTCACTTATTTTCGAGAGAGAGATTTATCGTCACATCAATAAGCATGACCACGAATCTAAGAGCGAATGGTGTAAGGAACTATATGACTCGAAAACCCTGGACTTTGGAACTTTGAAAAATTTGAGGGGTGGACATTTATGGCAAGAATTCGAAAAGGTTTGTTTTGCATCTATCATGGAAGGCTTGTGGAGTGTAAATTTGAGAATTTAGCCAAAGGTTGGTGTGGAATAGGTAGTGATAAAAAATACAGCGACTTATTACATTGTGACCGTTGAATCATGCTTTCTTTGAGTTAATATCCTAATTTATCCTCTTGAAGATATCACGAATGACTTCATCGTTGCCGTTGGCAAAAAAACTAATGGAGAATGTATAGCCTTGTCATTTTGAAGTAAATTTAAAGATTCAAACCAATTATGTAGACATTGAAAATTATACCATTCCTCGATTACTTTGGCCCGTTTCCCATATCCTGTGGCACCAGCGCCTTGAACAGCAAAGTAAAGAGAATGAAAATATGGAAAAGGCGGGGCGAAGCTACTTTGCTGTCACGCATTTTTCTCTTTGATCGCTTGGATAGGAGAAAGTTGGCATTGACTGAAGTTATAATTCAGCTGATTGAGTTGAGGTTGGTATGCATAAGATGTAGCCTGCAGAAGGAAACAAGTCATGAACTTGGTGGTGGGTTACACGATGGAAAGTTGTAAGAGGACTTCTCTTTGTAACTTCCTCTGACCCATTTCTTTGGTCGATTCATGATTCATGATCAATGATATCTTTATGTATTTTATTCTATTTTATTCTATTTTATTCTATTTTATTCTATTTTATTTTTATTTTATCTCATTTAATAAATGAAATACATTTAAAGATTAACGCAAGGGGGGATTATGATTACCACCACATGCATCACTGTACACTACAAAACCATGGTATCGGGTGGCTGGTGCTTGTTTTTTCTCAGCGGGTATGTAGTGGATATCCTGTCAACCCACCAACCTATCAACGCCAGCAATGCATGCTACAATTAAGCCACATTCCATATTTATCTTATCCACAACCAATTAACATCGAATCTCAAACAGCTTCATGTTTCATCCATCATGATCCACATCTTTTATGTAGAATGACGTCGCCTTGAAAAAAGGATCTAGAGCTAGCTACTCACCTACTCACCTGGTAAGCTCAAAAATATATTTATCCCATTTTTCTAAACATTGCCTTGGAATGAAGAAGCTGCAAAGTTCTGGCCAATGTGAGCTGCTGGAAGTGATAAGGTTTGTATCTTTTCCACTTTAAATCCTGCAGGTGCGACCGACTTTTGCGTTCTGTTGGTATGGGTAGGTAGGTCTTAATATTTGTTGACGTTGCTGTGAAGATATACCCTACCTCTACTTTCCCATTTCTTCAAATTCTACTTTTACTTCTTCTTTTTCTTCTCCATCTTCATCTTTTTTTCGTCTTTTCTATCTTTTTCTCTGCGCACCTTCGCGCTGTGTAAATATTATCTTCACTCTTTGAGGCTTCTCTCTATTGAAGGAGTGCACAACTGAATTTTGTCGACATCTGCGAGAATCGCAAATATTTATACTTCCGAATCCTCCACCAACAATACGAAAGTCGCGCAATCCAACAATCATGATTACAACTCTCCCTCAAGTGCTTCTTGCACTTGTTCCCGTGGCTTTAGCAGTTCCAGCGCCACATCCAGTAGCTCAACCAGTTCCTCATCCTATGATTACTCCGGCGGCCTCTCTCACTGATAGAACACCATCAAGACTCATCGAACAAAGGGGGGTAGTTAGCTCAGCCGTATCATCTATCAAGGGTCTAGAAAGCTATCTTACCAGTGTTATCGGAACGTATCCATCATATATTGCGAGCGGGGTACCCAATTTCTTCCAAGACTTTCCAACTGGGAGTGCTGTGCAAAGTAGTTTGGGAATTAGTGATAGTGATTTGGCCGCTACTCCTACACAGGTTTTGAACATCCCGTCAGTTTGTCTACTTTTCTCGCACTCGATTATTTACCGCAATACTAATCATCAAACAGAGGATATGCGAATTGGACTGATCAAGGTTGGAATCTTCGTGTTCACGGAAATGTCTTCAAACAACCAAACATCTCGGAATCCAAGCTCAACGACCTAGCAAACGTCTTCCTCGTTGGTACCTCAATCGAAGATCTGCCTGCTCCTCAACAATCCCAAGCCCGAAATCTCACCGCCGAGATTTTTGTCATACAACAAGCACATGTCAACGTCTCATTCAGTTTAGAGCCTGCTCCGTCTCAAGGCGGAGATGGAGAAAGTGGTGGTGGCAGTGCGGTGACACCAGCTGGAGGAGCGCAAAATATTACCCTGGTGGGACAAACAACGGTTGAGGGTGATTACGATCAATTCATTCAAATCGCCAATGTTTCAGGACCCGGTGGTTACCTTGCTCCTGGTAATGATACCACGGATATCCAACGATTGAATGTTTACACCGATGGCACCTTGACCGGAAACGCAACATCATACCTCGTTCCCGAGTCAGGTCTGACCATTATTTCAGACATCGATGATATCCTCCGTGTTACAAAGATTTACGAACCTAAGGAAGGTCTATTAAACTCTTTCGCGAGGCCATTCACACCATGGATGAACATGCCTGACATCTACGCCAACTGGTCTCGTAGTATCCCCAACTTTCACTTCCATTATTTGACCACAACACCCGAGCAAGTAACAAGGAACTACATGCAATTCATCTATGATACCTATCCAGGAGGATCTTTTGATACCCGACCTCTCAATTTCTCAGATGTATCTGCAACACTCTCGATTCGAAAGTACTTGCTTAAAAAGGTCTTCGAGACCTATCCCAACCGCAAATTTGTTTTGATAGCCGACACTTCCAATTCAGACGTCATGAAAGATTACCCGGAGATGGTAACGGATTTCCCTGGACAGGTCCAATGCATCTTCCTACGCAACACATCTGCCACGGACAGTGGAGATAAATTCCCATACCAGACATCGGGCTTTAAGAATTTAAATCAATCACAATACATGTTCTTTTTAGTACCAGATGATCTTACGAATCTTGACATTGTCAATGGACAATGCTATAATTCTACCATTCCCCAGAACCTTACATTCAGTGAGCAAGGATTGCCATTTGGATTGAGTAAGAGTGGTGCTACCAAGACGAAGACAATTGGACGGAGCTTGGTTTGGATAGCTATGATTGCAGCTTTCATGGTTGCATTGTAAAGATGGGATGAGATGATGCATTGGATATGACTCGGCGTTCAGGAAGTTGCTTTTTTATGTGAGATATCAAGATTCGCAAGATACCTTAATAATGTATAGATGATGATGCTCTCACTCTTTCTACGCTTTATGTTTTTCTGTGTAAAAATATGTTGTACGCTTGGATTCCCATTTTTGATCTGACATTTGTACCATAGATCCTGTGCTTAACAACATTTAATGTTCTTTGTACATTTTCTGCTGCTATAATTCAACCAAAATGCACAAATAGAGTTTCCTATGTGGTGAGTTGTAGGTTATATTTCTCGCTTTTATTCACATGTCGAACAGCTACCATGACTCCCAAACCAAGCCCAATAATTCACTTCATTAATTACCCAGTATTTAAACCCATCACGTATCCCAAATATTTCCCAATCCCTTCCCTCCCAATACCAAAGCAAGAAAATATAAATTCCCACCGGCGGTCAGCCTGCACCTCAAACCTTCAATCGCTTCACCTATACTTCCATCTACTTCAACAGTCCATCTATCGCTAGACAGTCTCTATCCCTCCTATTACCGATGAATTCCCCTGGCTCATGCACGAATAGTTATATGAAGTTCCCCGTTGTTGTATCTAGCCTGCCTTCCAAACATTCCAATCAGATTTTGCGCAAGTCTGGCGAAAACCAAGCGGTACTTTGACTTTTGGGCGGATGGTTCAATAGTTGTGTGTGTGTGGATAGTATGTTTCTTGCATTTTCGTTTTGTATGCGGAGTTGGGATGGTGTATAAGTTGGGTAAAACGAAAAGAACGGGAAATAAGGGCATGATCGCATTCACCGAGATGACGTCTTCATCACTCAGAATGTCCTTTTAAGAATGCGAGCACATCGTGTACATCATGTACATCATTTGTATCAAGTGTTATTTGAAACGATTGGAATCATTAGATCAGTTTTTTCCATATACTTATCTTGAAGATAGAGTTGTGGGATCCGAATGAGGTTTCCGGCAACTAGCGTTGTAGTGGAGCGTATGTACTTTATTCAGGGAGCTTACCTTACTACATAGAGGTTACTCCGTACAGTGAGGTTCCTCCGTACAGTGAGGTTCAAATCCACTTCCTGTTTAAGTTACCTAGGAACACGTGCATTTCACGTGTTTTGCGGACAACAGACGAGGTTAGGCTGATTTTGGAGTCCAACAGTTGGTCTGAAAATTTATTTTCATTCTGCGCGGCTAGGTTCGACGAGGAACTTCAGGCTATTGGAGTCAAAGAGGTACCAATGCCAAATTATCTCCCAAAAGCGCTGCTGACATCTTCAGCTTTTCCAACCCACATCCAATCCTTCATTAATGCCTCAATTAACTTCATTTAAAAGTCCTTTCAGAACTCGGCATCTCTCAAATCTCCGTACTAGGGGTATCCTATCATCATCATCGTCGTTATCATCATCATCATCATCATCATCATCAAACGTCGCCAAAACCATATAGTTTGAACAACACCGTAATTTATTTAGCGGCAGCAACCACAAACGCAGCTGCGGCAGCGGCATTTTCTCCGTAGGTAAGGTGAGCTGGTAGAATTATATCTCCAGCTTGGCATATATTATCACCTGTGTGGCATACGGTGTCGACTTTTGAAGCAGCAACGTTCGGGATTGCTTGTCCATCCACTGTTTGTTTACCTGTCAGTTAACTTTTCCGCATTTCATACCGAGGGATAGGGATATTGAGAAGTTCACATACATGGGTCACCAAAAATCACAACAGAGCTGATCCAGCTTGCGGTTGCTGCAGGAAGTAAGGCAAGTGCGTTATGCACAACTTGTCCTCCTTGGGAGTAACCAGATGCGACGAGGTGTGTATTTGGGCATGCTGCGTGCGCGGCTTGGATTTCAGATGCCCTGCATGAACGTCAGATATTTGATGATGAGGTTTCTTTTTGCAAGTCACCGATTCTTGGCATCGAAATTTCTAGTAGCAAGTGTTTTTCAAGATATGAAATGGGGTTACATACATAGAAGCACTTCCAACAGGATCACCACCAGCAAGGAATGTCGCTACGCTCGCGGCATAGTTATTCACACCCTGAATGGTAACTTTGGAAGATCCTACAAGAGATTGCAAAGCCATGAAAAATGGTGGTCCCGTGATGACACCTGTGTTTCCTGGATCATCTGTTCCGCGGGCAAAAATAACCGTATAGTCAGTGCAAGCACCGCCTAACTCATTGTAAGTATCGCTGATTCCAGTGAGATTTGAGACGAGTTCCTGGAAGCCAGTGATGACACTTTCAACAGCCCCAATGGCACCATTGACTGCTGGAAGATGATTCAGAATTATGGTGAGTACAGTGTTGAGGGGAGTGTTTCTCTTTTCATTGTTATCGACAGGTCCAGTGGTAATGGGCGCAGCTGCAACGAGGCTGGCAGAGAGAATAGTTAGGAGGAAATTGAGCTTCATGGTGAACTCGGAGTGCGTCTCAGGAGGTAAAGGACTATTAATTGTCTACCAACAGAAGCCTGCGATTGCAAAGAAGGGAGGGTGGAAGAACACAAGCTGGCCTGAAGAAAAAAGACATGAGAGGGGAGGTATCATTCACTCTTTATACCCGCTTGGATTGGGGTCATTTGGCCTCAGTGAATTTTATTTCCGTATTTAATTTCCATCTCTTCCTTCCCTTCTAACGGTGGACCTGTATTCGCGGGGAAATACCGAGGATACCACTGGGAAAATTTACCGCATTCCTTTCTTCGAGCTCCAGATGTTCATTCTAACTGGTTCGGCATGAACCGTATCAGTGTCAATCAGGAACCATCTCCGAAAATGATCAGCAGTCAGCAAGGAATGTTACATTAGGAGTAACTGTGCATTGAAGGCACTCGGGGCACGCAAGATGGAGGATTTCATGGCACATTTGTTGATTAGCCGTGGAAGCTAATCCAGGTGGCAGCAGAAAGGTGTTTAAATTCGTTGAGGGAAGATGTTCTCATGACCAGTAGGATCATAGCTCACGCTAAAGGATCCTATGTGAAGGATGGGGGTAGGATTAGTTCGGTGTAACCTTGTGAGTGAGTATATTATGAGGACGATCAATTAAAGAATGAAAAGGCGGTATTGGGTGACAGCTGGTGACCGATGGAAGTTATGGAAATACGTCCGTATCATCCGGTTCAGATACATGAATCATGCCTGTTATTAATTGGTGCTATTTCGATATCAATCAGGCATTCCTGTCTTCCATGGATTCCGAAACCCCCAAGCACCTTGATAATTACTGAACAACTAACGTTTGTCGTGCAGCAACGGCGTGTGGAGAAATCCGGGGGAAACAACTATCAAAGTTCTGCCGTAGGGAGAAAATAGCAAACAACAAACACCACGCGGCCTCTTTGCGGGGTATAACATTCCCAAACTTGCAAATGAAACTGGAGATCTCGGAGCAACATGTCAAGATGAGGATAAGGATGCAATCCCACTTTCTTCTTTAGGTTCCATGAGGATGGTAAATGGCAGCTTTGAGGACCGAGTGGGGCTACTCCCCGCAGCCACTATTTCGAATTGGGAGAAATCTCCGTACATGTCGGCTAATCAACGACATTGGAGCCACTTTCTTGGCAGGGCTGGGTTGTTGCGTTTAACACTTTCGTATCGCTGCAGACGAACATGGGAATTTTTCTTGGAAGGAAAGCATCTTAATGGAACAATGGAAGAATGGAACGATAGTGATTATTCGAAGAAAGAAGCTCATTTCGATACCTTACGAAAAGACCGAGGAGTGAGATTTACATGTGACATACCAGTACATTACCAGCGAGTCAAATGGGCAGCAAGGCTTGAATGCATGCTTTGGCCAACGGACAATTTACTGTACTATGATTTCTGCGTGAACAGGCACTGGAGGAATTGTCCTGGGCCCCTTTTATTAAACCTCTACTTATGCTGCCAGAAAAGCATGAGAATTGGACGCTAGAGAAACCAGGTATTGTACTTCGTAATCCCTATCGTACTCTCATTTTCCCGTTTTGTGGGGCGTGCAAGAGCATCGAAGTCGCATAATTTCCGGTCTTACGAGTGTGTAAGGATTGCCTATGTTGACCAAATCCACTTTATTCATGGGATAATTCGAGTCACAAGAGTTGTGGCCGCAAAAAGAAATTGGTGATGGGGAGGCGCCAGAGGATGGTCCGCTCGAGATTTCAACAATGGGATTTCGCGAAACTGGGCGGATACCGCTGCCTCAACAAATATTAAGTATACCAACGGCATCCAAGTGTGTCGTAGAATACAATAACCCCATCCACTCCACCTTACTCGATTTCTTCGATCTTCGGTCTCGCCACATTTCCATTCCTATCGACAGGTGTAATGTTCAAACCAGCCAAGCTCCCAATTCCGCCGGTACTCAAATGCTCGAAACTATCACCCCGTCCTGAATCCCCAATCGGGATCAAAGAATTCATTTGCCATGATTTTATCCCTTCAACAACATCCTTTGCATGCTGCCGGACCAAACCATCGTTATCCATATTCTGAACATATTTTAATATTCTCGTAATATCATCTAGGCTTCGACCCACGAACCCAAATCCTAAATGTCTACCTTCGGATCTTGCCTTATCCAACGAGCGTACAAAACTCATCACGAGAAGAATAGCAGACCGACGAAGGATGCCCTTTTCAACCTCAGGTTCTAATGTGAGAATATGAATACTGAGATCAATAGACATAGATATTGACTTGGATCCAATCCCTGCTACGTTACAGTCTATAGCTTCACCTAAAATAGCCAAGGCAGATGAGCGAATTCGTATATCCTCCGTTCCACGTTTACTTTCCCAACCTGAAATTATTCTGGAAATTAATTCAAATTCTGGATGAGAGGCATCCGACTCAAGGACTTCGTCCAATTGTGGCACTGGACCATCCCATGCCTCTTCCGCTTCGGCTGTCTTCATTTTCTGTAAATTTTCACGTTTCACTCGTTCCGCATCGGTTTTTGGTCGATATCCTCTTCGACCTGCGACAGAAAGCAGACCTTCACTGACAGTTTGTGCGATAGCACCAGTAAAGCTCATTGGTGAAGATTGAATCACTTGAAGTAAGGCTTCCCCAAGTCTCAAACGTGCATCAAGATCATAATCCTCATTCCCGTCCACATAACGCTCAATGATGTCTTCGAGCACTGCCCTAGGATGAACTTTCGAAAGGTCAATGAAGCACCTAATAGCGCGAAGGTAGACATATTCATCAGAATCCTGAAGTAGAGAGGAGAATAAAACGAGAAGCGCGGGTATATCCAAGATCGAACTACGAGCGCCAATCAAGGTCTGAATTAGTTCAATCCCTTGAACTCTGACTGGTGGAGGGGATTCAACAGAGGTCAGATACGACATGGCGAGATTATAAGTCTTCCGATCCTCTGTCGCTCGACTAGGAACATCGTTGGATAGTGTCGCGCTTGACTCATGAAGTGCATGGCGAAATCGTAAAATGATAAGAAGATTTTGTGCGGTTTGTGTTGTTTCCGTGTCTGTTTTGCGTCCATAAATTCGAAGGGAAGATTCAATTCTTTCAAGGAAAGGTTCTATAGCAGGGGTCGGCTTAAAATTTGGTGATGTGAGTATAATATTCAAAAGACTTAGAGCAATGGCGACAATGTTTTCTTGATCTTCAGAATCTCCATTTTCGGTGACTGAGTCGTTCAGTACTCCGTCAATCAGTTCCACTAACTGTCTTGAATCTTGAACGAGTTTCTCTGGCATGGTATCTATCATTTCCTGTAAAACTTTCGCTTCAATGAGCTTTGTCTTGACATCTTCTTCATCACTTGTTGGTGAAGCATGAATTATAATAGATGGGACCGGCCGAGTCTTAGCTTGCGAGAGCCATTTTTGACACAACGTCAAAAATATTTGAGATACTTGAGAATCAATTTCAGGAACACCATTTAAAAGTGCAACAAATGTTTCTACAGCTGTGTTGATTTGTCCAATATCAAGATTTTGATTGGAGTTGATGTGATTCGGTGGTTTCTCAATCTGAATACCTCTACCATCCTTTGTTGAATGATACATCCAGTTCGCTTTACCAGGTTCCGATCTGCCCTGAAATAAAATATTATGTAGAATTTTAGAAAGCGGACCTTTGGTCGTGTTTGATACGGTTGATGATGAAAGCTGGAGTAGGATCTTCAACAGCCTCTTTGCACAAGCACGGGATCCTTCAGTACTAGCGTCTACTTTGACGCATTGTAATGCCCACAGTGGTAAGAGAATTGGATTGAGGAGTCGTTTCGTCAGTGATGGATGTGGATGTGATGTTACCAGAGTAAGTAATCTTAGTAAACTCCTCTCGAGATCTTCCGCGGAAACAAGAACTTCGGGCATTCCAAGTATTATTATCTCCTCAACTCGTGACTTTCGTTTTGTGGATTGGGAGGTGAGATATGGATCTATCATCCCAATGATTGGCTCAACCAAAGCCTTCCATCCGGGTGTGCCTAAACATTTCAGCATATGCCCAAGATGACTAAGAAATTTATTATCCCTACCTGGAGCTCCATAGAGCTTTCGACCCAAAATTCCAAAACCAATAATGTAAGAAGCGGCCTTATCCATTTCCTTTTCGCCCTTTCCATCAAGGAGGTCAAATAATTGAGGGGCAATACCACCAAACCATTTCTCTGCTGACATACCATGTGGAGGTGCGGACAAAAGTCTTGATGCGGAGCTCATGGCTTCATGAGAAATGTTTACTGCGCGACTACCCACTGTATCTGATGCTTTCATACTTGCATTGCTCGGGTGTACTGAGAAGACAAACTCAATTGTATCTTGTACGCCACGCCGCCTAAGAGGCAGACGGGCTAACGCATGGATCAAAGGTCCTCGTAACCATGGATGTACTCGATCTGGCTGGACAAGAAGATTTAGAACTGGCATGAGCTTTATGGTCGAAGTACTACAGAACAATTAGAACTACCGGTTAAGAGACATTGGGGGAAGTGTACCTTTCAATCAACTGGTCAAACTCATGTCGCGATTGGAATCTCGTGCTTTCTGGAATATCTGGATCAAAAGCTGCCTTTCCAACTTGGAGAAATTTATCAACCAAAGGTTGTTGTGCAGTTCTGTTATTTTGTTTTCCCGACATGATCACAGCAGACAAAGCAGTTTAATTACTTGAGAATTAGAAGATGGTATGAATCCTGAAGCTTTACTAGATTCTTAGATATTCAACCAAAATATCATCAATAACTTCCAATATTCTTATGAAAAATGTAGCGAAAATGGTGTTGTGATGTTGTTGATGATGAAAGAATCACTGGTGAATGATATTTTTGGTGCTCTTTATTGTGTGTGGCTGATTATAATGTGGCGCATGCAATTCATGGTAAGCAATTCACGTGGTACGAAGTAGAGGACTAAGAAAAGATACATATATGTCACGATTCACCATTAGGATTAGTGTCTTGAGATGAAAAGTAATCACGTGATAAGGAGCCCTAGGAGCCTTCAAAGCTCCTAGAGCTCCAGGAGCCCTGAGGAGCCAGAAAGCTTCTAGGGGCTCCCTTTATCGTTCATTATATAGTCAGAGTAGTTTCAGAGTAGTTTCATAGTTTAGGAGCTTCGTGCTCAACTTAGTTATCAATTAGTTTACCTACATTCTACTTGATCTAGTAACGACTTCACTTCCAAGTAAATACCAGTGATAAAGCCTTAACCCATAACTACTAACCTACGAACCTTAGGCAGCCGCTGCCTCCAATACAGTATCATTACAATATAATGTGGTTTATCAGCGAGTCGCCACTTTTTCAATATCTATTATCATTCAATTTCAAGACGCAATATTTCAACGAATTATTATGGAAATACAATCAAAAGAGGCCAAAATAATCTTAGCTATTAAAGCTATTCAAAAATCAAAAAATCTTACAATTGAAAAGGCTGCGAAAATCTACAAGTCCCTCGAACTACATTACGAAATAGAATAAACGATCGAATTCATAGAATGGAAATGTTACGAGGTTTGCCGTCTAGATCACGTGGAAGTGCTCTAGGCTCTCGAGGTGGTTTATAACTAGGCGTCAAGCAGGGACTTAAAGTAATGACAATAATGATATGCAATTCGTAACTAATAGTAGAGTATACTAAATGATTGATCTTGAGCACGAAGCTCTATACAAAGGAAATCCATCTTGGTTATATAGACCTTCATGCTAATCGTCCCCTTGGTCCCCTCGGTCCCTTCGATCAAGAGACCGAGGGGATCGAAGGGACCATGTGATTACATAATTGGTCACATGATACGAGATCCGAAGCCGTCGTAACAGCTCTCGAAGTGGTTTATAACTAGGCGTCAAACAGAGACTTAAGTAATGATAATGATGATATGCAATTCGTAACTAATAGTAGAGTATACTAAATGATTGATCTTGAATACGAAGCTTTATACAAAGGAAATCCATCTTGATTATATAGACCTTTATGCTTCGTGGCTCGGAGGGAGCGAGAGGATCGAGCTTCGATCCTTTCGCTCTTCGAGTTCTCGCATCACGTGTTATTACTAATCCCGTGACCTAATTGTTACCTGTCGTAACAATAACTTTGAGAATATTTTTACTAATTGAGTACAAAAAATCTTTTTTTTTTTGGATATACATTATAAAATTAGGTGTATTTTCACCCCTTCATTCTGAAGGAGGTAATCCAATTATTCAGCCCCTCATCATAATCTATTTTCTGACTACTCGAGTAAAGTACCTGGCAGGTAGTAAGTCTTACTTTGTGAGTGCAATTTATGACGTCACATCAATCTATGAGCATAGCCTATGGTAGCATGAAATTAGTAAATTATTGTACTATAATCAATAATGTTTATTAACAACTCAACAGTAATTCACTGATCACCAAGCAGTAAAGGCACCATTTTTCGGACATGTAGCTTGTGAAAACCATGGAACGAGATATCAGTATGAATATTAGTGTGAATAGCTTCGAATTTGAAGATGATTAAGTTACAATCGAGTCATGAATCAATATTTCCTATAATTATACTTTCCAAAATTGACCTTCCCCTCCTTCCCTTCCTCCCTTATTCCCCCTCCTCTTTTCTACAAAAGCCTGATTATCGCCGATTTACGAAGATATATATATCCTAACTATTCTGTTTAAATATTGAAGAAAATAATGAAAATAATCTAAATCTACCTTTTGAAGAATTCACTTATCACTATTTAATAAAAATAATAAAGAGATTGAAAAGATTGAAGAAATCGAAGGGTTAAACATCACCATTTTAAAAATAAATCTAGTAAAAATTGGGAATCGTATCACTTTAGTGTAGAGTGAAATTTCCACTGTGTAACGAGATTTTGAAATCCCATTTTAGCTCTACACAGGCTATGTTATCAGTAATTTACTGATATCATGCTTCCACAGGGTGAGAAGGGAAGGATACTGGATGATGATGAAGGTAAAAGAAGGATATTTTCATGACGCTTCCCATCAGCTTGTAACTCTGCATCTATATTAAGGTTATGTGACCTATGCATACCGATGATTTTTCATTCGAATGATTTTAACATAATACACGAGCAGCATCCCATCGAATATGCCCTCACATCATATCCCCATATCAACTATTCAGTACCACTTCTCTCCAGTTTTCTCCCTTACTAAATTCTATCTCGTCTCAAACAATCGAACTTATCTAAATATGAGATGATTTGGTAGTCTTTCACTTCTTCAAAATACCAATCTTACACTTATGGTTCAATATAAGAAGTGATTTTATTAGCTGCAGTTAGGAAAATTGGAGCTTATTCTTCATCCAATACTCTTCAATAAGTGCACCTTAAGAGTAGACTTGTAAACCTGAATGGGGCTGATATTGAGTTCACTATCTGTTGACCTCCTGGGATCTTGGCAGCATATGCATATATATTGCATGATGCATATAAGGAGCAAACAAAACTCAACTTTTAATTCATTCTTCCCTTTTTGGTATACTGTTTGTTTGCTTTCAATATTTCGATTTCAAAGCACTTTAATTCCGAAGGCTGAATACCTAACCTGATTCCTTCATTTTTGAATATATACTCGCAGCTTAACTGCTTAGCTAGAAAATCAATCAATTCAATCTGATGCTCTTTCTGGTCTCAAGAAACCCAATACTATCTCTTCAAAAACATGAGGTAATTACAGTATTTATTTGTCTCTGAGGAATACGCTGTCGTACAAAACGGTCTCTAACAATAGACAAACCATTCTGTCAAAAGCCCAAATTATCTCATGATCTCTTGGCCTGTCTTTCCAAACGCCTGTTGATAATTATTCAACAAGCCACTAGTTGGCCTTCCTTGACCAATTCAACTTTAACATCTCCATTCCTCATCATCTCATATTTCTCCAAACGCTCTACAGCCAAATACATTCCTTCCATCAATTCCTCATCGGAAACACTATCCATGGTAACCATCTGTTTAGGGAGGGTCAATTTCCCCTCAAGTTGAGACGACAAGTCCTGAATCTCAGAGAGGTACTCCCTTCGTCGTGGATTATCCTCCATGACCATCGTCAGTTCCTCCAGTCCCTTCAACATTGGTTCCTCTCTAAGATATCTGATCTCGCTTATGTTATGTCCTCCTTTCGAAGCAGCTCTCGTCTCTTTCGTATGCCAACCCTCAAAAAGCTGTTTTTCCAACAGGTAATTACCATTCCAAAGCACATCGATCGCTACTTTCTTCAAACTCGACAAATTAACCATGCTAGCCCGCGAATCCAGCAATGCTCTCATAGTTTCATAGTCCTTCGTTTTCAGGTAAATTGTGTCCCGATCCTTCAAGAACTTGATTCCTCTCCTTAAACTGGGACCGAATGCTCCCTCAACAATCATTCTTTGTACATATCTCGCATCCTCGACTCCGTTGTCTCCGTTGAAAAGTTCGATCATGCCAAGACCCTCCTTGTGCGTATCACCAAAACAGAAATCCCACATTCCTTCCACGGCCTTCCTGCTTTCACATGATACGTTCTCGATTACAGATCGACCTCGCGGGTTAATTTCCGTCCATCTGACTACAGTAGATCCTGTTGGCTCGGGAAAGAGTATATTCTCACAATCTATATCCCAAAATAGATTCTTTTCGGTGTGAGCACGAACTTCGATGAGACGAGGCGGTTGAGTTTCCAGGAAAGCTAGACGCCAGATTGTGCTGCGGATTTTGGGAGGTAAAGGAAGGAAATTGTGGAAGGTGTCATATCCTCTTGATGGAGAAGGTTGTCGAAGAGATAGTGGAAATGACATCACTGGGTTGGGGGTGGAACTGATCATGGTTGTTGTTGAGACCGCCATAATTGATATTCAGAATGCTCTTTTTGCTGTACAAATGTAACTCAATGGTATTTTATAGGGTTTTCATAAACTTATTGATGCATCTGAAGTGCAAGAGATGAGAAAGAAAGTATTTTGGAAGGGGAAGAGTAAATGGGATGTGGTTATAATTAGTTCTTGCCCTGGGAACGATCGTTGCCAAGTTAACACATTTGATCTTCGACTTGATGTTTAGGATAGTATTAATTAATACTTTAATTCCCAACCAAACCACAAAGAAACAAATGGAAGTAAAAACACAAGTTTGACCTACAAGTAGGTATTTATAACTAACTGTGTTTGTAGTTGGTGGCGGGGTATTTATTTCTCCACCTGAACTTGGTTCTTGATAGTGAGTATAATCAGGGTATTTTGACAAATAACGGCCTGAGCATTGACGATCTAGCAGGGATTCTGTTCGCCCAGCGCGCACTATACGACAAGATATGGGATACCCGAGTCATCCCATACCTCCCCAGACTCTACTAGAATCAAATCATCTCAGCGCTTAACGGTTAGGCTTGTACTACTCCGTAACAAGGCATGATAGCAAACATTTATAAAACCACTCTGGATTTTCTTATGAAAAGGCCAGATAACCTGTCATTTATACACTGAGCACCCAAAAGCGGGTGTCCTTGATGGTCCGAGAATTATCCAGGGCGGCTGCCCATTCCAATAGGATGCAAAACCCGGATTTCGAACCACTTCACCAACAACATCCCAGGCACAGGCCGAAGTAGAAGATTGTGTGAATGTTTGTATGAAATCACAAAGGAGCTCTTGGAGAGGAGACCCTGCCATTGCGTATATTAAAATGGGTTATCCACTCGTATAATCGTGCTGTAAAACATATTTGCTTGCAAACAATTTGACGCCGTCTCCTCCTGTTCTAATTCGAGAAATATCCGTTTATTGATAGGCTCTTTGTGTGTTTATACCCCAACAACCAAATTGTTGACAATACTAAAAGTTCCAGTTAATACAGATCCGTTCTATAAATACTTCCAAAACCCTGGTATGACCCTCAAGCCCCACAAAATTATCGCTCAAATGTTCTTGAATCATTGTGCTGCCGCCTCCTTCACCAACTCATCTACTACTTCATAACACTCTTCTGGGCTCTCGAATACTCTCCATACGCTCTCTGGGACACCGGTAAAAGCCTTCTCGAATCTCTCAGGCTCGTTCTTCTGGGAAATGCCGATTGCAGCAATGTCTGTTACTTTGCGGATGAGGATTAGCTTGATCCAGGTTGGGTTCCTACGGTACCTAATTGATCATTAGTAATTGGAAAGTCAAGGCGGATAAAAGATAAAGGATTAGAACTCACATCTCTCCATAGGCCTCCGGGTCACTCTGTGTACTATCCCCCACGCAAATCATCTTCCTCTTTGGCAGCCATCTATGGATCTTCTCCATTCTATCAACTTTATATTCTTGTGTGCCTTCTGTCAATGTCTCTAGCAACCCCCCTAAGCTCAAGAAGTTCGCATCCCTTAATATCATGGTTCCTTGAGGATAGTATTCCTGACGGAATTCGCTGAGAAATGAGTAGAGAGTATAGGGTGAGGCAGATAGGTAGAACCAAGGAGCTACTGAAGCATGTTTAGGGGTGATCAAAGATTGGATATGTTTGTAAAACTCTGGCATTCCCTCAATGGGTAGGGGTTTAGATAGAAAAGTCGAGCGCAGAATGCCAATGGGAGAGCTGGTTTGAGTTATTTTTATCGAATCATCAATATCTGTGTGGCGTTAGTACTTTTTCTTCGACACCGCCCAAAAATTTAACAAATTCCAAGGATTAAACGATTGAATTTCCAAACTCACCAGAAATGACTCCCCATCCTTCCGGTTCTGCAAAAACTGTTTTCATCTCCAATATTCCCTCTGCTCCTGTCGGCACTTCCGCCTTCCACGTTGCGATCTCACCATCTGTACCATCTTTCAATTTTCGAATATCGCTGCTAATACCGTTTCTTCCACCCGGTCCCAATCTTAATTCTGTATTCTCTTGGTGCTCTGAAAACTCGACATCAACAACCCTCCCAGGTTTAACATCCATCAAAAATGGTCTCAATCTCTCCTCTACAATTTCGTCTTCTCCTCTATCACCATCTGCACCAATTCTCCCAACTATATCGCCTATAATTTCCGGGACATGTTTACCACTCTCAGTCTCCCAAACTGCCGCCACAAACTCCGCTTCCCATTCTCCCGTCAATTGATTTTTGTAAGCCGTGTTGTCCAATAACCAAACTGTATCATCTTTAGATATCGCTGTTGGGAATGGATTATATGGACCGAGATATGAGAGGAGGTTTTCTAGGAAAGAGCTTGTGGGTGTGCGGGGAAGATGTGGGAGGGTTGATTCGGTTTCAGGGAAGTTATTACTGTTGCGGGCTTGGACTTGTAGGGAGGTAGTGCTTTGATGAGAGATGGACATTGTAGCTTTAGTAAATTTAGATCCGGTGTATAAAGTGTAATTTTCTCTATTACTTTTTGTTTATTGTGTCGAAATTATGATTTTGACTCGTAAAGCGATTTATTTGTTCAAAAGTGGAGTTTTCTATCTTCGTTTTATTCAATGGAGTCAAGTGTCATCCAGACAACAAAGAAGGAACGTGCGTGTCCGCTAAAATTGAGTGAATATGAAGAAATAGAACAAAAGGGAGAGAAGGGAGGAAGGAAGGAAGGAAGAGAGGAAGAAAAGAAGAAAAAGAAATGTAAGAATAGGTAGTAGTAGTATATGTTTGGGATTTAACCCACACCATCTGTCCACCTCCTTGCCCTGCACCATCATTTCTGCATTCAAGGGCTGGTGATTCCATTTTAAGGTGGATTTTCGTGACGTGACGAAGGTAAACTCTTACTTTTCTGGTATAACGTTGAAATTAGCGCAATGTTCAGCATCCTAAAGCTGCACTGCGGTGAAACATGGAAGGATGCTGATGCGATGTGATGAGGTCAGGGGAACATTTATGAAATGTCAGGCACGCGATGAATTGATTCGACAATTCAAAGTCACGTGGTGTCGCTTGGCTTTCTGTGGCGTTGGTATGACTGTGCCGGTTTCTAGGTTACGATGGTAGGGCTAAGTACGAGGGCAATCTTGTGCTACGTACGTACGTACAGAATCCTCAAGGCATCTATCTATATTCTATTCACCGGGAATGTGATAAGATTTTGACTGATCGACGTTTATTCACAAGTAGTACTCAGCTTACTCTCAGCCCTGAAGGAACCCACTTTGTGGGGCTATTCTCGGATGACATTGCCGTTGAAAATATGAAGGAGGTCAATTGTGAATTGCATGGATTAGATGGGTATATACTCCGTATATTCAAAGTCCAAGTCTCAAATCGTGTAGTATTTTCGGAATAATATGAAAACGATTTCCACCCGTGGTCGAATATTGACTTCAAAAATCATAAACAAGTATCAAGAATTGAGAATGGAGAATCAAGACAAATGGAACGAAACGCTTTGTGAAAAGAACTGCAAGAAAATCACTTCCCTTAACATCGGACATCCAATCCTACTATTACCCTATACTCCGTACTGAACTGCACACATGATGTTGTGTTATCAGTATCCACAAGAAGAATTACATATTTGTCAATTACTGAAATGTAACAATGCCGAACAACCAATCACTTTCCAACACATGACAATCTCGTGACCTCTGCTTTCTTTTGTTGCACATCTGGTGAGATGTCGAGTATGTGGGCAAATTTGATGTTTAAAAATCTTCTTGATTGATTCAATTGTCCGAGATAAATCTTTTCTTTTCTAAAAAAAAAGCTACTTTTAACACTTTGCTACACCCTGATAAATATCTCGAAACCCCACACGTTCTAATCCGTCCCAATAGACGCCCATAGCAACAGGTCATGGATAATTATATTAATGGTCGTGGAGCTGTAATCTCAGGCGGATAATCAGGACCATCGGTCAAATATCCTTCGAGGGCCTTGATACTCGGCGAGAAGAAGTATTCACCACCTCTGTGAATTACCCATTGTTCGAGCTGAAGGCGAGCCTCCGTAGGAACCTTACCATCTGGTAACCCGATAGAACGAGGTGGATGGCAAGCCTGTCGTTGACCCACAATCGCATCAATGCCAGGGCCATGTTCACCGACAAATTTACCCTTGCCATCCGGAAAGTGGTGACTGCTTGCCCAGCGAGTAGTTAAGAAGTTGAATCCCTCGCGGATATCGCTCTGATAGCAGACAAACAGAAGACCACGTTGTTTCTTATCATCCGATTTTTGTTCGAGCTCTTCTTTTGGTGTTACTTCATCTCCATAAGAAATGCTGCGACGGATGATGACAGTATGATCATGGTCTAAGTCTCCACGAGGTCGCATCTTTCGGATATGGGCTGCAAAGGGACACTTATCGTGGTTTTCGATGGGATGGAAGTCAAAGTTGTTGGAACGGAAAAGGTTCTTATCTTTATCGTCATGGGGGTTTTCATCGACGGGGGTACCTGATTAGTCAATTAACGGCCGATCAAATCGAAGTCGGATATACCCACCATTCTTCCATCGGCCCATCAGGTATGCAGCAAGCTTCTCTTTCGGGTCCTCAGACATCTTAGCATTTGGCGCATGCTCTTTGTTATCTTCTAACCATCTAATAATGTCTCCATTAGTTCGCTTATCATAAAAGAAGCACAGCAACTTACTTGTCGAACTCCGGAACAAGTTGTTGCAGATCTCGGAAAACGAGGAAACTCCCGTCTTCCGCCCAATCTGGCTGCTTCATTTTATCACCAGGGTGCTTCGCGAAGATTAATCTGCAAGGCAGGGTCACCCTTTGGTCAACTGAGATGACCTAAGTAAATTAATATTAAGAAGCTCTTACCCTGACTTCACAGACTTGGGCTCCTTGTCTTTGGGTGTCACTTCATCCAGGCCTTCGATAAGCGGTTGACTGATTCCATCCTCAAACCCAAAGCTATGGTACAAGTTAGAATATATCGAATTTCGTTATATGTTTGAAAGTACTCACTGCTCTTTGCCCTTTTCCGGACGAGTTTTGCCTTGTTTATCAAATATGAACTCAATCGCTGGGTCATTACTGATTTCATAGTTATTGGCATCACCACGGCCATCCACCTTGAGAAAATGTTCTTTAACACGATTTACCTGGTTCTCCAAAGCGCCCTGGAGGCTGGCTGTGACCAAAAATACTCCATCGATCCAATGCTTTGATGGGGAATATTCATCTCGAATCTCCTCGGGGTTGTCCCAGCCCTCATTTACGAGGTCGTCATACATGCCCTTCCTGAACAAACCACCACGAAGTTGATTATTCTTGAATTTTGTGTAAAACTCTTGATTTCGCTTCACCTCAGCATCTTTAAAGGAGAATTTACCCAGCTAATGAGATTCGTCAACGGTGGCATTCAAATCTTTAGGGGTATAGGGAGTAACTTACAGCTGCTAGACCAGTCGAGGCAAATGCAATATTGACACCTGGCAAGGCTAGAGTCTTGGCCGATTGACGCAACTTTTGAGCTTCAAGTTTCGCCGCGCTGATCTGGTCCTTCATAACACATACATCATTTGCAGTCGTGATATTCTTCGCAAAAGATCGCAGCCGCTGCTTGAACTCGTCTGGTTTCTTGATCTTAAAAAACAGAAATGTTTGGAATCTTTTGGGCAGTCCGGGCCTAATGAGAAAACAATTGGTAAGAAAGATATGTTGGAAGGGGATGGTTATAAGTGCTCACCAAATATCACCTTGGATATTAGACTTTCTAGCTATCCAACTCATGATTGTGGATAGAGCAGAAATCGTAAGTGACAGCTATCAGGTCAAAATACCTCAAAGGTCGGATGTGAGAAGTAGATACGGCATACCCTGAGGGATGGAGTCCCTACTTAAGATATCAGAGAGGCTTAAGTAATCTAACAAGTGAACAAGGAGCAATATTCATAAATCCACAATTCTTTAGGGTATACAGTTGCCTATGAGCTCTCAATGCCGGCCAACACCTTTGTGTGGGCTGTTTTGATGAAAGCTACTTGAAAATCTAGTGACAATATTAATCAAAGTAATTACAAAAACTGGCAGTAGTCGATTCGTGCAAGGCTGGATTGGACTAGTAATAGCAAAGGATTACGTATGTACTTTTCATCCCAATGATTCCTTTCTCATGGGTGATTGGCTCTCCGGCCACTCTACATCCTCCTGCGACGAGGCGGAAATCGGAGATCAGTAATGGAGGAGATTTCATGGGACAGCTCTGCCCAAAGAAGAGGTAGATCTGTGTATGTAGATCCAAAAAAAGAGAGATTATGTATCTCCATTCTAAATTGTCCAATTACCCCATACGGCCATGAAACTTGGCTCAGCCTTGACTATCCCAGCCTCATATGTCAATTCGGTAATGATTGGAGTTTACCGCTATCGTGTAACAGCTGAAGCGCGGTGCCGGAATATTCTTGGCCATTAATAAGTGGTACTGCGGCTGAAAGATCAGCATTGCTTATCAAAGTCAAAGTATAGTAGTGTCATAGCGAGCCATCCACAATGATAGTGAATTATTAGCTCCCATACACTGCAAAGCATAATTGGAGTCTTATGGATACTTAGATTCGCTATGACTTGCCTCGAGGAATATAGAGACTAAGACTGCTGACAGTGCGAAACGGATTATCACCAGGTATAGGAAAGGTCGGTGTAAAGTTGCCAAAAATGAGCCTTCGCAAGCAGTACCGTTTTAGGGTTATCTTAATGTTCTTCATGATGGTAGAGGTCCATCGCGGTAAGTTCCTATAACTTGGTGCTGGTGTGGGACTTTCAACCCACGGCTACACGCGTTTTGCTTCTCGATTGGTCAGACAGGCGACACACTCTTCAGCTGAGATGTGGGGAACGTGGCAGCCGAAAACATATGGCCCACTTTCGGGGATCCATAGATCTTGCGTGCGGGTAGTCCTGATCTAAGATCTTGTTATGATCGACGTTCCGCTGCAGACGCCATCCAATAAGTCCCCATGGTTTATAAATCGATAAGCTGAAGATATCTTGGTAAATACTCCCGTTTTCAGGTGGATAAGTAAGAACTTTGGGTTGCCTCTAAGAAGCTTGTATGATAGGTACATCTGATTGTCAGAGATGTAGACAGCCCACCACACTGCGTCATAGTTCTGTCAGTGCCGTAAAATCTACCCCTTTCTTCCGGATACGAAGAATCCACTCCTAAGATCTGGTAATCCTAAACTCACACCTGAACTCTGCTGTTCGATTGGACATTGGGCTTCGCATTTTCACACGCATATGAAGATCCCTCAGAATATCAATCGTTAACTTTCAATATCTGTTGAGCGAGGAGGAACAGACCTAAGCGAGGCTTAAAATATTCAGGTACTTAAACACATACCTATCTGCCATTTCACGTTTAACAGCAGCGCAATTGTCGCATTATCATTCAATCTTTCTTAACATTGTTCTATTCCTCAGGATGAAGTCGCAATTGACGAGGCTGCTTCTTGGAGTCTCTTTTGGAGGCGTGAATGCCGTTCGCAACTTCATGACAGAGGCGGCAAACTCGCAGCGCATTTCCGGCTATGGGCCAGTAGACAAACCCTCATGGGAGCCGACATTTATCGATGAATCACCTCCCTATCAAGGCATTCGAATCCCACGCCAAGAATGGAAGCTAGAATGCAGCAGCGCTGAGACTAGCTTCCCATGTCAGAATGCGATTGATGGAACCAGCACATCGTCTTGGCGTAGTCAATTGGGCTCCGAGAGTCACAGCATTATAGTAGACCTTAATAAACCTCATGCTGTCAATGGGCTTGTTATCTTACCTCCGATTGATAGTGAAAGTAAAGGTCTCATCACTCAACACGAAATATACACCAGCAACGACAAGAAGGATTGGAAGAGTGTCGCATATGGAATGTGGCCCAACACAAATAGACAGCGACTATCCGCTTTTGAACCCACATCCGCTCGATACGTGAAGCTCAATGTTAGTACTGGGGTTGGTGGTCCGTCTTGGATCGGTATCTCAGAGATCAATATCTATGCGACACTGTACACCATTCCCCAAGATCCCAAACTCGGTGTCTGGGGTCCGACTATTGATTTTCCAGTTGTTCCAGTTGCTGGTGCTCAAGAGGCTTCTGGAAAGATTGTACTGTGGTCATCGTGGGCTTCGGATCGGTTCAAATCAACACCCGGGGGTAAAACGGCCATGGCACGTTGGGACCCATCGACATCTGAAGTATCGGAGCGCATTGTTACCGACACTGGGCATGATATGTTTTGTCCGGGAATTTCCATTGATGGTACCGGGGTGATGGTCGTTACTGGCGGAAATGATGCTTCCGTGACTAGTTTGTACGACGCTTCCACTGATCAATGGACAAAGGGCCCCGCAATGTCATTACGTCGTGGATACCAATCATCAACGACCCTCTCTGATGGACGTGTTTTCGTCATTGGTGGCTCTTGGCATGGAACCGCAAGACTTCCCAAAGATGGAGAAGTTTACGACCCTAACAAGAAAACCTGGTCTATGCTTCCCGGTGCCACGGTCGAACAAATGTTGACCGAAGATATGGAAGGTCCGTGGAGAGCTGACAATCATGGTTGGTTGTTCGGATGGAAGAATGGGAGTGTTTTCCAAGCAGGCCCTAGCCGAGCTATGAATTGGTACTTTACAGATGAAAATGGTAGTGTCCAGGGAGCTGGACCTCGCCTGAATGATGCGGATTCCATGTCCGGAAACGCTGTAATGTTTGATGCTACAGAAGGCAAGATTCTTACCATTGGGGGCTCTCCTGACTATGACGCGTCTTTTGCCACCAGTAATGCGCATGTAATTACTCTCGGGGAACCTAGAGAACATGTGGATGTAAAACCTGCCGGGATCGGCGGTAAAATGCATTCAAAACGTGTTTTTCACAGTTCCGTCGTCCTGCCCGATGGGACTGTTTTCATTGCCGGTGGCCAGACCTTTGGGGTTGCTTTCAACGAGGAAAATGTACAATTCGTCCCCGAGCTGTATGATCCGAAGACCAACACTTTCACTGAGCTACTGAGCAACAACGTCATTCGAGTTTACCACACATTATCGATCTTGTTGGCAGATGGCAGGGTTCTAAACGCGGGTGGTGGGCTATGCGGTGACTGCTCAGCTAATCACTATGACGGTCAGATCTTTACGCCACCTTATCTCTTGACCGAAGAGGGAAAACTTCGTGATCGTCCCGAAATCAGATCAACTGTCCCATCTGAATTGAACGTAGGCGATGTGTTTGAGCTCAAAGCAAGTGTCCCGATTCATTCTGCGTCCTTGATTCGCATCGGTAGTGCCAACCCACACCAGTCCAACACTTGAACCAGCCGCCGCGTACCCCTCCCATTGAGTAGATCTGGATTGCATAGAAATGGCTATACGGCGCGTCTTCCCACCAGTTCTGGTATTCTCATTCCTGGATACTGGATGTTATTTGTCATGGACGAATACGGAACGCCTAGCAGAGCGGAGGTTATTTTCATCAATACCCCAAAAGCAATTGATTCTTATGGGGAGGAACAGAGCCAGTTAGGTTTACTCGAGTCTTACTGGCAAAGTTGGAAGCCGACGCTGATGGCACAATTTTCACGCCCGGGGCGAGAATTGATCTGAACGGATATTAGGAAGGGTGGATAGAAGTGTCAGTCAAGCTGTAAGAGTGTAGTAGTATGATGGATACCAGTCGTGCCCTGAGATTGTTAGCTTTTTCTCGGGAATTGATATCAGAGTTCTAAATCAAAGCATTGATGGATGAACGAAGATCATAGTGAAATGAGTGATAGTCCAATCATAGAGACGTATGTATCGTGTCCCTACGGAAGCAGTGAATCAGTTATTTACTGATTCGATGGTCGTTGCGTGGTGGCAAAAGTGTTGTTGAAGTAATGGTTCAATGGTAGTTGCGAGCAGGGTGAGCTAGTCCCAATTAGGACTAGCAAGAGCTTCGGCTTATTCGAAGCTCTTCGCTTTCGTAGATTCTTTCCTCTTTAGTCATGATTCTACAATAATCTGAATGCCTTTCAATTCTATATCTATCCTATGCCTCCCAGTACTTCCCCAAACATCTGAACGGATCACAAATCAATCCATATCGGAATACCTATATCCCACCTGGAATTGAAACGACAACCCAAACAATTTCAGAACGCGGCGTATCTCAGAATGGAACCAGAATCCAAGAAACCTCAACACCAAGCAAACCTCACAGTAATAGCAGCAATAAGTTATTTGTAAGATATGTAAGATACGATTTCGAATACGACAGTGAAACTTCTACATACACCAACCACTATTCCAGCTGAACGCAGTAAGTTAGTTTACATTACTTTTTGTTATGTTTTATTATCTGGACTAATCATGCAATGGGGATGAATGTTCCGTGAAGCGGGATTTCTGAGATTATTGACCTCACCGATGACCCTCCTAGGGGGAGCAATCTACCTGCTCCTGCCGGAAAACATGTTTCCACAACACTTGTGAATCAACAAAGTGATGAGCTGATTGTCGTTGTATAATCTGAACAAATTACAATCTTAAAAATAATACATTTACTGATTCTCGATCAGTAAATCATTTGTTTACATTTTATCTTTAATTAGTCAATCCTCACGCCGTATTTCTTTTTGGAAATGCTCCGTGTATTATTCAAAATAGATTCCGATTCCGTTTTTGAAGTTTGTGACACGCCTCTTTCGGAATTGCCTGGTTGCCCGCCTCACCCGACTCTTTTCCCACCACTCATGAATCAATTATCTGCATAGAATTCGTAAATTTCGGGCCCGCCAGCGACCGTTACCAGATCCCCATCAACCCTTCTTAAATAGAAATGACTTCTTCCCTATTCGATAGTCACGAAGACATTGATCTTGGACAATTTTGCGGAGACAAAGCTCGCGGATAGAATCATGGCAGCGCTCTGTGTCTATTCCTCAAGTCCTAGGATCTTACTACGAATTTCAAAAACCTCTTGGAGCGATCTCATATCCCCGCGTGCAAACTTCAGATCCTGCCGACGCATCACCGCTAGCTTCAAGTGCACTGGTTGAAGGTTAGCTGTGGTTATTGTTTTCGGCGAGCAGTGTGTTAACCCATAAATTATACACCAGAATATCTGTGTTCATCACAAAAACATAATCATCGGACTCGGAAGCGAGGAGTTGACACATCCATCGAGACCAGTATCGAAAGACCCCTCAAACGCGCTCGTCTGACTGAGAGAAACTTGAAAGCATTGGAAAACACAGTGGGACAACGAAGAAAGTCTGCCGGAGAAAAGTTTACTGGACAAACCACAACTACCGACGACAATCTGGGTCCACAATACCATCAACCAGAGTCAAAAACCTCAAATTCCGAGACCAGGTCAAGGCGATCAAAAAAAATCCATTTCTACGACAGACACTGGCTTTCAGGACGCTGCTTTCAACAACGGTATCCTCAATTCCGAAAACTCGAAACCCCATACTAACCTCGAGAAATCGAAAGTTCGAATCAATCGAACTAGAGACACCGTATCCCCAAGCGAGTCTGAATATGAGATATTTGCCCATAAGATCCGGACAGCTCCCAATGAACAAACCGTGCTGCTACAGACGTCTTCGTTACTCAAGGATTATGGAGCGGACAACTTGAGATACGGCAAAGTATACAATCAAGCATTCACTGCGTTTCCAAAGAATGTCGGTTTCAATACCGGAATATCGGCTCCACGGCCTGATATGGTTGAGGGATTAGAAATGCCAGAGTTCGACCCTTTCCTAGTTCGTCAACAGCTTGGTGGGGCTGCTGTGCCTACTTCGGGCACCAACGCTATTACCTTGCCACATCTGGCTGGAGAATGGAAAGGGCCAGGGAAGGATATGATCTTAGTACAAGCCCAGGCAGCACACGATGGTGCTTGTATGGTTTATGGCAGGAACAAAGCACTTTCATTCCTCGACAGTCCTGATCCTACCGGTCATGCATTCGTTTCGACTTTCACTATCGACGGTACTATTCTCAACACTTTTGCGCACTATTCATCTGAATCTCAAGGCCAACTCAACTATCATCAATATCCTATCTCTAGCTCCTTACTTATATCAAGCTATGAGGATTTCAAAAAAAGCCGACGGCGGTTAAGAAATCTACAGGACGATGCCAAAGAAATCTCGGAGAGGTTGAGGGACGAGCTGAAAGCCACAAGTGTACTAGCGGAGACAGATGCAGCGGGGACAGATGGGAATAGTTACGACGACGAAGATGGAGAAAACCCAAACAATCAACTGCTGGCGGAGTACTGGTCAAGTTTCCCGACAAACGATCCGTATGACTCACGGCAAATTCCAGCTACGAACAATTTACATGCTCCGCCTTACGCCAGTTTCCAACAAATCAGTCAGGATGAGTCCGTATAAATTACCGCTGCGCCGTATGCAATTTTTTCGGAAAACGATGAGGATGACCTCTTCATACAGATTTCTTCTGAGAACAATGGATATACTTTGCTTATTGGCCTAATTTCCCCTTTCATAACTCGGCCGCAATCTTCAGAAGATATATCGCTTCCATTTGAGCCAAGTGAAGATATTGATCAGATAAATGGGCGTGGCCATGGGAGGACTCGCCGGACCCGAAAGCCAATTGTGGATGCGCGAAAGACTCGCAGAAAATATGAGGGTTAAAGCTCTTTGTCTGCTCTTCACCGTTGGAGAAACTTTCAAGGCATCAAAATAAAGGTAAGCTTGGTGAAGTACCATTGGAGATTAATGATTTTGAAGGTACCGACTTGGAAGATGATAAGGAGACCGTTCCATTTCGAAAATTAAAACTTCGGAACAATATCACAATCACGGATTCGGATGATGTTGATGATATTACACAAAATCGTAAAAGATCTCATGTTGATTTGATGGTACCTGACTCGGAGGACGATGGTTTCGGAAGGAATGGTAGTGGAATTCCGTGAGTCCAATTCCTGTTTAATTGCCTATGCATTGGTGAATTTCATGCTAATGGTTAAGAAGCAGTAATAAATTACATCTTCCGGCTATCCAAAACAGAAGGATTGGCCGACAGTCTTCGTATTTCAATTACACGGTTGAACCTATCGATGCAGGCAGGGGAAAGGTCGTGTAGAAAACCATACACACTCCGGAACACGAAACATTATCCTTCTACTGCCCCATAGATATCTGCATTAATGCAAATGTGAAATCCGAGTACCGATATGAGTTGGTTGATCATCTCTCCAATGTTCATGAGTTGGTCACCAAGAAACCACAAAAGTCCAGCTGGCTGCCATAGTTCTATTCCAAATACAATGGAAGGTTTCCAACGCGAGATTTCTTAGTAATACATATCAATTCAAACCACGGAGCATTCTGAGATAATACTTTTCATGGAAATGTTCTGAATGCGCAAATTCAACTGTTCATATATCGGATTTTTGGGGTGATTTTGGTCGGGGATGGAATTTGCTCGAAATTGCTGATGTGTATTAAGGAGGAGAGATATAAGAATGCAGATCTTGTTGATATATATTTAGTAAAACTATCATAGCTCAGAAATTAATATACTTTCACTCACAGTATTCAAGACCCTTCAAATCGTCTTCATCTCTTCTATCAATAACAATTTTAATAACCTCTCCATTTGATGCTTTCTATATCTACAACGTGTGATATGGATATTTTTCCCCAGAACGAATTCAAATAATAATAATTTGATTCTTTATACCGGTATAATCTAATAAATGTTTAATATTTGAAATATCTTTATAAATATAAAAAAAATTATCGAGTTGTTTAATTATTTAATATATACAATCAAGACCAAAAACAGTGAAAAATCATCAATTTTGGTGTTGGTTTCGCTTAGTGTACGGTGAGTAGTTTCCAGAACTCTTACTTCCGTCTTCAGTTTGCCCAGGAAGACAGGTGACCTTGCTGCTCCCCTATTGGACATATTTATAGTTTGCGAATAAATCCTGAGCACTTCAGATCTCAATGTTCAACTACTTCTTGATATTTTATGATTCTTGCTATATGTTTTATTATCTGCCAGTCTTGTATGATGCCTCATCTTTCTATTCATATTCCTATTTTATTCTGCTTCAAAGATTATGCTCTGCATCGATGAGTCAATTGTATCAATATGTAACTCACCGTCACTAAGTCATACAACAAGGTCTTCATTGAGAAAACATTAAGCATCCATCATGATTAGAATTTCAGACAGATTTATCATTATCTTACAACAAAGCATTCACGAAAAGAAGTAGTATTTCCAATAAAACCAAGTTCTTGTAAGTGCTTTTCCCTGGATTATTAGACATCTGCTTACATTCACAGGGACTCACAATCTCGCTAACATGCGTTTCCGCCTTCTCATTGTTTCCGTCGCCATGTTTCGAGTAGCCGTCGCTGTTCCCATCACTTCTCCTTTGACCTTCGGAAAACCCCAGTGCTATGAAGACTCTTCCAAAGTTCTTAAGCCCGGTATGACTTGCGATCAACTAAAAGAGAATACGTGCTTTTATTCCGTTCAAATCCTCAGGGATCCCGAGTCAGCAACCACCACAATCACAGACTGGAATTGTGTCTCATATGGGTCAGACCATTTTGTGTTCAACAGGACAAAGGGTCTGTTCGGTAGCAACGCTGGTCTTGTGGAGGTTAAAGGCCGTGTTTGGGTTGTGTCAAACTTCACCCGTTTGGATTCACCACAATCCATCATTATGTTAGTGGTTGGTACACTAGTCCTTGTAGCTTTCCATTGCTTAAGTGGCAGGGCAAGAAATATCCAGTGTATTTGGCGGAAGATATCGGCGACACTTTCTTGGGCGCTATAGGAATCGACGGTCCCGACAACCATTTTTATCAGATCGAGATACCGTGTTGTTACTGGGCTTACTCGAGCTCATTGACGGGAACTGTAGACCATCCATGGAGGATCTAGACTAGCTATGCCTTGGGACTTGGACAAACATTGTACATGTATTTAGAAGAATCTAATCGTTGGTGTTTAACTACCCTCGCCGTGATTTAAATCTTCTCGGTGAGAAAGTAAATTGTATGCATTCACCTTCGGTACATCCAGGTATCCGGTATCCATTAGCTATGTTGAGTTCGCGATAGTGCTTTGTGAAGCACCATATATGTTCTGACTGAAACTTTAAAGCGAGTCAACAATTACTCCGATATCTAAATAGTGATTCACTGTCACAGAGTCATACATCAGTCCTTATTTCCTAGGCTACACGCAATATATGACTCTATATCATCCCTTATTACTATCATTGCTTCTGAGCTACGTCAAAAGTTTCCATTTGTTCTAATGTGATGTACTCAACTTCGACCACCAACACAATATCAAAAACAATCCAAATCCTCTTGCATCTTGCACTCCACCACAATTAACTCCAACTACAGACGCAAATGAAATAGGAAATATTAGTTCATTTCCAAAATTCTATCCCTCTAATTGTGCCTAATGGAGAGTTGGAGACCAGAATGCGGTGACACGTCGTGATAATTCCCAGTGTCCGACCTCGAGTCCTGCTTGTGCATCGAGATCGGCAACCAAGTTTTTCGCCATTTCTGAGGTTTTGATGCTATTGCAATGTAGGATCCTACTTTGTTCGTATTGAATATACTCATAGCAGCCGAATTGAACCACAAATGAGAACTTGAAATTGAGATAGCATGTACACACCGAAATCGATCTAGAAGTTCATCTCCGCACTTTCACACAGTGTCAATTATAAAAGGATTAGGCAAAGGCCTTCATAACCACACCAAACACTGATAAACTCTTCAACTAAGACAGCAATCGCAGTTAATAAGAAGAAAAAATCAAGAATTATGTGTTACAAAAAGATGAATGCAGAGTGTTGCATTTTCAAGGAGACCTTCTCAGATGTGTGTGGACATGTAACAACTGTCATAGAACATCAATATTTTTGTACTAAAGATCAACACGATCGACTTCCGGAATTCGATCCATATCCTGATTCATCAAAATTAGAGAAGGGACTTCAGCTCCATTTCGATCATCATTATGACGAATCATCTCGCTGGGCTGTTGCTGATATTGCAGACAGTAAGTGCATGTATTGCCAAGCTGTTGAGAGTGGCAAATTCACAAATACAGACAGTAGCTCTTCTGTCCTATCACAACTCTTGCCCCCGAATACTTGGATATCTGATCATGAAATTGGAGGATACAAGGTCATTCCTCCTGCTGATATTCAATCAAGAAGAGCATATTGGAAAAGTTTTATTGCTGACCAAGTCATCCTTTCCCAGAGGCAATACAAAATGCAGGTAAAGTATTATGATGTAGCAAAGGCAATAGTAAATCATTTGAACAACAAGAACTCGGCCAGATGATGAATACAGAGACATGGGATCATTTGTCGTGGAAGATGACAAGAGCAAAGAAGATGCTAGATTTTTATGACGCTGATCAAAACCGCTACCTTTTCTCGGTAAGAGCAAGGGGTTACGGAAAGAAAGAGTCCCTTTTTGATCCCGAGTACGTGACATGTCTTACTAATGACCTATTCTATCATGTCAAACCTGAGAAAATCCCAAGTGGGGAAATCTGTTCAATTTGTAAAGAGGCTCTCGATTCTCCGGAGAATCGTGTTGAAGTAGTACGTATGTTTTGTGGGCTTCACCTCTTCCATCATGGACGTATAGTTAAAAAATGGGTCAAGAGATGCGAAGGAGAGACTGACTATTTATTGTGTCCGGTGTGTCTAAAGAGACGCAAGTACTACCCAATTCCGTATTTTGGTTGAGATTGGCGCCCCAAAATCATTGGCCCTGAGCTCAACCGTCATTTAGACAGCGATGATTCAAGCGATGATTTATGGCTCGAATATACAGACAGCGATGATTCAGCCAGCGATGATTAAGCTAGAAGATACTTGACGGCGTTCATTGATCGACCCTCCAAGCACCGCCTAGAGAGCTACTAAAACGACATCGTAGACATTGTGGGCATGAATTGTGGTGAGTTTACGCCAAAAGTACATGCTAAAATCTCTCTAGAAGAGGTGGCGTTGTATGACAGATGCTAAAAGAGAGGCTAGTACTCATGTAGCTCAGTTTGCGTTTTCCTTTGTAGACATGCTAGAATCCGTTCTTGCTTTTTCCGAAAGAGACTGAAACACAAAAAACTCAAAAAAAAACTTTTTTCCTAGACTTTCTTAAGTCATCCTGTCAACGCAGTAGTCTTGCAATTTTTGAATACCTTGTTATTTTCTTAGTAAGCATCTACATGATTTCTAACCTTTTTCCAATAAAAGTATATTTTCCTATTTCCTTGAGCCATGTGATTCCGTGTAGCCAGTGTTGATTTTTATGCTTCTTGTCTGCATTTATTTGAGTGCATTGTTAAAAATTCAAGTATGGGAGTCTTTCAAAGCTAGTTTTTTTTTTAATTTCAGGAAATAATGATATCTGTAACAATAGACAGAGCCCACGCATGATCCGAGAATGATGCTTTGTCCAAATTTGAGTAAAATTGTGGCTGATAGGGCTAAAAATTTATAGTTTAGCAGTTCTAAGGTTATTGTATGAGCCAAAGATTTACCTAACGGTCCCCGACTTCAGGCACGATATAACTCCTCCGCAAAAAATGGCCTTAAATCACTTACTGCAACACGCAGTATGATGAGAGGTTGAGCTAATACATAGACAAACTTTTGCGGTAGATCATGGACTTCCGTGCCTTTTGAAACACAGCTGGAAGTCTTCGGTGACTGTGTAAAGAGGAGTAGCTCCTTCCTTACCTTTGGACACATTGCAGGATCAAACGCAACAATCACAAGTTATTCTCTTCATTAGAAGGCCCACTCATTGGCGAAGTTTGCTAGCTTCGAATCTTCCTTGCCGTATTGCCCAGAAATAATGGGCTTAATGCAAACATTGATATAAGTGTCTCTGGAGCCTTCTCAGTTTTGTTCGCAATATTGACGTCTAATTTAGAGACACGACAGGTCATCTCTGCAATTTACTTATAGCATTCTGCCCATCGAAAGGTTTGACTCCCACTTGCCAGTTTACCATCTCTGCTGTCCGCCAAATGTCTCGCATGCATTGCATTTGCTGACCCGAATTCCACATCAATCTTGGTCACCCAGTGAAGTCTCAAATTAAATCAATTGCAGTAGAAGCAGGCAGTGTATCTAGAGTGATTCAACTCCTAATGAAATGCAGCATAGGTTTACGTACTTCGAAGGTGTTATAATTTATCTAGAAGCAAAGCGCAGGCTACACGAAAAACACAAATTCCTGCCTATTTAACTTCTGTTCAATATCCTCAAGGTCCCAATCACCACAAAAACCAAACACTCAAAGTCGAAATTATTTAAAACTTTAAAAATCCTGCGAGTAAGAGCCTCTTAGGTCTTGCGATCTAGAAACCATTTTATCGTAAAAGCAAGACAGCGTAAATTCATATGCATATTCAGCCTCTGATTCCATCTTACTACATCTTCGCCATTGAGATTACACTGAACTCGTTACTAAGAATAATAAGAAGCACCAGGTAATTACAAATGTCGGTACTTTTATCATCAAATGGTGATTTCATTAGTCTGTTATCATGTCTATCTATAATCACTGCTTCGCTAGTGTACAACACTTTCGGGTATACAACTCCTTCATTCAGTCGAAACGTAAGAATACGAGCATCATAGGACCCTACTTCCTAAAGTTTTGCTTCCACGGCATTCTCCCCTCGTCCACTCTCTAAATCTCTCCCTATACCCCTCTCCTCGACCACGAGCTCATTTTCCGTCACACTTCCACCACTTTCCACTCCACGTTCCTCTTCCCTAACCACGGGTTTCTCATCCGGTCTCTGCAGTCCCTTATCCTTAATCAAAAGGCAAAGACACAAACAAACCCCAATAATCGGTACCCAAAGTAAAAATACACTTCTACTCGCCGCCATATATGCATCTAAGACTTCGTTTTTTTGTTCCGCTGTTAAGATTGATAAGTTTGGAATACTTAGTATCGATGCAAGGATTGTTTCCTTAAATCCTTCGGGTAAGGGAGTTGCCAATCTGGTTAGATGGGACTTGACCGAATTTGAAAAAATAGCCGAGGAAATCGCGAGACCGAATGCACCACCTAGTGAGCGCAGAAAATTTCGGGTGGAGATAACGACTGCGCGATCACGTTTGGTGCAGTGGGCTTGCGCTGCTGTGAGAGTAGGTTGGAAGACGAAACCTACTCCTGCACCCTCGGTCAAGAGGATTAAGACGATTTTCCATTTTGGTATCGTCCGAGAAAATAGAAGAATGAGACCTGATCCTAGGGTCCAAAGAATGAATCCCATCCAGATAACTTCGCCATAGCGTTTCGTCCTAGAGATGTATTGTCCGGATACAATACTGAAGCTGGATTGGGTGGCGACAAATGGGATGGTGAGGGCGGCGGACATGAGAGGTGAGTACTGGCGAGCATTTTGGTAGTATACTGGGAGGTAGTAGAGGTGAGAGTAATAAACGATGCCGAAGAGAAAGTTTTGTGTGAGGATGGCGAAGACGGCGGGGTTTTTGAAAAGGTTCAAAGGTAACATTGGCATAACGGCGAATTTCCATTCCACGATGATAAAAGCAACTAAGCATATGCCACCCACTGTGAGCATGGAAACTACCATGGGACTAGACCATTCGAAGTAGGTGCCACCACACGAAACGGGTATTAAAATGAGCAAAATGGTTGCGGTCACGAGGACAATTCCTGGATAATCGATGACTCGAATTTTGGTTGCTGTAGAGCCATGCACTTTACTTGGAGGGAGTGTCCATGCTACCATGATAGCGGATAGAACAGCGAGCGGGCATATACACCAGAAAAGACCTCGCCATGTCGAATGTTGGACGAAGGCGGCCGCCAAGAATGGTCCTATAGTATTGCCCAAACCGACACAGGATCCCAAAATCCCTTGATATCTAAAAGTCATTAGCTGTAATCATTGAAATCCTGATAGCCGGAATATACTCACTTTCCACGATTCTCCAAAGTAACAACATCTGATACAATCATCATACTCAAGGCCATAATCCCACCAGACCCCACTCCGGAAATACCCCTAAAAACATAAAGTTGGGGACCTGTTTGAGCGAACCCACAAAGCAAATCTCCTAGCGCCAACAATCCCGCGGCAGTGAGGAATACCACTTTTCTTCCCAAGATATCTGATATTCTTCCGTAAAGAACTTGGAATACTGTGTTGGCAATCAAACTTGAAGTACCTGCCCAAGAAATTGTGGTGGCCGCATTGAGATCTGCTCCGATTGTTGGTAATGCTATACCAATGGAGTTTTGATCTATATAAGTGATAAGAAGAGCAAATGCTAAACCACAAAAGACCACTATAAGTTTTCCTTTGGCCAGAATATTTGTCTCTATGCGGACTAATTCGTGGCTATCCGTTCCTGCCATGGTAGCCAATAAAAGATAATATTCTCAAAGTGATATTGTTTGTCGTTCATGGACGAGAAATACATCTCAAATATAAGAAAACGAAAAACGATGTAAGAGATACTAAAGATTCATCCAGATCCGCTATCCAAAAACTACAGGGCAAAAACTCTACCGGATAATCGGCACTTGCCCGTGTTAGTTGTAGATCCAAATCAAGCTTTTCACAATCGCCCCCTTTATCCTGTTGGTCATTTTCGTTTAAATGCATCCTTTTGGATCTATGATAGGCATCACTGATTTTACATGCTTGACAAAAGGAGCGGTGATATGAAATTCAAACAGAATTTTGCGCTTGCTAGCGTAATCATGCAGTACAAATATTGAAGAGAAGGCCAAATCCAACTGCTATTGGGCAAAATGAGAAACTTTCTCCGAAAAGCGGCATTGCGAGTCCGAGTATCGGGCTTCAGGATCCTTAACTCGGACTTTTGGGATTTGCCCAGCCACAAATATCAAGCAATATATGGGGATATGGTTACGGGACCGAGAATTTGATTACAAGCTTGTTCAGGAGTAGTATTAATACAAATTTGAGGAATCTTTCGAGTATATGTTTGACTCAAAGGCATGGGATGCAGGTACTTGCAGACAATAAGATGCCAAATGAGTTCCTCCATTCTACATTACCTCCTAACAACAACCTATTGCATTTAGTTGAGGCGACGAAGGATTAATGATCCTCCGCAGAAAAGGCACTGCTCAACAATGCGATTTAGGGAATAGTATCTTAAGGTTGTACCTTGACTAACCCTGTACGTGTTTATAAGCACATTTTTCAAAGGAAGTCAACCTCAATCAACATGTACAAGACAGGCTTCTCAGGCCACATCATAAAAGAACATCAGGTAATCAGAGCCTAGCTCCGTCCTTGCAGCTCAGATGTCCCACCCCTTTAAAATTAAGAAGATTTATTCTTGTATGTTTAACGTGCTTTGAAATGATTCCATCTAATATGTAGCGGATAAATCAAATCAAACCTTGACTGTCAGTAAGAAGTAATAAAGGGTTATGAACAAAGTGAGCACACCCAGGTCAAGTTTTTTACTTGCTGGAGATCAAAATATCGTCAAGATGCATTGAAATATTCGGATTAATTTGAAGCCATTGCATAAAAATTTCTTGGATAAATAACCTTATGTACTCAACCAGCTCCCCAACAGTAAAGGGAGGTGGGTAGCCTTGCATTCCAGCCTCGCTTTAAGCGAAAAGGCTTGCGTTTCGTCCTCTGCCTACCTCTCCTCATCCATAACTACCTTCCTGCGCACGCTCATTTCCAAATCTGTTTGGCACATTCTGGAACTTCTAATCGTTACCACTACAATTTATAGACTACACAAGGAACCACTAAAACTTTAAACTATCTCCAAAATGAATCCCTATGAAGGTAGGCTTTCCACCCCCCGCTCTACCCCGCGTTCAAGTTCCATGATGAGCTTCTATTAACATACATTGATACTGTAGTCGAACACAACATAAAACCCGCCTCCCAATCCACTAGACCGCGTCGCCGGCCTTCTATGTCCTCTTTCTTCAACCAACTATCTCAGATTGAAACATCGACTTCTGCTACCGATCCCAGCTGGCATCACAATAATCCGCACGCTGTTCCTACTCCTGTATGTTCTCTTTCTCAAGCCTGTCTATATATTTTGTAATTACTTTACAATCCTGAAGAGACTAATCAAAATATTACAGGTTGACGTAGCAGCTTCCTACCGACTCCTCCAAGATCAATTCCTGACTCTCCGGACAAACGACCCCTCCTCTTCAACAGCATCTCTCCTCGATATCCTCATCGACTCCATAACCTCTCAAATTGACGACCCGCCAACCACCATATCAGGCTGTTCACAAGCCTACCTCGACACCATTGACCGCGTTCCTCGCTCCTCCCTAAAAGCAGACGAAACATGTCCGATCTGTGGAGAAAAATTCCTCGATGACCAATATTGTTTAGTTGTCGTGTTACCATGTCATCCAGCACATAAGTTTGATTTAGAATGTGTAGGACCTTGGTTAAGACTTAATGGGACGTGTCCATTGGATCGGAAGAAGGTTGGGGATGGGGAGGATAGGGCGAAGGAGGCGGAGAGGGAGAGGGAGAGGATGAGGAGAGGAGTGGAGGGATTAGGGTTTAGACAGGAGGGGGAGGGGGCTGAAAGGAGGAGAGAAGAGGAAAGGAGGAAGGCGGAGGTGGAGGAGGAGAGTGATGGGGATGATGGGATGTATGCTTAAGAGTTTGTGAGTGTTCGATTGTGAATTGCGAATTGCGAATTGCGAATTGTGAATTGCGAATTGGGAGTGTAGGGAGTTGCGGGATAATTGGGTGATAACCATAGCTCGAAAGAGACACAGAAATCGCAATGAGTAGGATGATGATGTGGCACAGGAGACCGGCGGAGAACACCAGATATTCAAGAAGAGATACCCTGACCTATCACGAATATATCGAAACAGACATACTGAATACCCAATTACAAATAGTACAACAAGCAAGCGACGATATACCATTGAATCATATAGCATTCTGGAATTAGTACTCATGAACATTATTAATCGCTAAATCATACGTAAATTATTTTCGTTCAAAATTCTCATCACCATATATAAAGTTTACCCGAAAACAAAGTGATTCGATATCATAGAAAGGGGAGAGACAATAGACTCAAGAGACGCATCTGACTTTATTCTTGCAGTAATTTTCCATGGGCGAATCGAGTCTACTCCGTAGAAACCTACCAGGGTAACATGATCTACCTACCTACCTACCTATCCCGTAATGTAATACAAAATAATGGAATCCTAATGGGTGTTTGAGCATATGAGGTCTAGTGAATGTATAACAAAACTGTTACATATGATGGATGTGCTATGAAAGTCAAATAGCAAGAGTGAAACATATAGTGCTGTCCTCAGCCATAGCAGTGAGAACGTGACAAAACCATTTTAATCTTGTATGAGGAAGAAAATGAACCATCTATTATGAACTATCCATTCCTAACATTCTCTCGCTCAGCACGCAGGAGAAAACGAAGTAGTTATGTCTTGGATCTTCTCAAACCAGACCAACCAAATCAGCAGCACCACCGGAAGTAAATCTCAATATGTTTGATACGCCACGCTAGTTTTCTCTGTGAATGCATGTCGTTCATATCAAATAACACATTCCCCCGTCTCACCCAATTCCACCACCTCTCTACTCTAATATTCTCAAAATATCATGCCTTTTCTCCTTATTCAACCGCACTTCCATAATCTTTAAGCTCATGAGGCATATATCTATGCTTGGACAGCACCTTCTTGAGTCAACATATACTTGTAAGCACCGAAAGCAGCAAGTCCACCGATGAGAATGATAGCGTAGAGACCGATACCCATTCCAGTCTCGTCTTGGGATGAGGTTGGAGAGGCGGTTGTGGTTTGGGGTTTTGGTGCTGGGTCGCCAGCCTGGATAGGAGAGTGCTTGTTAGCTTGAGCTTCTACAAAATGTGCAAGACTAGACGGAAGATTTATACGGCGAGGGAAAATGGGATGAATGGAAAGAAATTGAGGCATATATATGTTGATGGATGGATGTAGGAACGTACCACGCGCTTCAAAGTACCAATGTGTAAACCTTTGAGGATTTCTCGTGCTTCGTCACTGTGTCCAACATCCTCGAATGCTTCGGTTGCGTCTTGTCCTCCGACATCGAGAAGGACTTCTTCTCCACCACTATTTAAAATATATGAATTAGCAATTTGGCCTGATGGTCTCTAAATGAAGTTCTACAATGACAATAAGCGCCGGAAGAGTTGCACAGCGGCGGCAGACAAGAGGCTATATTAGGACGAGATTTCCAGACACTTATAGTGCAACGAGAGATAAATATTTATCCTCAACAATATTCCCTTTGTGGACACAATCCACCGATCTACAATCCATCCCATATTCAACGCCTCACAGCAATGCCCTCTCGAATCCCTCATATCTGAGTCCTCGTACCCCTCTCCTCATCCCACCCTCCTTGGGAATAAATGGAAAACAAAAAAAAGGTCCTGAACTTACGGATGTTCATCAACGAAAGACGAAACGTTATAAACCTTATCATGAATAACCATAAACAAATCCTTCTTCGTCTTATGTTCCGCCGCCTCAGCATAGGTATATTCCTTCGTCTCAGACATCTTTCTTGTATGTGTATTGAAAGCCCACTATATTATCTTCTTTAGGTATTCGTACCCGCAAAGTGTATCGTGTTCGTAAATGGTGAGATTCTCAGATGCGTCGGCCAAGAGATTGGTTTGCAGATTTTGATTGTAAATAAAGACAGGTACCTATCTCTTCTCAGTAACCGTATGAAGCACAAGGAATTATTATCGGGTGGTACGGTAAGTATTGATTTGGGAGTTGTGGTTGCTTCAACGATTCACAAAAATAGAGATAACAACTAATAAAATCACAGCACAGGCAGGCTGTTTAACTTAATAAGCTCGGTGGCCGAGCTCAAATCTATGGCAACCCCTAGTACGCTAAGCAATCTTTGGTTAAAGATTGCTCAAGATTGCTCAGCATTTATTTCGCTGTTGATTATTGGTTGGAAAGACTTATATCCGTTTCCGCAGAGTGAGGGGATGGGTGGATTTTGGTTATGGTGCGAGAGGATGGGATGAGAAATTAAAGTGAATGATTAGTAATATGAGTAGGTGAACTGACAGTGAGAAAGTTTAACATGTATGCAATCGGGGTAGGGGAAATACGCTAGAATTCCGTGAAGGACGATGGTGGTATATACCGGAAAACTGAGAGTACCGAAATAATTTCCTGTTTGGGTTAATTCTGTCACAAGCATACTGGATTTTCGAATGTACCGAAATACCGTGTACTTTTGACTGGATGCAATATACATTCTGATAAAGATGAACCCTTGATTCTTTTCATGCAACACTATGATTATTTTAGGAATTTCGGAATTTCGGAAATAAAATTGAAGCCATACAATCCACACAACTTTGAATGCAGTCTTAAACTTTGAATGCAGTTTTATATATATGTATTGATTTGTCTGATCCCGACAGCTGTCTTGGTGGTATCCTTATAGATAGTGGAGTCTGCCAGATCGTGGATTCGTAATGTACTGAGAAACCAACACACAATCCTTTTCTACAGCCTCATGTCCCAACTAGGGAAGTTTCCATTCAACATTTTCATCTGATGCTCTTCTTAACAATCAGACCATATCATCTTTACCGCAACCTGGCTTCTTCATCTCTCTTTTAATCATAGCTATCGTCTCGAAGTTCCACCACCAATATCTTGTCCTAATCTATACCCTGCAATCTTATCCCATTCAATCTTCTGTCTTGTAATGGGCAATTGTCTTCTTAATCCCTTGAATGCACCCTCACTCAAATTATTGAATCCTTTATTAATCTCTTCCTGATATTTCTTTTCCGCGGCGGCGATTTCTCGAACGATACTGCTGGCCGAGGACAATGAGGTTGCTGAGATGGGCTTAGTAGTTAGAAGTCGAACGTTTCCATCTTCGTAGTAGTGAACATCGACTTTGATGCTGCCGGTGAGAGAGGAGGATAAAGTATCATAGATATACAACGATCGCCAGCGGCCGTTCCTTCGTGATGTTAGATATTAAACATGTTTATGAGTGTGATTTGGATATATGTACCAGAAGTTGTTTGGACTGTATTTGTTGGCAACAACAAGTATCGCAGTCTTCGAATCATTTTCGATAGGAAAAGCGCCATACGATGCATTTGGAAAATGTTCTGCTACATGCGGACCCAAGCTTTTGAGGATTGACTTGCTATGTAGTGTTAGAACATAACTTGTACTGCCTTCAGAGTACTTACACAAAATCTGCTTGACTGCCTTCTAAGACATGACTTTGCACCGCACTCGCTTTCTTTGGCCAATTGTAAGTCCGAATCCAGTAGATGGAATAGAGAGAACATATACCTGGTTGGTATGATCGAAAGCAAAACTGGAAGAACTCTCGACATCATAGTATCTTCCGTCGCCCAAAGAGTTATGTGAACTGATTATAACCTTTGTGACCCGTCAGCCATCCTTCATGTGGTACTAATCTGCCATCATTTAACCAACATTTTGACTGCTACCAGGGAGTTTGACTGTAGTAAACTGTTCCTCATTGTATCTCTCAAACGCAGGACCGAGTTCTGAGACCAGATGTGGTGTGTCGATGGTTAAAGCCTTGATATCTAGGGATTCCCGTATTTAGTATTATGTTAAATCTGTTGCAAAGAAGAAAAGCATTCGTGAGTTCCATACCGGCAATGACATCTGCAAGCTTTCAAGGAATGTTAGTTAATAAAGTCAGGTTTGTACAAACGGGAGAACGTACCTCTCCTGGTGGAGCTCCTTCTACAAAGGCAGAAATTGTTTCTATTTGTGAGGACATCTTGAAGAAATTCGAAGTATGGGAATTAAAGAGTGAGGCCAGTATCTCAAATCAATATAAAAACTGTATCGGTATTGTCCTCGCTGGCTCGAATCAACCAACCAATACTGGGATGAGCTGGGGTTTTGAGACATGAAGCTAAATCAATTGGGCAAGCAGGCGAGGCTGAACTTCACCCCTCAATTCGTGGCGGTGTGTTGGCTCGTGCGGTAAGATAACTTTTCATGCCTTTCGTCTCCTTTCTCTCTACATAATAAATATACATGTGTTTATATTCCTCTTCATCTTCCCGTCACTTCGATCGTGTTGATCATCATGTCGATCATCATGCCTTCAAAATGGTTATCACAATGCAACCACTCTTAAGGTATGAGTCAGTGTCTTGTTTAACTCTCTTTTCAAGCAGCCGAGTTCACCATCATTACCTAGACATGACATGCTCAAACAACCGTATAACACACCTGTATGCAAGGCATCTTCGCGAGTGTCACGGGAGGCCATGAGATTTTTGTAATCCAAAGCTTCCAAGTTCTGTTGACGTTACCTAGAAAAAGACTTTAGTCTTGGGGCTTGTACAGGGTAGGTATGGCTATAGAATAAAGTTCATGCCTACCTAGTTTTACGTCGATTTCAGATGTGGCTACATCTCTGTTCTCAAGAAATTCATCGTTTGCTCTTAGTTTTTGCACAATACAATTATTACAATATTCCAATTACAATATATCTCATAATCTCTTGAATCATTTCCATTTAAACTCGTACAAATTTGAGCTGGAATCATCTACCCTTGCATTTCTTTCCACCAAAATCTTGGATACATTCTCTCAAAGTTCCCGGTACCACTCCACATGTCGTAAACTTATAAATCTCTGTCTGGACTTTTAAGAGCAAACCACCCACGGCTATTAAAAATCAATCTCATCTAGTCAAATCGACATACATACAACCACCTAAACACGGCAAAATGGCCCCCGCTGTGGCCCCCCCTATTTGTTTCAAGCAGTCTAGGAACTTGAGTCCCGTTGATCAGATCATTCTTCTCTCTATTTCTCTCGTCCTGATCATTACTTCGTCTATCTTGATTCTTAACTGTATAAATGTTCGCATAGTTAGACGTCACTGGCGAGAAGCATTGTACGAGACGACCGAAGGACTTGGAGATGATGAAGAATTCATAACTACCAGAAGAAGCCTGGGTCTTGAAATGCGGAAAAGAACGGATGTCTGCTATCTCTGCTGCTGATTATCCAATTGGTGGACTTAGGGCAGATGTCTGTAGAAACGTCATTATCTCTTCAATCCAACAAAAAGTTCTGAGCTCTTGGGTGTAGGAGATAGCGGGACTACGGGGCCTTCGATAATATCAAGAGGATCGATGTCGGCTTCCCATAGCAGTTCATTCAAATTTCATGAGTTCCTTTCGGCGCAGAGTACAATTTCCAACGAGCTGACATCTTGCTTCTGATATCCTCCGTTGAAACGGCAAAGCTCTTAGACGGCTTCCACAGCCACAACAGCTAAAAATTCATCTCCATACGTTTGGCTTTTCATACGTTACAACCTTTCCCAGCCCGAACATGTATAAATCATAATCGCAAATGACTACATATACGCTCATTTATTCCACTCGCCATACGCTTCCTACAATGAAGCTTCTCTGACTACTCTAGTATCTTTATTGAAATGAACAACATTGTCTATGTCAGATGTCGCAAGGACTTCATATGGACTACCAGCTTATTCTGAGTCTCAAAGATGATCTAATAAATACACCAACTGGGTTCATTCACTGGAAGTCACTTTTTTTTTTTTGCCGACCAATTAAAGATCAGAAATTCATTGTTGTGCCCTCCAGCCATTGACCGCTTTGGGTGTTTACGCACTTCTCAACCACTTCTCACTTATAAACTTTCAGCTATCAACCACAAACTCTCTAGTCTACATCTGGTGGCTGCATCCAGTGTATCTAAGATGGACTACATACTCCCTGGCAATTATTGCTTTGAGGGTATTGATGATGAGTCCTTGAAATTGATAATCCAGCTTCAGCTTGAAGATATCGAGTACTCATCTTCCAAGGGTAAAGGTCGAGCCGATGGTGTATCCGATATCTCTGTTGCGTTTAACCTTCAAAAGGAGGAATTGGAAAAGACTGCTTTGTTTCTGTCTGATCAGCGAATGACGAGAAGTATTGCACTGGCCGTACAAGCTGATGGGGATGTTTTGACTGAGACGGTATCACGCGATGACAGTTCTGCCAGAGACCACGCGATGGCCCTGCAGTTATATCGGGACCCTCACCTAGAGAATATTACACCAGAGCCTCCCACGATTACTCCACCGCATACACAGATCTTGAACGAAGAGGTCTTGCAAAAACTTCAAATATTGTACATCTCTGGCGTCGACTCGAAAGACGACAATACAGCAGAGTTAGATGAAAAAGATGGTGGCTCACTAGCTGATTCACTTGCAGAATCTTCGACTTGGGCAGCTTCTCGATCCGTATCTTCCAGGACAACATCGACAACATGTGTTATTTGCCGCGATGAGATAAATTTCTGCGATGCAGCCCGAGTTCCTGGTTCATGCCGTCACGAATATTGTCGCGCCTGTCTTGAGCACCTTTTCCACTTATCAATGAGTGATGAATCACTCTTTCCGCCCCGCTGCTGCAACGAACCGATTACTGTCGCCAGTGTACGCCTTTTCCTCACAATTGATATCGTAAGTGCTTTCGAAAAGAAGAAGATTGAGTTTGAGACACCAAACAGAATTTACTGCTGCTCCAAGCCTTGCTCAGCTTTCATCCACCCGTCAAAAATCATCAACAAAGTAGCTACCTGTGATGACTGCGGCAGGCGAACTCACACTTTGTGTAAGCTGGAGGCACATCTTGGAGATTGCTCGAATGACACAGCCTTGCAGGAGGTTTTGGACCTTGCTAGAGACATGGGTTGGCAAAGATGTTACTCATGCTGGGGCATGGTAGAGCTTGAACATGGATGCAATCGCATGAAGTCAGTCTCTATTTCCTTCCAACATCTCTTGGTCTAGTAAATGTACGCTGATACACCAAAATATAGATGTCGATGCGGCGCCACGTTCTGCTACACCTGTGGACAGAAATGGAAAACCTGCAGATGTCCACATTGGCACGAGGATCAACTATTAGCCCGTGCAACTGAAATCGTCAACCGCAGACCTGGTCATCAACTACTCGAGCGTCCTTATCAGCCCATCGGACAAGGATCTGTAACTGATGCTCAAATTGCGATAGCTGCGCAAAACCTTCGCGAAAACCACGCATGTGAGCACAAGATATGGCGCAAGATAAAAGGAACTCATCAATGCGAAACTTGCCATGAAACTTTTAATTGGTTCATCTTTACGTGTTACCAGTGCGAAATTATGGCTTGCATGAGATGCAGACTTAACAGGCTGTGACGGGAACAAATCTTGAGGGGAAGTTTGATCATGTGTAAATATATTTGCTTCTTCGGGAGGCTGCTAGTATCCACATGTTACCTTTTGTCTTTGATTGAGATTCCGGGTTGAGAACCACATTTGTAAATAGCATTTTGGTCCTTGAATAGGATGATGGAAATTTATCGACGAAAGTTCCGAGTTGCTTGAGAAATTCGCCGAAAACAATCAAATATCTTCAAGAATTACATGTTGTCTCTATACTTTTGGTGATATGGTCTCGAAGTTGCTACGATTTTCATCGTGATATGGAAATTGAATGTTGAATACTACATCATTAGCCCAGAACACTTCACCCTTCATTAACGATTACTTATTGTAGGGATTTAGTGAAGTTAGATCCCATGCATAACATAAGTCTTCAAAAGCTCATGGTTTTGGTAGCTTTTGTAGTAAAATATCGTTCAAAATGATGCAACCTTACATTATGACCTTGAAAAGAATTATCTGCCATGATTCCAGATGAAAATGGTACCTGTACACCGCAAACTGCCTTTCTCCTTTGTTTTGATACCAACGGTGATATAACTGAGCCCTCACAACAGCCAGAATATCTAGTTATCATTATACCCGAACAAGAATTATATCACTACCCCAGCTTATCTCATCCTCAGACCCTCTGGTTCGATTATATTTTAGTATTATTATGGTAAATGCACGGATTTTTACTAATTATTGTATAATTAGAATTTAGGTATAATTCGGCCAATAAGAACTCGGGGAAGGATAATCTCCCAGAGGGTCTGAGAGCTTTTGGTCGCATTTTTGGTGAACAAAAACTGTTTGGTGAGAGCTATTCAAGGCATATATGTCCTTTTCAACAATACTTTATTGAAAAAATGATTATATCATTCGAAAGCCCTCATTTTCTAATATGTTGTGAATCTGCATGGAATTTCTGTATTATGTGGTTGATTTAAAAGGTTATTATTCATTTTAATTTTTCAACATTTCTTGTTTTGAATCATCAACCACAACAATCTTAATATTCATATACTAATTATGAAAATAGTATCAATCGAATCCTCTCATCAAGCTGAATATATTATAAGATCTGCCGATTGTGTCAGTGGCGTTGTGGATTGATTGGGGAGGAGGAGGAGAAGTTATTGATATGGGTGATTGAAGTGATTTTTGAATGGGAGAATGGTAATGGAACAAAGCATTTCAGAAGTCTGAAATAGCTATTCCTAGAAAGCACAAGTACTCAGGATTATGCAGAACTATTCAGGGGATATCAGGAGGAGGCAGGAGTTCGGAATAGTAGTGGTAATGGTGGTGAAAAGGGTCTTCGAGGTGAAATGTCTGAAATATCAGGTCGTTCGAATAACAGAATTATCCTTTTGAAGCACCCAACCCTTTCAAATTCAACAACCACAACTCTCCTTGAAAAATCTATTGATATCTTGAATATCTTTCAATTGATATTATCTTCAAGATATCAATAGATTTTTCAAGAAGGATTGTGGTTGTTGATTTCAAGAGGATTGGGGGCTTGAATTATTGAAATATGTTACGAGGTTTGCCGTCTAGATCACGTGGAAGTGCTCTAGGCTCTCGAGGTGGTTTATAACTAGGCGTCAAGCAGGGACTTAAAGTAATGACAATGATGATATGCAATTCGTAACTAATGGTAGAGTATACTAAATGATTGATCTTGAGCACGAAGCTCTATACAAAGGAAATCCATCTTGATTATATAGTCCTTCATGCCTATGGCTAGTCAGGACCGCGCAGCGGTCCATAACGTGACTTAATCACGTTACTTTGGTTTAGTCATGTGACGCGGTGTGGAAGATAGCCGTCGTAACATTGAAGAATTATTATGTAGAAATATTTTAATAATAGCAACAAATGTATGATTTAAAAACTGATCAACTAAACCCTTTAAAGGAGTATGCATATATAATCCAAACAAAAAGCATAAAAACTCCAGAAGAAGGTCGATATGTGTTACGTAGTAACAGTCAACCTGTCCATATGAGCTCAGACCCCGAGGAAAAGCAAACCGATTCGCATACAAAATTGTATGGTAATTGGTTCGTAGAGTCTCCCCACCCTCAGCAAGCACAGACATATGTTCTGATTGAAATCATGTGATGGATCTAAGGATCTAGAGGATCTAGGGGATCTAGATAATTAAACTCTAGATCCAATAGATCCAAGGGATCCAAAAGAATACAGTAGAATATGAAGTTCTATATAAAGGGATAGGTTTTCATTTGTAGAGCTTCGTGCTCAAGATCAATCATTTAGTATACTCTACCATTAGTTACGAATTGCATATCATCATTGTCATTACTTTAAGTCCCTGCTTGACGCCTAGTTATAAACCACCTCGAGAGCCTAGAGCACTTCCACGTGATCTAGACGGCAAACCTCGTAACAATATGAAAACTAGACTAAGAATTCCGAGTAAGCTGCTTCTCCCGAACATTCCACTCCGCCTCTTGGAACCTCCGAATCGTTTTCTCAAACACATCCAACAACTCTACCAAATGCTCCTCCCCAAAACCGTTCCACTTTTGCGTCTCCGCAGCCAAATCCAATAAATGAATCGCAGATAAAAATCCCCCATACATTGTATCCGCCCTTTTCAAAATATTGATGGCTTTTTCCCTCACCTCTTCCAGTTCATCTACCGGCGCACTTTCAAATCTCCAAACGCTCTTCATTGGCCATTTTTCGCGAACTTCATTCATTTTGCCGGGTAATCCTCCAGTGGGTCCTCTTTTCGTAGATGTAAGTCTGTAGCTCAATTGCGGGATTGAAGTTGCCCGCCATGTGGATATGTAATTCTGGATATTACCCGTGATATTCGCGAAATTCTTTGCGTCGAAATGTGCTCTCGACTCATAAGGATCATCTAACAATAATATTTTTCCCAGTCTTTTCCACGACGTGCCGTTTCTGTTCTTTGCTTGTACTTCTCTCAGTCTATCCAATTCGTTCTGAAATACCAAGCGCGATGATTCTACTTGTTCCTTGATATTTGCAACCGCTTCATCTCTAGATTCTGCAAAGGATTCCCAGCCAAAATCAATAGCTTCTACTTCCGCCAGTAAAGCATGCACTGGCCAAGCAAACGGATCATCACTCTCAATGTTTCCATTATAAAAATCTCTCCAAACCTTTCCAGCATCTCGAAGTGCACCAGGAATATTTTCGACTAAATATCCATCGTCAACCGTTTCGGAAAATCCGCCTGCTACTTTTAACACATCCGATATGTATGCGAGATTATCTCGACTGGAAGTCACATTGTCTTTTGCGATTAGAAATATTAAGCTGGTATAAACGAGAGCTGCAAGGAAGAATTTAAAAATGTGTCGCAAAAACCATCTTCGGAATGCATTCCAAAATTGGAGCATATAAGCTCCGGTTTTGGAAGCCCGGAAATTGGAAAGCCAGGCTGGAGCTTTGATATTTGATAGGAAGAAGGATTTGGGTTGGATTCTTTAGGATAGTGATTTGTGTTTGGGAGATTGAGGGGTGGATGGGTTCGATGAAGAATCTTTCACGGTGGTCTTGGAGGGGCTTTTGAGTGAGGATTTGAGAAATGTACGATTGACGGGAGATGCGGATTTTTGGGATGACATGCTTGTTGGTCTGCTGCGTGGGGTTGCGGTTGTGTCGGCCATTTTTGTAGGTTCTGGTGAGTGCACTCTTGGCGTTTAAGGGGATATGAATAGAAGCTATTTAGTCAATTCAATCAACTTCATTAATTCGAGAGCTGTGGTACGTCGCCCAGTTGTGTTGTCGTGAGAGTAAAAGGTAAGCTTAATCAAAATTCATGCCACAAGATAAAAGTAATAGTCAATCAGAAGAAAGGATTTCATCAAGGTCAACACAAAGAATCTCGCTTGAGATTCTCTTTGCGGAATACATAGTAAAGGTCTTGGAATGAACTGGAGCTCGGCGAACAAAGAATAGGAGAGTTTATGACTGATACCACTAGTGCGGCTTACTCCTCACATTCATTGATGTTTCGTGCTGGGTGGAAAATTGCACTAATAAGGAAAGCAGCAGGATGTGCCGAGGTTTTGCCGTTCAATATACGGAGTATGTCCAACAAAATGGGAATTTGTCCTTTGGATAATCATGGAATGTAATGGTTCCAAAACGCCTCAAAATGTGTGTGCAAGTGAAAGAGCTGCCCTAGCTCACATTGATAAAACAAGTAACCGCCGTCCCAAAACCTGCATCAATTTCCAAATAATCAATGACCTTCGAATTTCTAGATGCTCGCTAGTTCGTGATAACTGAGAATGCAATAGCCGGATGACCGCAAGCAGCTTTGGTGATCTTCCCAAATTTTCAAAAGATAGGATCAATGTCCTCAATTTCCCCAATGTTCCCAATGTCCTCCATGTTCGTATCGTTTCCATCATCTTCACCATCATTACTGCTATGGACCTCGTTGTTTTCTCCACCATCCTTTGCTACGCTTTGAATTGGAGACGCATAATTCGAGTTATATATAGGATTCAAAACAAAATCAAGACCACTGATAGTTCTCTTGAATCTCTGAGCACTGGTCTCCTTGGGGTCTCCATACTCGATTTGCTGATCTTTAACTGAGGGGGTGACCTGAACGCCATTTTTATCAAACAGATATGGCGGAAGAGCCGAAGCGTCATATTTCCGGGGACCATCTGGCACGAGAATGTCAGTAAAAATGTTACAGATCGGCGTTGAAGCGGGCAGCCATTGTATATGGCATTGATATCAAGAAATGTGTAGTACCTAAAGAATTTCTAGGTCCATCTCCCATGTGCCAAGCAAAACGGATGACATGCTTCTTCTCGACATGTCTTTTCCAATCATCTTCATTTTCGAATCTATATTTTGTGGTAATCCTTAATTCCGATGATGACATAGATCCGTCGTTGGGAGTTTGTACCTTCGTGCAACCTTTCCACAGACAATTAAACATGCCATTCTCCCTCTTGCCATGAACTTTGGAAAGGTGCATTCTCAAAGTATCCAAATTGTGTAATTTAGCAGGACACTTGTCCCATTCGCAACCATAAATTTGAAAAGGTGGATTAGGAAGTGGTATTTCTACTTCCAGAGGCTTCTTAGGAGGGCGGCCTCGTCTCTTTGGTGGGTTGTCATCTGATTGGGAATTGGGCTTCTTGCTGTTTGAGGACTTCTGACCTTTTGCTGTCAATATGTCCGAGTTGGTACTGCTAACTACTGCCGTATAGTCTTTGGGGGGTCTGCCTCGTTTTCTTGGTATCGCCGGTTTTTGAGATTTCTGAGATGAAGTGCCTGAAAGATTTTTTGGTGGGCGTCCACGACGAGGCGCACTTGGGGATCTGATAGCCATTTGAGTGACATTTCTATCAACTTCATGTGGTGGTAACTCCTCTCCTTGCTGGCCATAGAAAGTTTGCAAGGAATAACCCATATTTGATGGGCCCGAAGCAGAACGTTGCGGTCTCGATGCATTCCCATTCTGAAGAAAGCGTGAAGGTTGTGGCGTAGGACTTCTATTATCGTTCTCCGTACGAGGCGGGAATTGATTTTCATATGGATAATTCTGGGTAGGGGATAGCAGAGGTCGTTGGCTTGGTCGCATTTGCACGTGTTGTGCATTCTGCTGCTGCTCAGAAGTTGGTTGTGGGGAGTTTGGTGTGTGCATTTGTGGTGAACTTTGATGATTATTTTGCTGCCTTGAGTGTTCTTCAGCTGCCACCTGCTGATGGAAGCCTCTGTGAGAAGCTGGACTATTTGAAGAGAGCATTGATCTATGTTTTTTTTTTGTTGTAATATATTGCTAGAAATCAGAGGTTGGTGTATATTGCGTTCGGAAGTGTTGCTCATGATTGCCGTGCTTACATAATAACTTGATTGTCATAAAAGTCAATTCGATAAATATATTCTAGAGAAATAAAAAATCAATGAAGTTTATTAATCTTAAAATAATAATTTGTTAATCAAAATTAACAAATAAATTATTTTATCTCCTTATTTAATTTAATTTATTTTTTTAAATTATTTGATTCTTTTAGTATTATTTTAATTATAAATAATAAAATTAATAAAAATTCATAATTAATTTATAGTAAGATTATATTACGTCGGACAGTAACATAGGTCACGTTCTTGATCACATGATCAAGAAACCGACAAATCGAGATCGGCTTTGTGGTGATCGAATTGTCGGGCTTATAATCATCGGTTTTTAAGGAGATACATGTAACGATACTGTACCGGAGGCAGCGGCTGCCTGAGGTTTCGTCTGATTGGTAGTTGTGGGTTAAGGCTTTATCACTAGTCTTCACTTGGAAGTGAAGTCGTTACTAGATCAAGTAGAATGTAGGTAAACTAATTGATAACTAAGTTGAGCACGAAGCTCCTAAACTATGAAACTACTCTGACTATATACTGAACAATAAAGGGGGCCCCTAGAAGCTTTCTGGCTCCTCAAGACTCCTTATCACGCGATTTCTGATGGTGCGTGCGCATACGATCTTCAGGTGACCAAGATCACATACTAATTCGATGAAATCTGATCGTGTTTGCACACGGCCTAAGCTCTCCTAATTAATCAGTTTGCTACCATCGTAACACCATCAATCCTAATGGTGAATCGTGACAATACAAAGGTCTAGATAATTAAGATGGATTTTCTTTGTATAAAGCTTCGTATTTAAGATCAATCATTTAATATACTCTATTATTAGTTACGAATTGCATCATTGTCATTACTTAAGTCCTGTTACGAGGTTTGCCGTCTAGATCACGTGGAAGTGCTCTAGGCTCTCGAGGTGGTTTATAACTAGGCGTCCAGCGGGGACTTAAAGTAATGACAATAGTGATATGCAATTCGTAACTAATAGTAGAGTATACTAGATGATTGATCTTGAGCACCAAGCTCTATACAAAGGAAATCCATCTTGATTATATAGACCTTCATGCCTATGGCTAGTCAGGACCGCGCAGCGGTCCATAACGTGACTTAATCACGCTACCTTGCTTTAGTCATGTGACGCGGCGTAGAAGATAGCCGTCGTAACAAGTCCCTGCTTGACGCCTAGTTATAAACCACCTCGAGAGCCTAGAGCACTTCCACGTGATCTAGACGGCAAACCTCGTAACACCCTAATAGGACTAGTGCCCTGTGCACATGCTACGCAGGAATCATTCACTTTAACATATAACGTGGTTTAACACCGAGTGCACCATATCACCGAGTGCACCACTTTTACCTCAATTTGCACTTTCTAACTCATATCATTCAATAATCATTAAATCAATCAATTAAAACTATTAAGAATCTAATAATCTAGCATCTATTATACTATTTTGACAAGTTCTTAAATTATGACCAGTCTTTCCACACTTACTACAGCATCGACTAGTAGATGATTCCCTATTAGAATTTCCCCCATTTTGACGCTCGTCGCGTTGAATCTGAATATCAACCTTTTGTTGAGATAATATATCTGCAGCTTCTTGTCCAGTAAGTACTCCTCCTTGACGTAATTGAGTCTTTTTCATGCGTCGACGTTTGCTTAATGCCTCATTTGCCTTCCGAAGTGTACAGTTTTCTGCATTTAAAAATGTATTTTCATATGTCAATCTCTCTGTACCTTTAGCTAAAGCTAATACAGTTTCGAATATAGGTGTAGGGGAGCTTGATTGATGACGAGCCATTCGAGATTTCACTAAAGTTGATTGAGAAAGAGCTTCAGTTGGATTATGAAGAGTTTGAGAGATCCAAAGGTTTAAATCGAAAAAGGGGGGAGTAGGCGTATGAATTCGAATATCTAATTTTGAGAGTATAGCTTGAGGGTCAAATGGTATTAGACCTGTTCCTCGAAAGCCAGCTTTCATATTCTGAGAGTTGATTGATTGTTGATATGCAGCTGTTGGTACGAGAAGGATACGGAAGACGTAGCACCCACGGATTATGTAGGTCCTGTATGTCTAATTGTATTCTGTCTAAAGAGCTAGCTACATATTGAAAGTAGTAAGTCTTATATAGACTTACTAAAAGAGCTAGTCTCTTTCGCGTTCGCTTAGTTCTTTATTACAGTAGTAATTGAATTGAAGTCATTCACTTCGTTCACACAGCAGCTTTGAAAGCTATAAAGAATTCAACTTTAGTGATATGATTGATATGTGCCTTGATAAACTCTTCAATTTGAGAATTATATGAACGTTTAAGTACACCAAAACATCCAATATCAAATGGTTGAGTTAAATGACTTGAATGTAGTGGTAATTTGAGGCATATAATATCATTTGATTTGCAATATGATTGAAAAGGTATTGATTCGTAGCTTTCATGCCCATCCAATACTAGCATTCGATATTTGCCCTTCCTTTGACGAATAGTATGTTTATCGAAATACTTTAACCATTCTAGACCTGTGTGAACGAAGTGAATGACTTCAATTCAATTACTACTGTAATAAAGAACTAAGCGAACGCGAAAGAGACTAGCTCTTTTAGTAAGTCTATATAAGACTTACTACTTTCAATATGTAGCTAGCTCTTTAGACAGAATACAATTAGACATACAGGACCTACGTAATCCGTGGGTGCTACGTCTTCCGTATCCTTCTCGTACCAACAAGACCTGTCTCATTATTCGTCCATCCATTGGAAGTAGGTTTAATAGTCCAATCCGCAGGAAAATCGGTTTCAGTATACCAATTGGAAAGATGAACTTGTCCTTGAACTACCAAAAATGGAGGTATAGTTTCACCCTCTCCATTGCCACATATAATTGCCGTAGCCCACTCTCGATTGTCTGGTTGTATTGCCTTGCTTCTGCTATTTCGTTCAGTATTAGTTATAACTATTCTAGGGCATATTATACCTATCATGAAGCCGGTTTCATCGAAGTTGTAGAAATCGGAATCGACAATACTATATTTCACCCGCATATTCGATACCAATCGAAACCACTCTTCAATAAGCTTAGGATCTTCGCAAAGAGCTCTTTGAAAATCATAAATACGACTAAAACACATCTCTAATTTCGTATGACGCTTTACGAATCGATAAGCCCAGAGCTTTCCAACCTTCTTCGCCCTCCGCGATTCAAGAATATAATTCGCCATATCTTCTACACCACTTAATTTAGGTGCAAACCCTCTCTCATCCATATCAATTATATACTGAATAAGCACCTCCTCTTCTAAATCGGTCATTTTATGACTATTTGCTCGAGTTTCTGTATGAGGGGCTAAACCATTCATTCTGCGGAGAAGTGTTTATGCGTTATATTATATAGCTTGGCAGCCTTTCGAATGCTTAGTTTTTTATCTTTTTGAATAGCTTCAATAGCTAAGAGTATTTGAGCTTCTTTTCTATTTGATTGCATAATAAATGATTGATAAATCGCGTGTTGAAGTTGGAAAGTGCAAATTGAGGTAAAAGTGGTGCACTCGGTGATATGGTGCACTCGGTGTTAAACCACGTTATATGTCACGATTCATTAATTCACGTGACCTCGAGGACCTTTTGGACCTTAGGGTCCCAGAGGTCCTCAAAAGATGATATAGGGTATATAAACATTTATTTAGTCTCGTAGTTAAGGAGCTTCGTGCTCAACTTAGTTATCAATTAGTTTACCTACATTCTACTTGATGAAGTAACGAATTCACTTCCAAGTGAAGACCAGTGATAAAGCCTTAACCCACAACTATTAACCAGACGAAACCTCAGGCAGCCGCTGCCTCCAGTACAGTATCGTTACAATATATTGAATCTCTGCCAAAGGAAGTTTATCAATTATTTAAAGCTTCTTCAAGAATCTTTATATAAATAAAACAGCAACTTCTTTTAAATAATACATGTATATTCTTTAGTGCTTGATAAAAGAAAAAAATATATCTTTTGAATTATAATATAATATCCCTATTACGTGAGATATCTGATTGTATAGTTGTATTCAACGATCAAGCGACTAGTACAAATACATATTTTAGTCTTTATCACTTCAAAGGCATATGTGAATAAGATATTCTATTTTCTAAGTAATTTAAATTTGGAAAGATACAGCTCAAAAGAGCTGCATCTATATGAAATTATAGTTTGTAGGGCTAGGTCACTATGTAATAGGATTATAGCTATAATACATTTAGCTGAAAAAACTAAAGGGGAATTATTTTACTTGTAATATAATAAAGAGTAATCCGTAAGACTGCATACTCTTCCATCTGCAAAATGGAGCCAAAATGGAGCCCAATTCATATGAAAGGGATGGAGGGTGGGAGAGAAGCGATGCTGAAAATGGATGATGATGAACGAGGTGGAAGGAAAGAGGGAGGGGGAGGAGTAGACCATAACTTTCACCTATAGCTGAAAAGGTAATATAAAGCTAGCCAGCTCTTTGTAGCCCTTTGACATTCTTTCCCTGAACCCTCCATATGTACTGCCATTCTATCCCGTCCACAATGCACAAAACTAAGTCCTTATATTAAATAAATGCCAACTCCATTCTCCACCCTTTTCTTCCTTCCACCCCTCGCCCTCCCCCCTAAAAAACTTCTGTCTAACTTCTGCCAAACCTCACCAAACCTCCCCATAACTTAACAAACCCTCTCCACACCATCATCCTCCCCTCCGCCCAATCCCTCCAATCCCTCCAATACCTCCACTCAACTCTACTCCCCAACGTCCCCACGTGCACCACTTCCAACAACACCACACTAAGTCCCATACTCTAAGATTACCATCAAAGCATCTCCCCAGCACATTCAAACTCTCAAATTTTCTTCTTGATCAAATCAAAATCAAATCGATACAACACAACCCCAATCAATCTATGATCTATCGTACTTCTGCATAGCCCATCAACATCACTCGAAAATAAATTTCACGACTTTGAAAATTAAAATTTGAATACCCGTCCATTTATTTATTCAAAAAAAGCTTAATAGGAGTCAGACTCCAAAGCTGCATATCTTTAATTACTTTATCTATATCTCCAAAGATATCGGTAATCCAGGGAGGCTTTTCAGTCATGGCTGGACTCTGGAGCTATAAAGGTACTATGAGCTATTTCTTCCACGCAGTAGCACCACAGCACGGGTATACCAATTACTGGATTTGGGAAAATAGGATCTATAACCTCAAGAGATGATGAGCTTTAAGAATTTGATACATTAGACCATCAAGGATACTCTCGGAGCAGAAATCAAGTGATTCGTGAAGGAACACAGCTGTGTAGATCAATGAATCCATCATGGCATTATCCTCCTTGACCTTGTATCTTGGGAATGATGCCCTAGTTGTGGTGCTCATTGTTATGAACAGATCGTGCTGCTTATTAGTAGACTGGGTTAGGAAGAGCATTTAAGCGTTAGCCATCCACTTCCTTGTGTATCTTGTTTTGGCTTTGTTTTTGCCAGACATGTCCACGGTCTAAACAGCCGGGACACAAAATAGCTGAAAAGTGTCCTGATTAATAGACAGTCTGGTTTAAAGATACTTTTTCATCCTCGATTAACAGGTACCCCAGGCTTCTCGGCTGTTTAGTGGGATTTGGAAAAATGGTAACTTAGATAGGCGGAGTAGTCATCTTCCTACTTACACACTAGAGACCCAAAATAACGTCCATATAGAGAAGTCCTGTTCTCGCCGAGAGCCCTGATGATTTATCATCCATTCCGATAACCCCCTAGCACAAATTCAAAGATACTGTATGCATTTATTTGGAATACTCGGGTTAACATCCAGGGTTTTATCATGTCGAGCATAGTCGCCCGTGTCATGATATATATATACATTTTCATACATGTAACAAGCTAATGATATGAAGCAAAAATGGTAAAAGTAGGTAGTTGAAGGGAAAACATTGTCATATAGAATCATATAGAACTATCTACATACGAGCTTCTCTCCATCGAATAGTGAGTGAGAAAGTACAACAGGAATTTTCAAGATGAATAAGATTATTGATTTGAAGGAAAGGAATAGAATCTCCATTCTATTATCTCTTGATATGATTGGTGTCATTGACTTCAAAGCTTTCATGCGATAGAACAGCAGAGGCTGGAAAGGACTATCGCGCAGCATATTGTATCGTATATCTCGTAGTATCTGTTTACTACAAGAATGACAATATTTTGACTTTGGTAATAATAGATTGCTTTATGTCAAATATACATAGCGAAATGCTATTATCAAAAATCCACTGCAAGAATATTCATTTGGACATCGATGTAAGGTTCACTGCCTTCTACACGATGAACTACATCCACATGCGGTTCTGACACCTATATGTCATCGAGAAGAAAGTACCTGTCTGTGCCAATATATGTACAAGGGATTCTACTGAACCCGCCTAGACAGTTAATGCACAAGAATGGCTTACCACCTTAAAGAGCGATTAGCGTTCGAAGAACAGAATTATTCCAAAAATCCCTAAAAAGTTGACCTTACCATACTTTTTACCACAAGCCGTTTCTATTCCATTTCCTCATATGCAGAATTAAATGTAGAGTGTTCAATCAGACTGTTATTCATACGTCCCTGATTTGTACCACATATGTCTGTATGATTGCTACCGTGGTAGAACCCTGTGCCTCAATCATGCTTCTATTCGTGTCACATAAGGCTCCTGCTCTACTTCGGGAAGTTTTGCGGACTTTCTTCGCTGTGATACAAATTTCGATTTAGGTAAATAGTTGTGGATTGGGAGTTGCAAGGAGTAGTTTTCCAAGTTCTGCATGTAGTGTCTGTCTGCTACCGATCAGATTGGAATAAGGTAGATGCTCGTAAGGTTACCATTCCGCGTTGACAAGCTTCCAGCATTCATTGTATTGTCTGTCGAGTTGTTGATATGTCGTGAATGATTCCCATCAAAATGTACAACGAAGCAATAATAAATTTGATGGATAGCTGTAACCTTACTCTCAATAATAAAAGTGCTCGTACAAAACTCGTACAAATACATAAAGATCTAAGATTTCATCTAAATTGCATCGATATCTCAAAAGATGTTACCCCTCCGACCCCACCAACCCCTCCAAATCCCACTAATCCAATCATGGTTTAGCTCCAAATCATGCATTATCCTCGCCCAGCATTCATCAGGCATCGGACCAACACACACATCATTTGGCCGCTTTCAAGCTCATAAAGCCGAGATATCAGACCACCATTGAACAGGCCACTTTGTTATATCGTGTCATGTAAATTTATCACCACGTACGTTACAACTTGAGATTTCACAAAAGAATGGGAAAGCAGCGGGAGGTGAATGGTTGAATGGTTGGATATGAATATCACAACATGATAGTGGCGGTACATATCGACGGGCCGAGTAACATTAACAGTTTGATGAAGGAGCGAGAGATGAAGATGAGGATGAGAAACAATCGAAAAGAATCTTCTGTAGATGTAGATCTTTTCCTCGTGTTCGGGTTTCATATCAAACAGACTTTAACTTTGTCCAGCCGCAGTCACATTATACAGAGAAGGAGTACTAGAAAAGTTAATAGCTGGAATGAACCCCGCATTCCCCTTGTGCTAAGATACGTGGTGCACTATCAAAGCAGCTTTCCCCGCATTACGGAGTACATGTACGGAGTAAGTTTTAGGAGAAAGTTCGAACTGGGGGAACCTTGTTTGGATGAGAACGGAAAGCTTCCATACTTTGCATGCATTGCAGATGGAGGAACTGCACCAGATGCGTGGTAATGGTAATGGTAATGGTAATGAATTAATGCATTTTTTGTAAGATGCCAATATTCGAATTTCGTCTCGAACATTCGAACAAGGATTAGAAGGGATGCATACTTACCTACTGAATGACATAACGGCTGTTTCCCCAAGGAGTGAACCTCATGACCACGCCATATTGAACTAATATCATTCAAGTGAGTGAATGCTGATATTCGTCTCCAGATTTGAGATGATGCGGAGAAGGGGGTGAAATCATCCTAACTAATTCACATGGCCTTACGCTATGAAAAAAAAATGATATGCATGTAGCCACGTGCATCCATCCATCCATCCATCCATTCACCTCCCCGCCGCGGTATGGTATCTAACATACGTACCGAGCCTGTGTACCAAGTACCTAGCACAGTAGATAGTAATCTTACCTCCACAATCTACTACTCCGTAGGTCAGGTAATCAGCACCAGTAAGTAAGTACCTACCTAGTATTCCGAGACTTCCACAAATCCGAGCTGTAAACTCTAAATGTATCCAACCAATAAGAAATCCACAATCCACAAAGAGACGCAAGCATTTGTGCATGCGTGACTGTCGATCAGGACGGGGTGGATAAACTTTCACTAATAGATCGTATGATGTTGTGATGATTTCATTATATTGGGGTATATATATACCTATATTCATATCATATCATATCATTTCCATTCAATAATCGTACGATTCTTTCCAATTTTCATAAAAAAGTTTAACTTTATCTCGCTTCGATTTGGAAAACATAACCAACCTCTTTTTACCTACCTACGGATTAAAAATTATCCCATTCATCTCAACCACCTACCTACCTACCTATTTCCTTCCCCACACAATCACAACCACCAATATAAACCAAAAATATGGAGAATCTCCCCACAGAACAATGGGCACAAGTAGTCGAAGAAACCGGAAAACGTAAGCTAAATTGCAATTAATATGCTCCCGCTAATTCAAACTCCAATGCCGTACTAATCAATCCACCAGCCGTCGTGTACAAAAAAATCCCCGTCCAAAAACCCGGACCGGATGAAGTTCTCGTGCACATAAAATATTCCGGAGTATGCCACACTGATCTCCACGCCGTGAATGGCGATTGGCCATTAGAGAGGAAACTACCACTTGTAGGTGGTCACGAGGGAGCAGGAGTCGTTGTTGCTGTGGGAAGTCTTGTTGAAGATGTGAAGATTGGTGATTATGCCGGTGTTAAGGTAAGTTTTTATGATTAATTTTTCTATATTATCCCCATACCCACATAGAAGTGAAATAAATAAATAAATAAAATACTAATGCGAAAGAAAAGTGGTTAAATGGAAGTTGTCTCGCCTGCGATTTTTGTCAACAGGCCGATGAACCACTTTGTCCCAAAGCACTTCTCTCAGGCTACACAGTCGATGGAACATTCCAACAATATTGCATAGCCAAAGCCGCTCACATAGCTCGGATCCCCAAGGAATGCGATCTCGAAGCCATAGCGCCCGTTCTTTGCGCCGGAATCACCGTGTACAAAGGATTAAAAGAATCCGGAGTTCGACCTGGCCAAACCGTTGCGATTGTTGGTGCTGGAGGCGGATTAGGTTCGCTTGCTTGTCAGTATGCTAGAGCTATGGGTTTGGATATTATAGCTATTGATGGAGGGGCCGAGAAACAACAGATGACTAAGGAGTTGGGTGCCCAGCATTATGTTGACTTTATGTCGAGTAAGAATTTGGTTGAAGATGTGAAGGCGTGCACGAGTGATGGACTTGGACCACATGCTGTCATTTTGGTTGCTGTTAATGAGAAACCGTTCCAGCAAGCGGCCGAATATGTTCGACCACGTGGTACAGTCGTCGCTATTGGTCTTCCAGCTGGTGCCTATCTTCGCGCGCCAGTTTTCGAGTCGGTTATTAAAATGATTACTATTAAGGGATCATATGTTGGTAACCGAAAGGACTCTGCTGAGGCAATTGAGTTTTTCAGACGCGGTCTTATCAAGTCTCCATATAAGACATGTGGTTTGAGCGAGTTGCAGAAGGTTTATGATTTGATGCATGAGGGTAAGATTGCTGGACGGTATGTTGTTGACACCAGCAAGTGATTGGTTTGGTTTGACTGTAATGGGAGTTGTGGAACGAAAAGGGTATTGGCGTGAAGTATAAGGTCATGGATTTGATTGGAGGTCTTTGTTCGGTATTTAGATACTGGCAGTGCATTCAGTAAGGAGTACGTAACGGCAATGAAAGTAAAATAGTACAAAACAGGACTTACTTGATATTTTGTGATGCTGTGTTCGTATCTTGACAAGTGGGTAAGGTGATGGCGGGAAAATGGCGGCCTTTGATAATCACTCTCATTTCTTCTGGCAACCATGACCAACCTACGCCCAATCTAATATTAGAAGGTCCCGATCTCTCGTTAAGACATAGAATCAGTGTCTCCTCACGCCACAAAACATACTAATCTCCAGCCATCCCACCACCATGGACCCGGGTAAAAGATGATTCTTTTTGTTGCATATCTCAGTCCTACCAACATAGGTAGCACGTATGCAGCCACAGAAAGAGCAAGTAAAAAGATATCTTTTGTTGCATATCTCAACACACCAGGAGTGGTACGGAGTACAAGATGTCGGGAAATATCAATATAGATCTAGCTCACACGTATACAATGAGGCTAGTGTCTCCTTCCACCACCTTTGCCAAATGTTGACCATACCTCATCCAATGTGCCTCGGATTTTGTGTAATGTGTCGGCATGTTTTTGTTGCACGTCTGAATGAAAAATTCACAGGTAATACACTATCAAATTGAATGCAAGATGATCACTAGTGTTCACGGTGTGCAACTAGCATTGGCTCAAAAAGACGCCGAGGAATTTCCCACTCAAGGCTCCTAGGATTGAGGGATGAATCTCAACTTTTGTTGCATATCTCAAAGAAACCAGCACAAGTAACACAGCTTAAGCAGGTAGTACTGGTATCCATTAGTTTGGTTCGAGGACCTTGTATGTGACCAACCTCGCCCGCCGAGCACGATATCATCTTCTTCCCCACGTTTTGATGCATATCTAGGTCAAAACAACGCATGTAACACAGTTCCTTTAAGCATAGATCGTGTGGATGCACTTTCGGAGAATAGGATCATGCATCTTGGGAGCCGACGGAATGTAGTGTTCAAATTGGTAACATTCCACAAATGGAAGCATCTCGCCTAGATAAAAATAGGTAACAAACGTAGAGTCCATTATCTTCTGACATTGGTTCGATATAAGGTCATGTGTGTCTGCACTGTGGTGGGCAAGACTGTGTGTATTGGTAAATAAAGAAGTGTTACGATTTCCGCATATCTTAGCCAAGTCACCAAGATGCTAACACGAATCTTAAAGCCCAATGCACCTTAGAATCATCTAGCATTGGTTCAGGAAAGGCAGCTCATACGTGTGGACATGTGGCGAACATGGTTGTCGTGTCCGTGTACGTGTACGTATATATGCATATCATGAAATAATGTAAATACAAATAGTAGTGAGCATTTTCAAAGAGGGGTGTTGAGATCCTCAAAGCGGGGTTGAATGGGGGTTCAATGTCGAAAACTGTAATAGATCATATTGAGTGTCTCGTGAGATCGTTGACCATCAAGCACTAGGTTCGAGGGATCGGGAAAAATCCAACCAAGTAACATGACATTTTGTTCTTGGGTCTGCAATTTGACTTGCATTGATAGTGACTAGTAAAGCTCAACGACCACATCTTTTCGCACTTGAAGAAAAGGTAGGACAACTTACAATACTACTGGTACCGATAGTATCAGTACATTGCAGTACAGTAAGTTTGTAGTGTCAGGTCCAAAATCAGTGTCGATGTCGGAGCCAACGCCGGTATCAATATCGGTATCAGTACAGTACCTCGTCAAACTTCTTGCGCAAGAATCATATAAACAGATTTGATCCGAGGAAAAGAGGAATTATTTCTCATCTAATAGAAATCTCTTCAAACTTTTATTTCCTTGATTACTGCGCAGTGACGTTGTGAAGTTCTGCTATATGATGCCATAGTTATCATGGAGACATCTCCGCGATTAGTAGTATGGTAAGATTAGATATCGATGTCAATATCCCATCATCCAAACGAACCCGTACATTTTCCATGGTTGCAAGAAATGCATGGTTGCCAGCACATGATGTCGCGAAGATTGCTGTTCGCCTTGTAGAGCACATGCATCTTCCCCTGAAAAATGGATTTCCCCGCCTACTCGTCCATCCTAATCATTTGACAGCCCTATAATCTAGTCATTTTGATTACTTTCCGCCTGTTGTAGATAATTCATTGTATCTAGTCTAAAAAATCGCCCTTGATCCTATTTACCTCGTTGAGTCATTGCACGTCGCAATCGATCACTACTATCCTCCGTGGAAAAATGAAGGCCATGATGATTTTGGGTGTCACTGGATGCAGATCACCATTGACGAAAGCCCGGCTTCGACCAATCTGGCGGACCAAACAGGTCAATGTGTGAGATTTGAGAATGTCACTGTGGCACAACCCGGCCCACCTCGATCTTGGGTTGTATAACGATCCTGATTCCAATATCTTTTCGAGATGTGAGATGGTCTTGAATGTGATAAACTTGTTTGCATAGATGCTTCTGGATCTCATCATATGATATCATAATGTAAAATGATGATGAGGCTGGACAGTTGGAGATAATTCATATGAGATGATATAGTACGGAGTAGTAGGTAGTGAGTAAATGAGGAAAGATTGGTGTTCATGCTTAGATAATCAACAAGCATTTTCCACTTAACATGGTTTATCAGTAACCGGAACATATCAGTAACCGGAACACTTTTACCTCAATTACCGCCTCTCAACTTTAACACGCGATAAATCCATATTCAACCTTTCAAATCAATATACAAGAGTCGCAAATTAATCTAGCCATTCAAGCTATTGCTTCATTCAAAAAACTAAGTATACGAAGAGCTGCTAAAATCTATAATATACTGTATACTACCCTTATTTATAAAATAACCAGTCGAATGCCGAAAACTGGATCTCGATCAATATATTGTAAAATAACGGAATTAGAAAAGAAATCGCTTTTTCAATATATAATTAATATAGACAAGAGAGGATTTAGTCCTCGAATAAATAATATAGAAGATATAGCGAATTATATACTCGAAATGTAGGGTGCGAAGAAGATTGGAAAACTTTGGGCTTTTGTCACGATTCACCATCACGTCGGACAAGTAGGGATCACGTGATGGAGCCTCCAGGAGCATAGGCTCCTCCAGGCTCCTGGAAAGGACCAGTATATAAACATTCATTATTTTCACAGTATAGGAGCTTCGTGCTCAACTTAGTTATCAATTAGTTTACCTACATTCTACTTGATCTAGTAACGACTTCACTTCCAAGTGAATACCAGTGATAAAGCCTTAACCCATAATTACCAACCGACGAACCTTAGGCAGCCGCTGCCTTCAGTACAGAATCGTTACAACAAGCTACTATACAACGATATAACAAATATGATAATACTTTATATAATGCACAAACTTGTCAATTAGATCCAACATTAATTGATCTTTAAATTATATATAATTTAATTCTAATTTATAGTATTGTTGTAATTTTATTTTAATGGAATGTGGGCAATTGAGGTAAAAGTGTACAGGCTACCTAATATAGTATGTGGATGATTAATAAGTCTGTGCTTAATAAGCTACACTCGCGTGTCATTGACGCGACCGATAACAGATAGCGACGCGTTGAGGCAACGATAGATTGATTAATTGATTGACCTGCTACTTAAGTATACACAACACAATTTACCTATTACGACTCGACAACAATAATACGAATTTGGAGAGGAAAATGCCTTCAAAACAAAAGTCAAAACCAAAAGGAAGTGCACCTGCAAATCGAATATACAAATCAGTCGAACCATTACATCAAACCACATTTCCAGAGAAGAAGAAGCGTGTAACTAGGGGTTATGGCAAGGAATCCGCGGTCAAGCTTGATAAACAGGATACACTGACACAGATGGATTGGGTGAAACTCTATGAAAGAGAAGCACTGGAAAAAGAAATAGAAGATGATATCGAGGATAGTGAAGGGGATTATGAGCAAGAGGAATCGAAACGAAAGACGAAACGAAGGAGGACTATGGGTGATGAACCAACCGTGAAGAGGACAAAAATGTCGAAGAATAGAAGGAGAACTCTGGTGGAAGAAGGAAGGACACCCAGTTTCTCGACACAAACGATTACAAAACTTGATTATTGGCCACTTTCCGGAGCATCTAAAGAACCAGAAGATGATCCCTCAATTTATGATATCCCTTTATCCAGCCCGACAGCGGTAGAGCCACCTCGACGGAGTCCCAGAAATACTTCCCAGCCTGCTGCTCCCGCTTCTACTGGATTGATGCCTCCACCACAAACACCAAAACACAGGAAGGTTTTAGAGATCCCATCATCACAGTCACCCGCCACACCAACGTCAAGTCGGTTTGGATATTCTGCACAAAGGCGGTCACCATTAAGAGAACAATCCGCAAACGTTGCAATTCCATTTTCCCTACGATCAAAGACTTATATGAGTGCTGAAAAGCTACCGAAATTAAAGGTCGAGGATACTTATGAAACTGGGACGGATGAAAGCCAAGTGGTTCGAACTCCTTCAAAGCATTCAAGTCCACCGAAAACTGTAAGATTTGCTGTACCCGAGCCCAATCCAGAGCCATTACTGGTAAAGACTCCTATAAAACAAGAACCTGCCACTCAGCGCGGCTTTTCGCCATCACCTATACGTCAACGAGAAATTCCAGCGCCTAAGAATATCAAATTCGAGATTTTAGATTCTGATGCCGAGGAGGACGAAGAAGATGAAGAATCACAAGTTATAGCAGACACACCTATCGAAAGTACTTCCAGCTACGAAGATCATACGAATATGGAAGATGCAAATGAGAATATAGTTGAGCCAGGACAGGACGATACGCTATTAGATATTGGACAGACAGAAGGCGACGCCGAGAAGGAATTAGAACTTCCAGAAACGTTTTATGGAGATATTGCAGCAGACACACAATTTCAGGCCGAGAGGATAATGTCGTCTTCCAGTTTGAGTGATGTCAAGGAGGATACTCCACTATCTGAAGACATACCCAAAATTGTCCATTATGGCGGTAGTCAATATCAACAGAGCCAGAATCACACTACCCAGCACACACAGACCCAGCACCGCCAAACTCAACTAACCCAAACTTATACCCAATTCGGTAAAAGTCAATATCCCGAAAGTCAAAGACTCTCCACCCAACAACTTGATGCTATGGCACCTAGATCAGAAACCTCCGATATATTCATCTCCATATATCCTACTCACGTGGAAGACATTATATCTCGCAAAAAGAACCACGAATTCCGATCGTATAACTTCCCATCCACAGTATCCCGTATCTGGATCTACCAGACTAGACCGGTATCGACCTTGACTCATATGGCGGTCGTTAGTGCCCCAAAATCACCTGGGGAGATAACGAATCATGATGGGCTCGGTAATGCCGAGTTTAATAAGGGTGATAAACGTTCCAAGGTTGCATATGAAATTCTAGAATTATATGCACTCGCAAATCCAATGACCTTTGAAGAATTGAAAAGTCGTCAATGGTTCAAAGCGGCACCACAAAAATACGCCAGAGTACCACCTGCAGTCTTAGGTGAATTGATTGCAAATTTGTTACCACCTCTATTCGCACAGTCTTCATCATCTCTTTCTCCCTCAGAAGCAGATGCTTCAGAAGGTGCACATCCGACACCCATTCTTCACCGAACATCCAGCACGAGCACCGAATCCCAAGAAGTACAAGATCAAATCACAAATAATATTCAACAATTTACGCAAGCACAAGCACCTTCATCTTCACCTCCGCTCGCTACACCAACTCCTGCAGTACATGTACCATCTTCACCTCCGCTCGCTACACAAACTCCTGCAATACCTGTACCATCTTCAAAGAATGGTTCTGTAAAGTCATCACAAGCTTCAAGTGTTGATTGTACGCAGACACAAACACCTATTACACCGAGTCTTACACATAGAGAAAGCCCTATTCTAGAGATGATCCCAGAGTCACCGATGAGATCTCGATCTATTCCTTCCTCTTCGCGTGGGAGTAGTCCGGTGCTGATGTTGTCACCGGTTGTTCCAAGGAGGGTTATCGGAGTTGAGAGTCAGGATGAGGGAGAAGAAGATGATTGCCCGGTTGCAGCAATGACACACAAGAGGAGGATTATTGAGATTGATAGCCAGAGTGAAGATGAAGACAATGAAGAAGAGAACGACGAAGATGTAGATGAGGAAGAGAACAAAGACAAAGATCACTCCCATCACATTACAGGAGAGCAAGAACAAGAACCACACCTTCTATCCTCAACACCCCTCCACTACTCTCTAATCCACTCGTCCCAAATCATGTCGCGTAGTCAAATGATGCGAGAGCAAGATAGTTTGATGGAGGAGGAAATTATGGGGCCACCTCCTTCGACCATGCATAGACATGAGGGATCGAGCTGGGATGAAAGAGGAGATGAGGAGTTGTGAGTTGTGGATGAGGATATGCGAAGGGTGGTGTAGACGAACGTGAGAAGAGAGAAAAGGGGCGTTTGATGGTCAAGCACGTTGTGTTACATTGATTTATTATATACGGGGTTGGATGGGTCTAGAAGCTTGAATACAGCACTAGTGGATAGTTCTAGATTTGATTACATTGGTATAGCGAGCAAGGATATAGCTTAATATTACCTCTAATTTTTTTGTTTCTCAATAGCAATAGCTAATTTATAGTATTGACACTACCGTAAAGCACAGTTTGGACGTGGCGCATATTTACTCATCGACACATGCCTCCACGAGATTTCTCAACTATACACCTAGCAGACTCCTTATCCCAGAGTATTGGTTCCAACTGTGTGACCCGTACCATTCATGTTATCATTCATCCCCGCCAATGAAACCTGACCTCACCTCCATTCTTCAAAATACCAATCTCCATCCCACTCCAATTCTAAAGCAGAATCCGTGATAATGCCATTTAAGGCCCCCGGCCATCCATCCCCTTCTATCAAACGAGCGGTTATCTTCCGATCGTCTACATTCTTCTCGTTACCCTCCTATAGCTAGAAAAAGCTTCTGTAAAAGAATATCCAGTGAGAGCAGGGCTTAGCGGATCAACAATTAAAGCACCCCAGTTCCTCCAAATGTCGTTCCTCCGACTCGCGAACATTCGAGGGTAAAGCATCTCTCGTCGATAAACCCCTCCTAGATTTAAGTATACTTATACTTGTGCTCTGGCTCTGGCTCTAGCTCTCTAGAAATTTTACCCAGAGCCAAACTTCATGAAACGAAAGCGATTTTGCACCTCGCAAGTTATTTTGCAACGATACAGAATTGCGAATTAAAAATGAGGGAATATAGACATTAAAATCCCGCGTTCTGCTGGTTGCCTAGACACATTGGCAGCAATTAATATCTCAAATATTTGCCTCCCAACAATCAATACCTACTGAGTACTCACACCTGCGCCATCAATTGAGGCTATCCCATCCCCATAAAATCTTCTTTCGTCCACCAAACCTCGTAAAAAGTCCAATGTTGGTCCTCAAATAATAAACAGAGGAAAAGGCGTACGTCATGGTCATGTTATCCACTTCTTCGCAGGGCTGTATATTAGCCACGGGGTAGGTGATCCAAGCCGGATACCGGATAGCTCGTCCAATCAGACATGAGGTTGTTAATTTACTATGCATGTCGGGTCAGCCTTATAGGTCCAGACTTGCATGTTGCGAACCTTGGGCTGCCATTTTGATGAGGCCTTGTTGGCCGAGTAGACAAATATCACGGCACAAGATCCGAATGACCCCTCTTTTGGGAATGTCTCTCTCCACGGAGAAGTGCACCAGTGTGAGGAATGTGGTAAAATCTTAATTCTATCTGAGATTTGAAGAAACGTGTCATACTTTAATAACATATAAATAGGAGAGGATCTGCAGAGTTTAAAAAAAAGTTCTGACATTGTTTTTGTGTGTTTATTGATTTTGAGGTGGTACCTGAGTGAATGTCAATCTAGAATCCAGAATTAAGCCGTCATTTACCAAAGGCCGACGAGATCGAAGTGAGCAACTCGACCACAACCAAATTTATATTCCTTCTCATTGTCAATTGGTGAACATGAGTACATCTCCCTCATCAGCAGAGACAGAAATGTCACTCACAAGTGATTATGAGAGATTGAACTCAATCACTACGGAGGACTCAAGGACGAGCGAATCAGACGATATCAAGAGTGCAACTAAGGGGAAAGGAATGCCATTGGGTATCCAACAAACTCAGTCAACTCCGACATTTCTAAGGCGAGAGAGATCATCAACACTTTCAATGTTGATGAGACGGCAAACTGATGAGGAATCGGTTGACAGTGGACCGAAGTCTGCGGGGTTTTTGGATAAGAGGTCGAGATTTGATGGGACGAGGAACAGAGGGAAGGCAGGAAAGAAGGACGGAGTTAAGAGGAGACATTCTGGTAATGAACGTGCGAATGTTTATACTCAGTAAGTTTTTTCAAGGACTTTGAGTTATTATTCACACTCTTCGAGCACTATGCTGAGAGTTTGAATTTCTTTTTGTGACGATGCTTATATTGCCGTTTACTAACTTGAGAATCATAGATGCGGACGACATTCAGACGACTGGTTATTTGGAGGGTTTTCTGTTTCGGGTGCAGTGAAGAGAATTTGGCAGAAGGATGGCAAAGATTCTGGTTGAAGTTTGGGAGATGGAATAATGGAACGAAATACACATTGATGGAAAGAGAAATGAGAAAGGAGAATCGGGAGTCGAGACCTACCTCGAATTGGTCGACATATACGCATATCAGAATGAAGATACCTAGGGACCGGCTATAGCGAGGGAAAGAGATCCACGGCGAGCATCTTTGTTCCGGTTATATTACTGTTGGGGAGGAATTTGGTGATGGATGATTGATTTACCTCTCATCTTGGGAGAAAATACTTTGGTGTTGAGCACCATGAGTGATTTGGAGAGATTTTGATTCTTTCACATAATTTATATGTCAGATTTGACAATTGGTCGATGAATATAAATTCCCATGTATACCCGAGTAATACCATAATTGATGTTTATTAATGCAATGATTTTGGTGAAGAGTTATAAATTTCACATGAACGCTAAGCTTTCACTTGTAATGAAGCTAGGACGCGCTAGACCCCAAGCCCCAAGCCTAGCTAGCATTCGGGAAAAAAAGTTCAAAGCTTGAGGGGATCAAAATTTTGACTTCTCGCCATCATAACATTATTCCAATTCTTCCAATGAACCAATTCATCATCTACTATTAGTTTAGACTTAGACCTTCCTTGATGTTAAAATTTAGAAGCATTTCAACAACTTTCCTTTCAAAGCCCTTATTATACAAATTTACTCCAATTCGATCTTATAACTTCTTCGCAATGACTCCATCGGCAGATCAAGGACCAGATCGAAAAAGAAAACAATTTCAAGGAGGTCGAGGTCCTAAGAGACAAAAGGTTTTCAAGCCAAAGCCAGTGAGGGAAGGATCATCTGAGGAAGTTTTAATAGCAGATGTGCGAGCATTGTTTGCGGCGCAAAAGATTGCCAGTGCTTCACAAGCTCCAATTGAGAATGGAAATATCGAATCTGCGAATGGGGAAACTGGAGCTGAAAAACAAGAATCAACATCAGCTGAGGTAGCGCATGTTTTGGCAGATGCTACATCAGAAGTACCCTTACCGGAGCGTTTCTCAGAAATCGAGGTGAAGGTTGTGGAGATATCATCTACCGGAGACGGGCTTGCGCTACACCCACCTACCAATAGAATATACGTTGTACCATTCAGTGTACCAGGAGATATTGTAAAGGCAAAAGTTATTACGCATTTCCCGCAAGAAAACTACTCTATGGCAGATTTCGTTTCTGTGGTTGAGCCATCCCCTCTTCGAGACGATAGTCGAGTAAATTGCAAATACTTCAGCAAATGTTCAGGATGTCAATTTCAGATGCTGGACTATTCGACTCAATTACAACATAAGAAAACAATCGTTGAGAAGGCATACAAGAACTTCTCCCAACTTCCTCCCGAACTTGTACCAGCTATTCAAGATACGATTGGCAGTCCTTTGCAATATGAATATCGCACAAAACTTACACCACATTTTGATGGGCCTCCAGGTTACAGGAGTAGGGTGCACAGAAGGAACGATAACAAAGCTGCCTTTGAAAAAGTACCAGATATTGGATTTATGCAAAAAGGAAAAAGGGCTACCTTGGATATCGAGGATTGTCCAATAGGAACAGATGCAGTAAGAATGGGAATGAAGACTGAGAGAAAAAGAGTAGCAGATGAACTTCACAAATACCAAAGAGGAGCCACGATTTTATTACGAGAGAGCACGAAAAGAATTTACAAAGGCGATCCAGAATATCAAGAGGATATGGAAACACCACCTAACACTATCAAAGTTACAACTCCAGAGTATACTGATTTAAAAACTTGTATCACGGATAATAAAGGGGAATCAACCGAATACATTGATAGCTTCCTTTTCACCAGCATCGCAGGATCATTCTTTCAAAACAACAATTCTATCCTTCCCGTTTTCACACAATATATTCGAGATCACGCCTTACCACCTCCAGGATCCTACTCTCCAGACTTACCCAAGATTCAATATTTAATTGATGCCTACTCTGGATCCGGACTCTTCACCATCACCCTCTCATCTCTCTTTAAATCCTCCACTGGGATCGACATTTCAGATGCTTCTATCATATCCGCACGTCGCAATGCTGAATTGAATAAACTAGACGCATCGCGTTGTAGTTTCATGGCAGCCGATGCACCAAAACTTTTCAAACAAGTCACCTATCCTAGAGATGAGACGGTTGTTGTTATTGATCCTCCTAGAAAAGGATGTGATGAGAGTTTTTTGAGTCAATTATTGAAATTTGGTCCAAGGAGAGTTGTGTATGTTAGTTGTAACGTACATACCCAAGCGAGGGATGTAGGGGTACTTGTTAAGGGGGGGGAGAATGGAGTTAGGTATGAGATTGAGAGTTTGAGAGGTTTCGATTTTTTCCCACAGACAGGTCATGTGGAGGGGGTGGCGGTGCTCAATAGAGTTGATGAAGGTGGGGTTGGGGCTGGGGAAGTAAAGAGTGGAGATGAAGAGATGAGTGATGTCAAGGAGGAATCTGTCAATGAAGCACCGGCTAAAGAAGAACCGGTTAAGGAAGAATCTAAGCAGGAATGACTGAAGGAAAAACGAATGATAGAGATGGAGAAATAAAAACTGGGTTAGCTAAGCTTGCTTTTCCGGCTGGACGATAATATTCATATTGGTAGCCAATAAAAATATTATCAAAATAATCACAATTATTACTTATCTCAATTTTCCATCTCCGTCCCCAGTTTTGTTTTTTGTTCTAATCCCCCGCATGTATGTATTGTGGGAATTCCCCTCCAGCTCATAATAACAAAGTAGCATCTGATAGGAGGAATTTAATTCTCCTACTTTTTAAATAACTTTTTTGGTTTGCATTTTGTTTTTGATCTTGTTTTTGATCTTCATTTTTGATTTTTGATTTCGGGTGTTAGTGGGATGGGTGGGTTCTCGGATCTGATTTCTGCGGGATACGATACATAGATGATAGTACATACTGGATCTTGATCTTGATTTTTGGTTTGGTTTTTGTGGAGGGGGGTTTACATGTGATGAAGTGAATGGATATTTCGGGAGTTATCGTATCGGTAGATGTGGTGTGTGTGGGTTTTTGTGGTAGGCCGCTGATGTAGGTGGAGATGGCAGATGTTGAGGTGGATGTGTGTGTGGGTATGGAGAAAATCGGAGAGTTGAAGTTGTGGACACTAGAGGGGTATTAGGGGTGGAGTTTGTGGGTGAATGTTGGGTTTGAATTTTGGATTTTGAATTTTGTGAATTGGATGTGGGATGTGGGATTTGGGAGGATCTTTGATTGATATTGGGATGTGGGTGGTTGCTAGTTGCTAGTGGATAGTTAATGTTTTAGTTAGAAGTTGGAAGAGGATGGGGATGAGAATGAGAATAGAAAGAAGAAGAGGGAATTTCGGCCCGGAGCGAGAGGTGGAAAACTTGGTATTTGACATTTGGAGGTTGGAAGTTGGAGGTAGAAGATTTTGGATTATGTTATGTGTGTTTGTTTTAGGAAAAAAGATGTAAGAGGTTATTGGGATTATTTGTTGGTAATACTGATTTTTGATTCTTGGATTATGAATCTTGGGTTTGAAATTTTTCTATTGGGGAGGAGTATGTGGTGGGTAGAATGGGTGGGTTGGAGAGAGTAGAGACAGGATATGGACGGATCTGCCTTTTTATATATTTGTTATTAGAACCTGGTAAGAAATATATGTAAGATAAGAAATAGGTAAGGGATTTGAGGTATAGGATAAGAAAGAAGTGAAGGGAGATATTGAATAGATCTATAATAAAATAGTAGTTCTAAATTTATATTCTAGAATTCACAAGAGAGTTGTAGCATTTTAATATATTATATCGAGAATCAAAACTAAATCTTAAAACCAAAATAGAAATCAAAATCCAAAATAATATCTTAGATTACAAATAAACAAAATAGTTCTATCAAAGAAATAGTAACCCATCCGTCTACCCTCCATCCCTCGAACCCTAAACTCGAGCTCGTCAATACCCTCAACCTAACACCTATGCCCTAACCCCCTATCCTATCTTATCCTATCCTGTCCTATCCGATGGGCTTCTTATATAATTGTGACTATATCTATCATCTATCATCTATCATCCATGATTCATAATGCACATCTAGATTTTCCCATCCCTAGGGCTTAGATATAGAACTACTTGCTAAATGTAAGTAAACTTTAGTCTCCAATCTAAATAACCTTACCAGACTTTGAAGTTTGAACTTCAAATCTAACCTCAAGCCACCAAAAACATACAATAAATCCCCTCCTCTAGCAGACACACACACAACATACTCGTGTCTCGCCCTCATTTCCTCTCCTTTCAATTCGTCTCGTACTAATACATATATACATTCTACATTCCACCTCGAGCTCTACACTCAACATCCATAAACGATATCCCACCTCCAGAACAACCTATCAAAAATCACATATCCACCACATTACACAGCATAGCGTATAAGCAATGCAGACATACAAAGAAACAAGCCGTTGTGTACATTTTCTATTCTCCTTTAATTTTCCTGTCTATATTCTCCTTTTCTTCCCTTTTGTGTCCGTGTATATATGTGTGTAAGATTTCATTATTTATTTATCTATTCCTTCATATATATACATACAAATAAAAAATCCATAGCTTTTCCAAATTCAAACTCCAGCTCAAGCTCAAAATCAAACTCCACATCCAATACCAGCACCAGTACACATCATACACCTATTCCCTCCCACAAATTGAAACTCCCCATAATCATCCATCACATATACCGCCGTACCAGTCAGTACCCTAGACTTGTAGTTGTAGGATTAGCACTTACCTCGTACCCAGCAGACTCGGAAAAAATACCTGCCTGGTACATTGAAGAGCTAGTGAAGCTGGTGGAGCTGGTGATTCAAATACATGCAGTGTATGCGGTGCATGTGTTTTGCATGAGGTTGATGGATGGATAGATGGATGAGTGGAATGACGAGAGGGACTCGGGAGTGCTATATGTAGGTAAGTAGGTATGTTGTGATTATTTGGATATTTTTGGATGTGGCTTGGTTGTGGTTTGCTTGTGGTTGCGAACTTGTGTTTTTTATTGGACTGATTGATGGTTGGAATATTTTGGATTGAAGATTTGATTACTTAATTACTTGATTATTTGGATTTTTGGTGGTTTAGTGATTTTGTGGTTTTAGTGAAGGCATAGAGATGATATCAGAGATGAAGATGCTGATGAATAACTCACTATTAAAATTTAATGTGTTGAGAGATTGGCCTTTTCCATATGTAGAAGAGGTAATGAAGATGGAGACAGGAGATTAAATATCAAGAATACAAGAAACAACAGTAGAAAGCCACATATTTACTCCTAGATCTACTCCAAAAATCAAAAATTATAATACCACACGAGTACTGAAACTCCTCATCACATGCATCAAAGTTTTTCGGATAACCTCAATCTTAGACATCAATGAAAGGACCTCATCACGGCTAAAGCTTTTTCCCCAACTTCAACTTCACCCGATACCAGCAAGCAATTGCAACATCCACCCCATAGCATAGCATATAAATCCCACCTCAATCCCACGTGCGTCTATCTGTTTACTCATCACATGGAAATTCAAGAATTAAGAATCATAAATCCCCTCTTCATGTGATTATCACATATATCCCCACTATTAGGTGAATTCCCCATCGGTAAATTTAGGAAGTAAATTTCGGGATGAATTTTGCGTTTTCACGTTCTTGTTCATATGCACTATAAAGTAAAGGTACAAACAAACAGACTCGGAGTTTACCCACATGTATATATACCCATCTACTTACCTACCTTAGGCTACTCGAGTACAGTACATATGGTGTAAAGATATCCACATGTTGCCTTTACCTCTGTCTGGTGTATACTCCGTATACATCATGTAAGTTTATTTGTGTGCTGGTATTGCTTTATGTATATGTATGTATGTATGTATGTATGTACTGTAGTATGGTATGGTATGTACAGAAGGATAGTTAAAGTTAAACAACAGAGCACAGTACAGCAGAGTACAATACCAAGGGTAAAGTTACCCCATCTGGAATGAAGAGCGAGCGAGCAGTTCGCATCACCATCTTCATACTATCCATCAGTCAGTGACATATTGAGGATATCTAGTCCCTATAGTTCATAAGTACTCGGATGTAATAGCTTGGCTTGAGAATATAGTACATACATACATACACTGTACAATAATCAATGTACATATAAACTCCGTACGGAGTATACACCACATAAACAAACACCAACGCCGTCTTCAAAGTTCAAACACAATACAATATGCAAAGAAGAAAATTTTTCTCGAGCAAGGTGTCGATTACTAAATTTTAATAAAATCTCCAAATGGATAATCAGCTTGGAGGGATATCGATGTGCCATGTGGAGATGAGATGGATAAAATAGTTCCTCTGTATGAGGGAGGGATTGCTTGGATAATTTGGACGGATATAGTACAGCAATTTGTGAAAAGTTCGGTACTCGTAGGTATGTACCCATCTTTCTATGATTCTGCATGCTATGCTCCGTATTGTGGAGTTATGTGGGATACATCATGAAAGGTGAAGAGGGTCTTTTGATTTCCTCGTGATATGGTACATATATTGTATTGTGTACAGTGCACTGCATATGGAGTACATACTATATACCTCCGTGGAGAGAGTAAGTATACTCGAGTGTGATATTTCGTGGAGCAGAGTGGATGTGTATGTATGTACTATGTACTATGCACGTCTAGAGCAAGTACAGAGTATAGTGGAGGTATGTAATATAAAGAAAGTACTTAATAAACAACCGTATGCAGTAAATAGCTACGACATAATACATGAGGGGTGGAGGGGCAACACAAACAACAAAATCCACAGCCGAAAAAAAACCCTAAGATTCAAAAATCTTCCGCAAGTAAGTTTACGACCACCAGTGAACTGGAAGTACAGTATTAGAGCGAACTACACTCACAAGTGGGATGAACACCAAAGGTCGAACAACATGTTGTGCAGTAGTAGTAGCAGTAGTAGTATTTTAGAAAAAAGCTTGGGACGGACTACTTAATAGACTAGTCATGTAAGGATGCCCAGCTGCGGCTCAATTTTGCCCAGTTGGCTGCATGTTTTATTTTGTGAGTGATTTTTATAGAGGGAGTGTACTAGGGTTAATTTGGATATTGTTTTCTTTTCTTTTTTGTTTCGTTTTTTTTTTTCTTTTCTTGGTGGAGATGTATGGAGTAGCTTGGACGGAGTAGGTAGGTATGATGGGAAGAAAGAGAAGGAGGGGTGAAAATGATGTTATGACCGCGGGTACTTTTTGGTGGGATCTTGAATACTGTGGATAGATAGGTAGGTAGGTACTAGGTAAAGACTAGGATTTTTCATCTGAAAATTTCTAACTCTGTGAAGTGAGGAGGGGAGAATATGCAGGTAGATAAGGAATCGAAAAAAAACCAATACAATAAAACAAATGGCAGAATTATTTTGATGAACGGAATCGAAGGAGGGAGGGGAGTGTGGGGTCACTGATTGAATTGAATGGAGGGGTAAAAAGTCGAGGGATGAATAAATTCATTCATTCATTCATGATTTGATTGGATTTGGTTTGATTATCATACCACAACACATTATAATTCAGTGTATACCTATGTATAGAATACACATTGAAAAACACCACAGCAACGAAATCCTCGAGTCCAACTCAAAACTCAACTCGACTTCTCCCGAAGAAATTAGAATAGATATGTCGTGACATGTGATATACATGTATATGAGTTAGGGTTTTTGGCGAAAATAAGTGTACTTCTTTTGTATATACAGGAGAGAACATCTTATTAAGCTAAGATTATTACAACATCATTCTCTACCTACCTAGCTACATAGCTACATAACATATACGAAAGCTAGCGTAGACAATCGGCGAGTAGTATCAATAAGATGATGAGATGAGATATTTGATTTGAAATGAATCACAGGAGTAAAATTACCTCAAACACCTCATACGTCTGTCGAATATCGAAAATCCATCCTAGCTAGACATTTAGATGTTGTGGTTTGGTGTTCGTTGATGTTGTGTATATGAGTATATGTATGTACTAAGGATTACTCGCCGACATAGACTCACTTACACGCACAGTCACTCCGACTAGAAATTCATCTGTTTACCGTTTACTGTTTATTGTGTTGTGTAGTGTGATGTGAAATGTTGATTTGATGTACGCCAATTCGTGATGTGAGTGAGTCATTAAAATCATAATTACCGTTGCGGTTTATGAAGTTTAGCCAGTCAGCCAGCCAGCCAGCCAGCACATGGAAGTTTGTTAATATCAAATTTACGTTGATTTGACGGTGAGGTGTGGCTTAAAGATAAAGTGATAGATAGGTGATGAGGAAGGTGAAGATTGCGATGAAAAAGTCACAAGAAGAAAAATAACGAACCTCGTGTTGGATATTGAATGACTGGTTGGTGATGATGATGATGAGATGAGATGATGAGATGGCTAATAATGCTCTAGGAATTTGCCTCATCTACCTATCTAGTAGGTAGACCACTATCTAGGCAATCACAATCATACTCATACTCATTCTCCGGAGTAAACTCTACGCTCCGGATTGTGTTACCAAAGGTTGAGTTTGAGTATCCTAGGCTTTTCATCGAAGCTCGGAAACCTATAATGTGATAGTTACCATACAACGATGAAACGACTATCCGTGATACTAAACGGCGATGCAACAGTGAAGAAGGAAGTCTAATATATGATAGGGCTTTTAGATAAGATGAGATGAGATTCGAGTGGTAATTAGATTAGACCAATTATATTATTTATTGAATAGGTAATATATGTCCATATAAGGTTATCATCTCAAAGCTTCCTATTATATCTTATCATATCACATTACAACTACCTACCTAGATAACTCAATACTCATACATCCAATATATACATATCAGAAATCCCTTCTAATCCCTCAATACCATACAAATGTGCAACACACAATCCCATATCCTCACCCAGCACAAGTACATCAGCAAAAAATAGGAAAAGTTAATATCTCATCAAACTCACATCACATCACATCATATCTAATCCCAAGACTATCCCTTCTCTCACCGTCTCTTACTCACTCCCACATCAACACAACACAACACCAACAACGTTACATTTACATTTAAAAATTCTTGGACGCTGAGCTGATTCAATAAATTACACGCACAGCACAGCACCGCACCGTAAAAATCCCAATGGGGGATATTTCCGTAACAATTGTAAGAATCCAGTTGACTATACATCCCACACAACATGCGAATTGCTGATTGATGATAAAGATGAAAATGAATTCTTGATTATAAATCTATAAAATTAAATCCAATCTACTCGAGTACCAGCTATCCACCTACCTACCTGTCTACCTACTATGCAGAACTTTAAGTTATTGATTGTATTATCATGAATGAATGAATGTTAAATATTAAATACTCCATATAACCTCCTCCTATTCTTCCAGCTCGCTGAAATTAAGTACCTAATATCCCTTTTCGGAAGCATCTCGGTATCGTAATCAAGGAAGGTTTCTTTTCGATATTATATTGTATTATATTATATTCCAAACATGGAATGAATGAAGGATGAAGGATGACGGAAGGAAGGAAGTCTTAGGAAGAAAGGAAGACCTGAGTTTTTACCGCGGGTTTCTCATTTCTTATTTCTTGTTTGTAGAGGAGTGGGTTTCTTTTTATTATTATTACCTACTTATCTATTATTCTTTTATACTCCCTCCATACAGAGTAAAATAAATATCTTTGTTTCAAATACCTAACCTAGCAAAAAGATGGGTAGGAATTCATTATTCATTCTAGAAGGAGTGGAGAAAGTGGGTTAGTTTTACTTACTGTCCACGGAGTACCGTACGTACGTATGTTATCTTTTGACTGATAAATCCTTTTCCGTTCCTTATCCGTTTTCTTATCCATCCTTCAGGCTTTCATCCCATTTTCTCATTCATTTCCTTTCTTATGTCTCGGTTTTGCTTACTATGAATTCTATGAATTCTATGACTTCTACCCGTCGTTATTGGCGCGGGAGATGAAAAGATATTCACATCATACATATATATCATCGGGGAATTAATTCTACCTACCTACATACGTACATACATAATATAATATATAATTTTCCCTCGGTGATATGAACTGAACTCGGGCTTTCTCTGTCTCTCTCTTTGAAAGTTTGAAGTCAAGGAAAAGGAAAGAAATACCTAGGTAATTCAAAAAGAACTCGAGTCTTAAGATCAACATCATCACAAGATCTAGATTCATGTGGTTTGGTTTGGTTTGTTTTGTTTAGTCCCGGAGTAAATATGATGATGATCATGTATACTTACCTACTTCTTAAACGATTCTGAAACTGCATACATACATACATACATACATACTGGAAGGAGGAATGCGGTCATATGTGTTGTTTTCTTTTTGATAATGCCAGCAGACCTTGACCTCACGCATATCAAAGCAAGGCCACAGGTGATGGATGTAGAGTACCTACCTATACATAAGTATCTTAACATATTTTTCATCCGACCGTTTTCTAACTACTGTACGTATATACATCGATCGTATGGACCCCTAAAATGAATAATCAAGAAACATACATATCACGAAACAAGAAAATCTAATCTTTCAAGTTATTCCCCGAAAAGCTTCCGACGGGATCAAAGGTTAAACTTTGAAATCTAGATCTATAGGTATTGTATTAATATTATCAAGAATACCGTACCGGATATTCCATTCCACCGAAATGTAAATCATGTTTTGCGATAATGAAATACGAGTCAGAAATTAAAATTTTGTTCGTACAATAAAGTAGTTCTTTAATAAAAATAGAAAAAAATTAAAACAAAAAAGGTAAAAAGATGCTTGTTTCATTCCTGACCCTCGTCAAAGCACATAGCCGTAGGTTAGCCGGTCGGACCGTTTTCAATTTGCGGAGGTGAGGCATCGAACACTCTACGGTATCTAGCATATCATAGCTATGAACATTGAGCAGACGAAACAAAAATGCTGATTAATAATGGTTGAGGATGGATGGGATGAAATGGGATGGATGGGGTTGAGACGGGAACCCGGATGATGTATGGAAATGGGAAAGTGCAGGAATTAATTGCAAACATAAGAGTTTACCTTACCGGCTTTGTTTACCTTGTTTCCGCCTTGACTTGAGATTCATGCTCAAGCTGAAGCGTAGATGATTATCAACTCTTGAATGATTTTTCAAGTATTGCAAAAGTATTTTAAGATAAGATCTTGACCTAAAGTTCAAAGACAGCTGAAGATGATGGGTGAATGTTCCGGTGTCACGTCCAAAGATTATCGTCATATCCAAGACCCTGAAAATCCACGATTAACGAGAAAGAGTAGTGATCGATAAACACACTGTAGAATGAATTAAACAAGTATCAAACTCAAAAAAAAAATCAAAAATCAAAAAGCAAAAAGCGAAAGAAAGACGGCCGGATCGAAAATGCAGAGAGAATGCAGATTCGAGAATTAAGGTTACAGAATATTAATGCAAACGTAGGGAAATTTCTGTACGATAGCGACAGCATTATGCAAGGTAGATCAATGAAATCAAAAAAAATAGAGCGGTGAAAGACGTTAAGAGTCCTTCCGATAGGTTTGTACTTCTTTGGCGTTGGGATAGCTACGCTGAAATGCTTCACCGTCTTACTCTTTTCATATGATGGAATTGGGATTTTGGGAATTGATTATCTACTTCCGTAGGTAAGGCAGGTAGGCAAATCGTTACATTACATTTTGTTCCGGTGGGATAAGTTTGGCGGTCAGATCAATTTTTTGTCTGTTTAGTAGTATTTTGAATTGATGAAAAAGAAATCAAAGACTTGTTCCGATTGGGTTACGGATTATGGTTAAAATTTATGCTTTACGGGAGTAGATCAATCACACCTCCGTACGACTCTTGATGAATATGGAAATATTTCGTGACGAAGAAATACTTCTTAGTAGAGAGAATGGTTGGTGGATATTTTGTATCCTCAACATTAATAAGTCCCGTTGAATACTACCATTCCGGCGACGATGAGTACCTTTACAGTTTAGGTTCATTAGTTTCATTAGTTTCATTTGTGATAATAAACAAGAAAAGTGTCTAATTTATTACTCCGTGATAGTATTATATTAGTTTAGGCTTTCTCGTTGCCCAAAATCCACAAGCAAAAAAGATCTAGTCCTCATCTTTTTTTACTCTGGCGCGTAGATAAAAAAAAAGTCCATGAACTGCCCCATATTGGCCCATGACAAAAAGGCCCTTCCTCCTTCAGATGCCCCGCGCACATGCTTCTTCTATCGGAATTCTAGTTCGTGATCTGTAATCCGAAGTCATAATTATCAGAGAAAATCTAGTACATGTGGTAAGGCGAACCGAATATGTAACCTCTATGTATGCGCATTTGCGCACCAACAAAAGCGGTAAAATTATGGATAAAATGCTAGGGCCAATTCACCAAATTCTAATTAATTCCCCATTCATGGCGTAGACTCTTCCCCGTCCCCCGTCATCCCCATCTGCTTGTCATGTTCATGAAAGTAGTAAAGTGTCAGAGTCAGTGAGTTCCAGCCCAGACGCGCCCCATTCATTCATTCATCTATCATTTTTCCGTCACCGCCTTGAAAACTCTTTCTTTTCTAAGTTCTGACGGGTGGGAGACATGGTACTAATCACCTAAAGCAGTAATCTCCCTGTTCTTTGCGACGTGTTTCTGCCTTCCGGAAGGACTAAGAAGCCACAGATCCATTTTCCCGCTACACCGCGCGTGGGGAACTAGGTAGGAAGGTTTTACATTTTTGGTGGAAGGTTTGGATGTTTGGTGAGAGAAAAAGTAAACAAGGATGACAAGGGCAGAAGTGAGGGCATGAGGGCACAGGGATCACAAGGATAAGGGAGAAAAAACATGGCAGCCCACCGCTCTCCAAGATGCACGATATGCACGTAAAAAATGTTCGTTCGCGACTCAGGCCTGCTTCCGGGGAGGGTCTATCATATTATCCAGATGTGATTATGATTATGATTCATTTCCAACCAAGCTCAAAACTACGGCTAAAGCTAGACTAATAATTTGTACCTACATTTAAATTATTTATTTATCTATTTATTTACCTGTCAGAGATCCCAACGCATGCACTACCACATTACTACACTACTACAATAATACAACGGAAAGAAATAAAGCAAACCTACCTAAACTAAACTTTGCATACTCTGTGCACAACAAAAAATCAAAACGGGGGTCAGACAAATTTGGATATTAATATATCAACGGGATTCTCGTTTCATCCATCACCATCATCATTCTCATTTGCAAATCTGGATTCTCCAAGAAAACTTATATTACATCTTGATATCCGCCTCCTCCAGAAACAACTATTTCAGGATAACGACTATCTACTTACTCATTCTGACCTCATCAAATCTCATATCGTTACATCCAACCATCCGTCCATCTCAGTCATCAGCCATCCCTCGATTACTTGACATCACCAACCAACGTTACCAAGTTCCCAAGGCTTATTTCTCCAGACCCCGAATTACTCCGGACTATATTTATATATAAGCGGAGTATTTGAAAGATTTGACCGAATCTTCTTGACCTTTTGACGCCCCTCTCCCAAAAAAATCCGGGGCTGAGTAAACTACCGAGTTGGCGATTCATTTTTACGCTTTGCCATTCACCCATTATTCGCAGATCGACACGAAGGTTTTCTGCAGGGCTGACGCAAGACTTATCGTTACACTTTCCAAAACACACTACGCACACTACACACACCACGCTGTAACGCGAAACCGAGATTCCTTTGCTGCATATTACGAACCGGTGATTCATTCACTGCTTAGGCTGCCAAAACTGACTCGGTCTGGGGGTTTCTGATCTGAGTAATATTTCCGTGTGGAGTAGCTTGGTTATCAATATTTATATCTGGAGTCGACCCCGGATTTTTGATTCAATCAATCTTGAAGTTATCATACATCGATATAAACTTATATCTATTCGAACATCTACACATACACATACACATACACATACAAACAAAATGTATTTCTCTTACACACCATCACCACCCTCAACAAGCTATAGCACCTCCTCCGCTATGGAGATCCCATCCTCCTCGAGTTCCCGTCCACAATCTCCATCATGTGCCTTTCCCTCTTGGCCACGTCGATCATCCATGAACTCTACCAACTCCATCGACGCTCAGACCCAAAACTACTCCTACACCTCCTCTGCCTTTTCCGACGAAGAACTCTCATGTGGTCTTTATCCTTCCGTCTTTGAAGAAGAAGATTGTTCACCACTCGCCACACCAAACATTCGTTCACCATCTGGATCCATGTGCGAACCACAATACGTCGTTGTCGACAACGCCGCACTTATGAGAGAATTAATTGCACAACATGCAGCTGAGAAAGCAAAGAAGAAGGAAAAGGCTGCAGCGGAAAAGAGCAAGAAGAGACATGGATCTAGTTCACGAAAATCAAGACATAGCTCTGGTGCAAACTCGAGTAAACACATGACGCCCATTGCCGAGGTTGGTGAATGAAGTGTCTGATTGGAAGATGTTGGTTGTTTGTTAGGATAGGATCTTTTGGTAAGTTTTACTTCCTTTATAGGTACTTTCTTGGAGATGAGTTCTAGTTACTAACTGGCTTGATTAGATCATAGTATATTATACCCACAATAGATAGATACCATAGATAGATATCATCGTTTTCAATAGGCGACTTCGACTCGAAACGAAAGGAAAGGAAATGAAATGAATATAGAAGGAAGAATATAGAGGCAACTCGAGTCATCCATTACGCCGTGCAGCAATTCGCGTACATCGCTTATCTACAGTGATATCTCATTGTCGAAATGATGGATATTCGGATACTGCGATGAAGGTTGGATGGGCGATAGGATCGCTGGAGTTGAATAATACATGCATGGATAGCATTGGATGGGATGGGATTGGATAGGGCAGGGCAGGATAGGAAAGGAAGAAGGAACTTGGGGGCGTATCGATTACCCTTCCTTCCTTTTTTTCTTCACATTTACAGGATGATGGTGAAACAGACACCTCATAGGAAGGAATTTACATATGGCATGGTTGACGGGATTTACTTGGATGGATTGATTGATTGTTTATTTTTGGGATGGATGGCTTGTGTGAATTTTTTGTCTTCTTCGGACTTTTTGGACTTCTTCTGGGGAGGAATTTTTTTATTATTTTTTTATGATTTGATGATTTGATGATGAATATACCCAGGGTTAGTTACCTAGTGAGAGGAAAGAAAGAAAAGGAAAGGAGGGAATGTTAAGCTTTCGCTTAGATTATTAGTTTGTTGGTGTGTTAGTGTGTTGGGGATACACTAGTTAAGAGAGTGAGAGAGAGAAAGAGAGATTAGTGATGATAATCTTGAATTATATTGTTGTTTGTTGTTTATATATGAGGTTTCTTGTTTTTGTGATGTGATTTGTGGTTTGTTTATATGGTGCTTGTGATGGATGATTGTGATGTTTGTGAGGGTTGTAATACTGTATTTGAGTAAAGAGAAGTAAAGTAAAGTGAGGATAATATATAATATCAAAGTCTCTACTCAAAAGCAATAAGATTTAAAGATTTATTTTAAATATATATATATCATGATATATCCTTACACTGATAATCTTTTGTGTCTTTTTTTTTTTTTTTTTTTTTTTTTTTTTGGAAAAAAAAAGAAATTATTTAAGAAAAAAAAAAAAAAAAACTTATTATAAATAAAAATAAATACTTTATTAAAAGATTGGGTGGAAGAGGCCTCTATATTGACTATATTACTACGTCTGTAGGCATATTAATTTCCTCTTAGTATCCTCGGAGGGGACCAATATGCCTGCTTATGGTTCGTCTAATCTAGCCTGTTTAGGTAACCGTATTACTAATCACGACACGTGATTAGTACCGGTAACTTCTATTCCTTTTAACAAAAATTTATATTTTTAAATTTTTAATAATTTTAATTATTATTATAATTCTCTTTTTAAAAAATACTTTTAGAAAATATTATATTAATTTTATAAAAGAGATTATATATATATAATTATTTATACTTACAATCTTATACTTCTCTTCTTTTTCATCCTATCTTGATCCCTCCCTCCTTCTTCCCTCTCAAAAAAAGATTCAAATACTTATTATAAAAAAAAATACTACAAATATATATATATATATACACTCTACCAACAAACTAATCACCTAAACCAAACTAATCAAAAATACAATAAATACTTTAAATAAATCACATCATATATCATTAAATATCTAGGTATCTAGATGTATAAAATCCATACATACTAAACACATACTTACATACAAAAATCCCAAAAAAAGACCTAGACTCGATAGACTCGATTGTTTGTCTGGTAAAGGTAATGCATCCTGACCAAGGAAGCGAATAGAATGGATAGGGAACCGATGGGTTGGGAGGATTAGTTTAGTTTGGGTTGGGTTGTGTTTGTGTTTGGTTTGGGGGAAAGGGGAATAGATGAGTGGATGAGTGAATGGATTGGGATTCGCGGATGCGAGAACAGAGCCGAAACACGGGGGAAGAACTTAGAAGGTGGTGTGCTGATATTTGGATTGGATTTGGGGGGATTTAAAGATGGTGTGGTGATTTTTGGATTTGGGGATTGGGGGATGAGGACGTGTTTGTCAAAACCTTTTGTAATATTGTTTTATGTAATTGATGGTTATTAGTGTAGTTGTAAAACCTAAAAGAAAAGAAAAAGATCAGATGAGATGAGATGAGTTATGTAAGGAAGATACCAATCACCCGGTGGGGAATATCTGTAATGTTCCTGAAGATTGAAGATTGAAGATTGAAGATTGAAGTATGAAGTTTGAAGGTGGAAATTGGAAGTTTGAGATTGAGGGGTTGTGGGGGCGGAATGATGGTTAGGTTATATTGAATCAAAGTGAAGGAGGGATGTATGGATGGGTTGATGGATATAGATGCATGTATGTAATACCAAGATGAAGAAATGAATCTTATTTCCCTAGTCGAATGTAACATAACATGCGACAAGTTAGAGATATATAATGTGGTGGTGTAGAGAGCGAAATTTGGAGATACATGAGTTGGTGGCAGTGTACTGCTTGCTTGATTGATTGATTGACTGACTGACTGACTGACTGCTTGCTTGGTATTTCTATAGTAAAAAGATGACTAGATTACCATTCTTATTAAATTATATCCGGAGTATTGGAGATGATGAGCCACCTGTGAGTTGATTGTAAGATTACAGTTTGTAAGTACTCCTTGGACGCTGTTCTAATGTAAGCAAACTTCAATATTCGAGATTTTGATACAAATCTCTGTGAAGATTCTAATACCGCTATAAAATCCGAGCATACAATATAAAAAATAAGACTTACAATATAAAACCAAGCACCGACATCAAAACCAACAAGAAACCCCCCAAAAGCTTATCGAAACCTACAAACCCTCAAAAGTCGTTAGAAAACTAAAACTAAAACTAGACCATCTCTCTCCATCTCCAACCCCCACCGGCACCTTTCATCCATAAAACCCTAGCTAGGAACATCCAAGCGATGCCAAGTACGGAGTACACTTGGATACTATCGACTTCTTCCTCAGAACGAACCTCAATGAAATCCGTTCGGTTTGGATAAATCGGAAATTTGATGTGGTCTGGCTGGAATACATATATTCATCATTTTGACGAATATTTCTGTCAGTATTTATATACCAGTGGGAAGGGAAGCCTTGGGTTGGGCAATGGGTATGCCGTTGAGTTCTGGGCAGGGCGAAGGCTTGATTGATATCGATTTGATCTGAGGAGTTGAGTTGAGATGAGTTGTTGACTGTATTGACTGGTACTTTTGGCGTTGATTTGGAAATTGCTCGTGCTGGTGTTATTGAGTACCGAATACATAATCTTACAATACCTAGTGAGATCACTTCCTCAACTTCAGCTTATTAAATATACGTAGAAGTTTCTAAGGTATAGATACATGGTTGAGATTCCTACTACTAATTCTATTTCTATTCTTGTAACTATTTCTATTTCTATATAATCCATACTTTCTATATAAATATATCATCATACCTAAGTAAAGAGGCGGTACATATCGTATGTACCGATTAGACCTATTCTTTGACCTTTGTGGGGGCTATAGTCTAATATGATACGACGACGCGATGCGAAACGGACAGGATCCTCCGCAGCAAATGTAGGTCAGATATGTGGTCCTATCGTACATACATACATATATGGAGCACACACATACACACATATATATAGAAGTACAGTACAGTAGCCGCAGAGTAGTGCAGAAAATGTATTGTGCCTTATTCTGCGGCGAAGGACAGACATCGATGTTCTACAGTGCATATATATTATTAGCCCCTGTTCTTTACACACACGGTAGGTAGAAGGTATGTAGTATGTATGTGTGTATGTATGTACGGAGTATGTATACATTAGATTGAAAGAAAGATATTTGTGGTCCTCATCAACGATAATTCGACCGCGGGAATTCTCGAGATCGACTTGGCGGATGTAGCTAGTGGGTTCATGGTAACAAGTAGCGATAATGATAGGAGAGAAGTGCTTGTAAATGAGGGGAACATGTCGAGATGGTTCTTCAATCACACTTGGGCAGCCGTGAGAAATGTCTCAGTAGATAGATAGGATAGGGAAGTAGGTAGGGAGGTAGCATTTATGAGTTCGAAAATGATATCTTATACTTCCCCGACTTGTTGAGATTGAGATGGATGGAACGAATATGGACATGTTCCGAGGATGACATTTTCATCACATCTGGATATAGATTTAGCAAATCATAGATGAAATCACGTATAAACCCGTCACTCTTATGCATCTTTTGTTCGTATGTGAATACGACATAAGAAATAGATGTAAGCAATTAAACCTCAATCCATCCATCACCTTTTCTACTGGATTATTTCGTGATTCATTTTATTTGTGTGTGATGAATATGGAATCTGGATGGTGCTTCCGGATATTGTACGGAGCACAAGAGTATATTTGCTCCAACCTTTTCCTATCTCTCGATATAATCCAACATTAATAACCAGCAAAACAAGCACATGCATCCAATCAAACTAGGATAGCACGGATGAAGGAGAGATCTTTTTACAGTTCTCACACACGGCACTGGTGTAGGTACTTAATTATCTGGTTTCTCCGAATTCAAATCCCTTCATATTCCCCTCAAATATATCCAAAAGGATTCTTCAAAGCAGGGGAACGGGAAGCTCGGAAGGTTGCGAAACCATGTTCGTTCGCGCAATCAAATCTCGCAACGGTGAACGAACGGATGATGGATGATGGATGATCTTTTTGTCGGTTTTTTCTTGTTATCTCGGCTCTTAATTGAGTTCAGACCTGAGATTGACCTGAGATTGATTGACCATAGATATCGATGGATGAGGGATGAGATGAGATGGGATGGATGGTTGAAGTTGGATGAATGGATAGATGGATGGACAGATCAATCAATGATCATCTCATCTATTAGGTATAGTTTTGATCAAATTGGGAAGATTGATATGCTGCAAGGAACGAGAATCGGACGATTTTCGTGGTGAATAGATTGATTGATTGAAAATACCTAGTAGGTAGTTAAGAAAACCTACCTACTACCTAGGTATCTTTGACATGTGTTTTCTACATAGGGTTGGTTAATGTAGAATCGGGATGAAAATCTTTTGAAAAAGGGCATGTCGCCGAGGAAAAATAACGAATTTTTATTGATTTTTTCATAAAATGTCTTCTTTAAGTTTCATGGTACTTGTACAAAATCATGCCATTGGGAATATTGCCACTTAGAATATCACAATCACAATTAATGCTGTTGTTGGCGCTTCGAGAGATAATGACATGGAATCGGGAATGTATTGGTTTTTTTGATAAGAATTAATTGTTCATTCGGGGTATTTGGCATCATGTCTGACTCGTCTAATTCTTTTTCTATCTCGTCAATTATCTTCTCTTCCTCTGATCTTTTGATCTTTTCATCCTTTTCTAGTCAATCCAAGTTACTCAAGCTCATCCATCGCCATCACCATCACCGACAAATCCAGCCATCCAAATCATCTCAACGACTCGATAGTTTAAAAGATGCCGTGCCAACCTTGCACTGTTGCTCACTGACATCGCCATTTCGTCCTCTGATAGGATCAATCATGGGTGATGAATGGCATTCATCTTGCATCTCGTGCATATCGCTAAGAATAATCCCATACGGCTTTGACCAGTAATGGCGCTTACGTGCCTTGCGATGAAAAAAACCGTGGAGCATCGTGGAGCAACTTCAAGGATCACACACAAGGGCCCATCCGACGCCAATTTGGATATTAGTGGAATGCTAAAATGCTGGAACGAACTAATTGAACGGATTTGAACGAATAGCATGAATCGATTCTTCATATTTTCATCAGGCCAACCAATGAGCCTTCGATGTCGTGAAATCTAATATCACCTCCATTCAGCATTTAGGGCCATCACTCGAATCAACAGACGAATTCAACCTTTTCTCATCTCATCACCTTGTACAACACAACATGAGCAATATGACTAAGTTAACGTTGTGTCTATTCTTTCGGAAAACCCTTCTCTCATAGGGTACCTATTCAAAATCGGGTACATATCACAGAGATTAAGAATATCCACCCACTCACATCATTCATCCAGTACGGAGTACAGATTCATGAATCCAGGTACGACCCAAGAATACCTGATTACATAGCCATCCAGTACCTGTCCAGTACCGACCCAGCACGAGGCTTCTGATGTCTGTTCCTCACAGCCTCTCTGGGAATAGAGGTACCGTATACTATATACTAATCCATGATTCGTCTTACTGCTTCCAATACATGTATCCTGCTTGTACCAGGTATCGTTATCATGCCGAGATGTTCCATTTTCCACGCAGCTCGAGGAGTCAGGTGAGTGTACATTGCACCAACATGTCAACCCGAGGATCCAATTAATGATCGACCAAGCATGTTAACGTTGAATTTCCCCTCTCCTTTTATTACCCAATTGTAAGGTTACCAATTGCTTCCAATTATCTTCAGAGATGGTGTACAGAGTACCGCCCCCATTCATCAATCTCCATTCCGGGTCCTTCACACCAAATCTTACCATTTTGGAAAAATCTCAACTTTTAACCTCTGAACAAAGGCCAAAAATACAATGGACCCACTTTCTTGTGACTGAGAACACAGTATGTGATCACCATCACACAATCATTACATCTGTCTCCCCTCCTCTGACGGTAGGAAAATCCAAACAAGACGCATGTCAGCAGCCTCGAAAAAGGGTCAAGAAAAGCCCTGACAGAAATGCATCACGAATTGACAAGGTATAAATGGAGAGAAAACAGCCCGAGCACCATGGAGGGGGGCATCAACCCTTGAAAGCATGCTCTAAGCTTTTGCCAGGGTCTGCTCTAAGCGGTATGTAGACGGTAAGGTGGCTTGTCTATCTTGACTTCTTACTTGGTGCTAGACACATGAACCGGACCGCGACCGCATCACCTTTTCCACGCCCACATCTGTATCCCATGGGCCATGGTTCGGCTGGAGTATGTGTATCGACAATTCGCAGGTGCATAATTTTCTAATTTGGTCTCCGCATTATCCACTGATAGTCTAAAGAATCTTTAATTAGCCGCTCTGTCCCATAGTGCCCTAGAAACCCTACAACGCTCTCGGACCTAGTGACGAAGGCTATCAACCAAAAAGCCATATACGGTGATTGCGCTCATTTCCTAGTGTTAATTCCTCTCCAGTCTTTTTTATCTTTTCTTAAAGCGTGCAAGGATCTTTTTGCTGCTTCCTCTGGACCCCATTCTAGCGCCCTATCTGCCGTTTTGCGATTCTGTTGGCTCCAGGCATGAGACGAGGATCTTTTAGTGCCATTGATGTCCTGTAGTCTGCTCTCGTGTCACTTAATCACTTAACTCGCTCTAGAGCATATTCTCCTCGCTCAGTTGTACATTCAACGTTCTTGACCTTTTCCTTCTCGACCATTGTACAGAGACTTGGAACGATTCCCGGTACACAACCACGCATCACAGTTGTTCACGGCGACACAGCAGAACGCCTCCACTCATTCGGTAGCTAGACTTCTGCACTACTACTCTTTACCGCCCGCTATACAGAATATCCATGGGACAACCGATATAGAATTGGGCGTGGATAGTGGTCAGCCCTCTGTACTGCAGAAAGCACAACAGCGAGGGAGAACGGCAAGAGGCCTGAGTTCCAGCTGATATATCTGTAAGTGACATTCTCGATTCTGAAAGGAGAAGAAGCATTGGGCTTCCATATCTCTCGGGGCTTCATGTGTTCATGTAGTCAACCTTTGGACAGAGAAACTCATGCAGCGGTCCGACTAACTATCCCGATGCTTGATTCACAGATAACCAAGTTATCACCACCATGTCTGTCGCCAGGACCCGGTCAATGTCAATGAGATCCGGCCATTCATCCAAAGGCACTGGAGCCACATTGGCTGAAGTCAGCATGCCTTCGATTACTATACCTCGCGATTTCGAACCCTGTGCTGCGACGGCCTCTATGTTCTTGTATGTGCAAGGAAATACAGTCGTATGCGCTCATCACGATACCCTTAAGATTGAAAGACGGTTTGCGAGACACACAGAAGAGATACAGTTACTGGCAGTGGATAATATTAGTGAGAGAGGAGCCGGAAGATTAGTTGTAAGCTACGATGCTGGCCAAACTGCCATTGTGTGGGATTGCATGACGGGAGACGAAATTGCCCGATTTGCTAGTTACGAAAATCTTACAGTGGCCGCTTGGATGCGCAATGGAAATGTTGCATTTGGTGCGTATGGCGGGGTAGTGAAGGTTGGGGCTGCGTTGCTGATGAATTACAGGAAATGCTCAAGGAAATGTGATTCTTTTTGAACCGACAACATCAGAGCATATATCCTCCAGAACTTTAGATCAAATTCCCATTACAGCTTTGGCACCAGCAGCGGATTGTAGGACGTATGCAATTGGGTAAGTAAAATCTCAGCGATACACTTTTGGATTTTTCGCTGATTTGATCACAGATTTTCCAATGGGTCTCTCTTGATTGCAGCATTGCAACCAAGATTCATAATTCTTCACAACTTGACAACTTCAAGAGGACCTTCACCGATCGTAACACTATCATGGCATGCATCATCATCACGACAGAAATCGGACATGCTAGCTTCTCAAACCAATGATGGTGACCTACGAGTTTGGAGCATTGCTAAATCACCCACCAGCAACGACACAGCCAAAGTAGTCCGGGTATTGAAACGTTCCGAAAATTTTCAAACCGGTCCCAATTGGCTGGGCTGGTCAAAAAATGGTCGTATCATCCAGTTTTCCGAAGGGTAAGTAAAAACCTGGTGCTCTCCCCTTATTTGTCCCCCACATTGCATAAGGCAATGGGCGCGCGCTTAGCAGCAACCACTTACACAAGTGTGATACAGGGAAACATCGTCATGGGACGTACGAACGAAACAGGTCACTTTCGAGAAAGTTCCGACATTGGATATTGTGAAGGGTCTAGCTGTTTATGGACCTGGAGCGACGCTCTTCACGCTGGGTCCCAATAATACGGCCCAGCAATTTGATCTTAATTCACCGCCTCAAATGGTGGCAAACGTGCAACATCCAGCCAATTTGTTGCCACCTTCGCCCCCTGTTTCTGTAGAGGAGCAGCAACAGCAGGCCGCTCAAGCGGTCGCCGCTGAAGTTTCAGCTGTACCAATCAATATCGATATCTCCGAGAGTGACTCCGATCAGATGTCTCCGCTGGCCAGAATTGCTCGACGTGGTGATGAAATCGAACAGCAATTACGTGTCGAGGCCATGGAGCCTGACCGTGCTGAACCATTGTCTCCTGTATCATCAAGAAGTCGCACGTCAAATTCTACTAGATCATCTGCAAATTCAAGGCAACATACTAATCGTTATCATGGTAAACATTCTTCGGGCTTATCGGCTGTATCACGAGGAGGTATGAGTGAAGCAACAACTATGTCATTTGGCTCATCGATTCATACCGGTGCTACCCGAGAACCTTCTGTGCTTTCAAGTCGGGACTCGTACGCTCATAGTAATACCAGCTCAGCACGCTCATATCGTTCCCGACACCGTGGATCTCGGTTAAGACAAGAGGTACTCCGTAGTCCGGATGAAGCGGGAAGTCATGTTGTGGAGCTTTTCAAGTACACCAAATCTAGGTTGAGTGACATTCCTTATCGTCAACCACAAGTCTCAGACAGTGCTCATCTCACGAATGATGATCTTCGGCTACAAATGCTCAGTACAATATTTGGATGGGATGGAGAAGCCGAAGGATTGATTCGTGATGAGATGAATCGAGCACCAATGGGTTCAACCCAAAGAGTTCTCCTTGCAAAATGGATTGGCGACCTCGAACTCGATATCATGGCTACGAGCTCCGAATCAATGACTTCTTCCGATTGGATGCTCCTTGCCTTGAGCGGAATCGGAGGACACGCTTCTCAAACAAAGGTCGCTAGAGCATATGTTCAACGTCTTTTAGAAAAGGGAGATGTTCATACTGCTGCTACAATTATGCTCGGTATGGGTGATCAAAATGATGCAATTGAAATATACGTTTCCCACAAACGATTCATGGAAGCATTGATCTTGACAAGTCATGTTTTCCCATCAGACTGGTCCCGACAAGCTGGTTTGATTAGAAAATGGGGAGAGTGGGCTGTTCAGCATGGTCAGCAACAATTGGCCATTCGATGCTTCTCATGCACAGCATCCGAGTCTTCTGAACCTTGGACATCACCATCTGCTCAAGCTGCCACTTTCACAAATATCCATAGCCAAAGTATTCCAGAAGTACTAAGCCCTCCTCTATCACCACCTAGCCACCGAGGTCCACAACGCAGCATTGCCAAAACGTCAGCGTTGAAGCTCATCACAGCTTTCGGGGATAAGCACCAAAAGTCAAAGTTCTTTGGTATTGATAATGATAAAACACCAGTTGGTCCTGGTCCCACACCAATTGAGGAATCTGCCATTTCTCCAGGTGGTGACACAGCACATACTGCTTTCCTGAGACCTGGAAATCGTAGCGTCTATCACACACCAGCCTCTGCACGAACCGCGACTCCAGGTGGCTTCTCTCGTAGACGTCTTCCGTCTATCGGTGAGACACCTAATGATGTTATACCTGGAGTCAGATTAGAGCCTTTGAATCCACCTACGCCTGGAGATTCTGGATCAGACCGAGAAAGGCTTGGCCAATATGCTCATGAAGCGGAAGTGGAGCCATTACAGCTCAGCTCGGCAACCTATACTCCAATCACCAAGAATAGACCCACAACACCTATGACCCAGAAAAGGATTGCCAATCCATTGCCATCACCATCGCCAGATACATTTACCGCGAAAAAGCAAGACGATCGTACGAGAAATGGATCACGACATCGTAAACCAGATGGTCTGCAAATTCAATGGCCACCTATGGAGTCGATAATTACAGGTGATTATATGACATCTCCAGAGCAAACGGGATCATCACACCACGGTCACCGAACTAACCGCTCAATTGGTGATCCTTTGAACTCTGCTGCTCTATCATCAGCAGCTTCCGTCTCAGCTTCAAGCAATGCCAGAAGTCCAATAACAAGCGAGAGAAGTTTCAGAACGACAAGTCCTGTTTTTCATGGTCGAAGTATTGATCAATATATTAGCAGCTTGGATTCCGCTACATATCATAAGAGACAGCAACGTAGTCGACAAGCTAGCCGAGACCGAAGTGGAAGAGGCCGTAGCAGTAGTCGAAAGCCAAAGGCTCGTGAAGCGTCGGAAGAAAGAGGAAGGAATATTAATCAATACATCAAGCCTGCGAAACGTTCACCAACCTCGCCTATCCCGATGTCACCTGAAGATTTGAGAGATCTGGGTGCTACAGTCTCCGATGGTGAAGTGGTGATTGAAGAGAAACAATACAGGACAGATAGTCGCACAGAGATCAAACCATCTAGACAAGCAAGCCGAGTCCGACGACAATCTCCTGAATCACGCAAAGCATCTAGTCGTCAAGCAAGTCGTAACGCGAGCCGTCGACCCCCTAGTCCAGATACCAGACTAGGAGGACGAGATGCCCGAGGTCGAAGTGCAGGACGTGGCGGATCAGCAATCCGTTCGCCTTCTTCTCCATTGCCATTTTCACCTCAAGCAAAATTCTACCAGGAAGATGAAGTTGCTGATTATGAAGATTTGAGAGCCGCAAAGGCAGATCAGCTTGCTTTTAGAATGAGAAGTGGTAGTCGTATGAGAGAACGTGGTACGAGTGCCGTTCGAGCTTCTTCGCCAAATGGAAGACGTCGTGACAGATCTACAAGTCGAAGACCAATAGAAGGTCAAAGATCACCATACATAACTCGAGATGGTGCCGAGTCTCAAACTCAGCTGCAGACACACTCGGAGTCTGTACAAAAAGCCGCCGAACAACCAAAGGTGGATCTAAAAGATGAGCGAGCATTAAAGAGAGAACAAGCTGCACGTGAGCTGGAAGAAAGACGTAAATCTCTTGCTCAAAGACCATTAGCACCACCGATCATTCATCCGGGAGAATTAAGTGGTTTATCCCCACTAGCTTATCGTCCAACTACCAACTTCCCCGAACCGAGATCTGGGCCATCGTATTCGCCTCCCAAAGCAAGTCCTCAAGCTCCTAGAAGCCAACAGAATACACCGAATAATAATTCTCCGGGGAGTGGGTTTGGATCAGCTCCAGAGTCATCCGTGCAGATTGGTTTACCTGCCACTCCAAGAGCTATGCGTCATCCTAAATATGATCCTGAAGGTAATGGTGCAGAGAGCATTCCACAAGTCCCTCAAATTCCAGGGAGATACGATACAGGTCCACAAGCCCAAACTTCCACGTTGAGTGCAGCTGTCTTCAATGGTTCATCTGATGGACCACATGACACATTTGGACCTCTTCCAAAGACAGTGTATCAGGCATCTCAACCACCTCGTCGTATGCCTCCTCGATCTGCTTCCGCTCCTATTCCTGAAGAGAGTTTCTACAAACCAAATGTCATCCCAGCAGGTTTACCACTTCATCCCGCATTTCAAGCAGCAATTCCATCCAGTTCATCAAGACGCACACCAGATACTAGAGAGAGAATGTCACCCACTCAATCTCCACGTAGACAAGCTTCGGGTGATCTGCAGGGCGAGAATGGAAGTAGAAGCGGAAGTCCGGTTTACGCTAGTGGGCCTGTCAATGTATTGACCGGAATTGACGAGACAATTGAGGCAATTCAAGCAATGCCTATGCATCATCCAAACAATGATTTGATTCCCCCACCACCACCGCCTCCACCAGCTCCACCCCTTCTCCCACAACTCCAACATTTGGCTTTACCACCACCACCTCCTCCCGCTCCATTATATAGACCCAATGCCAACACCAACTCCATGGTCTCAGGTGTATCATCAGGATCAGGTATTTCCGGCGTCTCATCCGGTTCCGGCGTAATCGAAATCGTAATGGACGATGAACCCATCTCCATGATTCCCAAAAGCAAAACCCCCACCATCCTATCCGCATCTACCCTGAATCCCAGCTCCATAATGGAACCACCACCAATGCCACCAGCTCTCGAACGTCGTCGAACTTCCTCCGTCTCGCACATCTACACACATAACCGCGGTCGTTCGGAAACGGACAATTCCCTCTCTAATCGATTTTCCCGCGCTGCGGAACGTTTGAGAAGTGCTAGTCGTGGCAGAAATAATTCTAGTCCTATTATTGATAAAGGTGCTACGAAGAGTCCGGTTGAGAATGGTAGTAGTCCATATGAAAGTGTTCCTGCTGCGAACTGGGCTCCACCACCTCCACTTAATAGGAGTGCGACGACGACTCCTTCGAGTGGGATGAAAGCAGAGAGACATCCTATGGAAGTGAGAGCTGCTTATCAAGCGAGTATGGAGGGTGGAATGATTTGATTGTTTTGTTTTGTTTTTTCATCTTTTGCATGATAGGCGTTTTTCTTTTTACTTTTTTGTTCTTATCTTCATCTTCTATTCTTTGGATATTTGAAATTTTGCTTCAAAAATTTTCCCGCTTCGATTCTCGATACCCTTTCTATTCTTCCTTTTCTTCTTCTTCTTCAACAACAAGTCCTCTTCATTCTTTTCTTTTCTCATTTCAAACACATGCGAACAAACAAACGCATAACGACTTCTAGTACAGCTTTCTCAAAAACATTATTTTTGGTGGACGGAGGAAAGATGTGCAGGATTGGATGGATGGATGGGAAAAAATCATTTTACATAACTTTCTTGACTGTCTTTTACAAACAGGAAATTTTTAAGATTTACATAAGAAGCAGACCGATAAAATTTTTTGGCTCAGGCTTATGATGATATTATGAGTCTTTATGGGAGATGAGATTGGCGATAGCGATAGCGATGTTGATGGATATTTTGGAGTAACTTTTTTGGTTGGTGCTGAGATGAGGGGAGAGAGAGAGAGAGAAATTTGTTCATAATATTGTATATCTACTTCTGCACTATCTTTGAATATATATTTACATTTTGCATATGAATTTTTTGTTTGTTTTTCTCTTTTGCTTTGTTTTGCACTTGTTTGGGGTGGGATGTTGATCGTTATTCACTCTTTTGGCACTTGCGTCGTTGTTGCTTTCTTGCGTTTGAAGCGGTTGCGTCTTTGATTTATTTGGTTGAGAGGAATGGAATGAAGGGAAGGGAAGGGGTTAAATGATTGCTTGACTCAAGTATCTTCTTGTTCCTTTGGGTTGGAAGGAATTACAGTGCTATGGTGCACGACAGAAGACAGAATGGTTGAGTAGGATGAAAACGCAAGATACCTAGGAGAAAAGAATGGTACAAGATGAGACGGGGCAGAGACACAGACGGAAAACAAGACAGCAAAACGAGGTATGAAATTGATGGATTGGAATATAATCAAAGCACAAGACCTAGTATAGCTTGTCATAAACTAGGAAACGGACAGAATATACGGAAAGCACCAGCTTAGAATGAAAATGACAGGAGGATAAAACTGCGGTTGAACAAATGGGTGTGGGGTCTCTTATACTTCTTGCCTCACGGCTGGTTGCTCGTTTGCTTTGTTGTTTTTTTTTCATAACGCAAGTTGGAGAGAATCTTTGATTCGAGGGTTTATTTAAGATTGAGATTGATGCTTTAAGATTGAATTATGGCTTGGAATTTAGGATTTAGGATTGGATTTAATGATGATTATGACTCTGACTTACTTGTAATGAATCGTCTTGATGATGTGATAGGAAGTGATGTTTTGTGCTGGGTGATCTTGTCATCTTGATTGAATGATAGACAGATGTGCGAGGTATGTGGTGTGATATCTGCAAAATTGCCATTGTTCGAGGAGAGAATAATGTGAGGTTGAATTGAGATGCCCGTATATAAGGCGATTTTCCATTTTTACAGGACAAGAGATGAGGTGTAAACATTTGTAGTGAGGGGAAAGAGTGGTGGAGGGGTGTCTTCAATCTGAGATCACTCATAGCCCATGCACATAACTACATGTGCCAATAACCACTGGGGCAGAGGCCCTAGCACTATATCTGTAATCATTACTAGAAACAGATATTAAATAGTCTTACTGTGGGAAGCGGACACCATTTTACCATTCAACCTTGAATAAGGACTAAAACCATATGTCAAAGATTTTATATATAATTTCTGGGATAAGCCCATCTAGCAAACCACCTCAAGACCCCTGCAAGACCCCACACGTGATCTTCAAAAAAGTGTCCGAGCGACTAATTTTCTCACCAGATGAATCTCGAACGGAATAACGAAATCCAGGAATTGGGCTCCGAACAAACGTGCAGGCAACCTGCAACACCCAAACCACCTCGCCATGAGTGTTTCCCGACCCGCGCGATGTATCTTCAACGCGCCTCTCCCCAACCTGCGACCGCTGACGCGGCGTCAAAATTTCCACTCCTCTGCTCCGCTCCCCGCACGACGTCGTCCCCGTTTTGCTAGCATAAAACATTCAGAGGTGGATGCTGCTCCTGCGAAAGAGCTTTATCCTGGGTATAGTGAGAAGGAGAGAAGTTTATTAGGGAAGCGATATACGCCGGAGCAAATTGCGGCTATTGAGGCAGCGGAGGAAGCGGTCGATGTGGAAGATTTGAAGAGTCATGGTGTGATACGGACGGATTTGGGAGGGTTGAGGTATATGGATGATTTAAGTATGACGCAGCCGGTGATCGATAAGAAGATTATGGATTATCGGATTGATCCGAGTTGGACGCTGGATCAGGATAAAATCGGAGACGAATTCGTGGCATATATGGATAAAGTGATGGAAGAAAATCCCGAGGATGTCGATCCTGAGGATCCGGACTGGGAGAAGAAACATAGGCCGAATAGGTTGGATTCGCTGAAGGCGCTGCAGAAGGAAATGGGGGATCCAAGTACTTTTGCCTTTGCACCGCAGGTACCTGGAGATTTTACAAAGGAACCTGGTAAAGCTGTGGAGATAGCGAGGGAGGTGGACGAAGGCGATGAGGAGAATCTTGATCCTAGAGATCCAGATGGGATTTATACGAAACTGCGCCATCAAACAGGACTTACCATGAACGAAATCTTGGACCTCGATACTAAAATCCTCGTCAGTCATCGAGTTGTCAACCAAACCCGTTTGGGTAAAATTGACAGTATGTACGTATTGGCAATTGCAGGAAATGGAAGGGGCAGATTAGGAATAGGAGAGGCCAAAGGACAGGAACCTGAAGACACGAATAATAATGCGAAGATTGCGGCGATTAAGAATATGCAGCCGGTTCCGAGATATGAGGAACGAACAATTTATGGGGATGTAGAGGGGAAGGTTAGTGCGGTTGAAGTTAAGCTTATGGCGAGACCTCCAGGTATGTTTTCATTTTCATTTATATGCCATTCTCCTGCCTATAGGGAAATTTATGATGTGCGGGGTAAGAAGAGGGGCTAATTCGATTGTGTCAATGTAGGATTTGGTCTGCGATGCCAAAAACTTATCTTTGATATGGCAAAGGCAGTAGGTATTCACGATCTCGCCGCCAAAGTACCACGTTCGAGAAACAAGATGAACACTGTTAAAGCCACCTACCAAGCATTAATGAAACAACGAATACCGGATGAGATCGCTAGGGGTAGAGGAAAGAAACTTGTGGATGTGAGGAAGGTTTATTACGGAGGAAGGGTGTAAAGAACGAAGAAATGATGGACGGAAAGAAAAAGAAAGGGAATATGTATATTTACCTTGCATATTGTATGAATACTACTAGATGGATGTGGAAGAAAAATGTGCATATGCATGGACTGGCGTAATGCTGGGAAGGAGGACAAAATTATGTGGAAAAGCAAGCATCATATTCATGATATTGCCTTGGAGAAGATCTTAAAAGGAAAGATTTTGAGTTGCATTACACATATTATTATGTGTGGGTATCTTAATCCAAAACTCCTAAATAAAGATGAAGCAATTCTTCCCCCTTCGACTTAATAATGACAGCTGCAATTCGTGATACTTCGTGGTGATGGGTACTCTTAGTGACCGACAAAGTCATGAGCTAACATGTGTCTGCCCAGTAGTGTAAATCCATTGTCCGCCGATCCGAGATATCAGGAGATGGATTTGAATATCCTATCATCCCCATCTACCCTCTCCTATAACATCTTGCTTTTCCGTGCTGAACTTCAGTTCTCTACGAAATAGCCCGGTACCAGTATGGGGATCGTATTCCGATCGATACCCCCGAAGCTTCAATTGGTGTTGAGTCCTTTCTTTTAAGATCCACACCACAGGAGGAATTGGCACCCTCTCCCTCCTCGAATAAGCTGTCAATGTCTCTTTATGCCGGTCATGCCTTCGTATGGAACATAATATTCTCCATTCCGTCCACTCATAGAACTACCCTTCACCCCAACACCCCTTTCACTCCTCCCCTGCCCCCAATCTCTCACACACTCTACTCATACCTCTCCTCCCCCTCCTCACTCCCACCTTCCCCTTCATCCCCACCACCCCTCTCCTCACTAATCTGCTGCTGCAAAACAATACTATAAACACTCGCCTTCAACAACGTAAAAACCAAACTCGTCTTCCGTTCCAACTGGCGCAAATTATCTAGTATAAATGCCGTCGGGTTATTCGAGAGAGTTTCGAGTGTATGCGCTAGCTATTGTATAGATTGAATGTTAGTTTGGAGGAGGAATGAGAGAGGAATTGAAGCGACGAGGAAGAGGGGAAAAACAAACAGTCTTCATGTTCTCTGCTAATCGTTCATATTCATCTAGTAAATCTTGTTCTGTGGGTGAGAGATCTTCATTTGTAGGGAGTGGAACGTTGGATGCGTCTGTTTCCATGGTTACGATGCGATTGCGATTGCTTGCGATTACTTGTACTTGTCTTGCGATTGTGATTATCTTTGCGTTTTGCTTTGAATGATTATTGTATGAGACTTTTGTTTATGCGCTTGCTTTGCACCTGTGGATGAGATTCGGCGGGAGATAAGCTGTAGATGTGGGAGGATAAAATAAAATTTGGCTGAAGGTAGCGGAACGAGAGCTTTGTATTGGTGTTTCAGTTACTTGACGTTAACTTTTACTTTGTCGCGTTGTGAAGTTTGGATGTTTGGATGATTGTCGACCCCGCAGGTGGAGAGTCACGTGTATCATATATCACATATCTCGAAGTCAACAACCCGAGGGGCAGCTTCCGACATCTTACCTTAGTAGGTCCACCTGAAGGGAGGTGAAGTGTGAAACTGCAAATAGGCCCTTCTCAGCAGTAATGCATTTTCGAGTCGTGTTTGTAGAAAATGGAGTTAGTACTTCATCACCAAAAGAAGAATAGCAGCAAGATGTGCAGCAATTTAATCAATTTTTATCATCCCCTACATCTCACCCTACGTAGCCACTTGGATTCGTCGCTTCAATAATTCTCCTAAACTCCGCTGACTCTTCAATACATTTATAGTTTTTCATCCCTCCAAATGTCTATCTTTTCAACTACTGGCCTAGCTCCTTATGATCCTCCTGGTCCTCCCAACAAGGCGAATCTTCTAACAATGCTTGGACCTATTTCATCATATTCTGCTTGATGTTAGTGTACTGTATTCAAACGATAAAGAAGAACCAAGATATCTTACCTGCTTTGGTGTGACAATAAGATCTAAATTCAGGGGTTTGACCCAAAAGACTACCACCGAACCATGGACCGTGTCGCTGTCTCTTATGCGAAATGACTTGAACCTCCAAACCTCCACTTCTGGCACCACCGCTTCGAGCTTCACTGGCTCTAATTCTGTCATCCACCAAGTGTTTGATATCACGTTGTAATCTGCGACCGAAATCTTTGTATAATGTACTTCCTCCAGATAACACAATATTCTTATAGAGTCCACGACGAACATCGATAGGGGAAGATTGGATAACGCCATCCACAACCGTTGGAAGTGGAGTCAAGAAATCGGACGAGTAAATTTCTGGGTTGAAGAAGATTTCAGGTGCAAGGAAACGTTCGTAACCAACATCAACGGTGACTTTGCGTCCACCTGGTTGCGTCACTGTATGCTTCTCAAATCTTCCAGGATCGCGATCGAAACGAGCAAATTCCTTCACAATATCTGGGCAGACATAACAGTAGTTCTCTTTAATCTCACCAGCAGTCTTCAAGGAAGAGTCCGGTTCACCTCTGTCTCGGAGTAACGATTGAACGAAGTATGTAATGTCTCGACCGGCGATAGGTATAGATTTGATTGATGATCCAATAACATAACCCTCTGCAACGGGAATTACGTGGGTCACACCGTCTCCAGAATCGATTACAGTTCCGGTTAAGGATCGATCAGAAACTTTTGATGAAGTCCACGACGCAGCCAATGCGAGCACAGCTTGGACGGCAATGTAAAGACCGGCACAGTTGAAGGATTCGAACATAATTTCGGCGGTATTTTCACGGTTCTCGGGTGGATTGAGTGGCTGGGAAAGTTTGGTAAGTGAAATTCTCACGTAGATTTGAGAATTGGGCACGTACGGGTTCTGTTAACAGAAAGTAATGGTCTTCTGGCTCGACACGGAGATATTTAAATATCGAATTGGACCAGAATCTTTCCATATGGTCCTACATATGTTAGCTATTTTAGCCTAAACGTAACCTTGGAGCCCCTTACCCAGTTCTCAATTTGTCCATGGCGAATTGGGTAGTGTATGCCATAACCTGCCATCATCAATACCAATTCCATATATTCTATAGCTCATGCGCACCTGGTCCACTTGCGGCTGCTAATGCCTCGTCTCCGATAAAGAAGTCCAGGTCTTCAGTTCCACGTTTCATTGAGAGATGTCCTCCTGGCCCAGCACCACCCGTAAGATACGAAGGTTTGTTGCCAACTGCAGGGCGGCCAGATCCTGAACCCGCACCTGCTGCTGCGGCACCTTTTGTCGCTATGGCGGTAGGGAAAACGAAGGATGGAGAATCATTGCCAGCAAAACCTATAATTGATGCATTGTTAGTTTTATGCCTATCTTGTCGACAGTAGAGAACAAACCAAGCTTGGAGTATCCGGTACCGCTATCGTAGAAGCATCAGTAAATGTACAAATGGATAACATCCCCTTCCTCGGGACACGGGGATATAGAATGCCTTGTGGGGATCTCGAACGTACTTGTCCATGACAACGGCCGGAGTATGAGAAGCCATATTGAAATAAAGCTGCGCAACGCAGTCCCAGATCTATCGAGGGAATTATGCGACAGCTTTGGTAATTGTAAATAAGTTGTGCTGGGAATAACAGCTGGTATTGACCGTATCGATCGTTGGCGTTTGGAATCTAAGCTTCAAGATGACGACCCATAGGCGGTGCGTACCTAAACGAACCCCACCAGTGGCAGGAACAGCCAGTCAGTGGTCGGTCAGATAGAGATCACGTGCACCTCATGTAAATTTTGATAACATTAGACTTCAATTGCAATTAATATATTGCACTTCCTGTGAAGAGATAATTGGATGTGTTCGTGATCATAGGGAAAGAAACATGAATTAATCTCTCCCAGATCAAGAAGAGATTGAGCAGGTGAATTGATGGTCTCTTGGTTAAATGAGATCATTTCATTGTCCTTTGACATGAACATTGAACCGCTCCTTCCCTTTTCATCTCCAACCTCACTGCCTGTTTAGTAGTATTATGTTAAAGTGTGCATGACATATCCAAAGTCAATCAAAGGCATTTTCTACTGCTCTCTACATCCTAGGATCAGTTCTTCCTCAACTCGAAACATCACCACTGCCACCATTCATTTCTTTTCCTTCCATCACCACACACTCACTCACCGACACTCGTTTTTCTGAACATATCTCATAAAGATCACCTACATTATTGTTTGGGCCTCCAAAGTCTTGCCCACTTTTCTATATCTTTGATTTTGATTCCTCGTCCGAAAAAAATATCATTTCTCGGTGTTAGCCGAAGTCTCCTATGATTGAGAGGCTTCTTGTTCTTGTATATTAAGAGATGTTCATTGAAATCCAAAATATCCCTACCGTACGACCAGTAGCATTTGTGTCTGTGGCGATTGATGGCTAATTTGATATAGCTCCAATAGATTGTTTTCCAATCAAGTTGAAAATCTTTCATACAGATTATAAGACAGACTCGGCATATCCTAGACGGTTCTCCTCGAATATCCCTCTCACCACCACTTCGCTCTTCCCCGTTCATGCATTTTGGAATCATTGCGAGGCCATAGATACAAATTGTCACTCATCTGTCAATTGATTCCTTTGCGAATTCCCACCATTACCTCATTCCTTCGGATACTCATCTAGAGTATTTTAAAATCTCAGATTCACTCGTATACAAACGCTTCACCTTTACTCCTCACTTACGAGACTTCATGTCTGAATTTATTACAAGATCCACTTCTCTACCTCAACAATCTTTAATCACAACGAAAATCGATATCGCGCGAGAGCGTCTCCGTCAGCTCCGTCGCGAAATTTTCAATCCTTTTAACCCACTTCGCAGATTTCAGAAATATAATATCGAAATCATCCCTTCCCCATTCGTAGATCGACAAGATCCATGGTCAGGATCTCACCCATTAATATCGAATCCTCCCTTTTACCAAAACATGGAGATCGACATGATGCCTGCTATGAGTTTCAATCCAGTAATGGATGGCTCAGCAGATAACAGAAGGCCACGCACAGTGCAATCCCAACCATGTGTATCTGCGATATTTGTGCACGCTGGTGCAGGTTATCACAGCACTACGAATGAGCACATTCACTTAGGAGCTTGTAATGAGTATGTTGACTGAACTTGAAAGTGAAACCTTGAGAGATATTTGAGGAATGTAAAACTTTGGCTGACCTTGACATAGTGCCGCTCGCGCAGCGATGAGAATTCTCAAAGCTGGCGGTTCAGCTGTGGATGCAGTCGAAGCTGCAATTAAAGTCCTCGAAGATAAGGAAATTACTAACGCCGGATATGGTAGTAACTTATCAATTGAAGGCATCGTTGAGTGTGATGCAACAGTAGTAGATCATTTGGGTAGAAGTGGTGCCTGTGGTGCAACCGCCCGTAAGCCCATAGGTTCTAGTCCGAATTGATCCCCACTGGCTAACACTACCTTTTTAGAGATCAAAAATCCTGTCAGTCTGGCCAGATTAATTTTAGAAGCCTCAAGTCGACCATTATCTTTACGAAGAGTCCCACCCAATCTTCTTGTCGGTCAAGGAGCGACGGATTTCGCATGGGAACACGGCATACCAATTGTACCACATGACATGATGTGCTCTAAGAATGCTCGCGAAAGATACATACGATGGCGTGAAGATTTGCGTCGTGCTGAAGGTTGCGGACGCATGACGCCATCAAGTACAAACAGTAGTCAAGCTGCTGATGATGAAGCTGCCACACGGGAATATGAAGAACGTGTGAGAGCAAAACAACGTAGGGACCATACCAACGCAATTATAACTGGCACATGGAATGAAGGGCAGCCCGACTCTCCTTCAACATCGTCACCGGGTCGTGCATGTCCTCAAGAATGCGGTCCACACACTCCACGTCCTGGTACACCTCCTGGCCGAGGCTACTTTCAAATGAACACGCCAGGTCGTGGAGCTTCTCGCTCTCCAGTGGGAACCACACCAGCAAAACGTGCACGCCTTGCAGCACTTAGCGATGGCAGTTCGGGACGCGTTCATTCTCTTTTGTCTCCAAGCGTTACTACAAGTGGTATTTCCAGCGAACCAAATATATCTGTCAACACTTCAGTATCTACTATCGAAAGACCATCTAGTACAGACGGCCATCTTTCCCCAACGGATCACGAAAAGGTTATTGAGATGCATTCTATACCACTAGATTTCGCCCAAGAAGGAACCATTGAGAGCCCTCACGAGTCTGCCCCAAAGCCTGCTTTCCAGAAGGAGGATGTAGATCTAATTACCGATACCGTGGGGGCTATCGCGATTGATATGTATGGCCGAATTGCTGCGGCATCTTCTTCTGGCGGAATTGGGATGAAACATCGTGGTCGTGTTGGGCCTGCTGCTCTTGTAGGCATTGGTACGGCTGTAGTTCCTTGTGACGAGAGGGATGAGGATCAAGTTTCAGTTGCTGCAGTTACTAGTGGCACAGGAGAACACATGGCAACTACCATGGCTTCACAGAAATGTGCTGACAGACTATACCACAACACCAGACGAGCTCGTGGTGGCCAAGATATGGAAGCTAATGAAGACGAAGCTATGGAGTCATTTGTTCAAGCAGACTTTATGGGTCATCCTGGTGTTTGTGGAAGTAACTCCGCTGGTGCAATTGGTGTCATGGCTGTTAAGAAGACCCAGTATGGGTACTTCTTACACTTTGCCCACAACACCGACTCATTTGCCTTGGCATCTTACGCTTCAAATGAGAAGGACGCCAAGTGTGTCATGTCCCGTCTTGGAGATCATGGCAACGTTGTCAGAGGAGGCCGAAAGGTCCGGATTGAGAAAGATTGACTTCCAGTCTCACGCCTGACACGGATTTCTAATCTTATCCTTTGAAGTGAGAGACTAGATCTCCTTCGAATCGTTGTCGGGTTGATTGTATCACTAATTTTATTTTACCAGCATTGTTCTGGAAAATGCATCATTGCTTTATTGATAGAAGGAAAGGAGCTTGTGAATTTATGATTATGAATGGAACGGCGTTGAAGAACAAACCGGAAGAAAATATCGCTACCACAAACATACATTAGCCTTAGCCGACCACTTTCCGCTTGGAAATCAGATGTGGGTTATGGGAGAGGGAAAGATGGATAGAGATGATTTTATAGCTTAGCCTTTATTGCTATGTTATGCCCTTAAGCATGCTTCATGCTTCATTCATAACCTAATAGAACCTAAAATTATTCTTCATTCTAGTATAACTGCTCAGTTTTGGTGAATATTCTGTATGCATGCACTCATGCGCTCATTGATGTAGTTTTGATATTGCTCTTTCCTATGCAATATGCCACAAACCCATAAACCGCAAATTTGTGAATGTCCATATCCCAATCTGCTAGCCCATTCCCTTTCCCATTTTCTTTCCTTCGTTTCCCAACACCGATAAATAATAATAATCTTGGGAACTCTTAAAGTATATAAGCGATATAATACAACATTCACATTTTCTTCATCCATCTACCCATCCATTTATCTATCCATGTATTTAATTATTCTCCAGATGGTTCGTTTCATTTTATTCATCTTATTTATTCCCCAGGTACAGGAGTACCTCTAGCACTGCCAGTCTCGACTCCTGCACCATTAACCTTTCGCTTCTTCTTCTTTTTGCGTGGGACGACGGCTGGTTTGGAACCGTAGTCTCCGAGGGAGAGGTGCGTGGAGCAGGTTAGACAGATGGCTCCTTCGGGGGGTGAACAGAATACTAGAGGCGTGTCAGTGTGAATGTATGAACTGAGGTAAGAAGATGGAGGAGGGACAAGATGGATGAGTTGGGCGTGAATAAAGATACCACATACTACTTAAACATATACTGCACACAAAACCAACGTCCACCACCTTTCTATGACAAAAGCACGCAGCTCTAAAATCTACCACTTCCTGTGTTGGTGCTATTAAATCCTTTCTACTCGTTTGATCGGGCAAAAATGCTATCATTAGATATTGTAATAACCCTTGCGGATTCTTTAGGTGCATATATATTCCCCTTGTAGTGTCGCTAGCTTGTTGTAGAAATACAGTATCACCGGCGAGTTTTAATATATCAATTGGGATCCGCATACGTTGTGCGGCGAATGTAGTATTCATTATGGGAATATATTGATGTGCGAGATCGCCGGATACAGAGAGTACGAGAATTCTTGATTGCAGACCGATGCTAGAATCTGAAGTATTCACATCGGAGGTTGTTGGTTTAGAGTCGGAAGCTGAGACGTCATTGTATGCTAATGATTGTTTGTTTATATATGAGAGGGCGAGGGTAAGGGCACCGGCCATTTGGGTAGTGGTTGTAGTGGAAACTTCTTGTTCAGTCGTGCTAGATATTAAGTTGCGCAGGGAATTTAAGAGGGTATTTTCGATGAGCGCAAATTGTCTGTATTTGTTTGCATCATTGGGAGGGCCGTGAGTAGTTGAACCACCCATTTCTATGTCTTCTGAGGCAGAGGGGGGTGCTGGATAGAGCCATACTGCGCGGTGACAATGGCTGGCTATTATGGCCACTTGATTGGCATTATTGACGGCGAGGTGGGCGTTTATGAAGACGAGGAGATTGGCTACAGCTTTGGAGAGAGGGAGTGTGGAGGAGAGGAGTGCCCAGGCGTGTGGATTGGTGTCGAGGATAATGACGAGACATGAAGGCGAGGGGCCTGTAGTCGTGTTAAAGAACATATAATTGCTGCAAAATGGATATGGTCATACCTTCGACGCCTCCTGTGAAATGATCTGTACCATCTATACCATCCATGATGGAAGTCTAACAGGCATGACACCCGGTAGACTTGAAGTTCAAAGAAGCTCTTGTTCTTAAAAACTTCTGATTAAAGTTCACAATGCAACCGATCCAACAATGAATAGGTTAGAGATTAATTTTCCTTTCCGCAGGGTGAATTTCTGGATATAGTTGTGATTCGTATGGAAATTCCTAAAGGCTGAGTGAATTAATGAATTTCGAACAAGGCTGGAAGATCCTCATGCAGGGTAACGTTAAGGTTAAAGAATGTATGTAATCTAGAAATCGCCCTTGCTTGACGCCTGATCAGGTGACGTAGCATATTTGACCTAAATGTGGGGGTTTTTACTTCTAAGGGTGTTTCACAAGAGGGGCATTGGTTCATTTTATAATTCCGACATTCCCATCTTCTTCATCTCCGATCACCCCATTTTCATTTCAATTAGAATTCAATCATATGTGATACTTCTCAACCATGTCAAAACCATTTGATCAATCTTTTGAAAGACGAGGCACTGATCCAAGTGTCCCTCATACTACAACTGCCGCAAATGATTCTCTTGAGGATCAGACACTCCTCTTACTCGCCCGTTTAACCGAGGGTGGACAAGAGGATGAAGATACTTGCAGGGAGTTGAACACTCTCACCAAACTTCTCACTGATGATTCCGCCGAAGAAACAAGATCAAAGGAGCCACATAAACCTCTCTTTCAATTGATCGATCAAGATATCTTGGAAACTATTCTAGGTTATCTTGATATGAGACAATCTCAATCAGTTCGAAGTCACGCGACACTAACCACTTCTGCATATCTTAAAGCTTCGGAACAACAAGGCGTTGATTATCTTTCTCATTTTTTCTATGATCGTGTAGCAAAAGGCACATATGATGATCTGATCCTTGCGTTTTCTGTTGCAGCATCAATATTTTCCATTGTTCCAGATGTCATTGCTTCATTTTTTCTTAGTGAGGGTTTCATTCCTAGCCTTGGTGCATTGATGAAGAGGAAATGGAAAAGCCGAAAGGTTGAACAGGCTGCTTTAGAACTACTTAGTGCTGCTTGTATGAACACTCCTTGTCGGGAAGCTATTCAGAAGCATTGTACAAAATGGCTTGAAGAGATTGTCAGCAATACTCCACCAAAAGTTTCCGAAGTCTCTTCGTCTCCTATTGATAGTAATGCGGAAGATGGCTCCATACAACAGCGAATTCATTCTGAACAAGTTAGGAATCTCGCAGCTGTTGTCTTGGCTAAAATTCAGGTATGCATCCCATGATTCCATGGCCATTTTCCTTCCCGCTTTTGATTGTGCCCCTCTCTGTTCAGTTATTCTGACTGACCTCAGAAGTGAAGGCTATCCCTTCAGCACCCACCGCTGAATCTGGAGGAGGATATCAGTCTGCTAGTCCGACTATTGAAGATATTTCAGACATGTTGAAGAAGATGCTGTTCTCGGATGCATCACAGCAAAGTTCAATTGAAGGTCTTGCTTATGCTTCGCTACAACCAAAAGTCAAGGAGAGCCTGGCTTCAGATAAAGAGTTTTTGGTCAACCTTGTCAAGTCTTTGAATGACGCTCAGCCCAAATCACCCACAACCTATGGAGCTCTCAGTATTCTCAGTAATCTTACAACCTACCAACCACCTTTAAGCGAAGAACAAAAGAAATTGAGTCAATTAAAAGCTTATGCGAATGCCTCAAAGTCGAATCTCAAGCCAGATCCGCTCAATGACGATAGTCACGTTGACAAGAGATGTCAAAATGTATTCGAAGCCGGTGTTGTACCTGTTCTTGTCACCCATAGTCAGCATGGATCAATAGCATCTCTTACACTTGTCATGTCGATCATCTTCTCGCTCTCCAAAACAACCAAAATTCGAGGACGAATGGCTCAACAAGGTGCAATCAAGCTTTTATTACACTCTTACACTGTCTTCTCCTCAGATAATATTCCAGCTCGAAGAACCACAGCTCATGCCCTCGCCCGTATTCTCATATCTACCAACCCACTACATGTATTTGGTGGTGCCAATCCTCTTTCACTTGTTTCAGCCATTAAACCTCTTCTTCTTCTCCTTGAGGATGATCCAACTGTCGAGCACCGCGATCTCTTACCCGTCTTCGAATCTCTTCTGGCCTTGACAAACCTTGCTTCTACAGATGACTTAGCCCGTAATTCGATCATCCGACAGGCCTGGTCACAAATTGAGGAATTACTTCTTTCCCGTAATACTCTGGTGACGCGTGCAACAGTGGAGCTTATCTGCAACCTCATGCAATCTCCAGAAGGAGTCGCAAAATTCTCAGACGGTAGCAAACAAGCCTCAAATCGTACACATATCCTATTAGCTCTAACTGATGCCGAAGACCTCCCTACAAGAAGGGCAGCAGGAGGTGCTTTGGCAAGTCTTACAGAATGGGATACTGCAGTAACCGCAATTCTTGAAAGAGAAAGAGGAGTCAATCTCTTGTTAGCCTTGTGTACTGAAGACTTGGAAGAATTAAGACACAGAGGTGTAGTTTGCATACTCAATATATTGACGGCACCAAACAAAGTTGGGGAAAGGGGAATTCAAAGGGTGAAGGAGAATTCCGGACTGGAATCTCTGAAAGAATGTTTAAAGAAATCGAGAGATCAGCAGGTTTTGGAGATTACCGTGCAGGCTGTGAAAATACTTATAGGGGATGAGGACCCTAGTAAGCTTTTGGAAGGTTGAATGAAGGTGGTGGTGAATGATTAGTATTCGGTTCAAAAGCACCATAGTGTAGTAAAGTATTGCATCGCAATGGAATATAAAATTTGCCCTTCAAAGACTCATTGTTCTAAAAAGATATAAATTTGATATGTTTTAAAATGAACTGTTGTATTGGCAGAAAGTGACTTTATGAGCATGAAGCCTTGAATGATAGGTATACGAAGCAGCAAGGCATCATACAATGTTGAGTCTATTCTTGGTCTGGAATCAGCGATACCAAATTTACATACAGGGTTACTTCTTAATAGGACTTTGTAAAAGATGCGTAGATACTTTTCAGTCAGATTCGGTATCAAATGACTTTAAAAGACTAGTATAAAGTGCAAACGTGTGCAATTCCATACCTGTAGCAAAAATTCGGAATATGAGTAGTGGTCGGGGAAGAAAGCAACAGCACCAAACCAAAGTGGGTCTAGTAAGCGAAACTGGCGATAACTTCAAAAAATCATTAAAAGAAATTCAAGAACTCATGAATCATCAATATCATCCTTCACACAGCCAATCAAAAAGTCTCAAAAATCGCAAAAGGCCAAAGAGACCAAAAATAAAACTGCAAAAGTAGAGACCCAACCCAAATCCCCTCTCCAAACCACACAACAAATGTAATTCAATACCGCCACACTAAGGTGAAGAGCTCTCTGCAGAGTGAAACCTCCCTCAAGAAATCATCTTCATTGCTCAAGACAACACCAGCATCGTGGGTTTCCCGCACGAGTGGACTGTCACCGCGGTGTTCGGACTGGGCACTGTTGGTAGCTTCAATCGTTAGATTGAGATTTTTGAGTGGAAGAATTGGGAGTGTGGGCTCGTCTTGGGCTTATGACCGTTACAGTCAAGGGGTTTTCAGAATTTAAATGAATATGTAGGAGGATGAGAAAGGGGTGGGTGTGATTGGTTGGTGGTGTGGGGTAGGGATGCTGTGGAATGTGTTCTTTGGTGTCACGTGAGGCTCGGGAAGACTTACTTCTACCGATTATGTAGATCGGCTCAAATTTGTGTTGCTTGTTTTAACTCTAAGGAAAATTGTTCTGTAAAATGGACGTCGTTCTTGTAAAGCATTCAATTTTTAGCTATATATAGTGAGGTATATACTTTGGTTCCTGACACATGGCTAGCACCACTTTCTCTGCTCTACAAAGATACGATACTACCAGGGCCCGGTAGCATATAAACTCACCGTCAAATAGTAGCTTTTGAGAAAAACTTTCCATTTTATCAACTAATACATCAGTTTATAATCCTCGCTACAGAATAGTCATTTCATTATCATAAATTAAACCATTAATTTGCATCATTCATGATTCATCTTTAAAACATTCTTCAGCCCCAAAAATACCCTCAGAACCAACCCCATCCCAATAAGGATCTGTCATAATATCAGCCATCTCCGCCCTCTTTCCAGGATCCAGATTCGTCATCCTCAGTATCAACCTTTTCGCATCTTCATTGAGATTGGGATAATCAATCTCAGTCCATTGCTCAAAAGGCTCATACCCTTCAGCTCGCTCCTCATCCTCCTCAATCATTTTCCAAAGATCCTTCAAGAGCTCGCCTCCTTTCTCATCATCAACATGCTTTACGAGTACATCTGGAAGCGGCCCGAAGTTTGATAGCAATTTGTGTAAGATTACCCGCTCTGGTTCTATAGGGAGACTTTCGAAGTCGGGATGATATGATTCCACACCTGTGAGCACAAAAAGACACTGAAAGAACCATATTGTTAGAGAATGGGATTCCGTAGGAATTGAAGGGTTGACTCACCAAAAGCCCGAAAGAAAACACCTCCGAATGCTTTCCTATTCCCCTCCCCAGTTGTCCTTCTGGACTTTGCCACATCACGTTTCCTATCTTATGGTTTAGAAGATTCCTACCTACGAGTTTCAAAGCACAATCTAAATCGCCCAATTGCACCTTTTCGAGGCAGAATTTAGTTTCCATATTAACAAACCAATCAATGAATACGTTATCAGGCTTCACATCTAGAGCACAACAGCGAGATCAGTAGAGCTCTGTGTCACGATTCATTAATTCACGTGACCTCGAGGACCTTTTGGACCTTAGGGTCCCCGAGGTCCTCAAAAGATGATATAGGGTATATAAACATTCATTTAGTCTCGTAGTTAAGGAGCTTCGTGCTCAACTTAGTTATCAATTAGTTTACCTACATTCTACTTGATCTAGTAACGAATTCACTTCCAAGTGAATACCAGTGATAAAGCCTTAACCCACCACTATCAATCAGACTGTCACGATTCATTAATTCACGTGACCTCGAGGACCTTTTGGACCTTAGGGTCCCAGAGGTCCTCAAAAGGTGATATAGGGTATATAAACATTCATTTAGTCTCGTAGTTAAGGAGCTTTGTGCTCAACTTAGTTATCAATTAGTTTACCTACATTCTACTTGATCTAGTAACGACTTCACTTCCAAGTGAAGACCAGTGATAAAGCCTTAACCCACAACTATTAACCAGATGAAGCCTTAGGCAGCCGCTGCCTCCAGTACAGTATCGTTACAGTTTGCTACCATCGTAACACCATCAATCCTAATGGTGAATCGTGACAAATATATTCTTTACAAAAATTAAGATACTAAAATCAATTGTGATTTTAGAATAAAATAATTAATTGTATAAATATTCTTTTGTAAAAGAAAATATAGATTTTATTTTTTTTAATAATTTTTGTTCAAAAGTTACAGGAATGGAAAGTGTAACGATACTGTACTGGAGGCAGCGGCTGCCTAAGTGTTACGAGGTTTGCTGTCTAGATCACGTGGAAGTGCTCTAGGCTCTCGAGGTGGTTTATAACTAGGCGTCAAGCAGGGACTTAAAGTAGTGACAATAATGATATGCAATTCGTAACTAATAGTAGAGTATACTAAATGATTGATCTTGAGCACGAAGCTCTATACAAAGGAAATCCATCTTGATTATATAGACCTTCATGCCTATGGCTAGTCAGGACCGCGCAGCGGTCCATAACGTGACTTAATCACGCTACCTTGGTTTAGTCATGTGACGCAGCGTAGAAGATAGCCGTCGTAACACGAAGTGAGACTTATGTAAGATTTTATGTCGAGTAGCAAAACTAATCATGATTTTCAACGATGCATTTTACTACACTTCATATTTTCATATCCAGCTTCTTCCATCCATGATTCATTATTCATTCATCCTTGATACTTCATCCTTCATCATTGAACACATCCTTGATACTCATCGACGCCAAGAATAACTCAGCACACCGCACTGAACAAATACTCCTCCGCGTATGAACCGTGCTAATACAACAACATTTGCCCCACCGTCTCGGAAGCCTAGAGTCATCTCTTCCAAACTACAACAATCTACCACACCGGGTGGTGTTACACGATGCAAGATGTGACAATCATGATCAATCAAAAGCATTACGATCAGCAAAAGGATCATTCTCATCATCTTCCTCCTCCTCTGACTCTGGTACTGGAGGATGTGTAGGCTGAACAGGAGTCGGTGGTGCGGGACGATGGGAGGTTTTAACAGGGCTGATCGGACTCTTAGTGCCAATAGAAAGACCAGCAAGTTGTTGTGTTGCATCACTACCTCTACGTTCGGTTTTATTTCGTTCCGCCACTATATGATATTAGTTGATATTCGTGTATTGCGAAGAGGAAATCATACTTCTGTAGAGATGAGCCTGCTCAGCCATGTCATCATCAGAATCACTATCAGCATCAATTGATCTATCAAGCTGTTCAAATGTCATTAAAGCATTAACCAATTCATCGTTTGCATGAAGAAGTCCTCCAAGCCATTCTTCGGCCTCAACATGTTGAATCTAATAAAAATGTTAGCGTAGTATAATTCGCAACCATAATAAACTTACATATCGTAGGATCTTTCTACGGAGAAGTTTACAATTATCAAAATGCTGTAAAGCGGTTTTATTCTCAGAAATTCGCTCTTTCTCTCGATTGATATGTCTTAACGCGTTCAAAAGGTTGGTGGAGGAAACAGCTGATTCTGCAATAGCGGCTTTCATTCCTTCCTTCTCAGCTTCTAGGTTGAATGGCTTGGGCTTCTTCTTCTTGTCCTTTTCTTTATCCTTCTTAGACTTCTTAACAGACCCTGACATTATTGAGGATGCTCGTTCTCTTGTAGATGTTGTTACAGAGCTTTGTCTAGAGTGAGAAGGACCAGCTTGAGATGAAGCAGCTTGGGGAGTGACAGGCGTAGGAGGTTCCTCAATTTCATCATCTTGGAAGGGATTTTCCTCTGTTTCACGGAGAACTTTTGATCTATCTTGAGTGACAATCTTCTTGGTACGAGGTAATTGCTTCAAATTGTGTTAGCAAGAGGTATAGAAGCTTTCAAATGATACACACCTTGTAAAGACCGCGAACCTCCTCCATTCCACTAACTTCTGCAAATTCAACAGACCAGTTCCTGAAAAGTTCCTTGCATTTAGCTTTCACTGCAGGGTCCGAAAGATCTGAAGTACCACAGATACGTAGACGCTCGAGTAAAGCTTCATCGGCAAAAGTACGCTGAAATCTTGGACCAGCATTCTGGATAAGACCGTCCAGAATTTCTAAAGCTCGAATCTGACGATGCACATTACCATACTTGAGCTTCTTTCGAATAGCCCTAGAAGCTTCTGTAGGACCTGTAGATTGAATTTTGATCACTTCCACCAACTCTGGAATGCCACCAAAATCATCATCATCATACTGCTCGCTTGTGAGACGCTCGATGGCGACTGTGACTGCTGAGTATGGTTTCTTCTGTTTACGGTGAACATGTATTAGTTCTTCAGTCTTTGTAGGTTTTAGTCTGTCAAAAAGAAGGTTCCCGACATGAACCCTATGGAAATCATCGGATTGAGGTTCAGAAGGAATGTAAGATGCAGTATAAGATCCTGCATTGTTGCGTTGAAGTTCCCTCTTGGTAGACCTACCACCATGCCTGCCGTTACAGAGGGACATCAGTCGCATAAAAGTCACGAATCACAAATATGTCCCCATAATCTCGTGATATGAGTAGACAAGAATGGGATACATGGGGAGGTGAAGAAAGGAAAAGAAATCAAGAATCGGGAGTATAAAATGCCATGGAGTACTGACCGAAGAAAACATATTGCCTCTCAAATCTAGGTTAGAATCCTTGACTGTTGACTACCTATGAAAGGGTTGGCTTCACTACAAGCTCTGCCGCAATACTGCTTAAGAAGAGACCAATAATAGAGTAAAGAAGTCAATCAAATATAACCAGAGGATAACAACGAATAAGTGGATGCGGATAATGTTGATTTGAAGAGTTCCAAATGTAGTATGAGTTGTCGAGAAGGTTATCAGATATTTCGTCAACTACCCTCCTGCCACGTCTTAATGTGGAAGGTGGGGTTGCTTGAGGGGGATTTTGGATGCTTTTAGTAGTACAGTATATCAGTGAAGTAAAGGAAGTCAAGTTGGCTCGGCGACGAGTGTGTGTGAGTGAATGAATATTAAGTGAGCGGAGTGTTGTCCCAAAGTGCAGAGATGGGTTCAATATTTTTCTTGTTTCTTGTTTCTTGTTTTATTGTTTTGAGTGAAGGAAGGGTTTGTTGGGTCGCAATTATCTCTCATGTGATGATTGATACTCCTTATCACAAGTGAAGGGAGCTTTGGTCCGCTAAATTAGGCTAGTAGAGCGGGGCGGGACGTCTCTTTTAGTAACCACATCTTGTAAGCCTTAGGCTCTATACACCCGTTTTAAGACCTGGAGCTAGAGTCACCTAGCTGCAGCTTTATCTTTATTCACTTTCAACCTCGATCTTACCCCTCATCTCACTTTTTATATCTGTATCTGAAAACTCTTACCTTTTCAATTGAACTCAACATATGAACATATAAATATATCAATATACTGTTAATTTATCCATACTCAATTGTTTACCAATTCGCCATTGATGACGTGAAGCAAAGGGGAAGTCGTAAAGGAGGGGGCATGAAGGGGATGGTGTGAATGGTGAGAGCGATGTGTTAAGGGATGTTTTGACGAATTGAATTGCGGTCAAGATGGCGCATTATCAAGGTCGGAAAGAAGAAGAATCTTCGAGAGTAGGAAGAAGTCAAGAAGATGTGACATATATGTTTGTTTAAGCTTTGCCATAATTTAATTGCTTGATACTAATACCACATCTCGGAACAGTGCGCCAGGAACACCAATGCACCCAACTTCATCCTTTACTCCAATCAACCATGGGCATACAAATAATATCAACTCAGTATTACCTTTAACGCGAAAAATTGATCCATTGAAAACTTTGCGCAATACCGATATCTACGATCTTAAAGATGAGAGTACAAGTCTTCCGACTCCAGGTGGTAAAAAGCTACCGAAATCACGCTCAAAGAATGGCCGTGCGAAAACATCACCCAGTTCAGTATTGCCTAATAAAGGTCTGGCGGAAGTCTGTGATTTTGAACAATTGGAGGTATCTTCACCGAAGAGGAGAAAAATTCACACGAAAGGAACGCAACCCATATTCAAAATCCCTTCCAGAGTACAATCAATATCTGCCAGTGAAGGTCTTCGAGATTTATCCAGCGAATTAAATGATGGGCCTTCTGTCTCTCAATTTACTACACCATCTGAAACTCATAAAAGGTCTAAGAAGAGAGTGTCTTGTGGTATGGTTAGCAAGCGGAAGAAATCTTCGGAATTATTTGAGAGCTTGACCATTACTAAACCATCACTACCTTCCTTCACCTCAAAGCACTCAAGAGAGCAATCGCAATCTATTAATCGACTACAAGGTTTTACAACAACCGAGGAGCAGCTGAAACTTAATTCCAACGGAATAGCAAGTACAACTCTACAGAAATTGGCAGCCTTCAAACATGTACCTCGCGATGAGAATCCATCGGCAAATCAGCCAATAGTTGCAAGCAAAACAGCAGGTAGTCATGTAGCCTTGGATCAGTATCATGATGGACACGTCTTTGAAGAACCAAATCAACCTTTGACGGACTATGGGCACATGTCAAGTGGTTCATTTTTCGAAGAGGCTTTATGGATTCCAAAGCAATTGCCCGAAAGTAGTGATTCTGAGGTTACTTGTCCTAACGTATCCGGATTTCACTCCCACCCAACAACTGCAATAACACCTGCTATGCAGCACATTCCAGATCATGTTGAGTGTTCATCAAAGCCGCCTGAGTACATCTCTACGGCCACTAGGGTCGGAGCATTGAAAAATGTTTCGGATGAAGTTGTTGTCGATGGTATTGATAGACAGCAATTTCAGCAAGGACCACCTACGGTTAACAACAATGAATTTAACCAGCTCAGCGGTATGAGTCCCGATTTGCAAAAACACAAACCACAAGTATATGCTCACCTGCCAAGCACAAGTTCCGAGCAAGAACAGGCACATGCAGAGACTCCTCAAGACTCAACAATACTTCCGCCGATGACAACGTTTGAAAGACATCAGGCGGACATTCAAGCTGAACAATTAAATATTGGTGATAGCGAGTCAGTGCCCACGAATGAGCCCCAAGATTACTTCGACAGCGATGACTTCGACGATGATATTGATGACGATGATCTGCTAGCATTAGTTACAGATCCTGCTGTACCAGAAACCTCTACTGAAAGTCACATCGCGAAAGGCACTGCGATGGAATCACTCCCACCTTTCGTACCATATAAGGCTGGCCTTGCATGCACAAACATGACACGCTCGAATCCTACCACCAATCCTCTGCAAGGAGTCACCCATCCTGCGTCTTCACCCGTTCTAGTGGATGAGGAGGATGATTACCCAATGGATGCAGATTTGGAGGAAGAAATGTTTCGACTTGCAGAAACAAGTCAAGTACGAGGTGTTGTAGAAACATTCGAGCCACCACCAAGTTTGACACTTCCGCGAGATGGTGATGATACTGATAGGGAAGTATACGATAATACTCTTCAATTCTCATCCCCCACTTCTCGAGGGTCTGGTTCTGGTAAACTACCTCGGGTACAATCTACTGATCTGTCTAGTCCCTCTAAGCCACCAGCAACAAACGAAGATGCTGATTGGAGGTAAGTTACATGCTCTATAAAATATGTCATGTGTGAATGGATCAACTAATTTTAAATCTTCAGATATATAAAATCAACAACCATGGAGTCAATCAAAACTCCAATTCCTCAGCATACAGAGATTCTTGCCCCTTCACTGAAAGAGAAAGCCTCCGAAAAATCGCCTTCGTCTATTGCGACCGTTCAAACTAATTTATCAAAAATATGGCTTGATGATAGTCATGAATATCTACCTCTAACACCATTCGCTCGCCCAAAGTTTCCCCCATTAGTTCAAGATCGATGCCCAGTCAATGGATTATCATCCCAAACCATTCTTCGTGTCTGTTTCCGGATTGGTGAGATGCTGAGAGAGGGGGGTCGATGTAATGCATTAGGTCAGGATGCAATTGTTGAACTCTTCGCGCGTGTCAATTTCTCATCCCGAGAACCTGGTACTACCAAGCAGCATTTTCAATTCGCAGACCTGTTTCATGATCGTCCGCCATTTGCCAAGGGCATTCTAGCAAACTTCAAGACCACTGGTCTAGCAGAGAGTGAGAGTAAAGTCTTCATCGAGTCAAGCGAAACGTTGATGACAAGATGTTTGGGAAGATTGAAGAAGGATGTCAAAAATGGATCTTGGTTGTTGCATATTATTAATGTGAGAGTGACAGATTGGGAAGAGATTAGATGGACCAAAAGGATTGTCTGTGGAGAGCGTGAAGAAAAAATGAAGACGACTGCTAGATTGTGAAATGATATGGTACGGATATTGAAGGAAGTTTGTTATTATTGCTTACGACAATGTATATTTTGCCGGGCTGGAAGGGCTCAAACTAACATTTAGCAAACACTCATCAGCCAATATGGCATCTCAGATATTGCAACATATAGATACAATATCTACTTAAGCTACGATTTACATATGACATTACCTTCTCAAACCAATTTTTGGTCTGCTTCAATCATTCATATTTCATATATATAGGTGTGGAATACATCAATCCGAAATGCTTCTGCCTAGATACAACCCCACTAATCACATGATTAACACATGCTTGTCAGGCCGCGGCTCAGCCAATAATTAAGCAGCAATTGATAAGTAGACAAATTTGAACCTCCACATACTGTTTACAGCCACAATAATGGGACGAAATGCCATTTGTTCATGAACTCAAATTGACTCTTTATTGCTTATTGATGACGCGGCGCATCTGGCGTGTGTTTGTATTTACTTTCTTTACTGCCGAGTATATGTATGAACGGTGTTCCTCGGCTTGAGTTTTAGGCAGAAACAATAGAGAAGCGTCTGTCATCATTGCTGGTTGATTTCATTGTCATTGTTGTTATTCGTTGTTAAATTGAGCTTTATTTGAAGATTGATGAGTAAAATATACACGTACGATTTTCAAGGTTAGGTTACTAGGTATTTTGGAGAGGAGGTGATATTGAGTTTGGTCCACTGTTTTAGGTAGGAACTGTAAGGTACGATCTTTCAGGTACGCGGAAAAGGTTGAGTGAAGAGTGGAAAGTGGGAAGATTGAAGTGGAAGATTGGAAGGCTTGAAGATGAATCGCTCGCGATTTGAAGCTGTAAGTTGATTCTTAGTTTTGTTTTTGGTTGGGTGATGTATGGAAGGTTGGAGATTGGGGTTGGAGAGGAGTGGCTGTTGTGTTTCTGTGGGATTGGGGACCGGAGACTACGGATTGTACTTGTGTTTTTCTTTTTGTGTTGATTTTGTTTCTTTTGTTTGGGTTTGGTAGATGTCTATGAATCAGAGTTAGTCGATTGTACGGGACGGGCTATTCCTTGGATTGTGTGTTTTCTCTTACTGTTTTGTGCTTGAGTCTACGTCTCTGCACGTTAATGTATTTCCCGGTTTGATATATGGAACTTTATCCTCGTTGGTTGGCATTTCAATTTCCATATGCCTTTTATCATCTTCACAATGCACAGCATCTTGTATACCCTTTCTCAATCTATCCATCGTCACGCATCCGCCCCATCTCTCTAACCCTCATTCAATCAAAAGCTCACTAACCCATCTCCCACAGCTCCCCAACAGCTCATCCTCCCCACCAATCCTCCTCGATTTAATAAATAACCCCTCTTACAACTACAATTCCGGTACCCCTTCATCCGTTCGCACCTCCACCTCTTCTTCTCATCGCACATCCATTACCAGCATATCATCACGCACTCCTCCGCCTTCCTTCCATTCGAGTCAGCTTGCACATTTAAATGGACAAAATCAGCCCAGTCAAGCGTTAATCTCTTCCTTTTCCGGTACTTCGAATTACTTTAATGGAAGCGGAAATGGAGCAGGAGCGACAGGAGGAACGAATGGCACAACACCATTTCCCTCGTACAACAACGGACAGTATATCGAGTCCGCACCCCCATCCTTTCATTCCCGCTCTAGCACGCCTCGTCCAACACCTAGTACGAGGACACTGGCGAGTAATGTAAGTGGAAGTAGTGGAGTAGAACTTTGGGGGGTGGCTACTACTACTTCTGGGGGTGATGAGACGGTAGAGGACAGAGAGGGAGCTAGTGGATTGATGATTGTTAAGGGATTGGAAAGGAGAATGGAGAGGTTGGAAGAAAGCATTGGGAGGTTGCTAGTGAGTTTTTGTCTTTCCTTTTTGTTTTACTTATTTTTTCTTAGAGAAGCGTTCTTTTTATTTCGGTAGTGTGGTATGAAGAGGAGGGAAATAGGGGAAGAAGACAAGCTAATAAGGCATAATGTAGTTGGAAAATGAAGAGTTACGTAGATTGAGGACTGCAAATGCCGCTACAGGTACACGAGGTGAAAATCAGCGGATTAGACAAAATTGCTGTGTTACGTTTACGGATGCATCGAGGGATATGGAGGAGGCGCTGGTTATGAATGGTATATTGCCTTTTTTAATTTCCCTTCCTTGTCTCTCTTACCTTCTTTATTCTTATCTTTTCTTGCTACTCTTTTCTCCATCTCTATCTCTTCTCCCTTTTTGTTCCAATAATTTTCTCCCTCAATATGAACTAACAACCCAACCAGGCCACAACAATTGTTGCGTCCGATTTTCCTCCTCAAAAGCCTCCTCAGATAGTAAACATCGTAAAAGGGGATGCTTTGTAGCGATTGTGTTTATGGCTATTTTGATAACGCTTTTTGTAGTCATGGTTAATGGGGCTCTGAAGGAAGCTAGAGGGGAAAGAGAGGGCAAGATGAGATTTGGAGAAGGTAGGATGAGGTTTGGGGATCATGGGATAAGGTATGAAGAAGGGGGGAATGAAGATTTAAATGAGGGATTAAAGGTTTAGTTGTTGATTTGGGATGAGATAGGAAGGGGAAGAAAGGGAAGTTGAGGGAAGGCAGGAGCAGAGAAGGGAAGATGAGGATGCAATGATTGATAAATAAATGATATACAGCTAGAATCTTTTCGGGTCTGGATTGGTAGACCGGACTTGTTTGTATGAATTGGGATTGGGATTAGGATTGGGAATGGGATATAGATGGGATAGATGATAATTTTACAAACGAATATACTCGCTATAACATGCCATTACAAATGATCTTTCTATCTTCAGTAAAATATTCCAAAGCTAGATATCATTTCAACATTTTACCCTTGTATTTTCTCCGGTTGTGTGTACAAATTTATATATAACAAACACCATCTACATTTTATATTGATGAATTCTCATCCTATATATCCTCTACTCATACATCGGTATGATGAAATGAATAATCCCATCCTCTTACTATCCTCCTCCACCTCTCTCAATTCCTCCCCAAATCAAATTTCAATCCAATTCCTAATCTTCAAAAAGAATCAGCACCATTCACCAGCCCTCACTTAATCCCCATTACCCTCCCACAACTCAAAACTCAAAACCCAAACCCAAACCCAGAACCCAAACCTCAAAAATTCGAAAAAAAAACTATAGAAAAAACTCACTATCAACAAGCCCCGGCCATTTCTCCTTCAAAAACTCCACAACAGCATCAGGGCCCTTCTCTACTTGTAATCCATGCGGTATAGCCATGGTTTTGATACCGGGTCTGGTGGATTGGGCGATCGATTGGATTTCGCTGGATTCGGTGGGTGTCCACATTGAGGCTACGAACTAGAGGGGGGGAGGTTAGGTGGTGGGATTTGGGGAGGGGAGGGGAGAAGGGGGGAGTAGGAGGGAATGGAGACATACTAGGACATCTGGTTGTTGCTCTTCGACCATTGCTTTTACGTCTTCTATTCCTGTGAGAGAGAGGTGTTAGTATTTGTGTTAAGTTTCTCGAGTCGTTGTTTGAGTTTGATTTATGTGCTATTTTCTTCCTCAAGTTTGAGGATTTCGTCAAATCCTCGTTCTGTATGATAGAAATGAGGATCTGATATGGTCTGTAACTCTGATGATTGGTGATTGCAGGAGTGAGACTTCACTTGAACCGACGGGGTAGTAGGTACTGGAAAACTCACCAGATCGGACTACTCATCCAATCTCATACCAAAACCCCAAACCCAAAGATCAGTTTCCTTCTCTTCCTCTTCCTCATCCTCTCCCTTTCTACTTCAAACCACAACTCCCACCCACAGCACCCAACAAACAGAACATAAAAGAACCGGACAGCCAAAGATAAACAAGAAATATTAAAAAAATCATAAAATTAAACTCACTCTCAGCATTCTTAACATATACAATCGTATACTCCTCCTTAACATCCTCAACCACTCTTCCGATTAAAATCTTTGCTCTCTCGGGGACTTTGTTGACGGTGCAGAGTTTGTAGGGTCCTTTTGGTGCCATTGTGGGAGTAAGGAATAGTTGTTGTATTGTATGAGGGAAGATGGAGAAAGAAGATGGGGTAGAGGAAATGTGAATTGTGATTTTTGATAGTGATGTCAGTATTGATATTGATGTGATTTAAAGAGCTTTAGAGAGTGAGTTTTGCGAGGAGGAGATGGGGTGTTAATGAGTTATGTATGTATATGTGTATGTGCTGATTAGATTGAAGTTGGAATTTTTATATATGGTGGGATTTGAAGAGGGTTTCTTTGGTGATGGTTATGATGATGATGATGGTGGACGGTGGGGAGTGTGGGGATGGGGATGAGGGGCACGGAAGAGGTGATCGGGAATATTTTCGGGAGGGGTAATGTAATTTATGAGATGAGGGTTGTTTTGTGTTACTGTGTCATTGTGCGAGTTTGTGGGGATAGGATAGGATAGAAATAATCTATTTTTGGAGTGGATGATGGATGGGATGATGTTCTTGATGGGTATCAAAAATTGCTGGTACAGAGTGTACAAACATGCAACAAACATCTCAATTCTCATCGGCGTTTTAAAAAAGCCTTCAGAACTATATACGATGCATTATACCTCAATTGAATATTTACTTAAAGTCTTATAATCGATAAGATGAAGGAAGGGGTAAAATTAAAAGTTGTTAGGGAAGCTCAAGAGATAAACAATCCATCCATACATCCCGTCAACCAATTTCCCATCTTGCATCTTGCATCGCCATACGTACATACGGAGTACTCGTGCTTTTGCATTGCATTTCATACTTGATGTATGAGTGCCTCTTTTTAATGTCTTCATGATCGATTAACTAACTATGCATGAAGCGCTGCATTGAAAATCTTTTATTTGATCTCTTTTTCCTACTTTGTAGGACTTATCTTGAGATTTGAGCCAGGGCGTGAAATAGGTTGGATACCGGTACTGCGTGATGGATATATATGGTTATGTATGGCGGCGGGGAGATTTATACATGGCTGTATACGGGAATGGTCTTGTATATTCATGATGGATGATTCTTTGTTGATGGGTTGGTTGTATTTTAGTTATTGGATTTATGACACAATTTGTGAGTGCGAATGTAGTTGTCTATTGGATGAGATAATTATGCATGGCTTCGACTTGTCATACCTGAGTTGTTTGTAGTCAAAATCATCATTTTTCACAACGTTTTAGATTTTTGAAGAATTTTCTTTAGAATTTTTAAATTTGTAAAAAAAAACTCGATGTTATTGAATGATATTTTATAAAAATATATTATTAAGTTATTTTTTAATATTTATATATTTCTTTCTCTTTTGAAAAGAAATGTTACGACGGGCTACACAACTACCAAGGCACGTGATCACAAATGATCAGTAGTGATCATTAAGGATCACTATGTGACGCCTCACACCTCCGGGTCACGTGGCATGCCCCGTTTGTATTTAATCATAGGAAAACTCTCTACTCTTGTTTTCCTTCTTCTTTTCTCCTTAGCTTAGTATTTTCTAATACAAGATACTTTACCCAGTATTCTTGAGTGTGACACACTAAGGATCACGATATAGATGATCACTAATGATCATGAAGGATCACTAGTAATCATGGAAGCATGAAAGACTATATAATCAAGATGGATTTCCTTTGTATAGAGCTTCGTGCTCAAGATCAATCATTTAGTATATCCTACTATTAGTTACGAATTGCATATCATTATTGTCATTACTTAAGTCCCTGCTTGACGCTGTCACGATTCAATAATTCACGTGACCTCGAGGACCTTGAGGACCTTTTGGACCTTAGGGTCCCAAGGGTCCTCAAAAGATGATATAGGGCATATAAACATTCATTTAGTCTCGTGGTTAAGGAGCTTCGTGCTCAACTTAGTTATCAATTAGTTTACCTACATTCTACTTGATCTAGTAACGAATTCACTTCCAAGTGAATACCAGTGATAAAGCCTTAACCCACCACTATCAATCAGACTGTCACGATTCATTAATTCACGTGACCTCGAGGACCTTTTGGACCTTAGGGTCCCAGAGGTCCTCAAAAGGTGATATAGGGTATATAAACATTCATTTAGTCTCGTAGTTAAGGAGCTTCGTGCTCAACTTAGTTATCAATTAGTTTACCTACATTCTACTTGATCTAGTAACGACTTCACTTCCAAGTGAAGACCAGTGATAAAGCCTTAACCCACAACTACCAACCAGACGAAACCTTAGGCAGCCGCTGCCTCCAGTATAGTATCGTTACAGACGCCTAGTTATAAACCACCTCGAGAGCCTAGAGCACTTCCACGTGATCTAGACGGCAAACCTCGTAACACTTACTACATTAAATTAATACAAATCAAATATATTTGTGAATAATTAATATCAAAATATTATTTTTTTCAGATTACATATTTTGATATTTTGATTTCATTCATTTATGTAATTTCAAATCTTTATTTATTTTTATATGTTATTGAAAAAGTTACTCAAGATTTAATTTTATAATCTCGTAAGAAAACTTAATTTTTGCGGGCATCTCTGTCACAACTTTGAATAATGATATGCAGTGACCCCGGCCCAGAACTCTGATACTGATTCTACTCATTCTAAAGCTTCTCCATCATCCTTATAGAGCAAGATTTCACAAACCGGCGAATAGATATATCCATCAACCATACGATGTTATACAACAGATGTGACACAAATCCACATTCTAATGATTCTAAAGCTTCTTTTACGAAACCCCATTTATGAAACATTCCATCTCGCAAGTCCCCGAATCTCCGAAGCCACGCATTACTTCCTAGTCACCATGCAAAAGTTACATTACCGAAGTCACTTCTCATGTACCCTCGTACTCACCCCCCTCTATCATCGTATCATTCACTCTGTCAATATGCGAACATGACAGGAGAGCCAAGGTGAATTCATCTCATCTGCATAGGGCAAGACATAGTTCATCACACAGGATTGTAACCACATAAACTCCGAGCCGTACCTCCTATCACTTAAACACCTATCGGGCATCTTCCAAATTAAATTCCCGCATCCCCGTAGATTATATCAGCATTCAAAATGTTGCAGTAACATCCTCGCCGACAATTAAGAATTCTTGGGTGTTATCAATGCTTACTCGGGGACCTGAAACCCGGCTACCCCATTCTCCCGAGATCTCGGGAATCTCACCAACGATCTTTCAGGAAAAAACAAACTTTGATTCCACATCCCCTTATGTTGTTAAAGCCTCATCAAATTCCATAATTTCCATAATTAAATTTCTTAGTTTCAAAGTTAGAATAACGGTTTGGTTCATGGAACGAACTGTTCATCTTTTCAAAAAAAGATCCACCCACACGGGCTCCTTCCACTTCTTTGTTAGGGGAAAATATAATCGGCGACCTCAAAATTTTAGATGGGGCCGGCTTTCTTCCTTTTCATGGATACTTTCAAGGTACCAGTGAGAGAATAATATGACTACTGATCAGACAAAGAAATGTAGGAAGACACTATGTACCTCGGAAGTACTAACAAGTAATGGTCAACGGTTATGTCATTTTCATGCACAAGGTGTATGGAACTTACATTATTCGCAGTCTCCTTTCACATTTGTGGAAAGTTACGAGGATCTTGCAAGTGGAAGGACTCAATGGAATTTGAAGTGGATAGAGAAATGAATGAAGACTTGTCCATTTATGTCGTATTGAAAGTTAGAAAGAAGTGAATCGCCGTCACTATCATATGATTATGACAAATCTCTCAAATATGATCGATGTATCAAAGTTGCTACTTCCCACATATCAAAATCCTAGTGCCAGGACTCAAAGACGCTATGAAAGACGCCTTTCAATTCCTTAGTTGAACTTAAAATTTTAGTTCATGAAGATCCGCAATTCATTTACATACATATACATATACATCTACATACATCAACTTCAATATTATTCTCTACCTGAGAAGTTCAGGAAAATGGTTCAATTTGAGGTTCGGGACAAAACAATCGCCATGGTTTCAATATCGACAACAGGAGCAAGATCAATATTAAGTGGTGCGCTATTTGGTGCAGCACTTACTGCTGCAGGGGTTTATTCTCCTACCGTCATCATATCGCAGATGAAGCTAGAATCTTTCCATATGCTGAAAGTATTCCTATCAGCAAGTGCTACTAGCGCGTAAGATTGATTTCTTCTTTCTTTTATAGAATCAAAAGATATCCTGGGCCAATAGAGCCTCACTTACATACTAACATCGGCTTAGTGCAATCTTCCTCCTCGCTCATCGTCTGTCACCAACGCTCGCACCTCCCCGCCAAGCATCTTCATTATCCCTCTTCCCCTACGATGGAAATCTCATCGGAGGACTCCTCCTCGGTATCGGCATGGCTCTTACAGGAGCTTGCCCGGGTACTGTTCTCCCACAAGTAGTAACGGGCTATCAATCCGGACGGTTTGCTTTCGTCGGAGCTATTATAGGCGCAATCATCTATTCCAAAATCCGTCCCTTTATCCGTACTCAAACTACATGTTCGGCCCCCATAGTTCTAGACGCGAAACCAACTCTCTATCAAAAACTCGATCCGAAAGCCGATGAAATAAAAGCAGTATACATTTACCAAAACTTCTGTTGGGGGATCATATTACTTGCTTCTTGGTTGAGTAAAGATCAAGAACAGAGTTTATTGAGTCCTACTTGGGGTGGTATTTTTATTGGGTGTGCTCAGGGTGCAAGTCTTTGGTTGACGGGGAATACTTTGGGTGCTAGTTCTGCTTATGAACAGTTGGGAGATCTGTTTTGGTGGGGAGTTGAAAGAATGAGGAGTGAAGATGTTATTTCTGCTAGTTCGAAGGGAGCTGGGAAGGTTTATGAAAATGGAAATGGAAACGGCCATCTTAATGGAAATGGAGCACCAAAACTTCAATCCCATCACCCAACAGCCCGCCCTTCAATTCGTGGAAATCTCTTCACCTTTGGTATTCTCCTCGGCTCATACCTGCTCTCTCTTATCATCACTCTTCCTTCCCCTCACCCTGTAACCTCTCTCGGCAAACCCAAATTCAACATCTCAGAACTAAGCACCTCATCCGTACCATCCATTCCAATACCACGCGCAATTCTAGGAGGTATAGCCATGGTTCTTGGGGCACGTATAGCAGGTGGTTGTACAAGTGGACACGGCATTAGTGGTATGAGCTTGTTGAGTGTTAGTAGTATCATTAGTGTATGTGCCATATTTGGAGGTGGAATTTTTTGGGGAGTAGTTGTTGGTTGATTTGATTGATGATTTATGGGCGGAAGGGTTTTTGTTTTGGACTAGAACTTCGTGTGGAGGAGAGGTTTAATATTGCTCGAGAATAGATGGTGCTTCGGGATGATCTACATGACAGGGAACGGGAATATAAAGGACAAATTATTTGCGCGTAGACTCAGACCAAGTATAGGATCAGGGTCAGGTTTGCTTGCTTACTTTATTTACTTACTTGTCTTATTATTCCTTGTATACCTATTTCTATACATCTTTTAGTTCGGAACGCATGTCAGCGATGCGCCTTTTTAATGATTCTTATGACTGGGGCTATGCATTTGGAGATTCACGGATTAGATGGACTCTTCATGGGAGGGGCTGGGTGGACAAGATTGGGTTCATATTTAAAATAGAAGGAAATATGATAGCGTTGTGAGAAATAGTTTATCTAATATACATTGAAATTCACATCACCTTTTGATATTCGGCGTATCATAGTGGCCTTTCTCCATCATGTAGTCGGCTGGAACCAAGAAGAGAGAATTTTGGATTTTTTCACGGTAGCATTCCCATACTATGATATTCACAGACATCGGGATTAACGCATATGATTTCACCCGCTTTGGAAGGAAGAATCGATGTGATTTCGTTCAAGGCATCAGTCGTCTGAGAAGTGTCGCCTGTTCTCATACAATCCCCCAAGTCATGCACTTAACTAATGGGTAGGTAAGCACTCTGAGAAAAGCATTCGAGGAGATAAGAATTAGAAATATTGAGGGTGCTCCGAGCTAAATCATGTAGAAGGAATTATCATCAGCCGGTATTTAAAATTGTCATCCGTCTTTCTAGTGCCCGATAACGAAAAAACCGCGTGGGAAATATCTAGTTGACTCGTTTCTTCATCAAGTACAATATCCTCCTTGATTCTGACGGTTAGCGGCACAATGAAGTAGATAAACCGATCATCAACGACATAAAGAAAAAAACTGCAATCTTGGAAAATATAAAAGGTCGAGCGCTGGAAGCATTGCATTCAATGGTATGTTCTATTTCATCGTGTATTTTTCGAAGCTGATATGCACGCATTCCACACAGCGTGATCCTCTAAGACAGTAATATCCAAACAAAAAGAAGATATAGAATCAAATCGATGAGAAGGAAATATAGTGGTTCTCAATAACCACTAAGTATTTGATTGCTGATCAGATCGATATCTAGGGGCTATAAATCTACCACTATATTTTACCATCACGTGGAGCCACCACCGCCTCATAACTTCCTTACCATGGAACTCTCTGATCAAAGGCAGAACATCTAAAGAGAAAGCGGGACTTGTAACCAAAGCCTAGTTAGGCGTGTATTGGGAGATATGGCGATAGAATCCTAACCGTAGGGGAGCAGGCTATTTCCCTTCTCCCAAATGATTCGTTATTTTCTTTTCTCTACTGCATCGATTCAAAGATTGCAAATGTTACAATGTAGCATCATTGAAGATTACAGAAGATGCCTCATTTAGGCGATGGTTTTGTGGATTGGCAATACTTAGTTGCTGCTTGGCTGATGTCTTTGGCTCAGAAGCTTAAGACTTCTTGAGTTTTATATCTTTTCGCTTGATAGTTCTTTCGATGTGGGTTTATTGTCACAAGAATATAAATATGAGGCATCTATTATTATTATTATTATTATTATTATTATTATTATTATTATTATTATTATTATTATTATTATTATTATTATTATTATTATTATTATTATTATTATTATTATTATTATTATTATTATTATTATTATTATTATTATTATTATTATTATTATTATTATTATTGTTCTTCTCAAAGACTCCTTAGTATTTCCATATATGTAATCTGTTGTCTAGCCTGTGCTTTTGTTGTAATCTTACATATGTGTCCGTCAAAGTACTCAGGTTTGCCGAAAAATATTCAATTATCTATCCTGAAGGATAGCATTTTTAACATAATAAAACCTGAAATTTCTTCCTCAGCATTGAAACTTACACCCCTCTACTTCTACCCCGCTTCCACATCTCAATTCCAAACACCTCTCTCCACGTCCTTTGGTACTTCACTACGGAACCTACACCATTCAACTCCATTGGGGCTCTCCAGATGATCGGTCACCAGCCATATCGCCTCTCCACCTACTCCGCTTCTCTGATATATGTTTTTCTATGTATAAAATACCTAATTGAAAACTATACTATGGGTATACCGGCGAACACAACGTATTAGTCACGGTGCAGACATAGCGCGCGGGCGTTGAAACTCATGGAATACAATAGCATTGGTGCTTCCATAGAAAGAAAAGCCTAGAATCAAGAACACTGGTAGTCCTAGAAATAGAAACTAGTATGAAATACGAGAAATGAAAGACAATCAATTTGTTTAGCACATAAATGCGGGGTAGCGAGATTTCCCCAATGCTCATTTCCTTCATTCATATTCTAGGTATAGGTCCTATATCATAATAACTTGCGCAGGCACAGCAAATTTGTATCGTTCTTTTTCTTATTCATAGATCCAAAGCTATAACTTTCCTTCAGGTCTCAGTACTACGACTTATAAATAACTGGATTGTTTTCCTGCCAACATTTAATACTACAACTTCTTCACAAGTAAAGATATAATTCAATTAAGGCGAATGATTAATCATCATTAGAATAAAACCTTCAGTTGTCTTCTTATTCATAGGCATCCAATCCAAAGCCGAGATGCCCACCGGCACAGATAGGACATGGGATCAACGATTCCCAACACTTGCGAGGAATCTCCTCGTAAGCTGGCACCTGGCAGCTGAGCATGGCCTCAAAAAGAAGAGAAAGAGGGTTTCATCATTGCCTGGTGTTAATTCACTTCTAATTTTTCCCCGCGGGAATCAAAGCTTGGCGTATTGGAATTGCCAAGGTTGTCACTCACATTTCCAATGAATATTGGCCTGTTCCTGGGGTAGATACACTGCTACCAAAATACTTCAAATACACAAGCATGAAGCAGATCCATCTAATTTGAATATGTGCATTGTGCATTGTTCCTATTTTAAATGAGGGGAGTGTGGGGCGATGGTCTCGAGATTGATAACACCGCTCGACGAGGTCGTATGGTGCCAGAACATATGTTCCTTGAAAGGTGTGGAAAAAATGTGATGTAAAATGAAGAGCACCATGTAGGTGAACTGAACTGAACTTGGCACATCTTTTTCACCAAGGACTTTTCGAATCCGCGGTTGAATTCTACAAACCCAGGGGTCGGCATCCGTTACCCGTCCGGCAATTTCAAACTCAATTGGGGAAATAGTCTACACGTAAATACCTATGCGGATGCTGATCCCACCGGTATGTCTGGGGGATACCTGAGATACGGAGTAATATATCCGTTATAATGCAGACATGAAGTAACTATCTGAAAGACGACTCCCGCTCATCCAGTAGATGAACGACAATATTTCTAAGAAATGTTGAATCTAATCTGCAGCAGATATCCATGAACAGTTCCAATACCCCACGGTTCGAATCTTCCCATCTCCAAAATAAGAGACTTCTTTTTGGTTTCGTCTATTGAGCCAGGGTTGAAATGGACATGGCAAGGGCTTCTACAGGTACAGTTGCCAAGAAATCAAGAACTCAAGAAGTATTGGACCGTATCTATCGCCCAAAATGCCCTTCAACGCCAAGATAGAAAGAAGTATATGAAAGTGAGAAGAGATACAGAAATGTAACGACGTAAATAAATATTGAAGTATTCCTACCCCCTTGCTTCTAGCCCAATCAAAACCCAAAAACTTTCGTGTTTAAGATGACCCAACCACCCCAAGTTCACGACTCCGAGACTTGAAGATAGGGATAAGGTATATTCAATAGAGAATCAAAGACCAATAAATAGACTTTGTTATGAATAACCCTCTTTTTTCCGATCTGAGATGGAACGTCTAGATTATTCATATATTGTGGCGTAAGAGTATCGATGGTAAAGTAACCTCAATACATACGCCACCAAGTAGAAGACCGCAATGAGTAAGAAGATGGGGAAGGCTTTCTCGTGTCTGCGCCGATGAACATACTTAGATAAGTCATGTCCAATGTTCAAAAGTCAATGGTAAGAGACCCTTGACTTGTATATCAATACTATGCAAGCTCGAGCATGACATGTGAAGAGTACCGACCCGACCGGCAAAGGAGTCCGACTAGATTGACAATCTCGATGTTTAGCATATTGACATATCGCTTTTAATCTCCTCGGATGTTGACTGATGGCTGGACTTCAGAGATTGTTAATTGTTTGACGGTCTGGACCTTTCTATTCTGCTGTTATTTCGATCAATCAAGATATTTTTCGAGGTATGCTACGGTGGTATGTTGGGGAGTGACGACATATCGGTTTCTATGTCCCGATTCCATGATGGAGGGTATGGCAGATGGAAGATTAGGAGAAAGCAAATTTACTGGATATGTTTTACATGAAGTCAGTCAAGTATTGGGAATATTTATTGATAAAATTAAAATACAGAAATAAATAGAAAATAAATAAAGAAAATAAATAAATAATATCTCATTATTGCCGATTGTAATTGTTGATGATTCAATGAATGACTCAAAACCGAGGCAAACTGGAGTCATTGTTACATAACAAAAGTCAGAGTGGCTGATTTCGACTCATTTTTGTCATCCTCCAACGCTCTATCAATTATCAATCTCCCCCTCCCCACTTGATAATGGAATCATCAACTCGGCTTCCCCGTGATAACCTTATATCAAAAACCCAACGACCCAAACACCGAAAACCGATAAAGGAACATCCACCAAGTCATAAAACATATCATCTGCAATACCTTTTCTTACCGTCCGTCTTACCGACTTACGACACCGAGAACCACCATCAACAGAAAGTCGTATTTGTTATCTAGATCGACATTCATACCGTCTTTTCCAAAAATCATTTTATACCCATTCGTGATAACGCTCCGAAACCTCTCATGCCCAGCTCATCAATACAAACTCAATCCTTAGATACCATGACATCCAATCTTTCAACATCAACAGGTCAGAAGCTCGATTTACATACTCACCGCCTTCAATTTTTCCTATCCTCCCCTTATGCAACTACCTTAAAACCCGGTTGTAGTGCATATCATGGCTGTCTCCTAGGGTCATCTGCTCGCTTCAATTGACTGATGCGTTGGCAGATATTACAAACGAACATGATTCCGCCTCACAAGCTCTGGAAGGTCTTTCTCAACAGCCGCTGAAAACAAGGATATGTCGTTATTTCAGTAAATCAGGTAAATTATATTGTTTTTATCGTTTTATTTTTATTCGCATTCAATTGCGATGTGGAATATTTGGAATATTTTCATTGGACTGCCGGAAATTGGGGAAAAAAGGGAGAGCTTATTATTGTCTTGCATATGTGTTATGCAAAGTTGCATGTTGTGCAGTCATGGTGGAGATCCCGTGATTCACCGAATATCGGGGAAAGCGTGGGGTGTACATGATAATGAAAATGAACTTGCTTGGAGGTGATTTGTTGAACCGTGGCGTTCGTCATGAGGCGTTTGTATCACTCCCATTGGGTGTATCTTGGGTTACACCACGTGATATTGGAGACACATGTGAAAGCATATGAAGAAGAACTAAGGAGGAGATGATAGGATGCTGATATTGCTTGCTTAGGGAATTGTCGAGTTGGTGACAGTTGTCCATTCATCCATGACCCGACAAAAATTCCTGGTCGTGCCATGGCAAATAAAACAGTGCCCGAGGTTTCTCAGGCTTCGACTTCGGAGGTTACACAAAGAGGACCAAATGTGATTCAGAATCATTCATCACAAGCTGTCACAAATCCGGTTCCAGCATCACGGGTGGTTTCAAAACCGGTACCACAAGCACAAACTGAAAACCCGAGAGAATTTCAGCTAGGACAGCTGCGAAGACGATTTTCTCCCAAGGAAATTCGACCATCTGGACATGCCGAGGGTACTACTATATTGAGGTTTAATCTCATTCCATCGGATCCTGATTTCCCTTTTGAGATGACTGCCTTGGAATCTTCTCTTACTGTACCTCCTCGGTATCCTACCTCACCGCCCACATTGAGGGTGGAGAATAAAGATATTCCAAGAGGGTTTGCCATCAATGTTGAAAATGGCTTTGACGAATTGGTCAAGGCAAAGAAAAATGCTACCCTACTGGACTTGATGAAATCCTTGGATAAACATTTGGAAGAATTTCTGTCCGCACAAAAAGCAGAGACAGTTAAAATTGTCACGAACAAGGACACGCGACATCTTTCCCTTACCAGTAGAGAAGTACAACCTACGGTTACACTGCTTCAGCCTGAATCTGCAATAAGAGAACCAGAACAACCCAAGGTTACCCCAAATAAACCGATTGTAAGTTTCACTGCATCAGAAAAGTCTGAGGCGTCGAAGAGAAGAGAAGTAGAGACCAGACAATTGGAAGCGAGAATGGGTAGATTACCCCTTTACAAGAAATCCAGTGATGGGATTGCTTATACTATCCCAATTGAACCTCGAAAACGCGGGGAATTACCACCATCAATCAAAGCTGTTAAGGTCATTCAACTTTTTGTACCCACTCTATACCCACTGGAAGCTTGTCGAATCAAATTGGAAGGAATTGATGCCCCGGAAGCAAAGTCTGTAGAGAAAGGGTTTGAGAAGAAAGCTGAAGAAGCAAAAGCTCTGAACCTGATGGGCCATATTAATTACCTTGCACAGAATATTCACGTCTTGGCGAAGACTGTTTTGAACACAGAACCAAAGCCAGTTCCTGTGGTACAGGCATCACCACCCGTTGTTGAAGAATCAAAAGATCTCAAAGGAAAAGGAGTAGGTGCTGAAGAAGCTGAGGAAAAGACTCACATTCAGTACATTGCTCGACCACCTGAATGGACGATTGTCAATACTGAAGATGCTGAATACTCTGACTCTGATTCAATATACTCTTATGACAGTGGTGATGAATCAGAGTCTAATGAAGGAGGGGTTGGAGTTGAACACCAACCTGAAAACTCAGCATCAAATCCTGAACGTGGTACAGCCATCTCATTTCCCTTCATCGAACTTTATGGTATTGAGTTGTTAGAAGTCACTACTCTAAATATCACTGTCAAATGTTCTCGCTGTAGAGAAATTACCGAAATTAAAGGTCTCAAGACTGGAGTCCAAAAGACAGAGAGCTGTAGGAAATGTGCAACCGCACTTGTGATATGTTACCGACGAGATTTGGTTCATGCAAACAATGTCCGAGCTGGATTCTTGGATCTGGAAGGATGTGTAGTTGGTGATATGTTACCTAGGTCAGTCATTACATATTCATTTTTCCAGTACATTCATCTAACTGTAAAAATAGTACATTCACACCAACATGTTCTATATGTTCTACCATCTACCCATCTCCAGGTATCGTTTCCATTCGTGGTGAAACAACCACAAATGTTTGTCGGGAATGTCATTCCAAATTCACCTTTTCAATCCCTACCATCAAATTCCTTCAAATTTCCTCCTCAGCAACCCCTCACAATTTGCTTCCTAGAAAAAAGAAAGAAGCACTCGGTATCACCCCAGGTACTCCTCTTCTCAAAAATGGTCTCTGTAGACATTATGGAAAAAGTTACCGTTGGTTTCGCTTTAGCTGTTGTGAAAAGGTATACGCATGTGATAAGTGTCATGATGAAAAAGAAGAACATGTAAATGAGTGGGCCAAACGAATGATTTGTGGATGGTGTAGTAGGGAGGGACCTTACCGACCAGAAGATTGTGCGGGATGTGGAGAGAGGGTTATTAGTAGGAGGAGAGGAGGGGCGAGTTTCTGGGAAGGCGGAAAAGGAACTAGAGATAAGACGAAGATGAGTAGGAAGGATAAGAGGAAGTATAGGAGGATTGGTGGTGGGGTTAAAAAGACTTGAGGGAAAATGGATAGGTTTGCGGTTGCGCGGTATTAGTATGATATCATATGCTGCATGTATCCATGTATCTAAATAAGCACTGTACCCAAGTACCAATGAACATCCATCCATCCATCCATCTCCTAACCCAACAAATCCAGAATCCAACAGACCCCCAAACAACAACAATCTAGAACCTGCACCAACAACCCACAAATATACACATCTCCAAGCCACCATGTGCACCACAATCCCAATAATCCAGTAATATATCCAGATGAATATTAACTCCCTCCCTTGAAGATCCTATCCCAATAACCCAGTAAAAACCCTCCTTCCTCCCGATTTCCGGTTCGCGCAATCATGTATGTATGTTATGTATGTAAATCTTCGGCTTGCACCATCGGTATCATAACTCAGAAGTCATGTCTCAAAATTTGGAATTTTTTCAGCTCAAAATTAAAAGGAAATGGAGAACTTGAATGGTAAAAAGTAAATAAATTAGAATTAGAATTGAAAATATAAATAGAAATTAATAACTAAATTGAATGGAAATTTTATTATTATTTTTATTTATTTATTTTTTTCCTTTCCTTTCTCCCTTTCTTTCTTTCTCTGCCGCCCTCACTCATCATCATCCCTTCCGATCTCCCGAGTCTCCCGATATACCGATCCGAATGCATACATAACCTTACACATACCGAGATTCCCTGATTCCCTTTTTCTTTTTTATTTCCTTTTTACTTTTTCCCATCTTAACTCCAATAATACCATATGCCAAGGTAGTTATTTTCTTGGGAGAGAAGGTACTGCAGATATTGCGGATAGATACGAAATTGTAATGATATGGATGAGGTGTGATAGGAATTTGAGGGCTGAAAAGATAGATAGATAGATAGATGGATGAAAATGGTGAATTGGTTGGAAAGGAAGTGGTGCATGATCCAAGAACCTGGTGTGTTGCATTACATTGCATTGCATGTGTTGATCGTTTTGATTGAGTTGCTTGTACTCCGTATTTAGGATCTTTTTACGATTGTGATTGTGATTGTAATTGTAATTCGTGGATACTTTGTATAGTTAGATAAAAGGAATATATGAGGGAAATGTATGTATGTGTGTGTGTACTAAGTAAGTAATATATTGAAAGTCAACAAGCAAGCAACCAAAAGTAATATCTTCCCTTTTCCCTCTTCCCCGCCAAAAACAAAAAACAAATATATCCTACAAATCCAGTAATCCCAAATCTTTTGATGAAATCAAGGAGGGAGGGTATTACAAACGTATGTTGTGTGAGGTATGGTGTGTTCTGTTTTCATTATTCATTATTTTTTCATCCCGAATGGTGGGATAGGATTGGGGATTTGGTGAGTTGGTGGGAAGGAGATGATGATGTGTGTGGTGATTGATGGTGATTGGTGCGGGTATGTTGTGCGTCCGGGGAAGAAGGGAGGGGAAGGAAAAGAAGGGAGGGGAAGGAAAAGAAGGGAGGGGAAGGAAAAGAAGGGAGGGGAAGGAAATGAAGGGAAGGGAATATTGTTACGAGGTTTGCCGTCTAGATCACGTGGAAGTGCTCTAGGCTCTCGAGGTGGTTTATAACTAAACGTCAAGCAGGGACTTGAAGTAATGACAATAATGATATGCAATTCGTAACTAATAGTAGAGTATACTAAATGATTGATCTTGAGCACGAAGCTCTATACAAAAGAAATCCATCTTGATTATATAGTCCTTCGTGCCTATGGTTAACTAGGAATCGTCGTTCCTGGGAACGAGCGTTCCTGGTTGTTCCTAGGAACGTTCGTTCCTCACCGTTCCATCACATGTTTTATGGTCATGTGACATACTAATCGTTTTGGACGTAACAAAGAGTTTCTTGTTACTCAGCGTAACATTATATTTATATTTATATTTATATTTATATTTATATTTATATTTATATTTATATTTATATTTATATTTATATTTATATTTATATTTATATTTATATTTATATTTATATTTATATTTATATTTATATTTATATTTATATTTGTTAAAAGGAATAGAAGTTACCGGTACTAATCACGTGTCGTGATTAGTAATACGGTTACCTAAACAGGCTAGATTAGATGAACCATAAGCAGGCATATTGGTCCCCTCCGAGGATACCAAGAGGAGATTAATATGCCTACAGACGTAGTAATATAGTCAATATAGAGGCCTCTTCCACCCAATCTTTTAATAATATTTATATTTTTGTTTTATTTAAAATATAATAATATTACCATTTAAAGTCTATAAGTAAAATGTTCTTTGTGTTTTCAATTTTCTTTTGATATTTTTAATTATTTTTATAAATATATATATATGTAACGATACTGTACTGGAGGCAGCGGTTGTCTAAGGTTTCGTCTGTGTAACGATACTGTACTGGAGGCAGTGGCTGCCTAAGGTTTCGTCTGGTTGGTAGTTGTGGGTTAAGGCTTTATCACTGGTCTTCACTTGGAAGTGAAGTCGTTACTAGATCAAGTAGAATGTAGGTAAACTAATTGATAACTAAGTTGAGCACAAAGCTCCTTAACTACGAGACTAAATGAATGTTTATATACCCTATATCACCTTTTGAGGACCTCTGGGACCCTAAGGTCCAAAAGGTCCTCGAGGTCACGTGAATTAATGAATCGTGACAGTCTGGTTGGTAGTGGTGGGTTAAGGCTTTATCACTGGTATTCACTTGGAAGTGAATTCGTTACTAGATCAAGTAGAATGTAGGTAAACTAATTGATAACTAAGTTGAGCACGAAGCTCCTAAACTATGAAGCTACTCTGACTATATAGTGATCGATAAAGGGAGCCCCTAGGAGCTTTGAGGGCTTCTAGGGCTCCTTATCACGTGATTCCTTTTCATCCCAAGACACTAATCCTAATGGTGAATCGTGATAATATATAACTCATCTATTCATCTATCTATCCATTCACCTATCTATCTATCTATCTATATATACAGACAACATCCCAGAAAACGAATTCCCAATATAGCCCCTCCCTCCATTCCTCCATCCCTCCCTTCTCACTCTTAATCCCTAACCCCACAGTGTACACATTGAAACCCATTCAGTCTGTTAAATACCGGACCTAATACCGAGTGCCCAGTCCAATGCAAACTTCCAAAATTAAAAGCATATCAGATCAAGATTTGAGAGAAATAGCATAGAACAAAGACTAAAACAAAAAGCCTAAAGCATCCAATCTCCCAAACAATCCAGATCTTTCAAACCAAAACTCCATCCGCATCGTGATGTGATGTGATGAAGTACCTAGGTTAGTAACATAAATCCCCTTCCCAATTACAACTATAATCCTAAATTTCAGTTCAATATTTGATGTATAAATATATATTCTCAATATATACATATATATTTATATATCTAAGACTGTCTCTCTCTTTTTCTCTCCCGAAACATACCCTTACCAGACACCCATTACAAAATAAATATACCCCTCCTTCCCACCCTCCCTTTCCTAAAAGTTTTTCCGCTCCGTATCTATTTATATGAGTATATATATATTACATAAAGAAATCAAACCAAAACGCGCAAGCAAGCAAGCAATCAAGTCCAGCATATAAATAAATAAATCAAGATTTCAGATTTCAGATTTCAGATTCCAGATTCTAGAAGCGTGGATGAAAGATAGATGACTGGAAGAAAGAAAGAAAGAAAGAAAGAAAGGAAGGAAGAAAGGAAGAAAGGAAGAAAGGAAGAAAGGATATTAGGATATTAGAATAATAGAATAATACATCCATTACAATCGCTATCATATAATATCATTTTATATCATATCATCTACTGTAATTATCCTATCCTATTACCATATATAGGCTTCTTGAGACAAGAGACACTGGGCTCTGATTATTTATTTATCGCTTGATGGATGAAAAACAAATATATGTATATATGTATATATATTTGAGGAGGAAAGGAAATAGATTGAAATTGTTGGTACGAGAAGGATACGGAAGACGTAGCACCCACGGATTACGTAGGTCCTGTATGTCTAATTGTATTCTGTCTAAAGAGCTAGCTACATATTGAAAGTAGTAAGTCTTATATAGACTTACTAAAAGAGCTAGTCTCTTTCGCGTTCGCTTAGTTCTTTATTACAGTAGTAATTGAATTGAAGTCATTCACTTCGTTCACACAGAAATAGAATTATTAAAGATGAGTAAGTGAGTAATTGAGTAAGTGGATAACCATATTCCAATCATGAGTTGAGTTATTTCAAGAATTGGTAATTCTACGGAGTGAATTTCTTCTCTCTCTCTATTTGCAATTTTCGGTTGGTAACCTCAGGTACAATAGGTTATATAGTTAGGAGTTTCGGGAATCTGCGAAGGGGAGATTTGTGGTTTATGAGATATCAATCTCAATATCAATAATATCATGAAGCGAGAAGCGAGAAGCGATGAATATGATCGACTGATCATGATTGGTAACCTTAAGAAAGCTGGAAAGTAATTACCTAGTAAGCTAAGAATAGATAGATAAGTAAATAGATACATATATACATACATACATATGATTTCCCACGAACCATGGTGCTGGATCAAAAATTTCCCCTAGGTACCTATGTAACATTTTTTCTTTTAGGTATTTGCATCCAGAGATAATATAGAGGATGGATGTTCGAGATGTGTATATATGAAAATATTCGGGTTCCCGTGATCAGTAGTCGAGAATAAAATAAATATATAATTTACATATATATATGCATATATACTTAGGAGTTCATACACGTGTTATAAGCATAGTATAGCAAAACAGGTGACCCAAAGATGACATATTAATTTCCAAACCGTGGGTAATTCAATTTCAATCTCAATTCCAATCTCAATCTCAATCTCGTGGGGGGTTTAGAGTACTATATTCGAAAAAAATTCCATAGAGTAGAGCAATGGAAGATTCCGCTTCGTTCCTAACCCAAGCGACCTACCGACCGAGCAATTTTCTACTTGCGGACAGACATTTCCACTCCACTCCCTCTTCCCTGATAACAATCCTATCCTATCCTAACATATACCCAAGAAGCAAAAACACGGGGAGGGGGAAGAGGGTGAAGGTAAGTATGCGAATCCGATAAAATAAAATAATATTATATAATATACAATAACATTATTAGCAAAACCCTTTAAGGAATCCAATCCAATCCAATCCAACTGAAACGAACCATCACATCAGCCCATGAAATAACGTGGGAGTGGAGCTACAAGCACAGTACACCCGTCATATCGGTAAAGAGACTGTACGGAATAGGAAGGAAATCTAATGTAGGGACAGTACGATACGGTACGGTATGGTACGGTACCAGTTCCTGTGTACCCTGAGTATACTCCGTCCTTGTATTGTACTGTATTGTGGAATCAAAATCATCTCGCTACAGTTATGCGGTAAGGTAAGGTAAGGTAAGATCTCACATGTATGTATGTAGGTATGTATACAATACATGGGAGTACCTACTAGGTATGTATGGCTAGGATGGACAGGACACTCCTGAAAAGAATTGATTGATTGATTGATTGATATTATAGCTCGCGTGGTAATGTAATGTAATATAATTTAGGGATTCTTTGATTTTGATTTTTGATAATATTCGGGATTTAGAGAGGGGGGATTCGAATCCTGGGGGCTGGATGGGTTCATGAGTGTGCACGAACGAACGTGTTTTCCTCGTGGGAAATTATATTGATTATATGTATGCCTGGGAGAGAAGAGAAAATGGATTCTGATGGAGATGAAGGGGGTAGGTATACTAGGTAGTCTGGAACTGGAGATTTCTATGATTCTATGATTCTATGTTAATGGATTTGTGCGAAGGGAGACGGAAACTGTTAGGCTGTTAGTGACAGCTCTGGAGGTGATGATGATGATGATGCTGTCATCAAGCCTGAGGTTGCACAATAACCTACCTACTCGTATAATTGTATAACTTTGTCAGCTTGAAGTTACCGGTAAATAATACCTCGGTAGTCTTTCTCTTCCTCTCAGCCATCAACATCTTAATCCTCACTCGTGACACCTAATCACATGATAAATCCCAACATACACACTCACACTCACACTCACAACCAAGGCCCACGACCCTCCGCACTTCCCAAAGCAGAGAGCCAGGCCAAAAAAAAAAAAAAAAACCCCTTCCCTGTCAACCCATCGATCGGCATCTAGGCCATTTGACGCCCAAAACCACATCCAAATGCTCGGAAGCAAAAGTAAAGCAAGCAAGCAAGCAAACCCTCATCCCTCATCCCTCCTCATCCATGCCTAGCTACCGGGCCGAATAGCATCCATCTTACCACTCCACCAGCAACTTTCACCCCACCGCCAAGGATAAAACGCCGTACGGTAACGAAACATGGATAATTCCGGCTGCTGGGATATGGTATACGCGAATATAACCTTATAGAATTGAATTTGGATTTAGATTGAACCGGAGGGATTTTCTTTTTTTGATTTTTCCTTTTAGATGGATGACAAGGGTGGATCCGCGGCATGGTCTGATAGGGCATACAGGGCTACCACGCTTTTCGCTACGTTACATTGTGTGTGTGACATATAAGCTGGGTGTGGACTTGTGATGGCTGGTTCTTGTCTTGTCTCGTTTGTATTAATGATTTGATGGACGGAGGAGTATAATAGCTGTGATTGGATTGGATAAAATGGATGGTTAAATTCGATTTTTTTTTATTTTTCTGGGTTGGGTTTTTTTTTTTTTTGGTTTTTCGGATTTGGGCTTCCTTTGGATGAATTCGGATTTTGGTTTCGGAGTAGAATGGAAGAATGATTGATTGGATGGATGAATTTGGTGAGGGGAGGGTATTGATCTATTGGGAATTGGGAATTGGGGAATTGAGAATTTGAGTGAGCGATGACTTGAAAAAACGGTACCGTACCTGCATGAGGGTATTACCCTGAATCTATTCAAAGACATGAATATGTTGATGGATGGAAATGAGGCGAAGTATGATCATGATCATGACCATGACCAGAGCATATGAGTAGCTACTAGCTAGCTATACGGAATAGAAAGAGGCAATAAACATAGCGAGCGGTACTAACTCTAATAGAAACACACGACAATGAGGCTCATCAACATGATCTCGTGATTCATTCATTCATTCATTTCATTCCTACGTCGCACCCATCAAAAATTGAAAACAAATGAAACACCGACCGACCGATCTCCCAAAGAATCCCTGAAGTAAATCAAATCATGTGCAAACTCTACGTAATTCTAGATCCCTCTCCTCTTCTCGTGTTTTGCCAGCTTTGCCATCGTTGGACTCGCGGCGCATCCATTTTACCATGATTCGGATAAATTTCTCCGAGAATTTTCCATCCAATTATTTTATTATGAGCGGAGATGATTTTTTGATCACCTGCTTGCTTCTTGTTGGGATTGGTTCTTTGCGTTATCGACTTGCAGTTTGGTATCTTTTATCGATTATCTCAATGGTGTGAAGTATGTAATCAATCACGTTGTGATGTGAGGGATTCATTCGTATTGTTTCGAGTTAGTAGATTATTGGATGGAGAAGTACGTACTAGTATTTACCGAATAGGAAGCACGTACTAGTATCTACTCAACGGAACAACATCTTCCTCTACTCATGACACCACAAGCACCGTCTCTTCTTTCCTCTCAATCACAATCCTCCAGTATCGCGCAACTAACCTACAACTACCTACCTACCATATCAAGTATTCAATGACCGAACTGCGCCATGTAAATCCATACGTACCGTAACTATCCATACCTATCCGCTGAAGAAACTCATCTCTCTCATCTAAATCTTGCCCGTATCACATCACATGTGGAAAGAAATCCTTCATCGGATCACGCTTCGGGTGAGATTTTGGTTCCCATTCCATCCACTCCCCCGCTCTCCCCGAGGGAAAAGCTTTTCGCTCCGCGATGGGTGCAAGCTTATCTCACTGCTTACTTTCAATGAAGAATTGACCTGCTTATAACTATAATCCCCTGTAATGCTTGACTTGCAACTTGCAAGACAGGACTGTTGTATATATATATGTATGTATGAGATATGCATAACATAATACAGAGTAGGAGTAGAGATCAAGCAGTATCTATCTTATTCATCCGACTATTTTTGAAGAAAATCTGCAGGGACTTCAACAAGCGAAGAGAAAAAGATGCGAGAAATTGCAGAAAAAGGATTTGGATGCGGAATACCAGATTGGGTATTTCTCCCGTTACGACGGGATTTATCCATTTCCATTCATTCATGATGGAGATCAAATAAATAAAATATTCCACAGAATGAAAATATATTCCAAATAAATATTCCAAGAAATCAATAACAATAATAAATAATAATAATACCCCAGGAGAAAGAAAATAGGGTTTGCCCCGAAATAAAGTTTGAATCAAGCAAATTAAACCACCAAGTAAATGCACCGCCAAAAAAGAAATGAGATTAACGCTTCCCTCCCTACCCTACTCCGTGTCTAGTACTCGGGGAACGCAAACATCACAACCGGGTTCTTTCATCAATGCGAACCTAGTAGAGAGAGACATTTAAGTCATTATTCCTAAAGGGAAGAAGATTGGGAGAGAAGGTTTCCAGAAGCCTTAAGTTGGGGTTGTGTGTATTTTTGGATGATGCGTTGGTGTCTATGCTGGCTGGATGGATGGATGCGATGGATGCGATGACCTAGAAAGTGGAAAGATAAACTCTGCACCGTTAGGAATGGATCGCAGAGTTGTGAAGGCCAAAAAAACTCAAAAGGAGATGAAATTAATGAGAGATGAAATTTTTGTGGGATACAGATGACGTTGTTTGTCGCTTTACTTAGATTTACGGAGTCATTCTTACTAATTACATTACCTGGGTATGTCGACATACATTGGAAACCAAATTTCCCAAGAATTTGATTCGAGTCACATGAATAGAATATTTGAAATGACAAGCTTTTATTTCTCGGGACGACCCAGTGACTGTGTATAGTACCTAAGTACAGCATAGAAAAAAAGGGGGTGATTTAGTGGAGTGAGTGAGAAGTGCGTGCATGAACTTCTTACATCAGGCTTTGATAGAAGAAACGCATGGGGTTATTATGTACCTACCTACATATCTAGTACCTCTATGTGCATTTGGACTAACGAGTGAAAAAGCATGCAAAGCTGATAGATAGATAGATAGATAGATAGTTCATGCATTTGCTTAATGAGATTTTAAGCATACATACCTAATCAATCCAACGGCCAATAGCATGAAAAGTATTGAAATATTGTCATCACATTCTCATTACATTACATTACTCGTAAACCAAGTCCTATATCAATCAATACTCTGTACGATTCAGGTTTTCAGCCGGAAAGTATATGTACCGGCCGGCGGAAAATAATGATCATATGACCATTCTGTAAACAAGCCTCACATACGTTTCACGGAGCTCAAACACCCCCAACAACTCAAACCACATGGCATACGAATATAGTATCAAAAATGCAAACACTATTAATAAATTTCTCCAGGTTCAAATAGTTCATAGGAAAATCCAAAGTCTGTTCACCTACCAATTCCAAATCCCATTCATTCCCCAATTCATCACGCTGAAATGTTGAAACACACAATTCCCGTTTCGTCAAGCCATCGGTAGTCCGAGTCAAAAGGACGCAAAAAAAGAAAAAGAAAGGGATCCATCAAGCCTTTTCTTTCCCAAAGCTTAATCAAATGCTCATCACCTGAATCAAAGTCTGTGATATCCCTTCCCGTTATCCCATCCATTATTTCGCAATTTCCTCTCCCCCTCCCCATCACAAACATGTCAAAGACATCCATCAAGTCCAAGTCCAGTCCACATGCACATCCACTTCCACCAAGTCCCCGAAATCTTATCCCTGTCAGGCAAGATCCGCTTTTCAAAGGGTTCGAAATGTTCCAGCCATTCCAGAACATTGACATTGACAGACAAACCCTTAAGGATCCTAGGTACCTAAAAGAAATCGGTGCGCGCTGCCCCGAGCGTTTTTTTCCAATCTCCCAGCCCAACCGCGGTAGGATATCCAAGCGACCCGCCGCGCCTGTTAATCCGGTAATTCCTCGCTTTCCCTTGTCGATTGATCTCTTCAGGGTTCCAAAAAGAAATAATTAAATAATAATAGTAATAAATAATAATAAGAACGACAAGGATTTGTATTATTTTTTCCTTTTATTTTATTCATTTTGGGGATTTTCTAATCACATCATTTCCCAATTCTTTGGATTCAGCTTTGTCTTGCCCGTCAAAAAGAATCCAATCCATGCGAACCATGCCTCGTCTCGTGATGATAAACAAAACGGTCCAGAAACAAACAAGGCAAAGCAAGCAAGGCTCATCAAGTCAGACTAAGGATTCATAGGAGGGATGAGGGTAAATGGAGTTTTTCCGTACCAAGTAAAAATCCAATACCTCGGTTTAAAAAACCCATGTTCGTATGACGATGCGCACGAATGGGATTTCTCAATTTCTCGATTGTTTGTCAGATGCGACAACTGCTATTGGAAAAGGAAGAAAGAATAAACAAACAAACATCAACAAAACCAACAAAAACACATGATCTCTGATAAAGAATACATGAATTACTAATCATGTGATTCTTTCTCATCTCTTTACACTTTTGTTTGAATACAGACGGAGATCTCCAAATCTGAAATTTTTTCTAGAATAAATTAATGGAAATTCGAAGAAAAGACTGCGGGGAATTCCATCCCATCATTCATCATGGGATTTCGAGGAATCGAGATTTCGAATGAAGGGAAAGGCGGAATGAGGGAAATGGGAAATGGAAAATTCCGTTTCTTCATGTGATGAATGAATGAATGAAGGAATTGAATTTCTTTCTCAAATAAAATGAGATGAAATAAAATGAATACGAGTTCGAGATAAATAAGGACGAAAGGGAAAAGGGAAGAGGGAAAATGAAATGTAACAATAATAAAAATTCATTATCAATCAATAAAGAGCTCGACAAAAGGCTTGCGGAAAAACTATCTAATCAGGAGATTATATTTTTCCATTTCATCTTCATCTGAAGATCATATGCATACATACCTAGGTAGCTAGCTGTATGGGTATCAGATGTTAACAATAAACAATGAATGAAGAATATGATAAACAAACAAACAAACACCAATACAACACCTCGCCATCTCGCCATCAGACATCTGACTTCTAACAACACAAAGCAAAGCAAAGCAAAGCGCAGCTGATCCTCTTTCTCCCCAAAATTCAAACATAGGCTCGATCCGATCACAGCCTCGAATCTACCCATTCATTCATTTGAACCTCGGATCATCTCATTTCTTTTCATACCTAGGTAAGGTATATATGACCAACCCGAATATTTCCCCGGGACAAACTCTTTTCCGCTCACATGTTCAACTCAATTCAATTCAATTCAAATCCAATCCAATCCGTTAATACCTAGGTATCGGAGTTTGAAGATCTGGAGATCGGTCTGTTATGTGTATGTATTAAGTAAATAGAATATATATTAAATTGATTTTTTTTTATCTTATTTTTTTGTGTGTGTATGATGAGATGGATTGTTTATTTAGGTAGAGTACTAGATAGATACTTTTTATTTTACTCCGTAAATGTTGTGGATCTTGTATGTATGTACGTATGTATGCATGTACGTATAGGCGGGGTGCGGGGTTGACGGGCGGGACTTGTCAATCAATGTCATGGGGTAGTGTGGTTTTTGGCATGATAGTTTCTATTGTGTATAGGAGTGTAAAGTGGACGGAGTGGAAAGAGTTTACAAAGTGTATAGATTTACAGAGATGTTCCTTGTAGATAGTGGCGAATTTTGAGGTTGGTACTTGCATTGGTTGGTACAGAAGGGGTGGGAGAGAGAGGAGGTTCAGCTGATCTTGATTCTTGGGGTAGGTACTTATGATGGCTGGTATGGATGGATGGATGTATATGTGTTATGTATTATGTATCATATATTGAAAGTTAATGTCATACAATAGGTATGCTATGTACATACCAATGTCAGGGGAAATTCCAGTATGATTTCCAAGATGCAACAAACTCAAAATGTAAATCTAAAAGATGTGATAAATATATCTATCAGTCAATCTCGGATCCTACATCCCATATCCCCTATTCCGATCTCCATAACAATTACGGCTTAATCCATCAATCAATCAATATAATATACATATTACATACATGCATAAATGATATGCTCCGGTAGTTATTTATCCCCTATCACCCTCAGAAAAATACCGATACTATACCGAGAAAAAAGCTTGGCTCCGATAGATGTATGTACGTATATAGTATATGAGGGCTTGGAAACCGTTGGAATTACTAGGTAGCTAGCTAGGTAGGGAGGTAATTACGGAGGACTTGTAGACAAGGTCCGGATAAAATATGTGACCCTGTAGATGGGTTAGTGGATATGGGATGATGGTGACTATGTACCTATGTACCGGCCTTTTGCTTGGAAATGTAATGTAATGGACTCCTCCTCCGCAATTACGAAACTAGGTAGGTAGGTACTAGGTATGGAAAACGGAAGATGGAGAAATATCTTTCATTCATTCATTCGTATTATCATATCATATCATATCATACCTATTCACAAATACATACGGAGTACCAGCACCGATTTCCACAATAAATTCCAGTATCTCAGCGATCGCTACATACGAAGTAGGTACATATCATACTACAGTATTACCAATACCAAATCCCCACCTACATATCCGAATTCCAGGAAAAGGCAAAAAGCAAAAAAGCAAAAATGATGTATTGATGTACAAAAATCCCATCACATGAACGGAAAACAACGGAACCCAATCCTGCGGATGTGACAGCTTGGGATATGGGATATGTATATGGGATGGGGATGGACCCTTTGTACAGCGAGATCTACAGATTATCTTGGTGGGGAAGTGTAGGAAATCTTGTATTTTGGAGGAGAAGGCGGGGATGGGAAGTTGGTTTTGGGGTTTTTAGAGGGGGATGGGGTGGATTTCTGGTGATCTGAACTTTTGGGGAATGGGATGGATGGATGGATTGTTGGGATTGTAGGTTGGTTTTTAGTTGGATTGGATATTTGATTTTTTATTATTTTATTATTGGGAATATTTTATTTTATTTTCTTTTTATTATTATTTTTCAATTATTACTTTGTTCCTTTGTTTATTTGGACAATGAGATCGCGGAATTAAAACTTTTGTTGATAATTCATCGAGATTGAAATTTTTTAAACTAAGAATAGTTTGATGGATGGGGGATCTTGATCTTGGTCTTAAATCCTGATTCGTAAAGGAGCGGATATAGAACGGATAAATAAACGGTGCTGATGGATGTAATAGGATGGGGAATTGTGTTTAGAGTAGAGTACGAAATGATATATTGTGATTTTACCCAGACACAAGCACGAATGAGGCTGAAGAAATAAATTATATCTTGGTTGAGCATCTATACTATGTATGTTTCGGAGTATGGAATAGGATACTCCATAGAGATAATAATCATTCTTCATCGGAAAAGAATCTACTTCCGCATCGAATCCAATGCAATCCAACGGAACATGAAATTCCATCCCTCACCCCCGACCATCATCATTCGTCCTCCTCCACATCCACATCTGCATCTCGTAAATTCTACCTTCCAAGCTCAAATCTCTCAGCAAGAGAAAGGCTGAGAAAGTGGCAAAGCTTAATAATAAGTAATATTCAGCTCTCACGCCAACACAGCAAACACGATATACCCTCGTGATTTCTCCCCATGAATCCTATTGATAGAAACGGCTTGCATGACTTTATTTGCAAGATGTTCAGTTATTTTATGTGCTCCGGAAAATAAGTCATCTGCTTTCGCGTGTAACATGGCTGTTTCGCAAACATACATGATGGACGGGGGGATCGATCTTCTCTGGTTTGGCCTGCTCTGGTCTTGTTTATGACTGACCGACTGACTGGAATTCGCGTGCGGAGTTGTGGGATGCGGTGAGCAGGATGCAGGTGGAGATGAGATCTTCGCGGTTGAAAAGGTCATTTACTGGATGGTGTCATGGATGAGATGGGTTGGTGATGGGAAGGGGATTATGGGGATGATGGGGATGGATGATATGATGGGTGATACATGGTGTTACAATCTGCCCGATATCAGGGCTTGGGATGGATTAGATTATCTTTTTGGGATTTTGAACGAGCTTGACCGAGTATGATATGATATGGATGCTAAGACTTATGATATAGTATGAGATGAGGTGATTCAATATCTGTAATTGTAGATCTGCGGAGTTATGTATGGGGAAATTGGCAGGGCTGAATATGGCATCTATGTGTGTACACTGTACGGAGTATGGATTCAGGTTTCTGGGGTAAGGTTAGAATTTCGATGTATCATGGTGAGTCGCATGACGAAATTAATTGATGAATATTTTTGTGCGTTGTACAATTCGGTGCATCGTATTGTATCGTATCGTATCGCATGGCATAAGCATCATTTCTCATCTTTTCGATTTCAAGGTTCTTTTTACTTTATTATTCATTTTTATATTCATGAATAAATAACAACGTTATGACGAAAACCTGATATTTATTACTTACGAGATATTCCTCCTCAATAGATACCTAATCACAATTACAATAATAAATATAATATACCCATAGTCTAAGTAAAGATCATAGCCCATCCTGATCATCTGCTCTGCAATTTTTCCTAGGATTCAACTCTTCAATGCTTGATTCAATGCTTGAAGAATGGAATGTCTCTTGCGTTGTTGTGCTTTGGCTTATGTTCATGTTCATGTTCATGCTCATGCTCACGTTCATGTTTGTGGATGGACAACGCGAAAATGATCAGGGGTTTCATTATTTCGAATTCATGGTATTCATCGCATCGCATTCCCCCTAATAAACATCATAATAAATTTGATAATTGTGAATCAATCAATCAATCAATCAGTAAGTAAGGCACAGACAGGTACAATGTAACCTTTGCCCTTTGCCCTTTGCACACAACACACCTTTCTACCTGATCGCTCACGCACACTTGGTCGGATCTTCGCGCCGTCATGAACCTTGGAAACCTTGGAAGCTTGGACATCTTGAAATAAATCCGGAGAACAGAGACAGAATCATGGCATGGTGCACCTGAACACCAAAAAAAAAAACCCCCTAGATGAACAAATCATCTTCGTATCTACCCTACCTACCTATCTTCAACAATATTAGCTAATAAGGGAGGAAATTCATGGAAATAGGTACCTACAGTATGAGTAGAACTAGGTATTGTAAGGTTGTATAAAGAAAGGTCATCTGCACATCCTCATACTTACTCGGGTCAGGGCGCGAACAACTCATGAAACAACGTTCATTGATACTGGTATTGTAACTTTGTATTGAAGTCGCTTCGTTTCAACCTCGTTCATATCACATCATGTTACATCCATTCACATTACAGCAGCCTGAAACTTTGGTCAATTGATGTCATGATATAATGTTGAAATATAATCTTAGCTAGGTAAGGTACCTAGATACTCATAGATAGAGAGATATATAATAAGGTTTAGAGCAAACGACTGACCTATTTTATTTGGGTTGGTTTATTGTCAATGTGTTGAAGTCTGGGGGTTGCTGTTGCTGTTTATAGAGATTTTTTGTTTTTATTTTTTTATTTTTTTATTTTTATTTTTTAAATTCTAGAGTAACCTTAAGGTTAACTATTAACCTTATCGTATGGTTGAATTTGAGTTTTTCTAAGCGCTTGAACTAGGTCAGAAGGATATAAAGATTCGCTGCTTGATGTTGTCGATGAGAGTATATACCATTGTAAATAAGAATAGCGAGATGGGAGATGGGAGGCGGAAGACGGGAGATCAGCGTAACGCTTTTACACGCTCTTTAATATTTCTAATTTTAGATTTTTGTTGATGATTTGATCTTGGTTTTGGACTTGAATTTGGATTTTATAATCGAGTGTTTGTTCATCTAGATAATATCATCACTCATTGGAACATCCATTATGACTAAGCTTAAAATAGATGATGGAAATGCTCGCGGTATGTAGGTAGTTGTAGCTATAGTTTACTCTGTACTTTGTAGTAAATCTTATATAAATTACTAAGCTGGAATAGAATGCACACCAGCCATATATGTTGCTGAAATACTAATGGAAAATCGAGGTAGCTATCTATCTACCCAAGTACCAACATACCTCTGTACGTACCTCCTCCATACTTGTAGAAACGTGGGGTTTAAAGTGGGGTAATACTAAGCATTGCATTTCCCCAGAAAATATTGTATTAACATTCTCCTTCCCTTCCTCCCTCCCTATGTATAGTACATAGTATGTATATTAGAATACACTAGACAATTATACACCCCCCAACAAAGAGAATCCGGGGAAGTGCATATACATACTACACACATATATACAAACACACATACATATACAAACACAAGACACGAAGATGAATCCCTCGGGTACAGCTCAGATTAAGAATGCGGGGAACCAGCCAAGAAATGAAACGAGGGACTGCATGTACTGTACTGCATTGATTGATTAAGATATCTTAAGGACAGGAGTTACAGTTTACAATATCTTATTGCTGTATATAGTGATATATTTATTGGTGGGTAACTAGAGGGATTTTTTGTATTTCCTAGGTTTTTGGTTGAGGGGGTTTTGTGGATATGATGGTTGGGAGGGATTTATATATTCTTCTTTCGTTCTTTTCCTCTTCTTCCTTAAAAAAGGTAAGATCTTATAAGCTGCTATGGAGTTGATGAGATTTTCGTTCTCTTCCGTATGTATATGCATATATGCATGCATGCATACATCTAGCAACAGAGTACAATCGAAGTTTCGTTCGTTCGCTCGTTCGTTCATTCCCCTCGTTTCCCTTTTCCGGGGTTCGGGCTCCGGTTCCGGTTCCTGTTCCCGTTCCTGTTTGAAGTACGGTTTGGTTTGGTTTGGTATGGAATAGGCTGTGTGTGTGTAGGTTATTTAAAATGGGAATGGGAATTGAAATGTGAATGTGAAGTGGATGGGTAAAATTATACATTTATTAGGTGACTAGACTTATATATTGTAGGATTAGAACTATATAAAGTCTAAACGGATGACGAAAATACTGTATAGATAAAGTAGATATCAAGAAATTTCCATTCCTTATTAGAATATTACAGACTTTGCAAACTCACCTCCCTTCATAGGTGATGGATATTCGAGATTCATCTCTCTCTTCTTTATTTCATGAACATTTCATTTCATTTTTATTCATCTATAGTATCAAATCTCAGAGTACCTAGGTACTGTAGGACATGATAGTATAGGATAGAATAAAAAATATAATACAATATCCAACCTACTATTTATAAAATAAACTTTCTTTCTTTATATAATCATCGTTATGACGATGTATACATAATCTTATATACTCCCTACTCATCCACGGAGTATAGAAGAATTTAGAAATTAAGCGACCAAATCCCCAAAACACACTGAGCACAATTCATTCATTTCATTCATTTCATCAAGCCTGCCTGTTGAAGATCTTAAAATAGGGTTTCCTTACTTAATACGGAGTACTATGTACGGTACTTATTGTAATACCGGTCGGTAATGAGTGGTATATCTAGCTTTATTTTATTCTTTTCTATACATTACCTAGGTATCGATTATGTATGTACCTATTCATTTATTCGCAGGTGATGAATGGGCTTGTAGCTAATAGATTTGTGTTGATTTTTAAGGCTGGTTGGCTTTAATGAATGGATGGAAGGGTTCCTGTTTGAGAGGTATTGCTTGAGAGGTGTTGCTTGTGCAGATAGATAGATGGATGGTTGGGAGAGGGGTTATAGCACCTAGTAGTTTGATAATGGTCATTTGGAGGGGACTGCTGATTGATGAGGTGTACAGAGGGAGTAGGTAGGATTACTTTGGATGGGTGAGGGGTTAGTTATCGGTGGAGTTACTCCAGGTATAGATGGTTAGGTAAGGTGAAATCTTTACTTTTGGTATCTGATTTTTGGGAGTGGGATTTTATGGATGTTGTTATGATATTGTACGTATCTATTGTTTGTATATGATTGACCCGAGGATATGATACTGCGGATACATACTCCATACAAGTATCCATTCTTCTCATGGGTGAACAAGTGAATGGGGATGTGATGAGGATACATGACCTCAATAGGAAGGAGACCCATCTCCTCAGCTCAGAGCAAAATAAGGATATCCAATTCGATAACGATTGAAGATATGAAATTTGAACACGTGCCGGTACTTCCCATCAATGGATACCAATAATCGCCATCCTTTAATCATACGGAGGCTCCGTATACGAATCAGATGGTATGTGGGTTTTTGTACATCCCCAAACGATTGGGAACAAAGGCTCGGACTTTTGTAACTCAAATTACCGCTAAGTCATTGATGATTTGTAGGTAGTCCGTAGATACAGTACTCGAGTAGGTTGATAGTTTGGGCTTATTTTCGTACAAGTTACAAGTCAAGCCATAACATAACTTACCCCGTATTTGAATCAAATCATAGCCACAAAATCTCCAAAGTCTGGTGGCCCTGACAAATATCCGGGTTGTGATCAATGGACGGTCATTGATAGGGTCTGTATGTACTAGGTACTTACTTGTACATTCTGCTTGAACAGTGAGCCGGGCGCTTTTGCTATGTGCACATGATCATTACTTTGTCGGTAATTTGTCTTGTTCATCTTGTCCATCCTGTTCATCCTGTTCATCCCACTCATTAATGCATAGTTCTTACGAAATACTTGGTATCCTGTGGGCGGCGAAGTCGATTCCTTATGAATTGATACGATGTGGTTGTAAGAGAGAGGAAGGGTAAAGAAAGCCTCGGCGTATAAGTTTGGTAGATTCATGTATTCTTTATGGGGGCAAACCCAGCCCTCGAACCCCCATAGCTCGCTGCGCTCGAATTGTTGCAAAGATCCGCTGTGAAGATTTCGGTCGACATTATACTCCGTATCTACCTAAACATCCAATTGATACCAATAGGTTTGACATGAGTAATCACATCAACTCGAATCAGCCACAGGAGTGATTGCATATGAAAGCAATGACCTATCGTCAGTTAGAGTTGGGTTTTGATGATTGACTGAGTCAGATTGTAATTGTAACACAAAGGACATTCTTATTTTGAAGCTACGAAGTATATACTTTTCTTATTACTCTCTTTCGATTAGTCGAGTCGAATTATTACTCTTTTCTACTTACTTTCATGTCTAGCTTAACTCATTTCCCCATCACGTCTTTTCACATCTTCCACATTTATTTAACCCACCCTCTTGTCTGGACCTCATGGCATGGCGAAAGTAAAAAGCTCGGAAGGCTTCTTTCAATCATAACCAGGGGTAAAAGGTGAAAAGGAAACAAGGATCAGGAAAGTATGGAACCGATCACAGATTGTCTTCAGGTTTTGAGAAATCTGAGCACATGAATAAATATACTTACTCCTAGTGACCTAGGTAAATGAATGAAATGAATCCTGGACCAGTAAATCCAGTCCCTTGAAAAGTTCCCGTAATCACTCGAATAGGATTAGTCGGTCGCTTTCGAAAATGAAAAAGGGCCGTTAAGTTAAACCAAAGTAAGAAATAGTCAATAAGAGTGAATGACCCAAATGACTCGATCGGTCATAGAGTATTGATAATTGTCAAACATTAACTAATACTGAATTGGGCATCACTCCTGTCAAAGGGGAAAGACTATTTATCACTATCACACACTAATGAATTAGTATTCTTTTTTTTTCCCTTTCCTTAAGTCAGTTCACTTAAAATACTCATATCCACTCCACCGGGGAAGAGAAAAGATCAGAAATCTAGCCCTGCTTTCAATGCTTTGCTTTGCTTTCTTTTCCCTTCTCATATCAAAACTAAACTCTCATCACCCCCCGTTTATTAAACCCCAAAGTTTGAACCTAACTTGACTTTACCTGATTTGACCTAACCTGACTTGACTTGATTTTAATTCACCGACAATTTGGACTGAATAGAGCAAGTGGTGAAGAGAAAGGGAAAAATAAAAAAAGATCCACAGTTTTTTTCCCGCCTTTCTGCTGGTAAAGCTAAATGATCAAGGTAGTCTAAAAGAAAGCCGACCAGCACATACAAATCCATTTTCAACAACTTCTAGATGTTCTTATTATAATCCACAGACAACCCACCAAGAACCATTTTACCTACAATAACATCATCTTATCACCGTCCTTCCTATTCAACATCAACATTTACACTACTTGAACAACAATTCATGTCAGTGTAACAAGAACATTTGATCGATTACAAATCTTCATACAGATTCCTCTCGATTCTTCCAAATAAACTTACCATTCACATACATTCATCATTCCTGCAGCTCGCCGGAACGTCGATTGAAACGAACGCAAAGGCAATTTATTCCGAAAGTGTATCCTTTACCTACTTATCTCACACCCACACCCACATCCGTCACCTCGTTTTCTCCTCCACACTTTCAACCCCAACTTAAACCTACCTACATACAACCCACGTCAAAATCCTGAAGATCCCTTTCAACGACCCTTTATTCAACCATCCTCTTCGACAATACTCTACATTGACTATTGTGAATACAAATACGAGAACGAGTACGAAAGATTCCATCAATAACAAATCAACATTCCTCCACGATTTCGCGATTGAGTCGCGATTTCTCCCCGCAGTCGTGCCTTCACTCCCACAACAGCTCGTGCGTTCGAGCAAAAAAGACTATCATCATGCCTTCCAGATTAAATGCGCCGGTCTTAACCGTCGATGCCAAACTCATTCATAAAGTTGACACTAGAAATGTTGAGAACCTTTACAGCATGTGGACTGGTAAGTTTACTTCCTCTTCACAATCACATCATGGAATTGTTACGCGTGTAACATTCCTATGATTCAAGACGCTAACGTTTCTTCATAGTTTTCTCTAGATGTGCTGGCTCATTAGAAGAAGGTCGAAGATTAGAGAACTTAAGTTGGAGATTATGGACACGAGAAACCTTTTGCTGTGAACCAACCTCAGAAGCAAATGCTACCACACCCGCAATCTCGATATCCTCAAGAAGTTCCGAAGGTCAATATTCGAATGACGTTCCAGAATTAAGCGGAAGTTTAGATTCAGTCGTCGATGAAGAAGCAATCGAATTCGAAGAGAGTACCGACGCTTCCCCTCTCGATATCTCCCATCCACAAATCCACAGACAAGATTCCTGCAATAGCAGAAGTCGAGGAAGAGAACGCCACATTACACCTAATGACTTAGAGAAGATGGTTATCACTATCAAGGAAAAGAAAGATTTGGCTCCTCTCACCATCACCACACCTTACCTTGCGCCACTCGCTGAGAGAATCCCGCAATTCACCCAACCACAATATGAATCATCTGCCACGGTAGCAGAGTCTTCATCAGCCAATTCATCAGCTCAATCCGCCACCACTCAATCATCTATTGCCATCTCTGAAAAGGGTGCCACCTCGGTTGTGAAAGGTTTCTCACTTTCACCAGCACATGTCAGCAGCTCAATGCGTTCAATGCCACTCAACACTGCGCCATCATCAATCCCAACTGCCGATATCGTCGCAGCAGATACATCAAAAGTACTCGCACCAAAGAAGAAGCAGATGTTCGCTCTTGGTGGATCTTCAGGTGAAGACTCGCTAAGTGAACAAGCAGTTTCCATGGACAACAAACCATTAACCCTTCAAAAGAAGAAGCCAGCTAAATTCAGCTTCGGTGGATCATCAAACGAAGATGAGAGTTCTTTACCAAACAGAATGCAACCACGCAGCTCATTAACTGACAAACTCCAAAAGCCTTTGGCTAAGAAGCAAACTTCATTCCAAGAAGAAGTTGCCACGAGAACCATTCAAGAGGAGGTATTCGATGATGATGTTTTCGAGACTGATGACGAGGAAGATGTTGATGAGAGCGCCATTGACGATGATGATGATTCTTCTGATTGGGAGGATTCAGTTGAGGATAGTGGAAACGCAAGCATCGATGATAAGACCTTCTTTCAACGAGTCGACTCGAGACCACAACTTACCTCAAGAAGATCATTAATTACTACAATGCTCCACCAAAATGATCGTGCTCAAGCACTTGCCACCGAGGCTTCTCGATCAACACCTGCTCTTAGACGTTCCCGAAATTCTTCACCAAACGGTCCTTCTCTTGCAGCATCACCAGAATCCGATGAAGCTCCTCTCATGATGAGAGGACTTAAACCAATTGCCGAAGTTCCTCGTGGAGCTCAACCAATCATCAAAACAACTACGAACACCACCGCACATCACCAAGCACTCTCACCAAGAACCACAAGACGAAACATGCTCGCCACCGAATTGACTGTCAGTCTTCGCCAAAACCTCCTCTGGGAAAGAAGACAAAAGTCATCGGTCAACGAAGCTGCTGCTGCTCTTAAACGAAGACATACTGCACACGATGTTGCAAACCTTAAACAATACCCTGAGAAAGTTTATATGGATAAGGATGATCAAGCTCTTAACTCAAGCTGGAATCAATACTTCAGTCAAGGGTTAGGAGAGTATCATTCTAAAGGATGGTAGATTTTTGAACACTACCTCGTGTTAGTCGCATAATGTAATGGTTCTCTCTTTTGCGCATCGAGTAACAACAGTGGTATATAATTTATATGTTTGACTTTATGTTACATTTTGGTACATAAAGTCCTACAATGACTTCACAGTCAACTGCATTCATCGTCATGGAGTTTCTTGGTATAGAAACATGACGTGCGGATCATTATACGGCATAGCATTGGGCACGAATTAATGTCTTTTTGCTTTTTCAGTTTGCATTATAGCGATTGTTTTACAACACAGGATTCGGAGGGTTATTTGTCTGCTTTTTTCTTTTCATTTTTTATTCTTCTTTTACATATTCACATAGCGATTGAGGAAGAAAAGAGGTCAAACTTCCACACAAATCATTTTCAGGGCGTTTACACTTTGTTTCGGGCATAAATTCATACTTTGGTATGAAATTTGTTCAATGCCCACACAATTTGGGAGGGAAAGAGACTGGGTATGGGAACTAACTGGAATGGGAATTATTGGTTGGGTGTTCTTTTTTTTTTTTTCCTTTTTACACAAAAGCTTTGCCGGGAAAGCAAAATGAATGAAGGGAAAGATTAATTTCTTTACCCATCTTTTTAAGTGTTTTGATACCAGCAAACTTCTTTACTGGCGTTGGGATGATACCATGGATTTTTTAAGAAGAAAAATCCTTTTTAGTTTTGCTTTCCCTCTTTGAGAGATAAGATTACTATGAACCTCTTGATAAGGTGGCATGGAATCTTTGTATATGATCTGGATGGATGGCAATGGAAATGGAAATGGGAGGAATAGGAATAGGATTGGCAGTGGATGATTTAAAAGTTTAAGGAGAACAGTACTTGTATTATGACTTGCATAGCAAGCAAGATTAGATAGTTAGTGAGTGAATGACTCAATTGAAGGAGAAGAGGGGAATGAAAATGAATATAATTTTAAATAAATTGACTTGATTATTTGTGATTTTGTGAACGTGGATAGGGTGAGTGAGTGTGAATTGTATGTGTAATGTGAGTCTGAATGTGAGTGTGATTCGACTTATTATTATTACCATTGAAAGATCTGATGATAGGTATTATACTTACTCATATTAACTTACTCATTTTGATAAGTCTAAACGTACAAGCGGGTGACTAGCTATACTATACTATATAAATAGGAATAGGAATAGAAATGGAAATGATAATGGGAATTGAAATTATAACAGGGATGAAGGAAAAACTGGTGGTGGTTGTGGAAGATTACTTTGGTTTATCGTTTGGGAGGGTTTAGGCGGGATTGGGAGAGATTGGTTTATAGAAGGGGGGATAGATTTTGGAGGCATGGGAAAGGTAAGTGGATGAAAGGGATGAGGGAGATGAGTAGAAGGAAGGGGGAAGGTGGGAAAGGAGATTGAGATTGGGTATTTTTCTTTCTCCTTGAGAGGGGGAGGGGGGGTTGTGTTCGTTTGGGATGGTTTAGGGATGGGTTAGGGATTTTGGGGTGATGAGGTGATAGGGAGAGAAAAGGGTCTAAAATTGATAAAAGAGAGGGAGGAGGGATTTAAAATAGGAGTTGGAGGGTAGGTAAGTTAAGCTATAAAACTGGGATGGATGGTTAGGGCTATGTAGGGGAGTAGGATGGGGATGGGGATAGAGATGGAAATGAAAATGGATATATATGATGGGATGATTAGATGTGGTATGGTGTGGTATGCTGCGGTATAATGGGTAGTAGCTAGAGAATGATAAGCTGAGCTGGTGTGAGCTGGTGTGAGAATGAATAGATTGATGGGGTGGTGGGTAGGTAGGTAAGTAGGTAAGAAGAGGGAAGAGTAGGGAAGAGTAGGGAAGAGTAGGGAGTGAGATGGAGGATGAGGATGGTTGATGAAAGGGAGGAGGAAAATGAGGGGGAAAATGAGGGGGAAAATGAGGGGGAAAATGAGGGGGAAAATGAGAGGGAAAATGAGAGGAAGAGTGAGAGTGGAATTTGATTAGACTATAAGTCTAGTACCCCACTTTTCGGCCACCCTTTCACACCAAAAATCGTGATTTTCACCTATTAATATTTCAACAAAAAATGAATGAAATTAATTGAAATTTTAATTATAGATTTATTATATGATTATTCATTGATTCTCATAATTTCAAACTTTTCACGATTTTATTGATTAAAATATAAATGATTGAAATTACAGTTTTCAATTTGTATAAAATTTATAAAACTTGAAAACTTTTAATAACTTTTCAACAAAAATCATTAAAAATAAATCGTGGATTTTTTTTCAAATATTTATATTATAATTTATCAGATAAAAATTTTTTTGAAAAAAAAATTTGCAGATTTTGTTTTATTGATCTTTATATTTTACTCCATAGAAAATTTTATATAAAGAAATATTCAATTGATAATGAAACAATAACTACTAAACATTCTTCAAAATAAATTAATCTAAATAATCAATTGTGATTCAAATATTTTAAAAAAATTTATAATTTATTTTTAATAAATTTTGTTGAAAAGTTATCAAAGGTTTTTAAGTTTTATAAATTTGTATATAAATGTCACGATTCACCATTAGGATTAGTGTCTTGGGATGAAAAGGAATCACGTGATAAGGAGCCCTGAGGAGCCAGAAAGCTCCTAGGGGCTCCCTTTATCGATCATTATATAGTCAGAGTAGTTTCATAGTTTAGGAGCTTCGTGCTCAACTTAGTTATCAATTAGTTTATCTACATTCTACTTGATCTAGTAACGAATTCATTTCCAAGTGAATACCAGTGATAAAGCCTTAACCCACAACTACCAACCAGACGAAAACCTTAGGCAGCCGCTGCCTTCGGTACAGTATCGTTACATATATATACATTATAGCTAGGTATATACACCTATATATTGTGTGTACTGTGTTGTATACTATTATACGATAAAGAATAAATAAAGCTCCCCTTTTATATAAACCGCGTCGAAGCTGAATTCCATCGAAGTATTTCCTAATAAAGTCTTGATGAGGACGGGCTTCATGATAATGAAATGATATATCAGGCGTGTGTCACGATGTGGAATTTGACCGTGATACTATGGTGGGTAAGTTTAAGGTTAGATTAGACTGTAAATCTTTTTAATGGGTGATAAAAATACAATTACAGAATGTTTCTAGAAGGATAAGTTTTGGAAGTCATGTTCTCCTCGCTGAATATGGATCGGGTTTTGGGTACATATGATTAAGATAGTGATGATTTATTTGATGGTCGTGGGATGGGATGGGAAATGATGGGATGATTAGATGTAATGTGGATGAGGGAAGATGTAAGAAGGGAAGGAATTAGGCGAGATGTTTAGGGGATGAAAAGGAGGGGGTTGATTTGGGAAGATATTTCGGGGTGTTGATGTTAGTGCTGTAAAGTAGTATTCATGTATATTTATGTATGATGATGACAGAAATGAGGTGGGATATCGAAGAAATATCATTGTTTTAATTATATGAATTAAATTGAATATTTAAAAATATAGAATGATATAAAGGATTGATAAATCAGTTCCCCAAACTCCAAATACAAACCTACCGTCCACAGAAACAAATCATTACAATATGTAAGATATATCTATAACTATGATTATAAATCTCCATCTTAACCCCCACTACTCGGAATCACTGTAGGAATATCTGAATTCTTCAAAATATCATGTAGCATCAAGACCAACGAGTTGAACCCTTGAGACCAGTCATCATACACAATCAATGAATGGTACTGTCATCATGAGTACTACTCTACCTATTACCGCACCACAATTTTCATTATTTATTTCAATTATTATCTCATATCATATCACACGTATAATCAACCGATACAGATGAAATAGAACACAATACAATAGATAAATAAATAAATAAAAAATAAAAATCTCAGTTCATATATTCTTTGTTCAAAAAATCCTACTCGGAAAAGCACCGTGAAACAAAACCTACCAATTTAGGGGTAACAATCTGGTCGCGTGGTCTAGATATAGAGGTACGTACGGGTATTTTTAGCTGGGGTTCAAAAGGAAGGGTCTGTACCGAGTGAGACTGTTGCGCTATTCAATCCTACATTATTATAAATATTATAATTCATAAACGTCGATGGGATGGATGTACGGAGTGGGTGATGGATGGATGAATGACATTTTGATAGGAGTGAGAGTGTGCCTGCCATCTCTCGTTAGATGGGCTGAATTTGATGGCTGGTCAGCGAATGTCAGAATGGAATTTGCTTTTTTGGTGGGTCTATATTTGGATGCTATTGGTGTTGGTGGATGAATGTTATTTGTATCGTTGAAGAAGGATTTGATCATGATGAGATGATGAGATGAAATTGTGATAAGGTGGGGATGGTCACCTTCATTGAAGAAATTTTTGGAGATGGATTGTGGGGGTGAAGTACAGTAAGCTACTTTGAAGATTAAGAATTATATTCGCTTTCATATTGGATATAGATATCAAAAGAGGATATAGGATGAAGGTGGGTAAGAAAGGTAAGATTTCATTCCAAAGGGTAGGGTACATCAATTATCTTCAATCAAACAGTCACGCATCCTCCTTTCCCCACGCTCGGTAATCCACATATTACTATTACCATTATCGAGATAGAAATATCGTAATCTATCTGTCCTACTATCATCTACAGAGGCTTCCAAACACCGGATATACACAGAAACTCAGCATACCCCAAACTTCAAATCAAAGGAGGGGGTGGCAATTTGTCTTGCCTATCTGATCCATCTAATCGCACATCTCAATCCCACAAGGCTTCCCACACAAAACCACTCACCTATCTAAGCCTATTACGAAGTCACAAATATAGAAAGTCTCCCAGGACCGTCTCCCCATACTGCGCATCAACAATATCACATCCATCTCATGACCAATAATCTGAACAAAAAAACGCCTGTCTGGGTAAGGTATAGAAAAGAAAATGATACCTAAATACATGTCTATCAACGGCACGGCGCGTAAATGCCACCTACCTACCGCACGAAACACAATTCTCACGTAGAGAGGAGTAATTGGAGCGCCAAAGAGCTCTCAGCCCGGTGGAGAACAAACCGTTTGTAACATCCCCATTCTTCAGGGCTTCGCTTGGTTTTGGGATACAGACGGAGAAATACAATCCAATGTACTTAGGTTACCATGCACAATGAATGAATGACCAGGGGATAATTATCCCACGGAACACAATGCCCATTTTTGATCTCACAGATGATCCCAAAAATTTAATTGTGTGTGTAATGTGTGTTGTGCATGCATAACGGCGGTGAAGAGCCAGAATGCCTCATGGAGTTTTTTATATTTTCTAGAATAATAAGGTTTGTAAAAATGTTGAATATGTTTCTAATGGAATTTTCTCATTGGTTGATTATTGTTTTGAGGTGCGGGTGATAGATATGTAGGAGCACGATGTACGCCAGCTTGCGACGGCGGGGTGAGATTGTTTGGATATTCATCAATACTTTCTTTATATGAATATGTCTAACGGCGCGCTTATAATATTCTGCAGTAAAGGGTAAACGCTTGCTTATGGATAGATGTGCTAGGAGGGACCTGAGTTTAGTTTCTTTTTTAATTGAATCTTTAACCTTATTGTTGGAATGTCTGATTAATATTTCTTGAATAAAATTTTATATTAGATGACATTGATAAAGAAACGAAGTGGGATACCCCCTTGTCAGCAGTATACATAAAAAACCGAGCTTGAGCTCCAACCTCTTTGCTTTGGCATTGTACGAATGTACTGTAATGAGCGTAACGCTTTCTATCTTGGTACTCTATTACTCCGCAATATGTATTTATGCATTTGTATATTTGTACAGGCTATCTTCTGTAGGTACCAAAGAGTAATCCAACCACCGAACCATCAGTTAAACTGGTCTGTGATAAAATCAGACCCCGCATAAAACACTGATACCAATATCTTCAAAATCTTAACCTAACCTCACATCTCCCACGGACGGCCCTTTCCTACCCATTGTAAGTATCTGGCTTCTGTAGTAGAAAACCAGATTTTTCCATCTTACTAGTATTGACACTCACAATTATTTCATACATTAAAAAGAAAAGCCGAATCTAAAGCTAAATACCGGCGCCGGTATGCCGCAAAAGAATCTTACATAGTAGTGCCGGGAGCAGTACATACAGTAGTGACGGAATCAAGCGATGCATCAATTTTTCCAAGACTTTAGGTTATCACTACTATGCCCGTAAGGATTCGATGCTCTGGATTAATCACATGAAAAGTCCTCTCCTTTTCTCTTTTTTCAGTGAACTACGGCACTACTCTGTGCAAAATTTAGACCAAACCGGCTTCCTATTTGGAGGATTCCGATATACAATGTGGTATAGTTACGTTCCAGATCTGAAGCGGCGGTGCCCATGCTATGTAAAAGGAGGAGGTGATCAGAGCTGTACACGCTTATCCACTGTATTTTTTATCAGGGTAAGTATGGGGATGGAGTCGGCCATGAACAAGTAATGTCCCTAAAGTACTACTCCTAAATCTGGGAAATACAATGATGGATTATATAAAAACGATAATAAATAGGGCCGTGAGGAAGATATTTTTCATTTCCTTACTACTTTTTCGCAGAAAGAGGTCCACTTAGTGGTAAATAGTAGAAGAGAGCGTATTGAAAGAGAAAGATGGTCAGGGACAATGCATGCTTGATTGCTTGTGAGCTGGTAGGGCTGGAGTACAGATGGAGATGGAGTGGTGCAGATGTACAAACGTACAGGCGGTATAGTTTGTCAAAAGAGCTCTGGAGCTCGTGTGTGTGTGCCAGCTGGATGGTTGAGAGGACAATAGGTGGATGCGGCGATGATATTTGCCCGCACCAACGTTCGACGAACGAACATGTATCTATTTACGAGCGAGTTTAGGGATGATAATTCTCACAAGGTGGAGTTCCGCCGGTATACGCACATGCAGATGCAGATTTTAGATACCGGAAGTGGGTAGAAATATTTTGTGGTAATGTTGCATTAGGCAGTGGTTAATGATTGAGTCAAGTGGAGATGATATTCAGGGTATTTTGGCTATGCTCGTTCAATTTATTTCATCTTCGGTAAAATGAAGGAGGCGGTAATCTTCAAAACCTGCAGGCTGCATGATTATCTCTAAGACCCATCACTATCTTCCACCGAGTAGAGTATGTATGAAACCAACGGTCATGATTCTTAGCCAATCGTAAATTCATCCATTCAAATATCTTTAAAATATAAATGGTGGCACAAAGCTGACAGCTTGTGATATACGAAGAATTTCGGCTTCCTCATTCATCATCCATCATCAATTTTGATAGGCATTAATGTCTGGATAACCAGGGTTCCTCAAATGTCAGAGTCTTGAAGCCCCAAGAATCTGAATTCCCCAGCTGGACAAGCGATCAGCTCCAATTCTCCAGATGATCAACCCAATTTTTCCACAGATCTCAAACTCGCTTCGTTCAATCCAGTTTTCGTAAACTGGAGCTTCTCTTTCAAATTTTCTGGAGCACAAACCCGACCTTCTCCATTTTTCTCAACGTATGGTTCTTAGGCCTTCCTTCCTTGTCCTTGGGTGGATATTTTCATCTATTTCACCGTGATCTCCTAAGATCTAGATGCTTATCGCTGGCAATCACTTGTTGACTGTTGGTAGGACAACCCACTTTATTCTTTTGGAATACCCACTGTATTTTTACCCCTCCATGCATGTCACACGCTTTGTTCCAAGGTTCTTGTGATGTAGTGTCACTAGTGTGGCAATGTGCACAGCGTGTGCATCGCACATATCTTATGCAAAGTCAGCATGAGAAGAAAATCAATCCGAAGAAAGATACCCACATTTTGGAATTTTCGTCGTAGATAAAAAGTCACATGCAGCTCGGAGCCTGCTTCCTGGAATCCATCGTTAAAGACATTTTCCTTTTACTGTTGTATTGCATTTCTCCACTTGGGTAACGGAATTCTCCTGGGTCAATGCAGAGATTTTTCAACCAACAAATCTAAGTCACATGCAATGTAGTCATGTACCAACATCCAAAACGGGAGGTACCTCGCTTTGAGAAGAAAGTTGATGTCCCGGTCTCCCCATGGCGCAGGAGTTTTTCAAGTGGGGCATACCGAAAAAATGACCGACTGGATTTGAAGGTTGGCGATTTGGGTCTCTTTTTCTTCCCGATCGCCCGCTTGGACGGAGATGTGTCAGGAGGGAAGACGATTACTAATACCAACCGACCGAGCTGTGCTGTATGGGCTCTCATGCTCGAGAGAGGTAACGTAATATCAAAGATTCAAGATGAAATAAGGTTCACGATCGTGACGGTTGCCAAAGGAAAAAAAAATATATTGCGGCTCGGTGCCTCTGCGGGGACAAAAGGACCAGGGACAAATCAATGATGTCAATTCCAAGACGTGAGTTAGGATGTTGCCAAGGTATAAGGTTAGATATATCAAGGATTCAAGGATACCGGTATTCGAAAATGAAGATATTCTAGAATATGCATGCAAGCGTCAATCAATCAAGCAAGCACAAGCTCAAAATATTCAACAACGTGGCTTTCTGCTTTGCGAATATTTTAATTCGTTCCATGATGCGTCTAAGGATCGGGTAATCAGGGAGTCGCGTTCGGACAGGACGGATGGTAAAGGTGTTCATATGCTTATGCATTGCATCCTGATTCATTGTAAAAAAAGCCCTTTCCGTTGGGACAAAAGAGTCGTGTTCTTCTTTGATTCGAATGTTTAGTGAGGAAAAAACCGTTTGATATTTATGATAATTTTCCGGACGAATGAAAATATTCCATTCGAATATTTTTTATTCATTAATTTAATGATTCAAGATAGGTTCGTCGCTCAGATTGATTGACTGACTCGAGATCGCACTTGTCAAAGCATCCAGAATTTTCTAGCCTCCGTCTTGACCCTGAATATCATTGATAACCGAATGCAGTTTCGGATTTGCTGTAGGTGTTGGTACATGACAACGTTGCCTGGTGTCTCATTGTTGCCTTCCGATATATTTTTGGCCACTCATAAGATGAGAATTCCGACGCTGTCGACCGCGGCATTGGTCGGCTGTCAAACGAGTCAAGATAGGGGTTAAATAATTTTCCGCTTGCAAGTTGAAGTGTCGACTGCGGGCAGGTGTCATAGGAGGTCAAGTGAACTTTTCCATGAACTCTAATTCCGCCTTGAGAATTAATACGCCAGATATACCACATGGTGAGGTAGGTGCCATCAATTCTCATTCCGCTTTTTTTTACCGCGGCGGCAGGTTCGCTTTTCCGCTTTGTAAAGCTAAATCTAAAGCCGTCATTTGAAAATTACCGGCTATCTATTTCCATGTAGATCTACGTTACAGATTTGCGGGAAATGGAAACCGGAAGTCTCACTATATCCAAATACATTCCCAAGGTTAAACACGAAAGCACCGGTAACCATATCTGCAGCTTTAAACATACGAAGGGTCTTGTTTGATGCATGATTATATGCAGGTTGCTGACTTGATTACTCACAAGATCTTGCAAAGCCTAGGATCCTTGTTCCTAGTCTCAACGTCTATGAACATCAATGTTTAGACTTTGAAGTTTAGACTTTGAAGTCTTATGGGTGAGCGGAACGCCCAAGGATGTTATTCTGGTGATGAAATTTTATCCCCATTCGAATTCACCTTGATTCATGGAAGAGATATTGGGTGCAAGGCTAAGGAAGAGTTTTGTGAGTCGTAAGATATGAGACTAGAAGTGTACGAAAAAACGCAAAGTTCTTTAAAAAAAGAATTATTCTTCTTGCAGCTATATTAGACGTTCAGAATGGAGTGTTTTCTCAGGCACTTACTGCGTAATTCCGTTATAATTGCCATCTAAAGGAAGCACTGGTACGGCAGTATATATTTCATAAAGACTAGGCTCTTCAATGTAATCTATGCCACTGGTATGAAGAAATCGTTGCGCAGTCTTGTGTACTTCGCGGCGATTTTACATTTCGTTATAACCACTTTGACACTTCTCTACCTGATAGCTGTGATGAACCGAGGCCAATTCGTGAATCGTTTGATCCTCTCGTAGTCTGATCAAGTTTACCTTAGATATACTTAAAGTACACAATAATGCAAGCAGATTATATTAATGGAATAAAGGATCTGTTGTTAGAGAAAAGGGTAGTGCCAAGATTTTGCATCGCTTATTGTTGGTACGAGAAGGATACGGAAGACGTAGCACCCACGGATTACGTAGGTCCTGTATGTCTAATTGTATTCTGTCTAAAGAGCTAGCTACATATTGAAAGTAGTAAGTCTTATATAGACTTACTAAAAGAGCTAGTCTCTTTCGCGTTCGCTTAGTTCTTTATTACAGTAGTAATTAAATTGAAGTCATTCACTTCGTTCACACACTTATAGAAATTGGCGGATTCATCTCATCTAAGGAGGAAAGAAAAACCGTGGTAAATTCGGACATTCAACTCGCAATTCCTCATGCAAAATCTCAATCTCAAATTTAAAAAAACCAAAGTTCTTCTTGCAAGAAAACTAATAGACCGGTCAACCTTGTGGACGGGATATCTCAGCGCCAGTCGCGTAAGGTTTGCCTGTTCCCACCGTGATAGTTGATATTCTTTGCTGGAACGAATATCAAGAGACAAGCATGATCATCACGAACTATCATACAACAACATTTAATTCATTTTGTTTCAGCAGGGAAACTGAATAATGATTGCAGTGATGTCGTGAACCTGTTGGGAAGGGAATTGCAATCAGTAAGAGCTTCACTCGTCCAGCTCTACCTAGTGCCGCGGCAAATGCGCCTCTAGTTGCTATGGAAATGCGATAATTTATGACGTGCACTGTAAGAACTCAAGAATTAGCAGAATTCATGAATAAAAATGCAGCAGTGATCCTACCTATCTTCCTCATGAGGATATGGAGGCACCGAACATTGTGCCCTGGAAGTTGATGTATCGATCAACTGACTTTGGTAGGTTTGGTAACAAATTTATTGCATCCCCAAGTGGTATTTACGGCCCATATTAGGATTCATAGAGCCAAGATGCATTAGATTGCATGCTTGCATGCCTGTCAACGCCCGCATAGGGCTTAAAGGCGATATAGCAGATCCAGCTGGAAATGTGCTCTACGTTAATAAAACCGGCTTCTTCAGCTCGATCCGACCTGGCTATAGGCAACTTCTTAATTTTCATGCAACCGCAACCGCATTATTTCGTTAATGGGCCTGGAACAATAGAATGCAACTATATGGGACCAAAAAAGCATACGAGGGGTGAATTCCTCAAAGGTTGGGTGAAGGAAGGCCTGGAGAGCTTGCAAGTCACCTTGGAACTTGGCACCAAACCTCAAATTTATAGCGAAGGTCCAGAGAGATGAGTTCTGTATTAATGTTGGCTGGGTTTCACAAGGAGAAAAGATTTGGTATCCTGCTGAGTTTCTCAAGATTTGGGACTGGCAGGTTGTTCGTAGCAAAGATCCAAATTTGAGACAAGTCATGGTGAAAACAGCAATGAGGGTGCGTAGTTTTAACCAAATAGTCATGAAAAACGAAGCACTGGACCCCCTTCAAATACATCCTGTCGCTCGTCGGTACTACTCCATAATCTCTCTTTCTATATCCTACTAACATGTCACAGAACTTCGGTCTCAAGGTTGAAAGGAAACCTACTGTTGTAAGACAACAACCTCAAGTAGAGTTCGGTAACAAAAATATCATCACGCTTGGAGCCAACGAACTTTCAGATAATCACGCCTCTTAGAATCTTAATAGAGTACGTACGATGCGTGTTAATTACTATGGGATGAAGAACACCCTTCAGTAAAAGGACGGTGCTCAAATGCCCCTGAACAGTCTTGCGCAAGAACTCTCTCCCAATAGTGTTAAAGTATGTGCAAATATTGAAGCGGACTTCCTATAGGCTTAAGACGAACTTCAAGATGGGGATTCTGTCACATTGAATCCATAACAATAAATATTAATCAATTGAGCATACGGACTTGTACAATGGTAAGGGGAGCTGATGTAACTCATCCTTGGAAATGCAACGATGAAAATTGTCCATCAATGGCCGGCTTTGTCACTACTTGTGACAACAATTTCATATACTATGTGCCTTTAGTAGGCTTGCAAGGTGATAATACGGAGGTAAATTGATAGCCTTCTAATATGCATGTCTTTCATACTAATTAATGTACACAATACTTCATTGCTCGTCTCCGGAGCATGATTTAGAACGTCTAGAAGCATATAAAGCGTGGCCCGGGACACGTGCCTCACTAAATATTAGTACGGCATGCATATGGTCTACGATGAAGAGCTTCCATTGATTCGAAGTGCATTCAGAAACATAGCGGGAGCGCCTAAACTGGGCCCCGAAAATCACGCTCCTCGTAGTGGGCGAGCGGCATAATACTAGATTTTCCCCCTATGATGCGAACTCACTAGGTAATTTGTCAGCTGAATCAGTAACTGACAAAGAGGCGATTCATCTGAAACATATGGAATTATACTCACAGAGTCAAAAATCTTCCATAAGGACAGCAAAAACTGGCCATTATGTTGTGATTGTCAACAAGAGTGAACATTATCTCAGTGAAACTGGAACCATCGTGACTTATTCCCTGCTCCTCAACACATCTCTCTGATTACCCACACAATAAAAAGTGTTTCACATATTCTAATCAACCCAAACTATAGACAAATAAACTATGCTTTAACGGCTCCCGCTCAACTACAGGCCTCCTGATTTGCACACCAGCTAGGTATGCCAATATGCTCTGCGGCAGACTTCGCTGCTAGATGAATCCGATACTGAATGAGGGAACCAGGATTTCGCATTCGATGACCATGACATCCATAGATTATAATCGTCTAAATAGCTATCTACGGACTGAAACTATTTGGGTTGGATCGCCTGCGACTGCGACTACTACTGAGCCACTGCAAGAGGAACCCATTGGATAATACGTGGCGGAAGGCTCTTGAGGATTACATGTTCTATCTTTGGGTGGAAGTTATGGAGATGAAAGGGGTTGTTGCGCTCTGTATCGACGGTCATATTTTGAAGTTCACTACATGAGTCTGGTTATTTATCCCGATTGCTTTTTCGTATGGTTCTTGTTCTCTATAAATCCCTTCACTCGTGTCAGCTTCCTTTTCCTTCTACTTGCTGGCATCAGGAAATATAAAAAAACGTGTACAAAAGAAGGATTGTAAATCTTGCGACTTCACAAGGGATTTTGCCTTGAAATCTATAACCCAATCTCCTCTTGAAGTTTCCCTTTGGGTTTGACAACGATTGAAGATTTGAAGTTGGAAGCAATAACCTGAAAGTTGCAACGTGACCTGCTTGTCGAATCCTCTATCTAGTTCTAGGATTAGGTTTAGATTTGTTTTCGCGTTCGCATTAGAACGATGAATCTCGAAACCTTTTACGGACCTAGACGGTGACCGGCTATGAGAACAAAAATTACCGTAAGTTTACTTTCGGTATTAGAATATGTCTTGAGGAAGTCAGAGTGATAAATTAATAGACTTATATCAAGAGGGGTATTATGCAAGAAGTACAAATCTACCACCTTCAGTGCCCCTCTAGTATTTTCCCATCTTTTTTACTCTCCCTCTATCATCTTCTCCTAATAATTATCATGCAATGCACCGCCAATGAGCTATTTCCTCACTACTCACCACCGAAACACATCCATCGAATAGATATTTAAATAGTATATTTTAATTCCAAATTAATTACCACAAACTTTTATCTAATTCAAGCTGAAATTAAATTCCCTGTTAAAATCTTTCAACTCCTACTCCTCCTGTATCTTTCCTCCTCTCTGAGTTTCTGCATCGCCCGGTCTATCAATCTTGTCTTGTCTATCCAAGGTCTTAGCCTGACTTTTTTCATCCCCGTTCATCACTTTAACATCCAGACTTCCCCACAAGGCCCTCATCACTTGAACGCAAACCTTTCTTCCTTGTCTCATTGAACCTTGTAAATCATTAGAATAAACATCAGTTTCTTCCTCCATCGCCCAGAGTTTTACTCAACACCTTCTTTGTATAACCCAAAATCAGAGCTAGATTGAAGATTTCACGATACTCATATTGTTTTAAGTCCTAATCTTGTGTGTCAGATCGTGACATGTCACGGTCCTATTCTTACGTGAATATCCGATCAAATTAGGAATACAGAGAAGCTAAAATACAAAAATAGTATTATTTAATATTGCAAATGATCGCTGATTAGTATCGTTTATTAGAATAGTGGATATTGATGCGTAATGCTAAAGCTCAAACCCAAGATATTTTAAATTTTCCCAACGCCATTCCGATAGTAATGTCTATGACCATTACACGGTCCTTGACTTGATTCATAGTCTAATTGTGTATCACTTCTTCTACGGATATGAAATTGAGTATGAATTAGTAACGGATTTTCCCGTATGAAGATATACATGTGCCTGTCTCAGCATCGATATCAGACCATGCAGCCGACATCTGACACCCCAATTGCATCCCAGAAATCCCGAGGAACTTTAGACACTTCATTCTTCATTACTATTTCCGAGGATAGTCGGTATTCTATTGTAAAATTACAGTTAGCATTCCACTCAGTCAATGAACAATACGGCTGGCTACTGCTCTTCCTAACCTCACTACGGAGAACCCTCGAAGGTCTATTTTCCACCATACTATAGTAACTATGCGGCATTGAACGAACAAGAAACAATCATAGCAGCAAATATCTAGGTAATTCGCTAAATTCCTGGAAGGTATAACGTCACGTTCTGCTCGTTGTGCTGTGAGGCGACTATACATTACCTCAAAGGCAGACGATGATGAGAAAGTACCAAAGGAAGGAGCAGGCTGTTGGGAATGAATACATGTCTGTTGTGAAATGAATGTTACTATAATATCATAAAAGAAATATGCAAGTATGTCTGAGAGTAAATGCAATCTTCTTGTAAAGTAAACTGTATGTATACAAAATGAACGGCCTCAAACAGAAATATGAACAAATACGTTCTGCCATCAAGAACTCCGCAACCACGAAAGAAAGCGCCATTATGAAGACGAAACCATGCCTAGTACGAAAAACACGGCCATGAAATATCTTCGGAAGCATTTGTAAAACCGTCAATGAAGTAAAGAGGAAACTAGAAAAAAAAGTATTCATAACTATATCCGAATTCTTGACACCTCGATCTTATCTGCCTGGGTGATGACATAGGGGATAAGGATTGTAGCCGTATATTTATTACAGTTGGTGCTGATTGGTAGTAGGCGCTTGTGAGTGAATGTGTATATTTGAGGTTCGAGCGGATGAGATTTGAGAGGTTTGCTGGTATTGTTGAGAATTGTTTGACCATATTGACCTTTCATCTCTTCTCTATGAAGATTGCTTAAGGAAAGGAGATAGCTACTTGAGTGCTATTGAGCCATAGCGCCATGGAAATCTCTATGTAAGATGTAGTTTATACTCATCTCTGAGTTATACTTATTTCAACCCCTAAAACCTACAACCTACCACTCACCCCCAACCACAAAATACCATAAGACGGAACAAGATATATATAGCCTAGCTACCATCCATTTTAAAGAAACTAGACACTAATCTAGCTCAAGCCCAAACCCAAACTCACCACCAACCAGTTCAATAAAAGTTAGACTATCAATCACTTCTCATCTCTCACTCGAAAAAGACCTTACACGTCGAGATCCTTTTTACAAACCCTCATTACATCTCCCACAAAATTAATACAATCACCCACAATCCAATCAAACAAAGCCCTCTCCTCTCCTTCCCTCCCTCTTACCACCCCAAAAACCCTCCTTCAGACTCTAACAAAGCCTCTAAATAAGTCACAAAATCCACCCACCCACACAGACACACAAATCACATCCTCAACATCTAATTCATCCAGCCAACCTACCCACCTCCAAAAACTCACCAGAATACCCACATACACCACATACACCAACTAAACATACTTCATTCTACTCCATTTCATTCCCTATCCGACTACTTGCTAGCTGATTTAACCAAACAAAACACATCATACCAATATATAACAAACCACGACACCAACCAACACCAAGACCAAAACCAAATCAAACCAAGCTAAAAGGAGAAGATATACAAGAGCGAGCGTACTTCTCACTATCAATCATCAATCAACCAGTCAATCACCTTATACATATTTATCTCTAATTCCAATTTTCCAACTGGCACGTTTCCGTTAACTTATTTTATTAACATTCCTTTTGCCACTTTGCTTCTTAAGAGTACCCGACGCGCCATTAATACCACAGTGACCAATGCCATGGGAGGTAAGGTCACATTTGACTTTAATTTAGTAACCTGAAACCTTCTCGCTAATGGTCTTAATCGCAAACTCCTACTACTAAAAGGCAGATGAAAATGTAAAACCCAACCATAACAAAAGCAAAACGAAAACCTGAGTATGCAGAAGCCTTTTACATATGCACTATTAGTGCCAAGAAGTGAAAAAAATATGGACCGGAGAACAAATGATGGAGATGATTGTACCCTATTCTTGGGAGGATAATACGTTCGAAGAAACGTGAAATTTGCGGACGCATGAGGTAAATTGATTGTATGGCGGGTTAGTCACATTGGACCAGAGACAAATGATCCAGTATGATCAGATGAAAGATGTGAGATTTGGGGAAACCACTTTCCGTGGTACAGTCCGTTCATGAATCCTCTTCAGTCTTTTTGAAAACCCTGCGACATTGTTAGCCTGGTACCCCAAAGGGACTCATATGCAGGGGTTTGTACAAATGTCTTTCGTAGAAACTAAGCATCTAGTTTTCTCGTTAGCTTAGAACGTTCAACTGAAAATTTGGAGGCCTTACCTTCTGTGGGCAACGTTTGTATACTTGATGTAATGGATGTTGTGACTTGGCCCCACCCTTCCATGTCAAATAGACAATAACTTCCGCATTTGGTCCTTCCATAGCTTCGATTGTAACAACATCATCTTCCCAACTTCCAGTTGGTGGTCTAAAGGATGCGGGTGGTGTTGATGAAGAATGATGACCATTTTTTCTCGACTTCTTTCCATTGGTTTGAGGAGTAGTGGCACCAGTGCTTGGTCGACCACGTTTCTTTCCTTGCTTCTTTTCTGCTGCCTCCGCTTTCTTCTCCCAGAATTGATCCATAAGATGTTCTTTACCACCAACGCTTTCGAGGTACGCATTAAGTATGTCTTGGGCAGTTTCCCTAGGCATCTAAGATCAGTCAAGAAGAATTTAGAAGGAACAAGTATAGCTCACAAATTCTTTTCGGGTTCCCACGTCAAATCCGACTTCTTCTCATAACCTTCCCATTTAACCTGGAATCTTAAGACTCCCTTTGAAAAATGTCAGAGGTGCCCATTATACTAGCGACAAACTAATCCACTTACTTCCTCATCAATAGCATGCTTCAAGATCTTTTCAACTACAAATCTGCAGACACATTAATAATTGAATGCAGATATTCATCGAAGTCCGTCGCATACTCATCCTCTTCTTGCCCATCTCCCTCTACTTGTCCCTCATCAGCTTCTCGATCCGATTCAACCTTCAACTCCTCTTCGGGTGACTCGTCTCTCTTGCTTCTAACCTTCGCTGAGGTTTTGTGTTCTTGCTCGCTAACATCCGAAACCGAACGTTCATCGTCGCTGATTTCTGTAAGAGGTGAGCGCATGTCAAACAGTTGTACCAATTCAACAGGCACCAGTATTATGATGGAAAGCCAGCTAGATTGAGCTTTGAAGGGCTCAGTATGAAGTATATATGTGCGACTTACGAGGAGGCATTATTGCGGATGATATTCAAGCACGCTTCCTGTTTGCGCCAAATAGATCGTGAACTTTTCCTGGCAGTTTCGTAACTCAATTAAAATTGAGAATAGATAAAAGATAAGAGATTTCAGTTATGATATCTCAAAACAAATGCGCGATTGCTCTGAAATGGTAGTTGATGAGGCTTTGATGAGAAGGCTGTAGAAATTGTAAGATAGAAACCTGACGAGGCGGTAGTAGCTCTAAAATGTCAGGCTCATGTTTGCTTTGGTGACAGGTTCGTGTTTCTTACCAATAAAAGAATTGATCATATGAACTTGGATAGATATCGGATTAACCTCGGAAGATCCGTAAGGTGGGTCTTGGAGATATTTTGAGGCTGAAAGGACCTCGGGAATCATAATAAGTGAAGCAGCTGTATATATACAGAAAATCAAACCTATTCTTTAGCATCTTATGTTATTTATCCTATTTATTTATCTCTCTATCTACGTACCTATCCCTCCACAACACTAAAATAATCCCCTCACCCCTCTATCCCCATCAAAATCCAAACACAAAAAATGCCCCATTCCTACTCCCCTCTAAAAACATCTCAACCCATCGATATCTACTTATTTCCAATCGACAAAAACATTAAATAGAAAATGAACATACTAGGTAGGTAATGAAAGGCCAATTGAATCAAATAAGGAAATCATCTAAAATATGAGTAAAGTAACTGACTGTAACGATACTGTACTGGAGGCAGCGGCTGCTTGAGGTTCTTCTGGTTGGTAGTTGTGGGTTAAGGCTTTTATCACTGGTATTCACTTGGAAGTGAAGTCGTTACTAGATCAAGTAGAATATAGGTAAACTAATTGATAATTAAGTTGAGCACGAAGCTCCTATAACGTGGTTTATCAAGACCCTGTACATATCAGGACCCTGTACACTTTTACCTCAATTATTACCTTTCAACTTCAACACGCGATTTATCAATATTTAATTATGTAAACTACTTCAAAAGAAGCTCGAATCAATTTAGCTATTGAGGCTATTCGTATATCTCAAAATTTGAGTATTCGGAAAGCTGCAAAACTCTATAATATACCTCATACTACCTTTACCTCTAGAATGAATGGAATTCTGCCTTTTACTGAACGTTGATCAGCAAATCATAAAATGACAGAATTGAAGGAGAAATCGCTTCTTCAATATATATTGGATATGGATGAAAGAGGGTTTAGTCCTCGAATAAGTGATGTGGAAGATATGGCGAATTATATACTCGAAACGTAGAGTGCAAAGAAGATTGGAAAGCTCTGGGCTTATCGTTTTGTGAAACGATATACAGAATTAAAGATGTGTTTTAATTGTGTTTATGACTTTCAAAGAGCTCTTTACGAAGATTCAGAGCTTATTGAAAGATGGTTTCGATTGATATCGAATATACAGGCCAAATATGGTATTCTGGATTGCGATTTCTACAACTTCGATGAGACAAGCTTTATAATAGGACAAATATCACTACATATAATAGTTACTAAAGTTGATCGATATGGAAAAAGCAAAGCTATATAATTAGGCAATCGAGAATGGGCTACAGCGATTATTTGTATTGATGGAGAAGGTCACAATATACCTTCGTTTTTGATAGTAAAAGACGAATACCATCTTTCAAATTGGTATACCAAAAGTGATTTACTATACGATTAGCTTATTAAACCTACTATCAATAGATAGACAGATAATGAGACAGGTCTTGAATGGATTAAGCACTTCAACAAATATACTGAAAGTAGGAAAGTGGGTAGATATCGAATGCTAGTGCTTGATGAATATAAAAGTCATAAATCGCCAGCATTTTAGGAATACTATAAGGAATACAACATTATATTACTTAGTTTACCATCTCATTCTTTGTATTTAACTCAATTATTTGATATCAGTTGTTTTGATCCTTTAAAGTATTTATATAGTCGACAAATCGAGAACTTTATCAAGGCGTATATCATTCATATTACCAAAACCGAGTTCTTTCAAGCCTTCAAAGCTATATATATCGAAGTAATATCTATATCAAATAATAAAGCTGGATTCCGCGGAGCTGGGCTAATCCTATTTAATCCGGAAATTGTACTTTCAAAGCTAGATATTCGAATAAAAACTCTATCAAATAGATCAATATCAGCCGATCCTGATATATAGCAATCTCAAATATCTTATAATCCAATTGAAGCTCTTTCTCAATCCATTTTAATAAAAAGTCGTATTATTCAATATCAAAGAAGCTCACCTACTCCAATATTTAAAACAATTGCAGCTTTAGCTAAGGGTATAGAGCTTTTAGCTCATACAAATACGCTTTTAGCTGCTGAGGTTCATAATCTCCGCAAAGCAAATGAAGCATTTAGTAAACGTCGGAGAGCTAGAAAAGCTTTAATACGAAAAGGAGGAGTACTTTCAGTAGAAGATGGATATGATATATTAGAACAAGAGAATGTAGAAGATCAGATACGATGCGATGAATTTACAAATGGTGATTCTTCAGCAAGGAGGCAAGCTACTATACGACGATGTAGCAAATGTAGTAGTGCTTCACATAATGCACGAATTTGTCAATTAGATCCAGCATTAGTTGATCTTTGAATTGTATGTAATTTAATTCTAATTTATAGTATTGTTGTAATTTTATTTCAATGGAATGTGAGCAATTGAGGTAAAAGTGTACAGGGTCCTGATATGTACAGGGTCTTGATAAACCACGTTATAGAAGCTTCGTGCTCAACTTAATTATCAATTAGTTTACCTATATTCTACTTGATCTAGTAACGACTTCACTTCCAAGTGAATACCAGTGATAAAAGCCTTAACCCACAACTACCAACCAGAAGAACCTCAAGCAGCCGCTGCCTCCAGTACAGTATCGTTACAGGTGGTCCAAAAGTAGGGTACTAGACTTATCGGATAAAAGTAGTTGTAAAAGAGAACCGCAAAGTCTTAGCGAAGAAAGAGGAGAGTGAATGCTTAGGTGAGGAGGTGCGGAGCTAGTAGGTATGAATCATATATTAATATGTAATTGTTGTTTATAAATTAACTAGGGATTTTATTCAGCTTATACTTATAGAATGCCGGAAAGGATATTCAAAATAGTCCATTCTCCCTCCAAATCAACTCCACCAGTGCTCATATCATTCCTTGCTGCTTTCACCACTCCCCTTCACAAGTGCCTGTTTCATTTTTTTACCACCTCCGTAAACTTCATCGACCACATCTCAGCATAAGGAGTTTGAGCCCCCGTAAACATCTTTCCCGCATGCCACATCTTAATCTTCCCCATCCTCACCAAATATCCTGAACACGTAAAGCCCTCACACCCTCAACCCAATCCCCATCACCACACACTACAAATCTTGCAATATAGAAGTGCTCGAGCTAGGAGATGTCAGAAATCATTACAACCCAAATAGCAAGGTAAACCTCTGCAAGAATAGCAACCAAAAGGAATCAAACTCGTTGTAAAATTCAAGAGCTGTCTTAGGAAACCACCCGTGAATTGTCATGGTGTATTGTCCTGAGGAAGTTTCAGATATGGTTGGAATTGTTGGTCTATACGTGATACTCCCACTTTAACCTCCTTTCGCTGCATATTCTAGGCTAGAGCATCAACCGCCTCATCAACTTCCTTAGCGTGGATGGTCGAGAGCCAGGTATATTCCATGGGAGAAACTGGACTGTGCCCGACAGAGTTATGAATATCCTGCCATATCTCTAAGTATCTTTGACAAAACCTTGAATCTCAAGAAAATCTTCAAAGAGGCAAAACGCAATGAAAAGTATATCAATTTCAGGATCCACATCCAGCTCGTGTATTTTCAATGAAGTGAATTTAATGGTGGGCTTTGGAGCTTCTTGGTTCGATTCCAGAAGCAGGAAGGCATTCATCGGCAATACCTTCCACATCCAACATGACGAAAATATTAGCTGGGATATGCAAATTTTCCTTTGGTCTAAGTTTTGCGTGGACAAACTTTCCATAATTTGTCTCGACGCTTTCGTAACACGGCTTTAAAATTTCCAAATAGCTTCTAGCACTCCAAGAAAATGCTCATGCGGTGCGTTGACCTCCTCATCCTCAGCACGAGCTTGTTGAAACCACTTTGAGAATCATTTACGAGAATTAATTGCTCGCTCAGCCACTCAGCGAATGACGGAACGAAATGTGATATTCATCTCCCTCTGGTCAGTGATAAGCTTTGCTTGTTCAACCAAATCTCTGGTACTGATAATGACGACGATCAAGCCATGAACCTGCCTGGTAGAAACCTTTACTTTCTTGGCAGTCTTCCTAGCTTTCCCTTTCGGACGAGTTGAAGTTTTAGAAGGGTTGGCAGATTTTGAAGTGTTTGAGAAGCTGGACACAGTAGTAGTTGAATTAGAGCTTGAAGTAAAGGCGAATGATGCGGAAGAAAAGATTGATGAAGATGATGAAGCAGAAAATGAACTTGATTCAGAGGTAGCATATGAATTCGAACAAACACTCCAAGTAACTCCAAAAACACGTCTGTGCTTAAAGTCTTAAACAAAGCCATTGAAAGAAGTTGGTTAGCACAATAATTCGCGGAAGGGAAGAGATAGCAAATTACCTACCTATTACTGACTTCATAACTAGAGCTTACACTCAACTGACAATGTTTACTTGAAGTAAGAGTTCTGGTCATAACGTAGGAGAAGGATGAAAGGGAAAAAGGGAAGAAAAGCAGGAAAAGAATGGCACAAACAAATCAATTGTACGGAGTATGTGAATAGTTCTGAGTACGCTGTGTTATGACAAGTTGAATTAATTAGTTCATCCGGGAATTTCAAGTGAATGCAATAGAATGCTCAAACATGATCCTCCATAAAAACATTCGGGTTGGTGATGCCTTCACTTTTAAACCTCACTCCCTTCAAATTAAACCGAGTGAAGTTAAATTCAACAACACACCAGCCAGCCGGCTGACTCATCCAAAAACTAACCAAATCACGAGGTCTCGTTCCAAATTCGTGCCAAATCCAGCACTTCTGCCTGTATAAAAGTGGGGTTATTTCAGGCAACCTCCACAATTGCCACATCTCACACGTCTCCCCGAGATCTTTTACCACTTTAATCCATTAATCCAAAAACATTTCATTCTGTATGAGATACTCCAAAGTTCTTGGTCTTCTATTGAGGACATCTTTCAATGAAAACGTATAAGTAATTCATGATATTCCATCGAAAATCTTCCTTTTCCTTGATTTCTTATTCATTTTCATATTCTCATTCACATCTTCTCATTCCAATTCCACGGTCGCATCGTTCTTTATTTCATTTTACTGCCATCATTTCACGTCCACATATCACACCTTCCATAATTAAACCATTCCATCAATTCATCATGCCTCCTAAACGCCCCATTGAACAAGATGAAAATGCCGAAGCAGTTGACTGGAGTCAATATCTAGTCACTCAATTAAGAGCCGAGCTTGAACGACGTCAACTTCCCAAAACTGGAAAGAAAGCAGACTTAGTAGCACGTCTTCAAGCATCCGATGATGGAAAATTGATCACTGAACCCGATGCTCCCATTGTTCCCATCCCCTCTGTTGAAGCTGGCCCTTCTACTACTTCTGATGCACCGCCCAAGAAAAAGAGAGCTAAGAAGGAAAAGAGTCCAGATGTTGTGATTGAAGGTCAACTTGCTTCCGAAGTTATCATTTACCAGAATATTGATACACGTACTGGAGAGAGACGTGAGAGAGAATTTATTCCAGAGCCTGATGCCAAGTTTAAGGATAAGGTTAAGCGGATTCGAAAGGAGCGGATGTTTATGTTAAATAGACAGAGAGTTGTTGATGTGAAAGGAAAAGAACGTGAGGATTTCGATATTGCTGGTAGTACTGGTAATATTTATCAAACCAAGATTGGACGTTCCCCAAGTTGTACTTGTATGGATGCAGTAAGTGATTTTCTTCTCTTCCTTTCTCAATACCATGCTAACAAGAAATCAGAGAACTCGTGGTCAGAAATGCAAGCATATCAATTGTAAGTATTTTCATACTCCACGTCACGTCTAATACTAATTCAATATAGATGCATTAATCATCATCTACAAAGCACCAATGTATCTCTGCTATCAACAAGCATTCTTATCTCATGAACTCGAATACATCTGGTCCAACGCACCGGTCACACGTGCCCCTGACGGACATGACCACAACGAGCCTGAGGATGAAACTATATACAATGGCAAACGCAAACCTATCGAAGGTGAATGTCCTATCTGTGTCTTTGACATGGATCCCGCTACTGAAGAGATCGTCTGGTGTAAAGCAGCTTGTGGTCAAAATTTTCACAAAGATTGTTTTGCTCAATGGAAAGCTAGCAAGCGAGGTGGACCCGTTACTTGTGTTTATTGTCGTAGTCCATGGCAAGAAGATGATTTTGCTCCTAGACCTGTTCCGGGTAGTTTGGCTGCACTGAAGGATACTGCACCTAAAGTTGGTAGTTATAAGAATATTGGTCACATGGCTATATATTCTCAAGCTGCGGCGGAGGAGTAATAGATGGATGATTATTGCTCTAAACTGTGTTGCTCTAAAATGAAGGGGAATATGGAATTGCAATGTGTATGAAGCATAGTCATAGCTGGAATGTTGAAGGGTGTCGCATCAAGGTTCACAGCACAAATATTACGATATCACGACTTTGCTTCTTTTTTCATATGAATTTAACAAAGAGCGGGAGAGAGCGAGATGATATACCCATTTGCTTTCTTTCTGCCGTATGTATGTATGTAGCGCTTCCCAGATCTAAGATTCGCTGAATTAAGAATTTCACCCTTTCAAACTACCTATCCTTATATCCCTCTGTAAATCTCTATAAATTTAAGGTATTATCTAAAGATAAGATCAGAGGAGGTAATTGGGAGATAAAATATTGAATATCACGGACAAAAACCAATGGTAAGATCGTCTTCTAGCAAACACGAAGTTCTAACTACCTACCTGCCTTTCTATCCATTAACCTATTTAACCCAAAGAAGAACATTCACATCTCCATCTCCATCACAATCCCATTCATATTCACATTCAAACTAAGATCGCGATACTCCTTACACAGGTATTCAGTTTTCCATTGTTTTATTCACTCATGCTTTCATTCTTCTATTATTTCTACTCATTCTAGAGAGACTTATCAAGATAGATAGGTAAAAAAAAAATTACACATAAAAATCCCAATCCCAATCTCAATCACATTCGTGATTCTTCCATCTTTCCAAATTTCTTCACTAGTCCCCCGCGCGCCTCTTCGTTGCGGAAATATCATTGATAACATAACGTGAAACCTTTGAAGGTAAACAACAGGAAACAAATAGCCGAAGACAACAAAACAAAAAGTAAAAGAAATGTGTATGTATCATTCAATGAGTTAGCGGGGAGAAATCGTATTTTTCTTGGCGGTGAAGAAATTCGAGGATGTGGATGTGATAGGAATCTGATGTGAGGTTTGCGTGTGACATCGATCGAGTCGGTTTATTTGATGAAGAAGAAGAAAAAGAAAAAGAAGAGGGTGTTGCAAGTATTGGAGGTTGTAAGTAAGAGCTCCGTGTGGTACATTGTGAACAAGTTTGGTGGTGTACTGAACAACTCGGGAAGGAAAAGTATGATTCACAGGATGTGGTAGCTGAATTTAATCAAAAATATGATTGTCGTTACAGGGAAAGTCGTGATTGGTCATTGCAGTTGCTGCAGTATTCGTGATTTGTACCCCAGATAAAGGAACAGGTTTTGAGTGGGTAAAAGGACCTAGCTAAACGAGATAGTGCAGATGGCGAGTAGAAGGCAATTTGTGTGATGAAAAGAGTCTAGACGAGAATAACTAGATCGTACGAATGAACTTGCATAGAATAATGAGTGGGTGAAGCCAGATGTCGGTAGAGTATGGCAAGAAAACGATTGTCGTGCTAAAGAACAGATGCGGCCTGGTAATGAAGTGATGGCACAAATTCTGGCATTGTTTCAAGCCTCAGAATCTGCTAAATCGACATTCTCAGCCTCGCGCTTGTCATCGTCATGCTTGTGCATGCCGCGGCGACGTTGTAACAAATCTGAGACCGGGCTTTGATGACGGTATCCTGAATGCTCGAGACCCTCACTCTCCGATCGATTATTTTCCTCCTCAACCGCAGGTGTGGTACTAGACTCCTCATCATCTCCGATTCTGTCTTTGATAAGCTGCCCAAACCTGACTTCAAAGGCTTCGAGTTCCTTCAATTCGTTTTGGAGCTTTTGACGTTTTGCACCAATTTCGGAATTTTCTTCCATAAGTTCTACACATTTGTTAAGACCTATGTTTATTTTCGTTAGCAAAATCCCTAAAAAGTTGCAGAAGGGTTCTCTTACCATTTTGGGGGTGGTTAACACCTAGTCTGGTTTCGAGAAGATCTGTGATGTTGTCTTTGACATGGCGAAATAAACGGTTGTTAATACTGATACAAGTACTATCAATGAATCTTTTACCGGCCACAATATAGTATGCTCGGAGGTAGGCTGCGACATCAATTTCATTTTGGAAGTTGTCCTTCCCCAATTGTTCAGGCTTGACCGTTTCTACGTGCTTCCTCTTCTCCGCGAGACAGGCCTTTTCTCCGTCGGTTTCCTTCGCCTTTAATTTTATGGATTTGATATATATCTCTTTATCGATAAAACGAGTAGCACGAATTTTGTGACGAACTTTTTGAAGACCCAACTTCTCACTTTGTTTCGTCTTCTGGATCTCTTCCTGGTTCGTGGTGAAAGGACTGTACGTTTCGAGCTCGTACAGTTCATCGAGTGCATCTCGCTGTGCCTTGGAAAGCTCCTCAATCCATCCTCGAAGGATGATGATGGATTGCTTGTAAAGATCCGTCTGTCTGAATGGACCCAAGATTCTATCCGCACTCTTTTCAATCTCAGATCGTAACAGACCAATAACTCCATGAAGCAGTTGTTGGACGGGAGGCTTCCAATCACGAACAGCCTTTTGACAGAAATGTTTGTAGACTGGTGTGTTGACCATATCAGGGAGGCCCATGTAAGTATGGTTTTCTATTTGTGTGCGTATGTCAGCAATACTGGTGAAACCTGAGCCGTAATGTGCATGTCTTTCGAAGATGGTGTTCCTGAAAGGATTCTTACGGTAATTGGCAATCTGTCGTGAAGTATGAGGGATGGGAGTCTCCGATTTGACCCCAAAAGGAGTACTTGGTGTTTGGTCGCCTGAATTCGATCCGTCTTCGTTGACCATCTGATTGTATCCGCGTTTTTTACAAATTTCAGGTACAGGCTCTTGCTTACTTTCACCATCTTCGTTCTCAAGATCGATAACTTCAACCATCAATCTATCCGATTTATCCGCGAGGGTGATCTTTGGCTTGTTGTGTAATATCAACTCGTGAAATTGGCGAGAAAGTTTGGTCCAAGATCCATGGAAAGTTGTATCGGATAAATTTTGTTCGCTATTCATCATCCTTTCCACATTCTGACTGAAGTTACGCAGAAGACGAGTTACATGAAGTTGCACATTTTCATTGGGTACCTCGGGCAGGCCCTGGAGCTCTTGAGTGATGGTAGCCTTACGCTTATGAACCTTCATCTTTATATCAGGCAGGCTACATACACACCATTAGCTCAATCTTAAAACAGTTGGAATGAAGCTTATCACTAACCTTTTTCGGATTGATTCGGCAAGAAAGCGAGAAAGTGATTTTTGAATTTTGGGAATTCCACATCTATCTTTGTACTTAGACCATGGGCCTTGCCACAACTTGTTGTTGTTAAAAAACTCTTTCTCTTCCTCACATGCTTGGAGATGGAAGTCCTTCTCAGTCGCTTGAAAGTTCGGTCCAGGCTGTTTAGTTACACGCCATCCATGGCCTAAACGATGCTCTTCACCATCCAAGATCTTCTCCCAATCCTTAGTACCGTCCTTCTCCACAAGTGTATCGGGTTTTGTTAGGACGCCCATACAACGATTAGTAGCACGTTCTTCCTCAATTAGGGCTTTTGCTTTCGATAAAACTGCTTCCACAGACATGGTCATGACGAAGATGATCAAAGTATTGGGAGCTCGGATGTATCTACGAGACGTTAGATATACTGGGGCTGGTTAAATGTGGAGACACAAGGCTTGGCTAGAGAAAGAGCAGTACTCACTTTTTGGCGATGTTTTCAAAAAACTTGATCAGATATCTTTGATCATTCGTGGGAGTATTAGCAATAATACCAGGAAGGTCGAAAAACGATAAGGTGGGTAGTCCTGGGCCGGATATCTCGACTTTTACAACATTCGGTGTGGCATCAGCCTCAGTATTAGTGTTCTTGCTCACAAAACGGCTGCCATTTTCTGGGATGAACTGTTCGTAGTCCTGGTTATGATTGAGCAGAGCAATCTGTGCCCATATCATCGCATCTTCTAGCTTTTCCTTGTCGGTGATTTTGATGAATTCCTTAACCACCAGTTCCTGCTCAAACCAGGATGGGAAAAGATTATTCTTGGTAAAATCCCGATCCTTGATTTCAGTCTTTGTTTTGCGATATCCATACTTTTGACGAAGGGAGATGGTGCAAGACCAAGTCTCGGCTGCTTTGGTTATAATATTGGCAGGGCATCTTGTGCAGCACCCACTATTCTTGGGTATGGACCACCCGGATAATAGGCTGATAAGCGATGATTTACCGACACTTTGATCTCCAATTAAAGCAATCCTTGGGAGATCGACGATGTGTGCGACATCGTAATTTCCCAACTGACTGAGAGCATCAATCAGGACTTTTGAATCCAGGCCAATTCGATGAAAACCCGACATGCCGTCAGTACTTGGAGTTGTGTCACGGGTATCAGGTTCTTGGTAGGCGTAATGGGATGGACGGTGAGTATCTGGGAAAGAGCACATTATTAGTGCAGACTCAAAGTTAGGATTGATTGATTGCACTATCTTACCGTTGTGATAGGGAGCTCGAAGGTCCTGATCAGTGTCGATCCGATAGTGAGGATTTGAGGAGGGACGATATTCCTTGACGCCTTTAGAGGTCCGAGGTGCTGGTCTATGGGAGGTCTCTTGTTTGATAGTATGGGGGGTCTTCGAAAGTGTGGCGTTGGTAGGGCTGGTCAGAAGTCTGGTGCGATTAGGACTTGACAGTTGACCGTGTGTTGAAGTGATTTCTTCGACTTGCTGTCTAGAAATTCGGAAAGCCATGATGGGGATATATTATATAACCCTCACAGGCGTCGTTCTGCACCCATCATGTATCAGCACCTGCAACGATCTATAGATTCATAGGCATGGAAATTTTGAGATCCTGTGGTGCGGCATCCTAGAAGATGCGAAGTTGAAAAGATGGAATGCCATACCTTGTAAAAGTCTGAGATGGAAGGGCAAACACAGAACTTGATTCTGTAAATTTAAGAGCGAAGGTGAGAGATCTTTCTTTGCGAAAGGCTCGAGATGTATCTGGGTCAGATACGACCAGTGGAGATTGAATAACCTTTCCAATCTGGAACTTGTTGGACAGGAGCAGATTGTTGCAAGGCAGCAACCTAAAGAGTATGTAGAAAGAGAACAATGGTAACAAGTTCGAAACTTCTGCAAGTAGCTTTACGGAAGCTGGAGAAGATGGATAGAGCGGAAAACACAAGGAATTAGTTGAAATTGAAAGAGTGAAAGAGATTTGAAAGAGGAAAAAAAATATTCTCACACTTTCGCGGACAAACGCGACGAGTGTAGAGTGTTTGCATGTAGCCTTGAAGGTGAATAAAATTCTGTCCAATAAAGAGCTAGAATAATAGATTGTAAAAACAGCCCTGGCAATTGCCGATCAGAAAAAGGCAGGATAATAGTAATTCTATCGATTAATTTGTTTTTGTTTGATGTTACTTTGGACCTTTTCAAATGAATATCAGGTTTGTATGATCTTCCCCGCCAAATCTGATAAATTTCTATAACCTACAAAGATTGAGCAAATAAATTCAATAGATGACGGAGAATCTGATAGAATTTTAAATATGCAACTGTACATTTTGAATAGACCTTGATCCTGGAAGAGCTACCAGCTTTAGGAATTTCCAGGTGATGGTAATGATGCTTTGAGTACAAGTTGACAAACTTCACTTTAATCACTCCGCGGAACCGGTACTTAGCTTTTTCCCCATGTTCATTCAATGCGCCTACCTTTATTTCTCCAATGGCATTGGTGTTGGCAGTTGGGATGCTTGCTTTTGCTCTTGCTTTTGCTTTTTTTCGAGTGGGCTTCTTGCATAATGGATATCAACTATAGGAAGAGGAGCTGAGGCCAAAGAAAGGCTTCCTAATACTCCTGTTATCTTGATTTTCCATCGTCTGATGCTGTAAGTGAAGCATAATAATGATTGTTGAACAAGTTACCGTTGAGAATGAAGTCTACTTGTAGTGAAGACAGAATCAGGGGAAGTGGAGTATCACACTAGACTAGCTCACCTTCACATGATTTTGTGTTAACCTTATTTATGTTATTTATGCATTTTATGCACTTTATCCATTTGCACGGACCAACTCAGCCCCTCAACGGAATAAGCCATGAGTTAGCATCGAAATTAATCTCACAACTCAGGAACCCAATGCCAGGTGTTCATGTCATTTTGATGATTTATTAAAGAACATCCATAGAATTATCTTCATCAATTCAATCATTTAGTATGTCTTTACAAATCCCTCACAGAGAAAGACCAGGTAGTGCTGCTCAAGCAGCCACAAAGGCCGTTATTCTGGTAAATCTATGAAAATAATCAATTGCGCAAAGGAAAAGAAGGCTGATGATGAGGCTAGGTTGGTGGACCATCCAGAGGAACCCGCTTTAGGCCATTGTCCTTGGATCTGCCAAAGGTATATTCATTTTCTACCCCTCCTGCTCAGAAAATCAATTAACTGTGCTTATTCATAGCCCCTCTTCGAAGTTGCTGGCCATCCCATCGTTTGGCACTGTCTCACCGCCATCGCAAAGGTCCCCTCTATTCAAGAAGTATGCATGATCGGGTACTACGATGAATCGGTTTTCCGTGATTTCATTAAGGATGCCGCACATGAATTCCCTCAAATTAAGATCGTTTACCTTAGGGAATACCAAGCTTTGGGAACTGCTGGAGGTTTATATCATTTCAGAGATGCCATCCTTAAAGGGCGACCAGAACGTTTCTTCGTCCTTAACGCAGATGTGTGCTGTTCATTCCCATTGAATGACATGCTTAAGTTATTTGAGGACAAAGATGCTGAAGCTGTTATTCTTGGTACTCGTGTCAGTGAGGATGCTGCTAGCAACTTTGGTTGCATCGTTTCTGATTCACACACTCGCCGAGTTCTACATTACGTTGAAAAGCCCGAGTCGCACATCTCGAACTTGATTAACTGTGGTGTCTATCTCTTTGCAACCGAATGCATCTTCCCTTCCATCAGAACTGCCATCAAGCGCCGTACCGACCGCCCACGTCTCGTTTCTTATCCATCCTCCGAGAACCTCGATTCCTCATTTTTCCAAGATGAAGAAGATGTACAAAAAAATGAAGTTCTCAGATTAGAACAAGATATTTTGAGCGACCTTGCAGACAGCAAACAATTCTTCGTTCATGAGACTAAGGATTTTTGGAGACAAATTAAAACCGCTGGCTCAGCTATCCCAGCTAACGCATTATACCTCCAAAAGGCAGCACAAACTGGATCCAAGGAATTGGCGAAACCATCCGCTAATATCCTCGGACCTGTATTCATCCATCCAACTGCACATGTCGACCCAACCGCTAAACTTGGACCTAACGTTTCAATCGGTCCACGTGCTGTCATTGGGGCTGGTGCTAGAGTAAAGGAGTCCATTGTTTTGGAGGATGCTGAAATTAAGCATGATGCTTGTGTCCTCTATTCTATCATTGGATGGAACAGCAGAGTTGGTGCTTGGGCTCGTGTTGAGGGAACACCTACACCAGCCAACAGCCATACCACAAGTATTATCAAGAACGGGATTAAGGTTCAAAGTATTACTATTTTGGGTAAGGAGTGTGGTGTTGGTGATGAAGTTCGTGTACAGAACTGTGTCTGTTTACCATTTAAAGAGTTGAAGAGGGTAAGATTTATTTTCCGGTGTCCTTTTCGAAACTATCGCTAACGGTAATAGGATGTGACCAATGAAGTCATCATGTAATGGATCAGTGAGATTTATATGTATTCGAAAGGATTTACAATTAATACCATGTCGTTTTGTTCGAAATGTTTCTCCTGTTCTTCCACTGATGACAACCAAAGTTCCATATTTCATACTCTAGATCACAGCTATTTGAATAATGCAATCATCAATATCTAACAATATGGTACCGGGCATTCGAATTATTCATCTTGTCTATGTTGTCTATGTTGTCTATGTTAGTAGACGTCGCTCTCAGTGGAGATTGCCGATAACAAAAAATAGTATCTTTTATTATACAAGACGTAAAGTCTGCTCTAAAATTCAGGTCACCTTTTCTTTTTCCGTTCATTTTTTTTTCATCCGTGCCGATAGAAATTGCTACTCACTAACCAATCATTCAGTTTATTTGTTTATTTGCCCATTAAAGAATATTAAAATTGAACAGATCAGTGTTACGACCAATCCTAACAGCTACTCAGGTGACTAAGCTTATGGTCACATGACCCAATATTGTCCCACCTAGAATCACTCAACTATAGGCGGTGGGACATAATGGGAGGCGATGGGATGTATAGTATGAAGGTCTATATAATCAGGATGGATTTCCTTTGTATAGAGCTTTGTGCTCAAGATCAATCATTTAGTATACTCTATTATTAGTTACGAATTGTATCATTGTCATTACTTAAGTCCCTGTTTGACATCTAGTTATAAACTACCTCGAGAGCCTAGAGCACTTCCACATGATCTAGACGGCAAACCTCGTAACAATCAATTTAATTTATTATTCCGCACTAAGACAGTCGGCTATCTATACTACTAGGCTAGGGTTGGGCAAAATGTAATTATATAAAATATAATAACAAAACCCACTTTATAATATATAATAATAAAGCTCCCTTTATATAATATAGATTTATTAATAAATTTTGAGAAGGGGGACGAACCATATGAGTTATATGATTGGGTAGATCGAGGAGAACTCATTTTATTTATTTTTGATCAAGATCAAAATTATTAAATGTTGAGATATCGATCACATAAAGCACTAGCGTTGATGCTAATGCCTCGGCAAGGGGGGTTATATATATTCTATAATGTTACGAGGTTTGCCGTCTAGATAATATGGAAGTGCTCTAGGCTCTCGAGGTGGTTTATAACTAAACGTCAAGCAGGGACTTAAGTAATGACAATAATGCAATTCGTAACTAATAATAGAGTATACTAAATGATTGATCTTGATCTTGAGTATAAAGCTCTATATAAAGAGAATCCATCTTAATTATATAAACCTTCATATTCCAATATTGAAGCGATGGAGCTGTCACGATTCACCATTAGGATTGATGGTGTTACGATGGTAGCAAACTGATTAATTAGGAGAGCTTAGGCCTTGTGCAAACACGATCAGATTTCATCGAATTAGTATGTGATCTTGGTCACCTTAAGATCGTATGCGCATGCACCATCAGAAATCATGTGATAAGGAGCCCTGAGGAGCCAGAAAGCTCCTGGGGGCTCCCTTTATCGTTCATTATATAGTTAGAATAGTTTCATAGTTTAGGAGCTTCGTGCTCAATTTATTTATCAATTAGTTTACCTACATTCTACTTGATCTAGTAACGACTTCACTTCCAAGTGAATACCAGTGATAAAGCCTTAACCCATAACTACCAACCGACAAACCTTAGGCAGCCGCTGCCTCCAGCACAGTATCGTTACAGTAAATATCAAAATAATCTCAAATATTTCATATTGTATTGATTAGTTCAATGATATGATTGAGCTGTTTTCAAGAAATAAAGTATATAATAATGATGTTGTATTTTTATTATGCTTTATTATAATCTAGCCCTGCTTTACGTAAAGCACCCATCCCTACTACTAGCAAAGGGTTCGTCTTTTTCCAGAACATTACTGGCAAACTGTGGGTCTTTGATGTAGAAACTGATAAAGGTAATACTGGCATTATGTCTTCTTTTATTGGATCTCTGAACTAAAATCGTGTTTCGATAGCTCAGGAGATTAGTAGTGCAAAATCTTTCGCAAACGGCCCACATATTGCTGCTATATACGACAAACAGACCAAAAGACAACATGTTTACTACAGCAGTAGCACAACCATTTCAGGGGTATGGGCCCAATGAGGCGACGAGAAGGGTTCGGCTGCATGGTTGCCGGAGAGCCAACGCAATGACGCGATCGATGGAGGTTCAGCCATTGACGCTGTGCTTAAAGACGGCTTGTGTTATGTCGTCTGCTGTAAAGATGGGTATATCGTCAATTATACTCACAACATCACTACCCTTGCGTGGTCCTAGGTCACGGGTGAGTCATGCGACATCTGGACTACACCATTTCGATAGTTGCCATCACAATTGACTTTCCCACTTTGTTCTCGTCTCTTCAGGGTTGGTACGCTCGTTATAGGTTTCTTAGATAGATTGAAAGCTAGCTGAATTATATGAGGATTTTTGATTGAGTCATCACACACAGTTTTTAGACAATATATCCTGTTTGCCAATATGACCATGTATCTGCGCGAAATTTTTCAATTCTTGTCGAGTTTCTCGGGAGATGTAGAAGAGAAATGTCTAGATAGATTTGTACGCTTTTAGCGATTTGTAAATGTACTGTAAGCAAGAAAGCAGAGAATCGGATATTAAGTCCTCGATACTGGCGTGGTAAGATTAGATGAAGATTCCAAATCTTTTTGGAGGCAGGAAGTTACGTAGTTAATTAAGAGATGAAGTTATTAGTATTTAAGCTTGTTAAGTGGTATAAACTAATAGGTGCAGATGTAACTCGGCTTTGCAATGGTTATAGGAATTTCTGCGTTCGGATTGTAGGCTAGCTTATTATCGATATCCCATGGAACACCTCGTTGTGGGCTATGGAGCTTGAGGTTTTTGCTGGGGTTGACTGTGTTTTCAATTAGATCGTAGTACTAAGTCACACGAAGCAGATTAATATGAATTCGTGAAACTTATTAAATGATAAATTTTGCGCTTTATATATATATAATTTAAATAGAGTTATAATAATAAGTAACCGCAATCTACTTATAAAATGATTATGATATATTTCGGAGAATTCTCGGCTCGGTATTTGAGTTAAGCAGAAGAATGTTTCGAGCTTCATCGGGCAAAATGCTAAATCGGATTTCAATGCTTTCGGTTAGGTTGCTGCAACAAGATTACTAATGTCATTGGTAACATCTCACGAAATCGTTCCATCAAATAATCTAGATGATTTACGAGAACCTTGGGCAAGCTCGCGGCGTACGAAACCGAATTAGAGTACACTGCATCATGCACATTTGTTACTCATCAAAATTTGGAGAGTGCCCAGAGGAAGATGTGATGTCATGATCTGATACATCAAGTGAGTGCGGGGGAGGGAGAGGGAAACAGTTTCTTTGTATGGAAGAAAATACTTAAGTTTGAAAGATTCTCGAGTTTTGTAATTGATCTTTTAAATCAAAAGATTTAGTTCCCGAAAAACAAATCAATAGATTCAAACAATAACACCAAACAAAAATGTCAACACCAACACCCCATCCCCAGCATGGTGTTCCATGTGGTACCAGTACCCCACGCCCAGGTCTTCGCAACACCCCTGCCCCAGGCGTAGGTCCTCTCTTTCTCACTCTCTCAAATACAAATTGCTAATATCAGTAAGGTCTCTTTTTACACTCCACTCCAATTTCCTCCCTCTGGCACAGCCCTCTCCCCCAATCCACCCAAACTCTTCACCCCCCTCAAAATCCGCTCTCTCAATCTCCAAAACCGCATCATGCTCTCCCCAATGTGTCAATACTCCGCTTCTAACGGTCATTTCACACCCTGGCACATGGCCCATCTCGGGGGTATAATTTCTCGAGGCCCCGGTCTCTCAATGGTAGAAGCTACTGCCGTATTACCCGAAGGACGTATCACACCCGAAGATAGTGGTCTTTGGCAAGACTCTCAGGGCGAGAAATTAAAAGAAATCGTCGACTTTGCGCATTCCCAAGGTCAGAAAATAGGCATTCAATTAGGACATGCGGGTAGAAAAGCCAGTATGGTAGCACCCTGGCTCGATCGCGCTGCAATCGCTACTCCAGAAGCAGGTGGATGGCCCAACAATGTTAAAGGACCAAGTGCGATTCCGTTTGATGGAAATCATTGTGTGCCCACGGCAATGACTTTGGAGGACATCCAAACATTTAAAACCGCATGGGTAGCAGCTCTTGAAAGAGCATTGAAGGCTGGTTTCGACGTCATCGAAATTCATAATGCGCATGGATATCTTCTCCATGAATTTTGCTCTCCGGTTTCTAATAAGCGAACAGATCAATATGGAGGTAGTTTCGAGAATAGAATTCGTTTAACCCTCGAAATTGTCGAACTTACCCGTCAGAATATCCCGGATACAATGCCGCTTTTCTTGAGGATTAGTGCGACGGATTGGTTAGATTATGAGGGATTTGAGGAAGACAGCTGGAAAGTAGCAGATTCAGCACGTTTGGCGCAGATTTTGGCGGATAAGGGAATCGATCTTATGGATGTTAGTTCGGGGGCTAATCACCCTGCGCAGAAGATTACAGCGGGTCCTGGATATCAGGCTCCTTTTGCGAAGGAGATTAAGAGGGCGGTGGGGGATAGGATGTTGGTTGGTGCGGTGGGGATTATTGCTAGTGGGAAACAGGCGGAGGCACTTTTGACGGGGAAAGGTGGGGAGACAGGGGTTTCCGGGGAAGAGGAGAAGGGAGAGACGGAATTGGATTTGGCGATTGTAGCCAGGGGATTCCAGAAAAATCCGGGATTGGTTTGGGAGTGGGCGGAGGAACTTGATGTTAAGATTATGATTGCGCATCAGATGAGGTGGGGATTTAGGGGTAAGGGTGGAGGGCATTAGGAGGATTTTGTGTAAGTATTTCTAGAAATATGATGGGATGGAGGAGAAGAGGAAAGACAGTAGGGGGTTGAGGTTGGAAGCAGCAAAGTTGAGAGATATACACGGAATTGGTTTCTATCCTTCACAGAGAGTTTGTTTCTTTACTTCTATAAACGTATAATTTTCCATTTCACTTATTTTAGCATTTGTTCTCCTTTCTTGTCACCTCTCTTTACTATATTATCACAGTTCATATTTTTCTCCTTTTATAATTGTCGCTTGTGTGACTTCTGTACTCTTGACCAAAATAATACAAACATTTCAAAACTCTTGTTGCTCAGTCACCCCCCGATTTTATTCCCATTAAACCCAGTGTTCTTTCATATCGTCACTAAGGGTCTACAAATCTCTACGAAATCTCTACACTTTGATTTATGCTAAGATTAATGTTCTAATGCATGCTGCATTGAGTATATATATGGTGGTTAGTGGTTATATCCCACTATCTTGTTACATATCATAGACTCTCCAGCACCTTGATTTCGGAGAACTCTCCGTTGATCAATAATTAATCACTCATCACTAAGTAGTGATGTCATCATTATTAAGACCGGCAAAAATTATTGCGTGAACATTATAAATGTGTGATAAATATGAAAATGTAGTAGGCAATCAATCATCCCTTTATTTCCCTACATCATCCATAGCATCATGATCTTCATCTCCATTATCATCTTCCTTCTTCCCGTCACCTTCACTTCTATCCTCCTCACCTTCACCCTCACCCTCCCCCTCAACAATAACCTCCCTAATCCTCTTCCTCTCCCCCTCTCTCCCCCTCCTCCAAACCCCGACCCCCAGCCCCGCCACACACCCCACAACCACTACCCTCCCGACCCACTCCACCCAACCCCCCCACCTCACCATCCACCCCACAAACCCCTTCAAAACCGGACTAACCCACCTCCTCCTCTCCCCGTCCAACTCCGGATCCACCTCCACAAGCAACACCACCAAAACCCCTAATATAATCGTCAACATAATCGCAGTATATACCTGTACTACAGCCAGTAATATCGCGATATTTTTTGTCGTTTTGAGGACTTCGAAACCCGAGGCTATTAAAGGGTAGCCGGCTGCTACGAGGGGGGTTACTTCGGTTTGGACTCGTTGTATCATGGTTTGGGATTGGGTGAAGGCGGTGCGGATTTGTTTGCTGTATGGGAGACCCATTTCTTTTTATTTTTTCAATATATTTTTTTGAAGGTATGATATGGATGAAGTGCAGGGTTCTTTTGAGAGAGTGAATTGAGTCGAGGTTCTTCTAGTCGTTTTGATGGATAGAACCAGTGATATTCAGGAAAAAGCGTTTCTTGCTAGGCGATGCGATGGGAAAACCGAATATCAAATAAGAAATGCGGTCAATTTCGAACATAGCATCACACTATTAAAGAGTATGATATATTATGGGTGAACAATAAGTTCATCAGCTCCAAGATATAGTGATGTCAGCGATACCAATGAAGGGAGTTCATGATGGCTTTTTTGCGGCCAATCGGAATGGAAGCGAAGTCGCTCAAAACAGGAATCCATAACGTCTTACTATTTCTTGCTGACATAGGATTGGGTGAAATCGTGACTAAATTATTAACCTAGGCTTCAAGATTCGTACCTAGGTACTTGATGTGATAGATTGAATCTCTTACGCAACGGTCAAAATAATTTCATGCACGCTACTAGTTATTAGATGTTATGCTCTACATAAGAAGAGGAAGTCGTTCTAGAATAACACGATGTCTAAGCGATGCGTAAACGACAGGTTTACTACTGCAGAATGAATACATTCATTAGGAAAAGTGTCTGTTTAAAAGTTTATATTTGTGAGAATTACATCATGATACAAAGATTTATGAAGTTAATGTATTTTACCGCAACGAAGTCAAGCCGTGACAAGACAAGGTATCACTGAAGATCTGGTGGTCACTATCTATCACCGTGGATAGTTGCGGTACGGATTTTCAGTAATGAACCGGCATTAAGGAGTTGATTTGATAGTCAGACTAACGGCATCTTACTGCAACATACCACCTACAATAGTCCGTGACTTGTCATGATCTAATGCTAGACGACTATATGCAATATCATCTCTTTCCTAGTGAGCGTTATTGCTGTGATGGTCCTCTCTGTAACCACTAGGGCATTATAGCAGATCAATGCGAACTCTAAAGGCTTATGAAGGTAAATACATGGATTGAATGCCTAGAACGTTTGTAGAAGACCACGAAGTTATGATGCGAGAAATAAGAAAATCTATTTTACTCGAGAGACTAAGAGAATACTATTGGGGCAGTCCTGTAAAGATGCCGAATTATAATTGCCGGGAAGGGCTTCTGGCAAGGGTGTGCTAAATTTTCAGATGGGAAATAACAGAGAAGTATTAAGGGGGCACGTAGATCGCTATTAGTTGAGGAGTTCAGGTAGCTATATAATATGTAGCTGGGTGGGATAATGGGAATGTGTTTAGGTATGCATATAGCAAATGACAACGGCGGCTGGTTAGTTCCTTATTGAAATGATACAAGAAGTCACAGTTCTATATTTTGGGAGTGAAATAACAGAAATAGAAAAGCTTTTCTTGAACAAGAAAGCGTGAAGTTTATATAAGTTGGGATATGTTGCGAAATGCTCCTTTATATATGAGTCATATTTGGTGTTTACAGACTTTCTAGTTAATATGATCCAGAGTCACTAGTTATTCAGATTGATTCTGCTTCTATAAAATTCATCTCCTTAGCTATTATACTATGGAACTTACTTCTATCGGTATGCTATCAATACATTAGGCTCACACTAGTTTATGACCGTACGAAATAACTATACTGAATTAGCCTTGTGAGATCCGTATATTAGAGTGGAGGCTTACTATAAAAATTGCTTCCACCTCATGAATTTGATCCTTCAACAACAGCATCACCAAGCCTAAAATGCGGACATCAGAAAGAACTATCTAAACACAACTTTGAGACTCCCATACTCATACTTCTCAACACAAATACAATACCACTTCATTCAAACTCAGCATATCAATCCAAACAACAAATTATCATCAAAATAAGAAATCCACTTCCTGTACAAACCAGCACCATGAGCTCCAATTTTTCCTTCTTGCAACACATAAAAGGAGAGTATAATAGCTATATGGCGTCTTCCGCAGATGAATGCACCAGAATCGTTGTTGTCCGCGCCTCATGATCTTTGCCTGATACTGCATGATATCATTAATACTCTTGATAATAGTCATAGGAATCTGATTCTTTAAGAAATAATGCTTAATATATCGTGCTGAAGCAAAGAAGAGGGGAATGCTAGAGAAAGAGAATAAAATACATTTTTTTCTGAATGCATATGGTGTAATGTCTTTGAAAGCTGAAAAATCTAATTGATTTTATAAATTTTAATTCCTAATAAAGAGAATATATAATTGTTTTATTAATTAATATTCAATAATGGGTATTATGTTAAAGTGAATGGTTCCTGCGTAGCACGTGCACAGGGCACTAGTCCTATTAGGACTAGATTGAGAAGCTCTCTGTAAGAGAGCTTCGCACTTCCGTAGAACTTAGAAGAGAGATTAACCTACTAGACCAATATTACCTCAGTTCT